ACAGAGGTCTAGTTTAATTACTACGTGAGGTATTATAGTAGGTACAAGACGTTGTGTGAGGAACAGGAAGGTTTAGGAGGAAATTAGTAATTAAATACTTAGCTTAGAAGTCTAAGCGCTTTAGGTATAAATTAAGCCTGTTCTAGGTTTAGTTAGTGTTAAGGCAGTTTATGCTTAAGTTTATGTCTGTATTATGTTGTGTTTATGTTAGACGTGCACTAATAATACTCTAGTACGCGTCTAATACAGTTATGTCTAGGATCTAGGGAGAATACTGTAACAGACCCTTTGTATAATAATATTAACACACTTAACACATAAATCTAATAGCAGATAGATAATAGTAAGCACAGTCTTACCTTTCTACTATTATAGCTTAATTATGCAAAGCTATTTATTTTTATAAATAGATTATTTACTAATAATAAAAACTTTAGCTTATAGCTAGGATTTTTAATTATATTAAGTAATAAAAACTATATAAAGTAAAGTAACTACTTTAAAATACTAGGCAACATTATACACTAGAATTCTACTAAGTGTAAAAAAGTAACTAGAAGTGTCTTTACTAGTAAACTATATAAAATAGTTAAAAAGTTTAATAATGTAATTACACTTAGTATAACTTTATAGTAAATTATATAAACACTTAAACTACTACTAATTCTAGTAGTAATTTACATAGATTTAAGGTTTTTATATAATTACTTTATTAAGCTAAGCACTACTAGTAAAAAGTAACTTATAATTAACATTATATTACTTTATAAATTATATAAGAAGAGGGAAATTACTAAAATAAAGTAAATTAATAGTAAAAATAACTTAGTAAATGTATATATAAAGAAAACACTAAACTAGGCTTTTTAATTATTAGTCCTAACTAACTACCTCTCTGTCTAGATAGAAGCATCTGTAGACTAGCTAGATCTTATGCGCAAAAATGCTCTAAACTAACTAGACTAATAACACCTTTATATAAAGCTTATCTTTTTTATTTTTTTTATTATACACACTTATTTTTCTTATTATAAGATTAGAAGAAAAGGATATATAAAAAAGATAGTCTATTTATTTAGTATATAGAAAAAGAAAAAGCTACCACCCCTTACATATAGTAGTTATAATGCAGACTACAGCTCTACTATATGCATAAGGTGTAGGCATTAGCCTAAAAGTTAGCTAACATATAACACTTAATAAAAAAAAAGGCACTAGTAGTGCTACTATAATAATAAGTATATAAAGTTACTAAGACCTAACTATAACTTTAAACTAGAACTATATAAAAGTACCTCTTATAATACATAACTTTTACTGCTTATAGCTGCAGATTAGTGCTAGTAGGTAAAATAATATTAATATTATAAAATAGTAAAGCTGCTATATGCTACTTTTTAGCCTATCTATAATTAGCATTTTATATAAGAAAAAAGTAGAAAAGCTAAAAAATTTATATATTTATACTAAAACACTAAATAAACTACTAATTAGTAGTAAAACTAGTTAAAAGGGTAACATAGATGCGCCCTAGGCTGCTAGACTATATAAGGACGTTAAAGACGCCTGCACTAACAGCGCTAGAGGTAGAGAAGAAAGGCTAGAGAGACATCTCTCTCTCTCTCTCTCTCTCTGTGTGTGTGTGTGTGTGTGTGTGTGTGTGTGTAGGTAGGAGTATCTGTTACTATTAGCACTATATAAAAAAAGAAAAGAGCTAGGGAATAGTATAGTAAGGCTTAAAAAGTAAAGAATAAAAAAAAGAAAGTAAAAAAAAAAAAAAACTTTATTATATACACCTTCTTACACACCTGCCTATATAAAGATTCTACACTATTTTAGCATAAAACTTTATATAAAATAGTTTATACACTACTAAATTACTTATAAAGTAAGCGCATAAAGGCTAAATAATAATAGCTTAAAACACTTTACACTATTTATAAAGCTATTTATATAGTGTAACTAGCCTATTTTAATGTACAGCATTACTAAGGCAAGTTTTAATAAATAAGGTAAAGTAAAAGCAGAACATAATTAAATAAACCTACATAGATAAAAAAAAAGTAACATGTACAGAAAGTAACTTTTTAGATAAAAAAAAAAGTTGCTAGTGTCTGTACACAGCAGCAGCATTGCAGCCTAGATATAAATAATTGCGCATAAGTAGGATTACATATCTATGTTATATAATGCTTATGTGTAAACCTTTATGTGTAAACATCTAGATATCCCTCTTTTCCTTTGTACAGAGGAAAGATAAGAGTAATAAAACTAAAAACATGTTGCCCTTACTTTACCTACTTTGTACGCTGTGCACACTGTACACTACTCTTACTCTTGCTACTTAAGTGCTTATACTATAAGCAGCTAGCTGTCAGAGCCTATTCAACAGATAGTAAATAATTTATATAGTACATCTAAACATGTTTTAAATATAATTTTAGTTACTTCTATGTTTTTGTCTATGTAGAATATTTATAGCTTTTGTTTAAGTTTTAGTCTATATTAGGGCTAAGATTAATTTCCTTAACGTTAGTTTTAGTTTAGACCAGTCCTTAACCAGTCCTAAACTAGCTTCAAACCAGTCCTAAACTAGCTGTAAACCAGTCCTAGACTAGTTATAAACCAGTCTTAGACTAGCTGTAAACTAGTTCCAGACTAACTGTAAACCAGTCCTAGACTAGCTGTAAACCAGTTCTAGACTAACTGTGAATCAGTCCTAGACTGGTTATGAAGCAGTTTTAAACACGTTCAATTAAAGAAGAGATAGTTATATCAAATTCTGTATATTCGATAGTTAGAGCTAGGCCAGACTCATTCCCTACTAAAGCCTGTTTGCAGTGACGTCCTAAGGTCATCCACCCCACCCATAAAGAGATGTTAAAAAGGGGAATCTTATGCTAATGCCCTACAGACGCTATATAAACTTAATAAAATGTAAATCTAGCAACCTTCTTAACTTATTTTATAACAATTAAAGTGCTCCTAATAACAAAATGCACAAAGAAAATAAGAAAAAGAAAGGGTGTTTGCCTAGCCTAGCATTATAATAATGCAGCTATAATAGGGTTTAGAACACTATTAAGTAATAATGTAATCTGCTTAATATAAATTATTGTTGTTATTATTATTATTATTATTATTATTATTATTATTATTGTTGTTATTATTTTTATTATTATTCTGCTTCTTATTTCCCTTCTCTTTTTATGCAGCAAGGAATTTCTGTTAATTCTTCTACTTAGTAAAAAAGGGGTTTACATTATTAAAGGCATTAATAAGTTTACAGCTTAAATTGCAGGTAACACACTTAAAAGCTGCAGTAAATTAGTATTAAACACTATCTAAAAAAAATTAAATGTAGATACTTACACTTTTAAGGCTTAATCTTTTTACTATTTTTATTAACACTGTTACTGCTAATTAGCTGTTTACTGCAGTGCTTATATAGAGCATTCTTAACTGCATTAAATTCTTAGAATTAAGCAATGCAGAGGACAGCAGCAGAGTTAATTGCCTATAGAATGCCTTTTAAACGCTATTAAAAGGCTATCTAAACATAATAGAATATAAAATACTTACAGCTGTAACACTATCTAGCTTCTTACCCTTTTTAACAGTGTAAACAAGCAGCCTTAGTGTACTACTATTATAGTTAGAAGTTACAAGGCAGTTAGTGTGTAACTACATTAGGTTAGGGACAACTTATAAACGTAATTAGAACAGGTATTAAACCTTAGGGAATACATAGATGCGCCACTTTGCTATCTTACAGTTACAAGTAATATAAGAATTATCCTTGTTAGCCTGCTTCTAGGCAGCCTTGCTACTCTTTAATTTACACTAAAGTATTAGCTAATAAGATTAGATCTTTTTATAATAAAAATAATATACATTACATACCTTAGCACTTTTAACAAGGTCTTAAGAGTTTGTTCTATCCTTCTTTAAAAAGTTACTAGAGCTAGGGAGCTGTATAAGGTTAAAGACTGTTACTAAAACATAATTAAATAGTGTTACATACGCTATAGAAGGTTATGTTTAAGGTAAGAGAGAAGTATGTTGCAGAAGCGCTAAAATAGTTTCTGTGCATAGTGTTGTAATACTTTTTAAGTTTATTATTTAGACTAGGCATAGCAGCGTAGAGCTTCTTTATTAGACTCTTGTAGTATTCTAATATATATTAGGACGTGATCTAAACGCGATCTAAACAGGATCTAAGCCATATGCAATACTAACCTTAGATAGATAGTTAATCTTCTTTAGCTATCTTTCCACCTTTGCTATCCTTGTGCTAGCAGGAGACATATTAGTGATTAGAGTAAGCTGTCTTAATGTAATTAATAAGCTAATTATAGTTAAGATACACTTACTATAGCTTATAAGAATATAATCTAGACATATTTAGATTCTAATTAATACTTACCCTACAAATTTATTCTAAGGCGTTATAAGAAGTGTATTTAATGCAACACACCCTCTTGTAAACCTTAACATAGACAAACTTTATAGTATGGCTATTTGCCTTACAAACTTGTTAGAAACACAATTAGAACCTCTATAAAATAGGTAATATTTAGCCTACCTCCTCTATCTGTTTAATCTTAAATTTAAGGTTAAATTTGTTGCAAGGAATTTAGATTTGTTAGCAGCACATTAGCACGTAGCGCTCCATTTTAATCTACTAAACACGTTAGAAACGCTATGTAATCAGGATTAGAATACAATTCTTACACATCCAATTGCCTAATTTAGGAACGTCGGTTCTTAGTGCTGCCCTGACGACATGGTGGTCGCTGCAAGTGAGAACAATTCGGCGGTGAGTTGAGAGAAGGGCTCAGGAGTAGTTAGCAAGTGCCTTAGGCTAAAAAGGTGTCAACCCTGCTAAAACAAGTTTAGTATATAGAGAGGGTTAGAGTAAAAGTGAGAGAGGTTTGGTACGAGAAATTTTAATTGGGCCCGTGCGCAGCTAAGCGAGGCCGAGGAGCAGCCGATTTGACTTATTGGTGCATGAACTCTATAGTCTCCTCATCCTCAACGTACCTTGCTTCATCACCTGACGTAATCTCTTCGGGAGGTGTTTCCGAGCGTTTCCTCTTTTTGACCTCACGGGCAAAAGAATGCTTGCCTAGCGATTGCGCTCGCCGTGCTTTGCTCTCCGCCGCAGCAAGATATTGGCAGAGCTGTGTCCCAGAGATGCAAATTTCTGTATCTTCATCTCCCATCTCGTCCTGTGCAAGTTCTTCATAGGTGAAATCGCTGAGGCGGAGCCGTAGGCCTGGGTAGTCGACGGGGTTTCCTTCATCGTCACGGAAAGCCTAGTAAGAAAGTTAGAACATCAGGGTCGTGTCAGCGTTATGAGGATTTAGTCTACCTCATCCGCGGCCTCTTCAACAGCTCGCAATTCAGACCCATCAGCAGTATCAAACAGTCGTGGTCGCCATATCGATAACGTTGCTTTGCGTGACCCCTTCTTGCCATACTCTATATCCAGGCCGACAACAGCTCGTACGCTAGCGTCTGAATCTAGAAGATAATTTTCGGCTAACCGGCCTAGGCGCGTCTTCTTCTGCGAGTATGCGACTTCGATAATGACACCCGGATATTGTGCATCGTCATGCCAGAATGACGCATCTGGTTCGTACTTCGATTTGCTGGATGAAGCGTTAGTAGCAAACTGTATTTCAGTCGATCGGGCCGGTCGCACTTTCTGCGCGAATTGAGCCTTCCTGCCTGACCCGTCACGTATCGCTTTCAGCTGGGTCCGAATCGCATCCTCCACTTCATCAATGAAGAGCTCGTGTACCCCAGTAGGCATGCGAACGACTAGTCTACGCTTGTCTCCGTCGTAGTCATACCTGCCAAAGTCCTCTGTCAGCCGTGGTCATCGCGGTTTCTAAAGTCCACTCACCGTATCTTGTCTTTCACGTACCCCGCAAGCACATCGTCTTGCTGGAGCGTACGCTCTATCTCGTCGTACTCTCCTTGTGCAAGCTGAAACTCTATCCACGTGCCTTGCTTGATGTTCCTTCCCGCTTGAATGTGTCTGAGGAACGCGATGACACGAAGGGCCCCCGCAAAAGGCTTCTTGTCGGTCAGCGGAGGCGTCAAAGGCTCGTTTGTAAAACTTGAGGGCGGCGTGAGGTGTTGATGCTGCGTTACATCCGCTTGCGATATCGACATAGCCGTACACTATGCTGCATCGTGAGGTCGTTCGATAAATGCCCGCTGTCGCGCCAACTGACAGATCGTCCAAAGGCTGGGCGCTTTGGTTGACTTAGCAACAACGCCACGCGTCTCGCTCAGCAAATGTGGCTGCAGTCAATGACGCCAAGCGCTGACTCATGAGATAAGGTCCAATTAGCTGCACTAGTGTCACGTGCCGCTATACTACGGATAGCACCTTGTGGATCAAGACTGGAGCGGATATAATTCAACTCTGGATAGCTGTGATCACCCGATATTTGGGGTGCCCTTTCAGATCCATTAAGCCAGTTCTCCGCTAGGCGCTGGCCTCAAGTCACTTGCATCGGAAATCGAGGTTTCGCGGCGAGAAGCAGGCGGCAAAGCCCAGCGACAAACGCTGTGTACGCCATTGCATGTAGCGATAATGCTGTGTTATACTATCAGCCTTCAACAGCCAGTCAATGTGTAGCACGTGTACAACCCCGCATCTTCTCGTCTGTCTTCTTAAGCCTCCCACTATGCGAACTGATTTAAGTCAAGAGTTTAACTTCCCTATTCCTTACTTTGCAGAAGTCACCAGATATCTATTAGGCACAAATAAAGAAGGGCAAGAAGGGGCGAGCTGCACTGGAGCCTCCTCCTCTGGAAATAGATTACCCCCAAGAAAGTCAGGTATACGACGGGCTTGGGTTTGAGGCAGCTCTTGAGCCTCAATATGAAGTAAGGCCCATCTTGAGGACCCCGTTACGGACTCAATTCAACAGCCAAAAACTACCTAATCGACAGCGGCCCCAAAGCTCTGATCCTGCAGCACTTCGAACCCAAACCTAACAGTGCCGTGGACCAAAACTTTACGCCAGTCCTTCTCGCCCATGCACGGCTCTACTGTTTTGCGCATCTACGTCTAATAGCGCCACTTAAAGCCCTAACCCTTGGCAAGCTGCACAGGACACTCTTGAACTTCAAGTTGTACGCAAAGCGCGTTGGAGACATCATTGAGCTCGGTAAACTGAACGATCGACAACATGATTAGCGTCGCGGTATTTTTCTTGCTGTAACCTGGACTTCTAAGGACGAATGTCTGAAGAACAACATTATGCGAAACGCGACTTCAAATATAGACGAGGGAGGGAGTTGAGCTGCTTAAAGAGTGGATGCGTCTCGGCACGGAGGGCGTCTCGCTACGCAGGGAGGGACGTTAAGTGATATGCCAATAATCAGCTCGCAGGCTTCCCTATCAAATAATACACTATCTCTACCGCCAAGCCCTCTCTCCTATTAGTCTGGATATAAGCCGGTTATTGATCTAATTGGTAGAAAATTAAATAACTAAAAAGCTTTGTTGTTCTACGTTTTTAAGCTTTAAGTAATTATTCTGCTCTGCTACATGCTTAATCTAGCCTTCTTTTTTCCCTATTATAGTTAAAGACAACGCGGTTAGGGGTGTTAAAATCACTTCTGCTGCGTGGTTTTTCCCTCTAAATATAATTAGCGCTGCTAAGACCTTCTAAGCAAAGCCTGTTATCGTTCCTAATTAGGACTAGCCACTTTCTTCCTGGAAAGGAAGGATAATCTGCTCGTCTCTTCCTATCAAATAATCAAATAATACACTATCTCTACCGCCAAGCCCTCTCTCCTATTAGTCTGGATATAAGCTGGTTATTGATCTGATTGGTAGAAAATTAAATAACTAAAAAGCTTTGTTGTTCTACGTTTTTAAGCTTTAAGTAATCATTCTGCTCTGCTACATGCTTGATCTGGCCTTCTTTTTTCCCTATCGTGATCAAAGACAACGCGGTCGGGGGTGTTAAAATCACTTCTGCTGCGTGGTTTTTCCCTCTAAATATGATTGGCGCTGCCAAGACCTTCTAAGCCCGTTATCCTTCCTAATTGGGACTAGCCACTTTCTTCCTGGAAAGGAAGGATAATCTGCTCGTTTCTTCACTTTTCTTCACCATTCATTTTCACACTTCACTTCATTGTTCACTTAGTTTCGTGACTCATAATTCACCACTCACCACTCACCACTCAACATTCACCGTTCGCCTCACTTGCCATCCAAGAACCCCAAAAATAATTATTTTTCATCGAGTCCTATTCACGCTACAAAACCTTGGAGGCGTTTACTTGATCCGTGCACGCTACACCGCCTGCCGAATATAGCGATTCTGCAACCCCGCCCACCACAACCTCACCCCTCCAAATCGTTCGAACACCCGAACATACCGACTTCTCAAGCTTCAGTTCCAACACCCGACCTCCTCCCAATCTTCATGGCGCCAAAAAACAAAGGCAAAGGCAAAGAAGCAGCTACATCCTCCGATTCCAAAGACGCAGACACGAAAGGGAAAGGCAAAGGCGGGGCATCCGCGTCTGGGAAATTAAAACCAGCAACTAGCATCAACGTCCGACATATCCTCTGTGAGAAGCATTCGAAGAAAGAAGAAGCGTTGCAGAAGCTAAGGGATGGGGCGAAATTCGATGACGTTGCTAGGGAGTTGAGTGAGGATAAAGCGAGGCAAGGTATTTCCCCCCCCCAAACCCCTTATAAACCCCTGATCCTCTTCTTCACTCCCCATCTCTGCCAAATCCTGGGCTTATTCTGGGAATTGGGAATAGGTGGCTCTCTTGGCTGGAAAACCCGTGGTAGTTTGCTTCCTGAGTTCGAGAAAATCGCGTATGAGCTCGAGCCTAGTACGACTGGGAATCCAAAGTGGGGCGAGGTGAAGACGAGGGAGGGGTATCATGTTTTGATGGTTGAGGGGCGGAAATGAAGGAGTACGATATCGAGCGCGCGAACAGGCTTGGGCAGGGTAGGCAAAGAGTTGGAGTGTGGAGGACGATGGATGATCTCTTTTGGATTGGGATTGTGAAAGCAACGAGTCTTCTAGCTGGTGCGTACGTAGTGAGGTGACGTGAGATGCAAAGATACCCATTTTCTACACCAGATCCCAAATTTCAGATACCATAATACGCCGTCACCATTTCTCAATTATCCTGTCCCCTCGCTCAAACTCCCCGTCTCCTCTTTACGCACTTCGATAAAACTCCGCAGCCTCCTCCTCGCTAACCTCGCTCGCAAAACACGTCTTCCTCTCCACAAGTCCATACTTTGAACCCCGAATCTTCCACCACATTTCCCTCCGGTCCCCCCTCAACCTCCCCTCCAATAAATCCCTCTTCAAATCCCTCACAAAACTGTTATATATTTCCGGCTCCTCCAACTCCGTAATTTCTTCGCGCATAACACGAATCGCTTCCAGCGCTCTCCCATATCCACTCTCCCCCACACTAGTCGAAATATACTCGCGGATATTTCGCGCCATGTCAGCAGCGGCGGTTTGGATGGCTTCGAGGTCATCGGTAGCAGCGAGTGCTTGTTTGAAGGAAGGTATGAGGTTGGTGGAGTCGATTTTGACGCGTTTAGGGTTGCCGAGGAGCGCGTCGACGTCGAGGCCTGAGAGTGGCTTTTCGCGGTCACGAAGTGTGCGCTTACCCCGGCCTTGTTGCTTCGGCGGGACTTTTTTGACATCCGCGGCGGCTTTGAGGGCGGCGAGTTGAGGGGATGCTCTGTCGAGGAGTGAGGGAGGAGGCGCGGAGTATTTCGTTAGGATCTGTGGAGGGGCAGGGAGGCTGGGGGATGTGGGATGTGTAGCGCGCCAGCGAATGATGTGGTTGATGCGGTGGAGTAAGGGGGAGTATGTGTCCTCGAATTTCATATATTCTGTGGGCTCGCCTTCGTCGTCGCGATCGAAGGATGAGAGATCCATGGCATCGACGTATTCATTCATCGCTTGCATTAACTGTGTGTTTGGTAGGTCGCGGTGCTCGGTGATAACTTTCCCGCTAACCGTGAGGTGTTTGTCGAGAGGGGGGAATTTGTAGCGTCGCATGTCTTCTGCGAAGGGAAGTTCGACGTCGACGAGGCATTCTAGGTCGGGTTCAATGCGCGGGACGAGGAGTACCAGGAGGGGGGCTTTGTTTTCCCGTGTCACAAGCCGGGCCAGTGCGTAGCAGCCGGATTCGTAGAGCGCGTGGATAAGGGATGAGAGGGCGAGGGCAGCGGCGGTGTTGGTGCGTTGTGGGACGACGTAGTTTGTTCGGGACATAGGAAGGTAGCGCTCGAACTGGAATGTTATTAGCTTTATCCTCCAAAACCATTCTGAAATTCATTATGGGGAGCCAAGGGAGGCGTATACCTTTTCTTCCGGCACAAAGCCGATCAAGTCAAGACAGGGCGAAGTCTCAAGCTTGACAACGTTGGCATCTGATTCGCTGATATGGACAGCGGTCCTTCCGTACTCAAATCCTCGTTCTAAATCTTCCATCTCTACATTAGTTTTCGTGCCCGGCTCATCCAGGTTGTCGATTTGGTAGACGCGCTGGCTCTTCACGGCCGCTAGCTGTCCATCCCCACGATGCTCATCTCCCGCAACGGTTGCGGAAGACTGCGTGCTTGCACCAGCACCACCTGATAAATCCGTTCTTACCACGAACGAACTTGCTGTTGGTGGCTTCGCAATCATAGTACAAGGATACCTCTCGACGTCGATTGTCAAGGTGGTGTCGTAGTTTTCGGAATCGCCAAGAGTGAGTGTGCCCTTATAGCTGGGGACTGGATGCGTGTTTTTCGTACGCGGGATTTCGAGTTGGCTGATAGCTTCGGCGATGGTGGCGAAGTTGCCGTTGCATTTCCTGGCAAAGTCCTTGAGAGTGGTTTCGTTTTGTTCCTGTGCATCAAGTTAACAGAAGACTACTAGAATAGGTAGGTAGCTGACAGACTTTTTCGGGATCTTTGTCTTCCTCTTTGAAACCGAACTCTGCATCGTCGAAATCTACGCCTCTAGTTTGCGTCAAAATATGCACATTGGGCGCTTTCGGTAATCGGGAGATTTACAGAATATTCATCTCAACCTCATCCTCTTTTAGCTTGGCTGCAATGGCATCGGAATCGGATGTCTCCATGTGCCCGTACCCGTCGGTTATGATGTTGATCCTGCGGTCATACTTCAGAGGCTTGCCAGTCTTGCCAGTAGTTGCGGTGTCAATCATTTGGATAGCCACAGCTAATGCAGATAGAACTGTCAATAGTTAGAGTGAATTGACTACAAGACTGGATAGCATACCATCGCCTTGATTCGTGGCGCTTGGCTTCAATTGTGGTTGGAGATCACGAATATCTGGTAGGAGGAGCCTGTCACGTGTCAGTCGCAGGGATACCAATAGGCATAGACCCCTCATAAGCAGAAATAAAGCTTACTGTTTAAGGGGCACGATAATTCTAGTATTCGAGTACCCATCATCATCGTCGATTGCTCCCATGACATCGGTTTCTAAGGCGCGTCAATGGATGCGATCTGTCGCGAGTGGCGTAAACTTTGAATGTCTCACCATCAGTCCTATACCCAACAACGCCCATCATCGCCGTCTTTCGTCCCGTCGCAACCTATCCCTCTCTTAGTTATTTCCATCTCCATAACACACCAAGCTTACCGTAGTCGTGATCTTGTCCCAGACATACTCCAGCGCCCATTCAAGATTCGTTTGACTGCGTCCATTGCGCTTCTCTCCCATGGACCGGCCGAGATCGAGAATGTACACCGTAGCTTCTTTCTGCGCCATAGTTGATGGAAATATTGAAAGAGTGTTGTGGGGAGAAGAGACGGGATAGAAGATTGTGACCGTGGTGCCTTGAGGGAAGTTAGGCAGGCGTGGCGCTTGGACACGGAAACGCGACTTCATGTGACGGGCGTCTAAATTAAGTTTGGTCTGTGCTTTTAGCTCCTCTGACCGTGAGTGAAGCTGGAGATGTTCACTATGCACTCTCTACTTTTGCGTCCAAAAACGCACATGTGGAAAAGAAACGCCCGCTCCATTTGATGAAGCTTGATGGATTGTTTACCTCCCGCTCTCAGCATGGTGAAAGTGACCCACACCTTCATGCCACTTGTTAGCGAAGCACTCACAGTAGCCCAGACAACAACAAACCAGATCATGAGAACAACCCGGCGGAACATAACCGCCTTTGCCGTGGGTGTGATTTCAGCGAGGCGTACGATCATTCAGGTAGGTCTGCTAGAGGCTGATAGAAACCTCCATTTCTTTACAGAGAGCTCGGACGAAGCCAGAAGAACACACAAATGAGCTAGTTTCCGTCTCTGCTGTTTCGTATACGCAAGTTTCGTATTTCCCTCCAAGTTGGCTGTCCTTGCCCCTGAAGTGGAGCCCTAGAGTACTCATCTACAGGCATTTCACCACCTGCGTGGGTAACAAAAAACGCCACAGCATTCCTACAACCTTGCAAACTCACCCATCTACCCATCCTCCTTTCAAAGACAAAATTGAACGGACTGGTATTCGAATTTCATAACTTCTCTTAGCTATGAATTTCTTTTGTTCTTTTATCACCCAAAAGATCCTGTTTTAATTTTGATACACGAGGAAGTTGACTTAACGTTCGGTGCGTCCCTAGTGTGGCCATATCATGATCGCTTACTTCTGTCGCACGTTAGATGGCGCAAGGTGGTATCTGCGACGGAATACAGTGCTACTTGAATTTCTACGTAGGATCAGCACCCTGCTAGTGATAAACCAGCTTTCGGGCTAGTATAGTCCAAATGGTCCATTACTCCCTGCATATAAGCAAGCGATCATGAGTAACGAGAGGTGCGCGAAACTGTGTGCTGGAAAATGTAAAAACTTTTCCAGATGGGCTTCGTATAGTCTTCTGCGGTATGCTAGCTCTACTATAGAACGTGCTCGGGGGCCTTTGAAGCGTCAAAATACTGCTGAATTACGGATATTGTCAAGGGGATGAGGGCAGCGGACTGGTGATCTAACTGAATTGGTACTAGATCGAGAATTTGAAAGGAAGACCGAGAACCACAGCTCGACAACATCGTACTTCAATCCACAACCCACGGGAGGATATTGGAACTAAAGCAGGGGCCTACCACATTCATAAGCAGATTTAGACAACAGGAGTCAAACCCTCGAAGGATTCCGCTATGCCACTTCGGTCCAAGCGGCTCGGTCATTTCAATTCACCGAAGGTATATTTCTAAATGCCGAGCCCTTTCGCTCCCTCCTTTCTCATGGCATTCTATCTCCACCTGTCTTGGTCTTTCTTTTTCAAGCCCTTTAATTGAGGAAGGACTATCTGTTGTATCTCATACCCATAAGTTGCGTAGATCATATTCTACGTATAACAATTCAAATGGAGAACCCGTCACCGTCGCTCCAGCTCGCTGATACTGATGGCACCGGCCCAGTTAAACGGCGTAGGCCTGCTCTTTCATGCGTTGAGTGTCGAAGACGAAAGGTCAGGTGTGACAGAGAGAAGCCCTGCGGCCCTTGTACTCGCGCCAAGAGCCCGACCTGCACGTATAGGCCGAACCCACACACTATAGACCGACGACCCAGAGCAGCGGCACCTACATCGGCACACACAAACCAAGATAGCTCGAATCGGTCTTCTTTGCCGTCATCAATTCAGGCAATTGACTTTGAGTCTATGGTCAACCGGTATATTGCCCCAGGCATCTTTGGACCTCATGGAAGTGTAACGCTCAGTCACCTGCCGAGCCCGAATGTAGACCCTGGGGCATCATGCTACACATCCGCCATCAAGTCTCTTGTAGATAACGTATTCGATCTTGACGGCTCGTCTGCCAACAAGGACGAAGAGTCCTCAAAAGTTCTGAACATACCTATTCGGAACGCTGTACCTACCACTCCAGGCCAATTCGTTAAATCAAAATTCTATGGGGAAACACACTGGTTAAATAGCATCGAGCCGGTGAGTGTCTTTGAAAATCCCCCGCTGTTCTCAAGCCATATGAACAGCTCATGGATTCATCTAACAATATGCGTGTAGTATAAAGCACTCAGTCACACGCACACAGATTCGGGTCCTCTTACAAGCAGAACCGAGATTAACAGAGCCTCAGAACTATATCAGACTGTTCTTGAATGTAAGAGAATGGCTCGCACTATTAAGAGTGCGCGCGTAACCAAACACTCGATCTCCCCAGAAATCCAGTCTTCGATTCCAGCGCGAGATGTGTGCGATCAGCTTGTCCAATGCTATCTACGAACGTTTGAGGGAGTTTTCAGGGTCCTGCACATCCCGACGTTTCTAGCGGAGTATGATTCCTTTTGGGGAAGCGCCGTCACAGGGAAGCCCACAGTTTTAATTAAGATTCTCCTCGTATGCGCTATTGGTGCTCCATTCTACAAGGGCCTCGAATCCGCAAGTCTTCGGTCGTCATGTGCAAAGTGGATGCAAACCGCCGAGACATTTCTCAGCGCTCCGCAGGGGAAATCACGACTGAACCTTACCGGACTTCAAATACACATCCTGCTTCTCCTAGCACGTGAAATCTGCAATGTGGATGGGGGGGATCTCACATGGATCCCAGCAGGTTCTCTACTACGGAGTGCGATGCATATAGGTCTTCATCGAGACCCCTCGCATTTCCCCAAGATTTCTGTCTTTCATGCAGAAATGAGACGTAGACTTTGGGCGACTGTATTGGAGATTACAGTACAGTCAAGCCTGGATATGGGTATGCCACCCATGCTCTCACTGAACGATTTTGATACCCTTCCTCCTTCAAATATCAACGACGAAGACATGGGTGAAGGAATCGAAGCGCTCATTGATCTCAAGCCACCACAGGTCTTCACGCAGACCTCAACTCAAATTGCCTTGAACAAGAGCTTACCTCTGCGACTTAAAATAACGCGGCTTATTAATAGCCTACGATCAGATCTGTCCTACGACGAATCTCTTCGCTTAGGCTCTGAACTTATTGCAAGCTGTCGTGCGAACACGCAGCTCTTCCAAGGTTTCTTTGCATCGACCGCGAGTCCCACCACCTTTCAAGTCAAACTTCTCGACGTCTTAACTCGGCGGTTTGTCCTCTGCCTGCACCGCCCGTTCTTCATAAAAGCGAAAGCTGATCCTAAGTTCTACTATTCTAGAAAGATATGTCTCGACACATCGTTGTGCCTTCTTGCACCAACCTCAATAGCTCCACAACCTAGCCTTGAGCACACGGAAATGACACAGGAGGATGACTGGGCTCGACTAACTACCCATTGCGTCGGCTTCTTCAAATCCATTTTCCTATACAGTACTACGACTGTTTACTTAGAACTACTCTCCCAAATTGAGGAGCAACAAGAGGACAGAGTACCTTTTCCAACCTTCCTTGTCTATCCAGCAATGTCATCTACGAAAATCGCAGCCCTAGCACCTCGCGCGAATACGGGAGCAGCTTCAACTCCTGACAGCACAACACCTTTGTCCAGTAACTCTCCTGCTTCAGCTCCGCCTCCCCCTCCGCACCCTCTGCTGATACTTCCGCCCCAATTTGAGACACTTCGATCAGCAGTTGTTGCAGCTCGGAAAACTACAGAAAATCGTATCAAGAACGGTGAAACTAACGCAAAAGGATACGTTTTCCTTGCATGTGCACTAGCTCGCATCGACGCGATAGTGTCCGGTACTGATCCCGATAAAGCAGTTCTTAGTGCTGCGAAAAAGAGCGCTGCGGCCTGTGCAGACTGGATGAGGAAGACATATCAAGATGAAAATAATGTCGAGATGAATGTTGGGGCCCTACCACAAATGCCTGCAGAAAAAAATGGGAGTGTCGGCACCGAAACAGGGGACTTTGGAGGACTGGGAGTAATGGAGGATATGGATTGGGATACGCTGATGCATGATGACACCATGGATTTTGGATTCGGGTTCGAAGAAAATGAGAGTTGGTGGCTTGGGGGGCTGGGGGGGACGGAACTATAGCTTTGAAGAATGGCTATTTGATTAAATGTGGGCTCATCAACTGGACTAAATCGAAATGCCCCGAAGTGGAAATGAGTTGGAGATTAGTATACTCTATATATGAAAAGATCCTCACTTCTAATCAGTCGCTTGCTCAAATACAACGAGACTTGGGTCCAGCCACTAAGCCCCCTTGTTCTGGGCTTTCGTATTGGACTAATGGAAGCTGGCGCATATATCAAGACCCGCACTAGGTCCAGCAAGGAGAGAGCATGACTCCCAAAATACAACTCCATAGTCGAGTTTTCACTTCCAGTCACTTTTCCCATGGATACTCCCAAAATCTTCCTTCAATGCTACGCGACGGCGTTATGGCTACTAAATACGGCAGTACATCAGATAGTGTCCCTGAACGCAAATAGCTAAGTCCAGGGAATGAGTGTCAATTCTAGTAGAAATGGTTCGTTCTGGATATGGCCAAAAAGGAAGGACGAGCAAACAAATAACAGTAATGAACAGGAGAACAGAGATGACTAGTTCATATGTGTCATGTCGGCGACAAGGTTGACATCAACACATCTTTCTGGGTTATAGGTGTTGCGTATGTTGAGGGTGTGTACAGTTTCGCATACTGTTGGGGTGATATGTGTGCCGAAACTTGCTGATGCACACGTTGTTCTCGTGCCATATCCTAGCCTTTACAAATATTTTTGTTATTTCCTCTTTTTGTGCTTGTTTCAACACAGGGCCCCATCTTTGGGATCAACTAGAATGCCTAGTTCAAGTTTTTAAGTGAAGTATTGATCAAGTGTATGGTTTAGTGAGTCTAGCAAGGAGTTAGTCGCAATAACCAGGGCATTCGCTTTACTTAGTTTATACACCTGCCCAAAATCTCCTTGGAATCTTTTGTGCTGCTGACTATGCACTTGGACCTAGCAACGAGCTTAGAGAACTAGTCCATTTCTGTAGAGTGTGGTATACGGGAAGGATGTAGTTTGTACCAGGATTGGCCCAGCAAGCGATTATAACTTAAGGGTTAGTTGACTGGTATCCTGGATGGAGCGTTACCAACTGATTCAAAGAAAACGGAAAAATCATGCATCTGTAAGGCCTAAACCTTATTTTAAAACTGATCAACTTTAAATTAGAGAACTCGTGCGGCAGCTTTTGGTGACAAAGCACACGAGAGACCATACATATTGTGGAATCGTGGAGTACCATGGGAAACAAGCATTCAAGTTTGTTGTTGCCAATGATTTCGAATGTGAAGAATGAGCTCCAATTCAGATAACTCGGTATAGAAATAATTAAAACTCGGAAATCCCAAAGAAAGGCAGCTATAGGCCAAAACCTTAACAACGAAAGAAAATAAAAGAGAAAGGAAACAAGAATCTGTGCTTTCGTAAGAGGATTCCCAACATCAAATCTGACATCCAAAATGGGCAAACGCGAGAGAAAGAAGGAGGACGGGTAATATTATATCCAACCATCTCGTTCCCGTTCATCCTTCCCTCCGCCCCCGCCCCCTCTTAACCAGCCCACACCAGCATTAGCAACATCTTTCCAGCGTTCGACGCTTCGTTTCTTTCCAAACTTGTATTGTCTTTCTCGACTCTGCTCGAGTCGCTGTTTGAACGTTGCTTCTCCACCCAAAGCCAGTCCGCCTAGCTCGATGTCATCCCTGACCTCCGCCTCTCTGAATCCGAGGGCAGAACCGCCAGCGCGCCTGGACTTTATGGAGCTACCACGATGGAGCGTGGCGGCCTTCGAGCCAACTGTCTCACTGGAACGCACATGTCGAAGTCGCCGCTGAAGGTCAGCCATATCATCATTGCACAACACTCTCCCCTTTCGATTGCTAGGCGGGGTATGATAGTCAAAGTTCGAGTTTACCCTTCTCAGACTGAACTTGCGGGGAGATTGATCTAGTATCTGTCCAATCTCTTGCAGCTCCTCCGCTTGGGTACGCATGCGTTCCAGAGACTGCATTCGAGGAGCGGCGAACGCCCGGCCTTGAACGGATAGTGAGGACCGCCGACCGAGCCGTGGAGGAGAGTGCGCCCGAGGATAGGAATGTGCGGTTCGTTTCTCTTCAATAGCGGCGGCGACTTGGGCAACCGAATTCGGAACCACATCAAGCGAGTTCTGGACGAGAGGTCAGCTGGACTGTCAAAGAGGGGTTGGGAAACAACCTACCATGTGGATGAGAACGATTGGTAGTTGGACGGTCACAAGCTTGCTTGAAGGGGTGAGCTCAAATCGTCACACTGGGGGCTAAGCACAGCTTACGTATGTGAACTTCCGACAATGACGTTGAGGAAGTACCGCACTTCAAAATATTTCCCTAAAGAAATCAGTTCTAGGTTTTGAGGAACTTAAGAAGTATCTCACGTACCGCACTTTACTGTAGCATGCCCTCGAGGAACCTCGAGATCGCAGGTGCGAATGTGAGTATTGTGTGCAGGAACACCATTCCATCCAGCAGTGCCTTGCTTGATTGATGACTTGCTAAGTATGGAACGCTCGTTATTGTCAAAAATCCGGGCCTGGCTTGCCGACTTCTCCATTGTGGATGCAGCGGCCTATATATTTATCAATCAGCATGACGATATATGAAACGAGCGACCCTGTAAAACAACGAACGTGTTTGTAGCAGAGGATGTCTCTTTCTAATTGTAGCTCGATCTTCTTTATGGTTTTGCGACTACTGTTGGCTATATGAACATCGACGTAGATGCTGGTTCCGCTAACCCAGACTTGGCGATGTAGACCAGCAGTGACCCTGACCACTTCGACGATAGTATCTCGTGGCTTAAGCCATTCATCAGAGGCTGTGAGAGGGCTAGGAAGGGACATAAGGGCCTTCTCCGCTTTCCTTCAGTCAGCAACGTCTACGAGGGAACACTGTAGACCCAGAACTTACGATCATAGACGGAGAGAACGGAAATGTCTTCCGATGCCCTCACGATGTATTGCTTCCCCTGATCCCGGATAAGGAGGGAAACGCAAAGTACGTATCGAATCTTTGCGTGCTTCGATTGGAACGGTGGTGGTCCGACGTTCAGGGGTAAGCTCATGATGAATGGAAGGTGTGTGATTGACGGCATTAGATGCCAAAAGGGGTCGTCGGAAGCTACCTGATTTTGGCTGTCGACCATGTTGTGGGGAGGCGGGTTGTCATCATCAATCAACTCAGTGGCTAAGTTAAGGAACACAGATCGCCTGTTCCCGACCATCTCTTCAAGACCAAGTAAGTCAATGGAGATTCTCGCAATATCTAATGCTCTTCTATGTCGTATTCTCTCTGCTTCATCGACAGTAATCTGGACAGTACCTTCAATTGAACTTCCACCCACAAATATGCCCGCGGAAAGATCTAAGCCGAGTTCAACTCGTGGGTGTCGGTGCGTCGGAAACTCTATCAATTCATTGGAAAGAGATTCTCGGAGGAATGTCCTGGAAGGTATACGTCGATGAGTATCGTGGGATATGGGATCGAGTCGCGCAGCGACTTGACGCAGTGGGGATTGAGAATGACCACGTCTTGGAATAGTATTGCCAGATCCTCGAGGAGGAGGAGCTGGTATCGATGGTACGAGGTTTAAGGAGGGGCGGGTAGGTGCGTGCTGTAGAATTGAGAATGGTGGCATAGTAGGCGGTGGCTGCCGTAGCTGTGAATCACTCCTGGTTCGCGCTCTGGAGGACGAACGAGGTGGCACGCTGCCCGGGGGGATGCTGTATATACTCGAATAACTATTGTCCGCAGGACTTGGTGGTGATGGTGTTCTAGAGGGCCGCACTCGTGTTCCCGATCTAATGCCATTGCTCTCGTGGCTATTCTTCCTCTCAGGTTCCCTGTTTTCCCCCAGACGACTGTCGATGCTCGGCCGGCGTCTAGAGACGACAGACGGCTTTCGCGACACAGAGGTGCTTCGGGCGATGGAATTCTCAGAGAGGAGCTTCTGTGGAATGGTTTCCACCAAACTTGGTTCAGTGAGTTCGCGTATGTCTGACAAAGGACGTGTCTTGGCCCAGGACGGGACACCGGCGGAGAGTCCTCTGGGTTCACCGAAGGTGCTACTGACCATACCTCCACAGCCGAAGACTTGACCACTCTCGGACCTAGGTGAGGCGATATATTGCGAGGCGCTACTGACCCTTTCGAGTGAGGGGCGAGATTCGGGTGGCGGTCCTTTTCCGGGCAGGGGCTGCGAGAAACCTGATCCCTTCAGCATCCGGTCCGCGATATCGGATAGGGTCATTGCGAGCATACCGCCAGCTGGCTCGCTCAGGTTGGTGTTGAGGATATCGAAGTGGTCCCCGTGAACGATGGAATGAGCACTTAGCTGACGAGTCGACAATTAGATCTAGGCCGAATGATTGATGCGGGATCCGTTACTGCTGGAAACAGTGAGAAAGTCATGTGTGACTATGTCGATGCTCGATATCCTGGGTACTGTCGAATTGAGGTTCGCATGCGGGTTGGAAGCCCAACGGCGCGATGAACATTGAGATATGCGAGGATGGAGGAAGTAAATATGGAAGGTGCAAGTGAGAGGCCATTGCTCTTGCTGGGATTCACACAATTGACGACAGACTTCAGTTTGAATGGAAAAAAAATGGGAGAAGCTGGAGAAGAAAGGAATCGGAACAACGGTCAAGGAGTGCAGTGTTTATTCGAAGCCCCTTAAGCTTGTTAGAACAGCCGCCAATTCTAATCTTTAGCAACACGCCAAATGAAGCCATTGGATTCGTTGCAATGGTCCTTCGAGACTTTGGCTTCAAGTTCCTCACTTCGAGAGCATACAGACGTCCGTACGAACAATTGTCGCACTCTCGAGGGGGAGGAACTCAATGTTCGCAGCCACCGCTCATTCCATCGCATGATCTGTGTTTCTTAAAAAGGAACCTCATCAACAAGCCGCATCTCTATTTTGGTCGGCATCCTTGCCACATGGCTGTTCTAGAAGACTGGATCCTGCAAGCAAAGGCGAACGGGTCGCCTGCATGCTACCGACACAGCAGGTCGACTTTCATCTTCCCGGGAGGTCACCTGTTTACAAAGGCCAAGTCACAGACCTGTCGGGACTGGAAGCGTGACTCCACCTCTGACGAATTCCTCTCTTAAAACGCTCATGGCTGTTGCAGAAGGAACACCATCAGGCCAATTACGCCATGCAGTCGCAATACTGCAAGTGGATGTCTCGCAAAGAGTGGTTCTCTAGCAGTAAGAGCTTTCTGCCGGCAATGAATCGGGGCCGCCCGAGGCCAACCGGATTGCCGTTTAGGTGCTTCCTCGAATTAAGAGACGGTGAACACCCCAACAATGCGGTGCTGTTTAATGGGCTATTGAGGCTAGTGGAGTCGAGGGCCATGTGAAGCGTAGTTTTCGAGAGCTGCGAGAGGCAGAGGTAAAGTAGAAATGTCAGCCCCGCGTGCTTCGCGGCCCGTACACACAGAAATGCGCCGTGCTACGTAAACAAACTTGTGTCTTATCGTTATCTTGAATCCTGAAACCACGTTGACCTATCCGGGTAATATCAGCATGCCATTCGGGGTGTCAAATTTCGAGGGAACTGCAAGCCGCCCTCAGCCCTACAGTGCAACAGAATGAGGCCGATGGCATGCTGCTGCTGCTACTTTGGGGTCGAGTCTAGTAACTTCATGAAGCTGCTAGGGTACCACGTCTCATCAGAGCGTGGCAATCTTTAGTCAATAGCAGCAAAGAGCCTCCGAGCTTCGGGCATTGCTTTTCTGCACCGCCAGTCGTCCAAACTTGTTCATTTTTTGTCGCAACAACCACATGTATGCCCTCTGAAACACAAAACTGCGAGGGCGAAGAAGAAAGCGCCTTCGAGGGCGATATTCTGCGTTGCGTCGAGCAGGTCGCTGCCCTGATAAATGAGGGCGTCACTGTCGCGCTGCCTTTCGTCGGCTGGCTGGTTCCATGGAGATCCCGGAGATGCTGTGAACACGATCAATGGTGGCGGAAGCTAGAGTGCATGCGGTAATTCGATCCTGCCATGGGTCGCGAGGACTTCCCTCGCTCCACAATCCTCCCAGACGCCTTTCACAAGCAGCAGGCCGCCCAGCAACAGCCTGCGACCGCATCCTGCGCTGCTGGACCACTGAAAATTTTCGCAGCCGGTCAACATCCCCCTCTGCACGCTTAGCTGCAATTCCGCCTAGAAAGGACCGTGCCAGGAGTTCTGCGAGCCTGTCATTTGCCCGCGCCGCCAGAACGTGAATGGTCGGCTGGGATTCTCTGGGGGCGTCAACGACGTTTAAGCAGGAGGAGACGCCAGGCCAACGCAGCCTTGGGCCTTGTGACGAGATCGGGGCCCGCCCGTGTTTATGAATTCTCCAGACCTCCGCCATCCGTCAAACGCTTTTTTCTGATTCCATTACCCAACAGCTTACCTCACAACATCTGCACAACCACCCAGCGACATCCATTTCCAGTCGTTATCAGACATTATCAAACCCCTCCACAAACGCTTTCGCACACTCGACCCGGCGCTGTGGCCGCCCTCCCACCGCGCGCTTAGAGCCTCCCTTCGGCCCAGCACTGTCGCGTCTGTCGTCGTCCTTGGCACTCCTGTGCCCCTCTATCAGAGGGCACCGAGGGGTACCTGCAGATGGGAGATAGTAGCGTAACTGATATGACGGCCGCCGTGGGCAAAACGGAGGCCTCGAGAGATGGTTCGACCAGCTCTATCGCATCCTCACCCGAGCCCGACGTCGGAACTTATACCCAAGAGCTCCCGCAGCAGCAGAAGCGAAAAGGCGGGCGCAAACCAGTGAGCTCACCACCCACCTGCTATCGCAGATCGTTGCACAATGTCAAAAATAGGACTAACCAAGCGCCGCAAGATATACGCAACGTCCGAGGAGCGCAAGCAGCGCAATAGACAAGCACAGGCTGCCTTCCGCGAGCGACGCACCGAGTATATCAAGCAGCTGGAGAGCACCATTAAGCACCACGAAGAGGCGCTGCAGAATCTTCAGAATAGTCACCGCTCGGCGTCAGACGAATGCCTAATGCTCCGGTACAAGAATTCTCTACTCGAGAGGATCTTACTTGAGAAAGGTATGCTCATGCGACTTCCAAAAGCGATGCGCTCCTTCATGTGCTCCTCTTCCCTCCTGCCATTACTGGCCATGCGTTCCTTCCTCGATGACCTCCATAATCGATCCGCACCTTCCCCGACTATTACTGCCTCAGCTAACCTCCTCACCCAGGCATCGACGTCCAGGCCGAGCTGCGCGCAAAGACTGGCAGCCCCAACCTCGGCCCGACACGTGCTCCTGCCTCCGCGAACACATCCCCTAACCAGCCACCCCTACAGCAGCGCGCAATGATGAATAGACAACAGCAGGCACGACGGTCAATTGGAGCACCGCCCAAGGCTGAAGGTCCGCATGGTTTGCCTATGATACAACCTGATGGAGCCCTATCAAACCGTTCACCACTCTCACAGCCCACCCCCGGCTCGCACATTTCTTCCCCCTCCACTACCGCAACCCGATCTCCCAACTTCATCCCCCAGGGCGCCTCGGTCTCTCCCAACTTTGGCCCCATTCCCCAACAGCAGCCCCAACACTTGCGACCGCAGCCTCCTAGGTCGAGCTACACCCCAATGATGGGTCCACAGCGGCCGTCACTGATCACGAACCAGCCCCCTTCGAATGGGCTATCGAGCGCCTCCACTGTCGGAAGTGGAGCAAGTATAATGACGCAGAGTAGCACGAGCGGTGGTCCATCGTCGTACTACGCCTCTCCATTCGAGAGTCATATGAACCAGCTCGGCAAGCTGTCCCATTTCTTTTCCCTTCTTATGAATAGGACTATGTTCGTCCTAGATTGATTCTTTGTTACAGAGCAAGAGTACGATGAGCAAGCCGACATGCTTGACGAAGACCCCAGTGACCAGTCCGCTGGTCCTGGCCCATTCCCACAAACGTTCCCACCGCCTGCCTCAATGCAATCGCAGAGCATGCAACCGCCGATGCCACCCGCGCAGAACCCGCCGTTCACGTCTCCTGCCGCGCTCGCGCCGAGCGATACAAATGGAGGCCAGGTTTTTAACATGCCGAATCATCTCTTTGACCCCTACGACCCGATGCTCGATGCGGATCCCTTCGGCTTATCCGCAAGCATGACCTTCCCGACCTCATTCTCGTATGACACGAGATAGTAATAAGAAGAAGCATGTAAAGACGGAGGGTCAAGATGGTATTCTCGGTAATTTTGGGTATGGATCATACGATGTATTCTTGGTGCTGTTTAGCGGGCGCTACGGTGGTTTACTTGGTGGTCAAAACCACGAAGGCGTTTTGAGATCTGAGATATGGAGTCAGGGTGACATTGTCTAAAAGTTCTCCGTTCGGGTGATGGAAGGAAAGGTGCACACTTTTGTGGCTGCCGACGGTTGCTATCTTCACCTGTGCCATATTGTTGTTGAAGTGCCTGATCTGTTCTTGCAGATGGCTGGACCAACTTCAAATCTGTATATACGTAATTTGTGGTCAAAGTCATGGTTGAAAATTGCCGACTCGATCACCTAATTTCAACCCTGCCTTGCCTAGGTGGAATCCCTCAAGCCAATGCCAAGCCAGGCGTTCATTGTGCCTTTAATTACGCGAGGCCGAGGTGCCCCTTGGATGTTTGATATGTCCACATATGCAGTAGGCGATGTTACAACAGGTCAAAAAGCGACGCGGGGCAAGCACCGCAGAAACTTGTTTATTATGACGTTTTTAAAGCGAGCAGCGAGGTGTGGTAGTATTAGCTTTTTCTGTCGTTTCTCAGTAGCGCACGGTCCACCTTACTAAGCGAATTTCTGAATTGAACCACAAACGAAATTTCCCCGTCACCTCAAGGCCCCAACCTCACCCACAACGCCATCCCTCCCCACTTTGACGTGAACGACGAGAGCCTCGACTCTATTCCCATAGGGTCAGCTCTCAGAAGCTATTTTTTATCCCCTTCAGATTGCGCGTCTAGAGGGGCAAGCGCGAAAGGCGCTTTAACTTCATCCACCATGTCAATCGCCTCCAAGGTATGCTCGCCTCATTTCACATTGCCGAAACTCGAGTCAATTCAAAAACTGCTTTCTCTGACACTGGCAATTGATTAAGAATTGCTGCTAATTGTAATACACTAGAACCTGTACGATTTGCTAGGTATGGTTGAGGCCACTTTTTTATGCTAACCTACCCCCATCTTACAAGTTTCCCGCAGGCAACGACCCCGAACTCGACCCCGATCGAGAGCCCGAGCCCCCGACAAAAGCGATTGACAAGTCGGCGGCAAGGACTGGCAAGCGCAATGCACCGACCGAGGCTCCAGTCCGCACTAGCACGTCGAGTGGACGCAGCAGCCAGCGCGATGGATTCAACGCGAACGAGAATGGTACGTCGTAGCAGGGGGTCATGCTGGGCTTCTGGATCGTTGAGCAATTGATGTCTAGTTACGGTTCAGTGTGGTACTATGTATCAAGACAGCTAGCTAACATGTGGTCACAGCTTTCCGGGATCGCGGCGTAGGTCACAGCCAGAACCGCAACAGGGGATCTGGTGGTAAGCACACTCAAAACGGCACTTAATACCCAGACTAACATGCATAGAACCTGACTCTGGATACCGTGGTGGTCGCGGCCGTGGTGGCCGTGGTGGACGAGGTGGACGTGGTGGCGCTTCGGGCGACCGTCACAGCAAAACTGGCATTGCGTAAGAGGCTCATTCACTCTACAACAATACTTTCATATTGACTTGTCCTAGCGAACATGAGAAGCAGGCTGCTCACGGCTGGGGTGGACAGGATGGCGGCGCCGAATGGGCCGACGAGAAAGCCGGCGAAGCTATTGCCAAAGAAGAAGAGAAGCAGGAAGGATTTGTTGCCAATACTGGCGACAACGCTGAAGGCTTCACTCCTGACCCAACCGGCGAGGCAGGGGCCGAGCCTGAGCCGGAAGACAAGACCAAGTCATTCGCTGCCTACCTTGCCGAGCAGGCTGAGAAGAAGCTCTCCCTCGCCGCTGGGAACGTCCGTCAAGCAAATGAAGGCAGCAACAAGAAGTTCCCTGAAGGCAAAGCTCTCCCTCGTGATGAAGAGGATGATGCGTACATTGCCGGCTCCGGAGGCAAGGCAAAGCGCGAGCGTCAACGCAAGGAAAAGACGCTCGTGGAGCTCGACGACTCCCGCCTGCACAGCGCTCCCCGTGAGAACTTCCGTGGAGGACGCGGCGGCCGTGGCCGTGGTGAATTCCGTGGTGGTGAAGGACGCGGCCGTGGCGATTTTCGCGGTGGTGAAGGACGTGGTCGCGGAGGCCGAGGCCGAGGTGATGGTCGTGGGAGGGGCGGACGTGGCGGTCAATCTGGTTCTACTCCCAACGTCGCTGACTCGAACGCCTTCCCTGCCTTGGGCGGCTCATAGTCCGAAGCTCCGTCGTCAATTACAAACACGGCTTTAGAAGTCTGTGTGTTACATAGTGATGATGGTGGACTGGTACTGAGCTGAACTGAGGTGATGTCTCTTTCACATCATGGTGAATTGCTGGAGTGCAGTTGCAGTTGGAGTGGATGGGAACAAAGCAAGCAGGGCAGGTAAGCAGGCAGACAGACAGGCAAAAACGGAGATGCACGGGATTTCAATTAAAAGGATGGGATACACACTTTCTTCACTCGTCTTCCCCCCCCATTCCCCCCTCCTCGACCCCGGGCTGGGCATAACATCTATGGAACTACCTGTTTTTGATTTGTCCGAATGATTGGAGTTGTTTGAGATCGTGCCCGGACCTCGTCTTTTTTCTTTCGTCTTCCTGATTCCTATCCTCATCTGCACCCGTTTTCTCGTTTTCTCTTTTTCTCATTTAAGAGTGATTGAGCGAGAGGGTAATAAAATATATTTTTGAGAGAGGTTTTAAGTCATTGGCGTATGGATGAACTTGTGATTGTGTGTGGTGTTTCTGGGGTTGTTCGGGAATATATTAGAGTAGCGCAGATTGCATGTGCCGAATAGGGCGAGGGGTTGGTATCTGGCCAGCAGATATCAAGGTCTAGGAATTCCATGGTCTGATGCTGATTCTGATATCGATGGACTCTTTTCATAGGCTGTATGTAGGACGGAGGATGATGTGTGTGTGTGTGTGTGTGTGTGTGTGTGTGTGATGAGGCGGGCGGGCGTGTTCTGAGTCCCAGAGCAGGGGCAGGAGAGAATGGTTTCAGTTTAAGCCGCAATTTAGACAAGGTTTAGTGGAAACAATATTTTATGACTATCTAGCCACAATATGTTGACGGGAGGATGTGTGTGGGATCTAGGAGGTGCTCAAGGCCACCTGACTTACAAGATGGCCTTAGATCCAGCCATATTGTATATGGAAGCAAGACTGGTGATAAATATTTCAGTGAGAAGGTAGGGACGAGCTCAATTCAGAAGTCGTACTAAGAGTATTACCATTCTAAATCACAGCAGCTGTCTCCCTCGATCTCCCCTTCACCGTCTCGCGCTTTGATGCCAGAGGTCTTCTCCTTAGTCGCGCCTATAACAGAACCCCTCGGAAAACATGAGAAACTAGAATTGGAACTGGAAAATGTGAATAAACGCCAAACGCCTCGCTATGCTCCGCTCAATCCGCTCACTTCATGCTATGCCGTGCCATACTTCCTAGCTGGCCAGACTCAATGCAATGCCACCACATCCTGGACTTTCGCATAACCTACCCTTCCCGCGTTTGTTTGCGAACTCTAGTCGTTCCATAGTCGCATATCATTAATCGTTCGTCCGTACATGCCGTCCTTATCCCTCTAGATTTAAGCGTCTTCCACTGCAACAGCGACTTCACCTTCTCTTTGGCCTTCGCCTTGGCCCTCGTCCTCGCTTTGGCCAGCACTCTCACCCTCACACTCCCGTATCCACTCCGCTTCTTCTTCATCCTCTACATCCTCTCCCTCTTCCTCTTCCTCTTCCTCTTCCTCCTCTCCCTCCTCCTTCTTCGCAGCCAGCGTTTCCTCCTTACATGGCTCGCAAACTAGGATTCCGCAATATTGACACTCGTACGCGAAGCTAAAGGGTGTTTGTGGAGCGAGATCTAGGGGTCCGTCGAATTGGGGTGGGGTGGAGAAGGAGTAACGACGATTTGGGTGTTGATTTACAGAGTTGGAGTTGGAGATAGAGGTGGAGGTGTTTGATGCGAAGATCGGTCGGCCGTAGATATCGATTATAGGGGTTGAGGACGTGGGTGTCGATGTGAATTGTACTCCTTCCATTGGTTCGGGGAAATGGGTGGTTGTGGCTCCAGGGAAGGATTGGGAAAGAGGAAGAGGAAGAGATGTGTTGGACACCGATGCCGATGCTGTTACTGACATCCCCAGATTCGCATCGCCGCGGACAAGACGCCCTCTTCCATGCTGCATACCCCCTCGTCGCGTAGTACTGCGCTCTCGCGACATTCCTGCAACGATCCTCGCTTGCACCGGTTTATTGGTGAGGGGCACTTTCATCTCAGGGTGCACGTGGGTCCAGCATTTTGAGCATTCCATTCGCGTGGCAGTTGGCGCGGAGCGGATGGATTCTTCGAAACTGACTTTGGCGGTGTCGAACTTGTGATGACACTGCCAGGTCCGGTCAGGAGGCTCTTCGTTGGGCTCATCACCGAAGTGAAAGTTTTCCTGCCAGTAGTGTGCTGGTCTGTTGTCGAGGTTTCGCGGACGGCGGATGGGTTGGGCAGGTGTTGGTATGGAAATTACGGGGGGTTGAGTGGTAGATTCCGCTGCAGTTGCTGGTTCCGCAAGCTCTTCTGTACTTCCAGGTACGGGCGGAGCTGCAACATTGTCTGGAGATTGTTGAATGCTGACTTCCTCGTCCTCGTCTTCATCAAAGTCCTCGTCTTCATCTTCATAACAGTTCCCACCACACTCATCCCACACCTTCTGACATATCCAACACCACTGCCCTCCACATCGGCACTGTATATGATTGCAACCCCACATACGTCTCACGCCATTACCACACTTAGGACATCTTTTGTAGCCCCAGCTCATTAACAGAGCAACGGTTTCATCATCAACCATACCAAATCCAAGTTTCTTGCATCCAGGGCTTTCGTGAGCAAGTTCTCGGCAATGCGTACACACTTCCGTCTGGCATTTAGGGCAAGGGATATTTGCAGATTTCGGGGTCCCGATAACAGAATCTACGCGCTGCTTACCCTTCCGTGACGAATTGGGTTGATTGAAAAGTCGTGGAGAGATGAAGGCGGAGCATGTTGGCACTGGGCAATAGACGGGGCCTGGAGTGCTCCATTCTTCATACTTCTCCCTAGTTCCTGTTAGTATAAATGAATATATGATATTAGTTTGAAATTCTAGCTGCTTACCGAAATGTAGCAGCTTCGGCATTTGTAAGGAAGGGAAGAGCAACGTGAAGCTGGATCATATTGCAGCATTTTGGTGGCATGCGCGATATGTCTTTACAGGCCTTAATGAACATGTCTTTTACACATGCTGTGCAATATGCACTTCCACAGGACTTGCATGGGCGAAGAACGGCGGAATGCTCCTGGTTCTTTGAGAACTGGTCGCAGCAGATGATACAGACGATCTTGACCTCGGCTGGAGGAGGAGGTGGCGGGGGTGGAGGAAGAAATACCGGAGGAATTACTTCTGGGGGAGGCGGTAGTGGGGGGTTGAGAGCCACGTTGTCGCCGTGCTGAGGAGCGTCTGAAGGAACGTCTGTGGCAGGAGGTTGGTGGGATTCGACTCCAGGACCTGACGGCTCAGACGGCGGAGCATTTCGGCGAAGAGTCTCGAGGAGACGAGCCGCAATATCAATATCAGCCTGGTAGGAAACTTGTGATGTATCAGACTGGGCATCCATGGCATCGATGTCGTCCTCAGATGTCGCCGCTGTGGGTTGTTCGAACAAGGAAGCCGCGAAAGGCGAGGTTACGACGAGCGGCTCGGCCGTCGTGATTTCTGGAAAAGATAAGGCTTGGCAGGGTCCTTCGTGATGGTTGCCTCGCGGTGACGTTGCTGCAGCCTCGTATGCAGTCCCATGTGCGGGCGGCCGCCGCACTGCCTTGGATATTCTGGAACCCATTGTGAAATTTACTTTGCGTTTTGGCGTGAATACAGAAATGTTACAGGTTAGATATATGTATGAAGGCAAAAGGATTGAAGATTATCCGGTTGAGTCAACGCGGAGGTGGTGTTGACTCAAGGCTGCCGTTCCTTGGTATTGCTGCCTGTAGGTAGCCTTGCGATCTTTTATCCTCATTGGCCTATGCTAAACGGTCCTGCATTCGACCCCATTTTATTTCTTGACTGTGAGACATGACCCAAAGTCACGCCTCTCTCATCTGTCTGAATAGTCTCCACTATGCAATTGAAGGCTCATCGTTGGTCAATTGATAAAGACGTGAGGCGCAGTCGGGAGATCCTTGCGACGGTGGCGGAGGCCTGAAGGCGCAGAGGACAACGTTTGGCTACTCACCCATGTCCGGATTCCCTCGCCCTTCGCCCTTTTTCGGTTGTGCTGATGATTGAGGAGTCATCCATGGATGGACACCATGAGATGTCGTTGATAATACAGTGGTCCGTGAACACGACAGCTTGTGAAGCTCTTGGACAAGAAACTTCGAATGTTGAGAATTGCTCACATAACCGTTACCGAACTTGGCATCCTTTACAGTATCTCCAAATTCGGGCCCTATCGTTGCTCAACATGAGCAATGCTTTCTTCAGGAATCGAGGCATTCCAATGCAGCTTAGTGCGCCCGTGAATGCTTGGCAGTTCCCGCCTGACCATCACCGCGGGGCTTTCGCTTTTATGACTTTTGGCATCTCTCAACCAGCTATAACCACCAGCGATGAGCCGTTTTTTCAAGAAGCTGCACCATTCTTCAAAAAGCCAGAGCACGCCGTCAAGCACGGATGCGGCCCAACAACTTGCTCTACCATCTTCTACCGCCTCGCCAAAGCATCCCGAAAAGCACGATGAATCTTGCGCCCAAACGCAGATTTCAACAGCTTTGGAAGATGTGACTGGCTTAATCGAGCTGTGGCCTTTGAGAGACCGTCTTGCGCAGGAGAAAATAAACGTTGAGTGAGCTTCCTAGTACCTATTAGGGAAGCTCCCCTTCCAGAAAGCTAAGGCCTGCTCATAGCATAGTCGCAATTCATGGCCTGAATGGAAACCCTTTCAAAACTTGGACTGAAAATGGTAGCTTCTGGCTCCAGGACTTCCTCCCATCCGCTGTTCCGAATGCTAGGATCTTCACATACGGTTACAATTCAGCTATCGCCTTCTCAGGTTCGGCCGCCCGAGTGGACGACTATGCAAGATATCTTCTTGAGAGGCTCGTAGCGAAGCGGAGGAATCTTTCTACATACGATAGGCGCCCAATTATCTTCATCTGTCACAGTTTGGGTGGTATCGTCCTGAAGAAAGCTCTTGTCCTTGCCCACGAGCGCAGTGAGAGGTACCACACCATAAGCTCGGACACCTTCGGCGTCATGTTCATGGGCACCCCCCACAGAGGATCAGATCTTGCATTTTGGGGTAAGCTTTTTGGCACCATCGCAGATGTACTCACTTTAGGATCTGTCCGAACACAGTTGTTGCAGGACCTACAGCCCAAATCCTTGTGTCTTGGTAGTATCTGCTCTCAGTTCGTCGAACGGGGCCAATCTCTCCGAATATTTACTATCTACGAGCGTCAGAAGATGAAAGGTCTTCCAAATTTGGTAAAACTAACCTCCAATAGGGTTTGCCTAACACTGATGTCACTAGGTCGTCGATGAACATTCCGCCCTGATGAACCTCCCGAACGAGGTTGCGGTTCCCATCGAAGCTGACCATCGCGGCATGTGCCGATTTTCCAACCAGAAAAGTGAGAAATACCAGATGGTGTTCGACTGCTTGAGGGAACTTTTAGATGATGCCCTAAACATAGAGCAGCCTTGTATGTTGCCTCCACCGTATTTACCTTACACGCTGCAACAATGATCATCACAATCTCACAGATTCCTAAGATGATAACCCAACAAGAACCAATTTCCTACTCAGTCTTGATAGACTTGACCCAGAGGACCTACTCCGTAAAGTCTCTCGACCTAGCCCAGGGACCTGTACGTGGATTACCGATCACGATCAGTTTCTGAAATGGAGAGACTCGCCTAAAGACAATATTTTATGGCTTTCTGGCTCTCCTGGTTCTGGAAAAACAATTGCCATGCGATATTTGATCGAAACCCTTCGTCGGTGGCTTCAACAACGCGACCACGTTACTGGAGAATTCTCAGTAGTCATGTTCTGCTTTTGCAACTCTAATGACTGGCTTCGAAACGGCCGAACCCAGATCCTCGTGTCCTTGCTTTCCCAAATCCTTTCACAAGACCGTCGCAGCTTCCGCTACCTTGACCACTCAGAGCTTGAAAAATATATTTCAAGTGTCAAGGACAGTCCTCAGTCTTCGGGTGAAGAACATGCTGACTTCTTGTGGAAATGCTTGTCCACAATCCTCAAGCGAAGTAAGAACCTAAGTTTCTGGGTCTTCATCGATGCGCTGGATGAACTTTCCCCAAACTCTCGAATCGAACTACTTCACCACTTCACGGGCTTGGTTGGGGAGGATATGAGTCGAAAGATCAAATTGGCTTTTTCCGATCGCGTCCGTCCCCATGCTCGGAGCGTCAAAGCAGCTTATCTTCTGGTAGAACTGTCCAGGAGAGTGGAAATTGACCAGGATTTGCATAAATTTGTCTCCGCGAAGGTGGCAGACTTATGTGCAGACGGCGCGATACCTTGGAGATATCAAACCGAAATTGAGAAGACACTACTCGAACTCTCGGAGGGAAACTTCCTTCAAGCTGCTCTGGCATGGGCCAATTTCACTGCAGGGGTATCACTGTGGTCGCCCGAAGTAATCAAAAAGCGCTTGAATGGAATCCGCAAGATATCCAGAGAGGCTGTTGCATACTATTGTTCACTTCTAGCTAGCATCCCGGAGGACTTTCAGGATGTTGCAAAAGTCGGATTCACGTGGGTGATTGGGTCCCGAAAGCCTCTCAATGTAGCCGAACTTCAACACGCCGTGGCTATTAGCTCAGGTCAGCAGTCGTGGGCAGAGCTAAAAGATTCGTTAGGCTTTAATTTCGAAGTTCAGCTTGACCAAGCTTTCGGACATTTGCTTCGCGTTGAACCAGATCGGCATGTACAGCTAGCTCACGCCACTGTCAAGGAACTACTGGTTTCTCCCCAAGAAGAAGCCTCTGATACGGATCGCGCAATTCTCTCCAAATTCCGGATCACAGAGAAGGATATTGATGCTGAGCTAGCACAGCGGTGCCTCGTGGTCTTGTCCTTCAAGGACTTCATCAGATTGCGAGAGGTGGCGAGAGAAGCGCTTTCGGCGCGCATCAAGGATTTCTTAGTATCTTCACTCCAGACAGATGAGCCGCTCGTTAACTTCAATTTTGAAGAGTACGATAACTTCGAATCCGATTTATCAGAGAGTCCGGAAATGAAATCCAAGATCATGGACCTGAAGCGGAGCTTGAGCCACCCAGAGTTGGCTGACAGTCGCACGTTCTTTTCTTATTGCGTCTCTTACTGGAACTATCATTGCAACCAAAGCGCGTGGAATCCGGACGTGGTCACGTCTTTGTCTCGTTTCGTTTTACTCCGCCAATCCCACTTCTTTCATCTCGTGGCAATGCTATTGGGGATGGCTAGGGTACATCGGGGATCTTTCTGGAGCGGGATCGACCAGTTCGCACGTTCCCCGCCACTTCAACTAGTCATGCGAATTGGAGATCATCCCGCCGTAGTTGAGAACCTTATAAAGCAAGGGCAGAGAATCGAGAGCACAGACTCCCATGGATGGACACCATTGGACTGGGCTGTGCTCGAAGGTCGCAAAACCGCTATAGAAGTCCTCCTTTCACGGCCGTCAACGATTATTGACCGAATAAGCCTGTCATCGGAACCAATCCTGCATCTCGCATGTAAGGGCGGGGCGAGCGTTGATATTATCGAACGACTTATGAGTGATCCACGTATCGACATCAATGCCAAAAACCCTGAAGGATGGACTGTCTTGCACTGGTGTTTATCAAGAGAAAAGTTTCATCATCTTGCTTACATCCTTCTCAGCAGGAAAGACTTGGACATCAATATACCTGATTCAAAGGGCACAACCTATATAGACCAGGTGTTCCATGAAGGACTCTTTGAGAGTTTGGCGTTGAAGATCGTGTCTAGGTGGGATGTACCCAACAATTGGTATGAACGGGAGCCGAATCCACCAAGAGTACCCTATGTTGATTCCTGGGGCGAAGAGGTCGAACTCGATCCTCCGCAGTCATATCTTCACCGAGCGACCTCTCTTCAGTGGCATATCGTTGAAGATGTCATCATAGGCCAAGACGCATCCCAGGCACTCCGAGCTAACATTGCTGGGTTGAACATTCTCGAACGCTATGCCTTCCACGGAATCGAAAAACGGCTTTTACAGTTGCTGGGCAGGCTTCCTCGAAATCTCTTCGACAAGGACAACAGAAAAGGCTCAAAATTATTACTTCTCTGCGCCCAACAAGATTGGGAAAGGACTGTGCAAGAGTTAAGAACCAAGTTCAATATTGAAGAAACGGGATGTGATGAGCAAGGGCGAACAATTGCCCATTGGGCAAGCGAATTGCAGTGGAGGTCCATCTCTTCCTTGCTGTGGCTCAAACCAGTGGTCTGGCTGGATCAAAAGGCACATGATGGCCGTACTGCACTCCATGTTGCTGCCGAGCATCGCAACCTCGAAGCCTGCAAGAGCCTCTTGAAATCAGGCGCTAGCTACCTTGTAAAGGATAACAGCCACAGGCTCCCGATTCATATCGCTGCCGAACAGGGGCATCGATCTATCGTCCTCGTACTTCTTGAATGCCCTATTCGACAGTATGATAAAGATCGCCACGGCCGAGATCTGCTTCACTTTCTTGTCATGTGGCATGCTGATTCTTTCATCCGGCAATGCCTCAAAAACATACGCTTTCAGATCGATGTCCGCGATGCTCAGCGTCGAACGCCACTTCACTACGCAGCCATATTCGGTAATACCGCTGCAGTCGATGTTTTGTTAGAAATTGGCGCGAATCCAAACTTGAAAGACGAATCGCAGGCAACCGCACTTCATTACGCACTTTCATCGGGATCTTTACAAAGTGTCCGGCTGCTGTTAAAATCCGGTGCGGACATTAATGCTGTGGATAGATTTGGTCGGAGTACTCTTCAACTTGCCTTTCGCAGCGAAAGCCCGGAGGTCATTGACTTTGTTGTGAAAATTACTGAAGCCAATGCCGGGCATGTCAAGCACTGGCTCGGCCATGTCGACACATTCGGGCAAACGGTGCTCCACCGCCTGTGTCTTTGGAACTCGACACAGTATTCACCGGCACATTCTGAAGACGACGAAGACTTCATGGAGCCCAGCGTTGATGATGTCAAAGTCCATAGGCTTTCGCCACTACATGTCGAGAAATGCATTAACATCATGCATAGATACGGTGCAGACGTAAACGCGCAGGACAAACAAGGATGCACACCTTTGCACCTCGCTTCCCAATTTGGGAATACTCCTGCTGTCGAAGCTCTTCTCCGATTCCCTGAGACTGAAACATCTGTATTGGATGTAAGAAGCCTTACGCCGCTAGATTGGGCCGTAGTGGATCAGAGAGAGGAGATTTCTGAGGCACTCAGAAGCAAGGGAGCAACGCACTCAGAGAATTGGCAGATGAGGTTGAAGCCATTGTATTCGCCTTGGCAGGATGAAGTCGAGGAGCAGCAGTCGGGTGAGAACTGGGCTATGGCTTCTTTGTAGACATTTAATTGTTGGTTTAAGCGGATCATCTAGCTTCTAGAGAAGGCAATGAATGAAGAAGCCCCTCCTTTCAGTGTAATCTCTTGGACAGAAGCATCGGTCTTCTACTCACCTTGATCCGCCTATCCTCTCGACAAGGTCTAGAACGTTTTATTTATGCAACACCTTGAAATCCGTCCTGCACTAACGACCTCTCTTGAGGTCTTTACTATACGTCCGTTACTTCGAAACGAGGATTGTATTCCTTTCACAAGAAAGCTTCAACCTGCTTACTACTAACAACAATCGAATCCCGCACCCGCTCCCATAAACCAGAAACAGCCTTTCCATTCATCTTCTCGGTCCAAACAAACTCCTCAAGACAGCTCTTCAGCCGATCCCATTCTACAAACCCCAAATCCACCGTCAAAGTCCGGATACGGACCAAAAACCATTCGAGATTAGGTGACGTAATAATACCAACCCATAATATCCACAGCAGCATCTTCTTGAGGGATTGGTCTTCAATTGGCTGACTTCGTTTTTCGAGGGCTGCGATAACTCGCCTGAGCTGTTGCTCTAGACGAATATAGACTGCGGATGGATGCTGGAAGGCGCGGAAGTTGAACGACATTAAGCTAAGGAGTACTATGCGGCATGCGTCGTGTATGAGAACTTCTGGGTCACTCTCGGGTTGGTCTGGAATGTGTGTGCTGACAAGACGGTATTCGATAGCAGCGCAGAGTTGCATGAAAGATGTAATGGAAGAAGGTAGCTGAGGAGCTCGCTTCTGGACTTTAGACCGTAGTGCGAACAATGGCTTAATGTCGAATAATAGGATGCGGATCTCTTGGCAAAAGGTGGTGGGGTCTTGGACGGTGGCTGGTGGTTCCAATAGCCTTGGTGGTGTATCAACAAGGAGGACGTTGTGTGTAGTAATGTCAGGATGCCCAAGATTTGGTTGAGAGCCCGTCATTGCGGCATTCAGTACATCCCCACTGTGAATAGGTCAGCAAGTTTCTTGGGAGGATGTGTCGGTTGACTTGATACTCACATGGACAGGAACGTCGCCAGGGCACCGTTCCACCCGAGCTGACTCAAGCCGCCTCTCATCTTGACCATAGTCTGGAGGGCCTTCAGGTGAGTTTCGTCACCAGTTTGCTCTCCCGTGACATCCTAATAGAGAGAGTATGGTTAGATTCATTCACTAGCTTAAGTTAACACTCTTTGACTTACACTAGTAGCCGCTAAATATCCAACAGCAGCAAGGGTAGAATCACATATCGCGGTTCGCGGACATTGAAGTCGTTGATTGAGGGAGCGAAGCGCTTCGCCACGGTAATAAAGGGTGTTCGGGCTCCATAAGCTGCCGCTTATGGCATCGGTATGAAGGCCTGCATGAAAGAGCGTGGCGGAGAGGAGTAATGGGTCAGCTAGCGCTTCTCGAGCGAAGACAGTAACAAGATCATATCCAACCGGTTGAAGCTTCTGCGCTGTAACATAGACGACTAATCGTGCATTAGCGAGGTATGGCTTATGGTGAAGGGGAAATTAAGGGTCATATACAATGAGAAAAGAGCTGCGGGGCCTGATGATGACGAGGAAGGACAGTTGAACAGAAAGGGTCAATTGCAGACCCCAGACTTTTCATGCTGGTTAGCTCCCACAGCATTTCTCTGCATCCCGTGTCTGTGACAGCTCTTTCTTGGTTTTCTTCCTCCTTCCTGTCCGGACCTGCATCACCATTCTGGTGTCGATCTAGATGAATCCGATTGCTGTAAGGTTGCGTCCCCTGAAACATTTGTATCCGGGATAGACGCTCATTTCGTCGATAAGCTTTCATCGCATTCTTTCGCACTGACTTCCGCGTCTCTTCGTCACCAATCCTCCCGTTTGGGCAGCTTGAGATGAACTCATACACCATGATTGGTGGTTATCTTAAAGGGAATAGGTTACTTAGTAGAGTCCAGGAGAGACTCCCTCTATTTGTTCCTACAAATGAGATAGATTTGTAGGATTCATTTCAAGCGGTGCAGCTGGGGCGGAGTTATCTCCATCGATTGACGTGGAAATGGTCACGATACCCGTACAAATTCGTGCGGTGTCCAATCACTGAACTGACGAATTAAGATTGGAAGAAAGGCTAAACCACTTTTAGGCATTGCTCTCCTTGGCGCAGGATGGCCAGGGGTTTTGCGTCTAGCTTCCATCCTCACCAGGCTACAGCTGACACCAAGGACTTGCTAGCGCCTCTAGTCTTTTCCTCGTCCTGGCCCTTTTTGGGTTCATCATCTTGACCATTCTACCGTTTTTGCACCTCAGTGTGTTCCCTTCACCATCCCTATTATTCCACAACGCAACAACCTCCCTGCACCTTAGGTCAACGCCCCCTCCAGCAGTTGCCTAGCTATGTCATATATCTCTGAAAACAAGCTGCTTGCAATGCTGTGCCATATGAACATCCCCAGGCATTGATATCCGCACCGTATCCAACTATCAACTCATAGCTTCTATCATTAACTTAGAGTGCCACAGCCTGTAATGTAGTGTCGTAGTTACAAGCTCCTTGTGTTCGCGTCCGCCCCAGCACTGAGAAGTATCTCGACAACTTGATCCTCTCCATCGTAAGCAGCTGCCTGTAGAGCATTGTCAAAATGACCTTCCCGTGCGTTAACATCAACGCCAGACTTTGAGCAGCAGCCTCACCGCAAGCATTCTGGCATACAGCGCCGCCAATAAGGCCGAGTGATGTCGACTTGCGGGAGACGCAGCATTGACATCTGCGCCAGCTTTGAGCAACAGCTTCACGATCTGTATGTGCCAATCATAAGAAGCCGCCTGCAGTGCGTTGCCAAAATACCCTGATTCCGACTCGGAATTCAGTTTGACGTCGGATACGAGGAACAACTCCACAGTCGCTTTGCGCTTGGAATATGCTGCTCATGCAGATGCACTCCTACTATCGTTCGCTGCTACGTTTACATCCCCGCCTATTCAAGCGGTACCTAGCCGTTTCACGAAAGCCACAGTAGGAAGGAGCTTATAACGCGATCCCGGAGAATCTGATCTTGCTGCCGATCTCGTCGATCTTAGCTTGATGCGTTTGGCCATCGATAAGATTCCTTACAAGACTACATAAGTCGGGGAGGGAGGCATAGTACAATAGGGTAAAATCTCGCCGGAAGGTTTTGCGAGATTTGTCTTTTCCTGGGACGAGTCTGGATCGCAGAGTCGAGCCCAGCTCTAGAATGCGTTCTCAAATAGAAAAAAACCGATGAATCCGCCTATCGATTTCATTTATATTCTTACCAACATCGCTAGCTTGGTGAGCACAGGACTCGGTGGAGTACCTCGCCAGTAGGTATGCCGCTTCTGTATTAAGTGTTGGGATTGGAGTTATTGCTTGACAGAAAGGTGAGCGAGTCAGACTTGGGTCTCTTCTGTGTTAAGATCTAAAACTGAGCATAGCGTAGAGCTACCATTAGCACCCCAAACCATCTCTCCAGGTCGAAATGCGAGTTGTCCTCGGTGGCAACTGCAATGACATTGCAAACTTTCTTGACTCGTAGGCTACATACCGGATGAATAGATTAAGATTCGTTTATAGATCTAACATGAATGTACGAAGTCACAAATATTTGAAGGAAAATATTAAGGGGCTGTTGTAGCCCTTAAGCAGAAAAGTAGGTATATGTAATTGGGAAAGAAGAGAATAGGGGTAACAAACATAATGATACCAAAAAGTTTTTTTTAAGAATATGTGGTTGAAACACAGGTGAATGTCTGCGAACGAGTCAGCAGTAAGATGTAGCTAATCGCGAGAGATCTGCAACCTGCATATCCAAGTGCGGGGAGGGAGTGAATGACACTTTTGACCCCTCACTGAGTCACTGAAGCGAAAGGGGCTGTACGGGCGGGCATATCTGGAAATAAAACTAGGCCTAGGAAAGAAATTACTAATTAGACAAGCTCGCCTCCTCTCCTTTCTCTTCTACTAGACAGACACTTCCCTCAAAATCGCACAGCACATACTCACACAAGCCCAACTCAATAAGTTCCAACCCCCGTCTCGAAGACAAAGTCTCCATAGTAACCGGTGCAGGTTCCGGCTCCGGTGCTGGCATCCTGTCCAAGTTCCTCTCCGAAGGCTGCCGCGGTTTAATCTGGGACCATAACCCCAATCCCGTCCCTCTGTCCTCCCTCTTAGCAGGCCAAGTCCAGATCTTCACAGCCGATGTATCTGACCCCTCCTCCTGGCCCCTCGCCCTCCCCACCTGCCTCCCCACTTTCGACAAATTCGACATCTTAACCAACAACGCGGGTGTCGTGCATGTGGCTAACCCGAACGAAGATGTGCCCGAGGAAGAGGTAGATCGGGTATTGCGTGTGAATGTCAAGCCGTTGTATTTTAGCGCGGGGACGGTGGTGCCATATTGGAGCAGAAAGGGGGAGGGAGGGGTGGTATTGAATTTGAGCAGTACTTCGGCGCCGAGACCAAGGTTGAGACTGGTTTAGTATACGGCTAGCAAAAGGGCTGTTACTGCGGTGAGTGTGTGAGCATGTTGTTGTAGATACATGAGATGGCGTGAGAGTGGTGAAGGGAGTGCTTGGGGAATTGCTGATTGCTGATTGCTGATTTCTGACTTTAGCCCAGGCGACTCGAGGGCTTGCACCCGAGTATGCAAAAGACAAAAATCCGTTATAACTGCATCCTGCCTGTATTAGGAGATACCGCGATGTAACCCTGCTTCCCCCAGCCACTCCACTCCATTTCCAGTCCTCAACCCTCTCGCCTCACCCTGTACGCCCAGCATTAATGCATGGAAACAGGGTTGCGCCAGTGCTGGGGGATGTTGATACTCCAGAAGGACGTGCAATCGCCCTTGTCGAGATTCCAATTGGTAGAATTTGTACTCCAAAAATATTGGGGGATGCGGCGTGTTTTCTGGCTAGTGACGAGGCAGCACTCTTAACTGTAAGTAGCGGCATTCTGAAACAAAAACGACTTCACTAAAAATAGTTCGGGTGTGTATTCAGATTTTGATGGTGGCCGGAGTTTGATGTGATCTGAAACTCGGTAAAATAGAATCAGACCAAGAACCAGAGAAGGAATGAAAAGGGAAAGGATAGCTTTTATGCACCTAACAGCCCAAAATGCATAATGCTTTCGTTCTCTCACTAAAAACCTCCTATCCTCAATGTCCCGCCATAATCAAATCCGCCGCCTACTAACCATTAGCATCTCATCTTAACCCATCAATGCTACATGCACTGCACTCACCTTTTCAGCAATAGCATAAACCGTCTGACAAGTGGTCGCGCCCACAAGCACTGGCATAATACTCGCATCAACCACCCTCAACCTCTCTGTCCCATATACCCTCAGTTCTTCATCTACGCAACCTCCCCTCTCCCTCGGTGTCTTCGCTACAGTCCCAATAGGATGAAACACCGTCGGCGAATACACCCCTCTGATCCACTCAATAAGCTGTTCATCACTGGTCTTATCCAGCCCGGGACTCTGTTCAACCGGACCATAGGGTTTAAAGATATCCTGCGCCATCCAGCGCCGAATGAATTTAATCTGCGCGATTGTGATGTCGAAGTCGGTAGGATTAGATAGGGCCCGGTAGTCTACGATGGGTTCTGCGGTGGGGTTTTTGGGATCGATATTGATGGTTCCGCGCGATACGGGGTGCATACTTTGGATGCTGCCGCCGGGTCCGGGGCCGATAAGTTGTTCCAGGAAGGTGAATTGTGGAGACCGCATGTGGCGTGCGTAGGCTTTCTGCTGTGCTGCGTAGCCGGCGATGACTGAGGCATGGGTGTTGTTGGGAAGGTATTTCGCGGGATCTTGAGACTCGAAAGTGGATGCGATATTTTCGTAGTTAGAAGGGGAGATGACGGGGAGGCCAACGAAGGCTCCGAGGTTAGGGCCGCTGACGCTGGAGGGAGAGCCGTTGAAGGTTATGTTGGGATCTGTTGGGGGTGTTGTCCCTGTGGGGTGTTATGGGAGTGAGGTACGTGGTAGGATAGAGCGTACATTTGTAACCAACACTGGAAATGTAGCCATGATCTTGGAAGTTTTGGCCGACACCAGGGAGGTCGACTTTAACTTCGATCCTGGCTTCCTTCAACAACGCTGATGGACCGATGCCACTAAGTTGCAGAATCTGAGGCGTATGAACAGATCCAGCCGCGAGAATGATCTCTTTCCTTGCCTTGACCGTTCTGGCATCTCCTGTGCCCCGAGCGGGAATGAATTGCACTCCGGTAGCAATGGTGCCGTCGAAAAGAATCTTGTTCACTTTGCTGTCCACAAGCAACTCGTAGTTTGGTCGGCTGATTCCGTTCCAGTGTCCTGTACGGGCATATGATCGCGTGAAGTTATTGGGGTCCATTGAGCTTGGGAAGTAGTAGACACCATTTGAGCCACCACAGCAATCTTTTGGAAATACCACGCCTGGCATTGTCTTGAATGCATCTCTCATGAGTTCTGAAGGAAGGATAAGTAGTAGATTCCAAAGAGCATGAGTGGTTGACTTACTAACGCCTGGATTGAAGTAAGTTGGGTAAGAAGCATATATACGATTATTCGGATCCTGACTCCACCCAGGCTCGACATCCGTTTGAATATCGAAAGCTTGTGCAAGTTGCGGAATTGGTGGCGTATAGTAAAAGGCCTGGAGTCGCAATCAGCCAAAGTGAAGTCAAAGTCAATAACATCAGTAACTACCTTCTTGAAATACGGTAGCATTCCCTGCCAATTCCAAGTAGATCCAGGCCCACCAAGTTCTGCCCAAATATCGTACTCTTCAGATGTTCCTCGTAAGAAAACCATTCCATTTACTCCAGAGCTACCCCCCACCAGATTTCCGATTTGCACGTTGGTAGGCATGTTCAGGAGTTCTTTCTGGGGGACTGACGTAATATTATACATTCGAATCGGCGCTCGTCCTCCAGCACCTCCACCTGACAAAATCGCCGTCGAGTTGTCTAGTAGGGATTGTCTCAGTTCATCCGAAGCTTGGGAGTGTCGTTAAATTTTCTTACCTAGCACACCGTGTTCGATTACTAGGACGGTATCTGCATCTGGTTAGTGGTCGGGGGGCTTCAAATTACGATTTCGCTGACATTTCCCATCTGCTGTAAGTCGATCTCTGTCTGGAATTAGATCCTAAGGCAAGCCCAGGGAGCAAGCTAACCTACCCAACAGTAAGACCAGATGTTCCTCCTCCTACAATCACGTAATCGTAGGCATCCTGGATTTGATCCGCTCTTTTAAGTATGGTGGCCGTTTGGGCATGTGTTGGTATTGCACACGCTAGGTGTGAAACTGAGACGACGAGAAGCGGGAGTATCTGAAAAATCGATAGGACGCCCATAGTCAATATCGGAACCAAGAACAAAGCTGAGCGCTAGCACTATCCTATGGAATGTTCGTGTAACCTTAGTTAAGGAAAATAACACCGTAAAGCAGAGGCTCTACCAAAAATGAGTGAGCGACTACATCTTGGTCAGCACAATTGACTTATATAGTCATTCCTGACGTTGGTACTCTTGCTCGGGTAATTGAAGGGGTTTGTTCAAGGCTATTTGCACGGGATGATACGATATTTTGTGGCCTTCATCACATGAACAGGGTGGAAGAAAGAAGTAAATGGGTCTATGGGCTTCTGGAGGGCGCCACCTCGCGTTTCGAAAGCTCGAATATCGTTGAAAGATGCGGGGCGTTGAAGACATAGGAGCATTTGCTCCATAACAAGGCCTCGGAAATCTGGGGTGCATTTCGGTTGACGGTTATAGGAGGCTGTGCCTTATGGTAATGAAGTAGTTCTAATATAGAGAGTGTTGGTTGCGTGTGTATGATTGGAGGGGCTAAAAGAAACAACCTGCCCAAGGAAAATATAGTGAGCTTGTCGGTTAGGAACTGGAATAATGAGAACGTAGGAACATTTCTTAGCGAATTGACTAATTCGAGAATTAACATCGTGTGAGATGTTCGGAGAGCGTTAGCGGGAATTTGTGTTTGCTAGGGATAGACTCGTCAAAGCACTCATTGCCTGTAGAGTGTGCGGAGGTCTCTCATCAATTATTCTCTCCAGTCTCCTGATCTTGTGGAATTCTTCACGGAGGCTTTCACAAAGACCATTCGAGCAGATGTGTTGTTATACCGGCCGAGCGCATATTCTCTTCCCAAGATGATCCGCTGAAAGGACATTCTAGAGATTGTCTAGTTGTTGAAGTATTAATGCGCGAATACAAAGCTGACATCGACGGGTATGGTCACACTCGAGAAGATGAAGGCCAGCGTTTCCAGCAAGAAGAAAGGCACTGGAAGTTCAGCTTAAGGAGATCTTTGACTATTGAGAAACAGATCTCGGGGACGAAATAGAGGCGGTAAGGCTATAAGAATGGAATGTGCTGTTGGGTTCAACTAAGTTGGATTCCGAAAACATAATCCGACCCTATGTTTCAACTCCAAAATCATCATCTCCAGTATTTCTCAGCCACCCCTTAAAGGGTCCGTTCATGGCTTCCCTCTTAACGGTGATTCGTCCAGCCAATACCTCTCCGTTCTTAACTTCCCCGTATCTGCTTTTCCTCGCAGCCTCGATGAGCATTGGGACACCTACTATCCCCACAAGTTCAATCGCGACTTTCCAGATGGATCTACGGCAAATCGCACTGGCACCGCGCGGATCAAATTGCTTTCGTCCTTGGAGTACACCAGCAATCAATGTTTCCTGTACATGTGGTGTATGTATCGCGCTGAGATTCGAAGGAATCGATCTCTCGATGCTTCGAACACTACGTCTGGAATGCTTGAACTCCTTTCCTGTATGTTGAATTTTGAAAGGATGGAAACCATAGCCAGTGCCAAGATCCTTCCATCTCGTCTCCATCTCCGGAGTAATAGCACTCATTCTTCCTTTTCGGCTGAACGCTCTCGTGCAAGCAGCTTCTACATGTTGGCTTTTCGGTAGGACTAAGGAAGATAAGTACGCATTACGGGGAGTAATGAGAAGGGAAGAGAGCGAGGAGAGAATAGATGTGCATTGGGCGAGAGCGAGCTTGTCTGTGCATGATTTGCTCAGAGCTGGAGGAGCATCTGGTCGGGCAGGCTTCAGGCGCACCGCTCCAAGAAGCCCAAAGTGCGAGCGGCCGCGTATGGCAGCAAGCGTCGGGTCTGCATTGCTATCTTCTGATGAAACTGTAGGTGGAGGAGAGGTCCACGGGGTAGAATCTTCTTGTGCGTTCATGACTAGCTCCATGCTGGCATCACCGCAGGGTGCCTCGGAGCAGTACATGTGGATTGAGACATCATCCTTGATGGCGAATGGCTGGTACTCGGCCTCTGTGATTTCAGAGGTCCTCCGCCGTCGTACGAAGCGGGATGGAGTGTAAGGAGGGATAGAAAGTAGACGGCATTCGTCCAGTATAAAGCGGTTGAAGGCTCGAATTGCCAAAACCTCAGCGTGCCAATCGTGCAGGATGTTCCCATGAGCTAAGAGAAGTTTGGCAGAGGGGAGACATTTCATTCCAGTTCTGGTGATTCGTTAGAAAGGCGAGGAAGCTTACGAGTGGAGGTGGGTTACCCCAAAGATGCACACGATAATTCGCCGTCTTAACTAATGCATGAGTATAAGCTGACTACTGCGTCACTAGTATTTTTGGGGGGTGAGAAGTACCCTTGGCCAGCACAATACCAGATAGCGGGATCCATTCACGAGACCCATCAGTACGGGGACGAGGTTTGCGTTTATCTGGCAAACGGTCGAATGTTGAAAGGACGGAGTCCGCAATTGCATCTGCGGTTGCGTCCATTATGATGGGCCACGGTCAGGTAAAGGTGGCTTCAATCACGACCGGGAGGTTGTCAAACAGCCTGGGGGGGTTGGAGTAGGTCAGGATGTCCTTTACCCGTTCAGTTCGAAACAGACTGCAGGACGGCCTGCCGCACGATGGACCTTGAGACCATCAGGAGGTTGTGGCTTGAGTGAGTGAAGCGATGATCAGGGAGTGAGCGAGCAAGGCCGATTCATTGACGTCGGTTCCGGCAAGGCCAGGGCGGCGACTTCTCCAATGCGGCCAAATTCGACCAGAACCTGCCCACCGCTGTAACCATCCATCAGCACCACCTGCCCTATTAATACCCGGGCGCGTTCCTGGCCACTTCTGCTCACCATGCAAGCCTTCGGTGAGGAATGTCTCTACGGCGCTCTGTCGCTTTTGCGGCCCACACACTTACGATTCCAGTGCCCAAGAATCGCCGCGTAAGATACCACCAACCCCCCAATTCCTGAATGGACGTCCAGGCTGACAAATACGCAGCCCAAGTTTGAGCTCCACCTGAAAGTAATGAGCTGTCTCCGGCCGTCTGTTTCGGGCAGGGATGCTGATAAAGTGCAGATTATCGACCTCAACAACGTACCGCTCGTCTCGGGAACCTCCATCATCAAGTGGTACCTCCCGCACTCGACAGCTGCAGAGCACCGCGGCCGCACCGAAAAGCGCGTGATTAAAGACCACAAGGTCGCCTATGATTACTCGATCAAGCTCCCCGTCCGACTCACCGTTGATAAGAATGGCATGTTACAGGAGAGTTGGATTGTCTTTGAGGTCCTGCAGGAATATTCGGCGGGTGGCAAAGGCGAGAGGATTACACTGGGCAATGTGAAGCTCAATCTGGCCGAGTATGTGGAGCAGAGTGAAATGGCTGGGGTGGAGGGAGAGGATGTTGGAGTCACCCGGAGATATCTAATGCAGGAGAGCAAGATCAACAGCACGCTCAAGATCAGCATCTACATGAAGCAAATCGAAGGCGACAAGAACTTCATCGCGCCTCCATTGAAGACAGCGCAGGTGTTTAGTGGTATTGCTGGGATTGTCTCGGGAGAACAGGGCGATTCAGAGGATGCTGGCGGTAAGCTGCTATCTTCGCGTTGGAAGCATCTTTGGCTCGCCCTGACATGTCGTAGCTGTTCCGACACTTAATACTAAATCCCGCGAAACCGGCGAACTGCAGGATATGTATAGACGGACGTTAGCTGCGTACTGGTCGGCTCAGCCAGGGGAGCTTAAAGCAGATGAATGCATTGAAGACATCTTCGCTGGCGGAGATGGCTGGGGGGATCGAGAGAAGCCGTACGACCCCTCCAAGCAGCGGGCAATAACGTTTGTTGGGGGCGACAGTAGCGGATCCATGAGCGAGAGCGACTCTCGGACCAAGCGTGGAAGCATCCACCGCAAATCGCATGAGACTCTAAGACCTGGCGATATCATCATGAACTCGCCAGGTGGGGTACGCGGGAGAGGGAGCTTGGGGCAACAAGCGCATCAGATGAAGGTGGAAGCGGATAGGAAACGACACAGGACTGCTCATGAAGTAGATGAATTTGACATGAGGGAAGATTTATGTAGTTGGAAGATGCCTGTATAGATACCCTACAAATTACAATAATTTCCTTCATAATGAATGAGAATAGAAGCACGTGCATTGGCGTTGGTTCTGCCACAAGGCTGAAGGCGGTGAAGAAAGTTGTTCCAAAGTGCATATGGAAAGCACTTTTCCTGGCTACTCCTTCCACCCACGTTGTGCTCCTCTGCCGCATTCTCTGCCCTTATGCTTGCGTCTCGTACCTCGAACGCATTTGTATGCATTCGATGTGAATTAAAGCTTGCGCGATCTAGAGCTCTACCCACCTCCCCTTCACTCGCCAACTTTTCCATCTCCGCCCACCGCCGCAATGCATTCGACGAAACCTCCCCGCTCAAGAACCCAAACACGTCAAAGCCAGTCAATTCGCGATCGCTGTGGAAGATAAGAAAACGGCGCGGCAGGGCTATCAGAGAGACTACGGCACCACTCGGGCTGAAGACCCTGGGCAAGGACGCTGAGATTATTGTTCTTCGAGAAGTTGGGGACGATGCGCCGGAAGATATTCCGGCACCCGAACCGTCGTCTGAGAGCCAGGAGCAGCCTGGTATTCTCGCTTCTCTACAAGAGGACGGCAAGCGAATCAGCCAGGAAGAAATCAATCGGCTGCTCGAAAAATTGCGTCCTCAAGCCTACTCAAACTACGATGAATCAAACTACATATCTTTGGCGAAATTTGTAAAGCTCAACAAAGCTCTTCGCGACGGCTTTACCGTGCAGCAACTCTCGCGGTACTTTGCTCTTACAACAGGTGTGCAGCAAGAGTTGGTCAAGCAGGAGGTCTTGGAGGGTGTTCAGGGCAAAAGGAAGAATCCAATCGCGCGGACTGAATGGCATCCAGGCACGTCGCCGCTCAGCAGGCGATTACCCGGAGCTGGCATCATCACGGGGCCAAAGCGGGCACCGGTCAGTAAGCCTTTGTTGGTGGACCAGATATTACGAAAAGCATGGAATCTAGTTTTACTGGAGGAGATTGAGGCCCCTGGAGAGCTCGAATTTGTGTTGCACCGCTGGCAGATTGCCGTCTTGAGTGCTGGAGGTATGATGTGCAATTTCATTTGCTTGAATTGACCCTAATTGTGGATAGAACCCCCTACGATTCTGGACGAGGTTGGGGCCACACGTAAGGCAAAGATCGAAATATATTGGCCGCACAATGTCCTCCGTATCACCGCCGATAAAAGCAGTGCTGAGTATGCTGCCGAAGACATACAAAATCACCTCTTGAACACCGAATTGCAGCAATTCAACTTGAAACCTTGGGTCCCCTTCCTCTCGGAGGACCAGATGATGGGGAAGAAGCTGAGCAGCGTACTGTCACAGCAGAATCTTCAAGCAGCTGAAAAATTGAGTGGTGCGCAGGTTCAGGAGTTGACAGATCATCAAGTATGCTATACTGGAAAATGATTGAACACAGTTAACAATTGTAGTTCCAAATTCGGGCAGCCAACAAAGACCGGGCGAGCGAGGCTAAGCGTATCTTGATGAACATGCTTCCACTCAAGCAAACCGCAGCTCGCACTGTACAAAGCCATGGGGGAGTTGTTGAGGCAAGGAAGTGCTACCTCCTACCTACTCCCTTTAAAAGTTCTCTGGAATACCGCCTGAGGGGGCTAGAGCTAGGTCGCTGGTCACTTCCCGTCTTCAAATCGTTTGCGGACGCAAATCAAGCGTCTCATTCTGATAGTTCTCCCCGGCCGGACAAGGTGGTTGAGCCGATAGCCGACAACTTTCAAAAAGAAATCTCAAAAGTGTTTCAGGGCTCTTCGTTGCTAAGGCCAACTTCGTGGCCAAAACTTAACCGACACGAAAATTCTGCCGTTTGGGAAAGTAGTACCGAAAACAGACTGTTCGCGGAGTTTGGGCAAATTCTAATCCCTATGGCTGGAGGGAGCAGTGGCAAGCTATCAAGTGCATCCGACCAACCTGCTCATGGTTCTGATACAACTTTCCTCAACACCGTACCCGGCTTGTCCAAGATACTCTCCGACGATTCTCTCTCTGAGTATCCTGAGACAAGCGCGCCAACCCTAGAATACCAGTTCGTCCCCTCTCCGTATCAGCAGAATCTACTAGGACCTGAGAGTGTTTACCCCACGCTTGTGGTCCGAGTCAGGTTGGGTCAGGACGGCACAATCGATTTGCGAGGTGTTGGGTTGGAATTCAACGAATACTGCTACGATGCCCTCCTGCCCGACCGAGCCATCGACGTCCGCTTCCGGCAGGTGCAAAGACTGTGGCTCCAAAACCCCCTCCAGGATACCGACCTCAAAGCATTCTTCCACGCAATTTCAGCGAATATCAGCGGCGGTGGTCGGCTGACTGCACCACCAGAGCTACGAATAAGCATCCCTCGTTGGATAATTAAAGGCCTTGAGAACAGCCGTCGCGACGACCTGCGGACTCGAAAGGCGGTCTATCTTTTCACGGGCATCAAGCATCGGCAGTCTGTCAGAATGTTTTTTCAAGACCACCAGCTTGTGTATTCGGGCGTGCAGGCAGGGAAATTGACGGAGAAGGGAGGTGAGTTGGAGATGCTGTGTCCGCCGAATAAACAGCCGGAGCTGCTGGCGACGCGTCAGGCGATGAAGGGGTTTATTAAAACGGCTTTTGAGCTGGTGGATCTGATTACCCAGGTATCGGAGAACCAGCTGCCATTGTCGAAAGTGGCGAGACCGAGGAAACTGTTTTCGGCGAGGAAGATGAGGAGGCTGGAGGGTTTGCAAGAAGGGAAATGCGCGGGTCTTGGTATGATGAAGGAGCATCAGGATAGCACGTTCGGGCCAGGCTCGACCCCAACTTCAACCTCGGGTTCATCCTCCGAAGATGAGTTGTCCGACGGTCAAGGCCCGCAGAATGCTGTTGGGTCTTTTGGTACGGACTCCCCGCTTATAGGTGCATCACCCCAGGTCGCGGCGCTCTTAAATGAGGAGGATTCTAGTGCAAGGTACTACGAGGACTTGAATCATCAGTCTCTTCATATCACAGATAGCCAGTCAGAATCTGACGATATCACGAAAGAGGAAGGGGGCAGGGGAGCATTGGAGGTAGCAGCTTAAAGAATCCTCGTTCCTCATGAAGAGGAAAGCTTTGAAGTGGCTGCGTTAGACTCTTAGTTCTTGCCTTTGGCTCTTGCGGACCCGTGTACATTATTTGTATCATAGTCTTGACTATATTGTTAAACCGTGTTGTAGGATTTTGGGAATATCGAATCTGAATGTACTGAAGCACTTTGCACAGGGCAGCTGCGGGAAACTTGTCTTGCCAAACTACCTGAGTCAATCATGGCAGGTATGACCCACCAAATGCAAGGATAGTTCACGGCTGGAAAGGGCGGTGCAGGTGCGTTGGAAGGGCGGTGCTTCAAACACTGTATTATCGCTTATCTGAATCATCAATAGGGAGGATTCGATCTGTTGGGTAGGTTGCTCAGAATTAGGAAGGGACTGAGAGGGTGGAACTTTGTGTCAAAAATAAGAGGTTGTAAATATGTGCAGATATGGTATCTTCCAAAATTGACGCTACATTTGGATAGGGCTTAGACCTACAAGGCAGGTTGCTAGTTGTATATAGGAACATCAAAGTGCTCTAGCATCTGCAATGTTTTATAATGCATCACGCGATACGATTTGGCATTTGCTTGGTCCTCATACCAAACGCAAGTATACACCTATACGCGAGTAAGTACAGGTGTAGTCCCCTTCACTTACTTGCAGATGTGGAAGGAGTGGTTGTGGCGAGTGGATCAGCAAGACACTAGGTAGCTTACAGAAAGTAGAGAGCGGTGAGCGAAGAAGAGAGTGTGATCCAATGGAGATGAGCTAAATCGCTCGGCTTTGCTTAAGTGAAAGAAACCGTTGGGCCTCCGCATTCAAAATTTTGCCAGGACTGCCACATTGCGACCCAGTTGCTTATGTCATTGCCGGCGCTAAGACCACTGCTCGCCTACAAAAAGCGCGCCTCCCCTTGACCCTCCCTCCCAAAACGTCGCCACACCGAAACACTTTTGCTGTTTTATCTGGAAGTATCCTCTCCTCTAGCCCTTAGCTTTGCTTCTAACGGAAACTGCAGGAGCACTTAATCCACTTCATTTCAACTTCCACGTCGGAACCACTCTCTCAACACAACCGCCAAAATGGGGTGAGTCAAACATGCAGCCTCGAAGAATTTTGACGCAACCACTGCACAACGACCAGAACAGCTCACTGATGGGTTCTGCAGTAAAGAAAAGATGCATATCAACGTGGTGGTCATCGGCCACGTCGACTCTGGAAAGTCGACGACCACTGGACGTAAGCCTTCCTCATATCCATCGAAAGCGGGGTCACAACAGCTCACACGGGGATATAGATTTGATCTACAAGTGCGGCGGTATCGACAAGCGTACGATCGAGAAGTTCGAGAAGGTGAGCGCATTTTTATCTTGTTTCTGGTCGAAGATACCTCAGCGGCTGCCTCTCCGACTCAGCTTTAATTTTGGCTTATCGCACTGAGGGGCATTTTTGGTGGTGGGGTTGTGCGAACTTTTACGCGCTAGCGCTAATCCCGATTCGGCTGTTCACCCTGATGCATGCCCCATTTCTTCCTTCGGACTTGACCAACTCTTGCTCTCTTTGTCGGCTTGCTTGCATTTTGCCCTAAATGCTGTTCTTCATGCCTTCGACGCTAACTCCTGGTCTAGGAAGCCGCCGAACTTGGCAAGGGTTCCTTCAAGTACGCATGGGTCCTCGACAAGCTGAAGGCCGAGCGTGAGCGTGGTATCACCATCGACATTGCCCTCTGGAAGTTCGAAACCCCGAAGTACTACGTTACCGTCATCGGTGTGTTCTTTACCATCTCCCTACCCCAGCCCTCGCTTACCCTCTCTAGATGCCCCCGGTCACCGTGATTTTATCAAGAACATGATCACTGGTACCTCCCAGGCCGACTGCGCCATTCTCATCATCGCCGCTGGTACTGGTGAGTTCGAGGCTGGTATCTCCAAGGATGGTCAGACTCGTGAGCACGCTCTGCTCGCCTACACTCTTGGTGTCAAGCAACTCATCGTTGCCATCAATAAGATGGACACCACCAAGTGGAGCGAGTCCCGTTTCCAGGAGATCATCAAAGAGACCTCCAACTTTATCAAGAAAGTTGGCTACAACCCCAAGACCGTTCCATTTGTCCCCATCTCTGGCTTCAACGGTGATAACATGATCGACGTCTCCACGAACTGCCCCTGGTACAAGGGATGGGAGAAGGAGACCAAGACCAAGGCCTCCGGAAAGACCCTCCTCGAGGCCATTGATGCCATCGACCCACCGTCCCGTCCCTCAGACAAGCCCCTCCGTCTCCCGCTCCAGGATGTGTACAAGATTGGCGGTATTGGCACGGTCCCCGTCGGTCGTGTTGAGACTGGTATCATCAAGGCCGGTATGGTCGTCACCTTCGCCCCTGCTGGTGTGACGACTGAAGTTAAGTCCGTCGAGATGCACCACGAGCAGCTCGTTGAGGGTGTTCCCGGCGACAACGTCGGCTTCAACGTCAAGAACGTCTCCGTTAAGGAGATCCGTCGTGGTAATGTCGCTGGTGACTCCAAGAACGACCCCCCCAAGGGTGCCGAGTCCTTCAACGCCCAGGTTATTGTCCTCAACCACCCCGGCCAGGTCGGTGCTGGTTACGCCCCTGTCCTTGATTGCCACACTGCACACATTGCCTGCAAGTTTGCCGAGCTTTTGGAGAAGATTGACCGACGAACTGGCAAGTCTGTTGAGACTAGCCCTAAGTTCATCAAGTCTGGTGACGCTGCCATCGTCAAGATGATTCCGTCCAAGCCCATGTGCGTTGAGGCCTTCACTGAGTATCCTCCTCTCGGTCGTTTCGCCGTCCGTGACATGGTAAGATTTCCCCGCATCGATTACTTGGATTACCCTAATCTAACATTTTACAGCGTCAAACCGTTGCCGTTGGTGTCATCAAGTCCGTCATCAAGGCCGATAAGGGTGCTGGTAAGGTCACCAAGGCCGCCCAGAAGGCGTCCAAGAAATAAGCAATCACATCTATGGTGGCTTGTATTTCTTTCGACAATTCAATGTGATGGACTCTGGGAATGCGGTGGCTTGGGAAAAGCCGTGATGAAATATTTCAAGGTTTGATGCATTACGGTCTGGGTGGGTGTCCTGGCGTTGTCCTTCCATAGACTTCATAACGATCTCAAATGAACTTTATGGGTGGGCATGTTTTTGATCTTGTGCTGTGCTGTCATGTGATGTAGTTGTTTCCATTCTTGATGGTGATGCTTGTGTCTATGCATGGTAAAGAATATGGTTGTGCATGTTGCAGGTAGTGAACGGTAATCGAGATGATTGACACATCATCTCATCCGTACATTGAGACAAAAGGTATGACGTCCCCCCCTGCGTAACGAGACGCCCTGTGTGGCGAGACAAATGAGGGTACTTTAACTTTTAGCAGCTGGAGAGGCCATACACGCAGCAAATATTGTTACAATTCTATTAGAATAATCTGCTGTAGCTAATTCTGCTTGTCCATAATTAAGTATTTCCTAAAAGTTATGTTTACATAGTTGCCTCTGCGTCTAATTTGTACAGCACCTTCCATTGTAGCGTAACCGACTTCCCTCTTTACAGCGCTAACATTAATCCTTTTTTGCTCTAAATTTTTGTAGAATAGCATTATCCTAGCTTTAGAACCTCTCTCTAATGCTCGGAAGTCACTGTGAGTCTTGTGCACGCTGTTGTGGGCAAATTAATGCCAGATTGCTTTGCTGTTTAGTACTTCTAGCGGAAGCGACCTACTGATCTGGTCTAATGAGAGATGACTCTACATGTAGTTTACTGTAAGATCAGTGCTGCAGATCCCACAAGCGCTTGGAAGATAAGTAAACCCGGCTCAGGATTAGAGTAGTGCGAGGACTCAGCTGATCCCGGCGCTTGTTGTAGTCAGCCAACCCATATCAGCGTCAAAACCAGCTTCGACACAGCTATCCCACAACTTTAAGATACAGTCTAATGCACACAGAAATACCTACTTTAGTAACGTGAAAACATGCTGTTGTATTGCCCTCGAGCGCTAAAATCCGCTGATGTCCCCTCTGCTTACTGAACAAATGACCTGATCAAGCCAACCACGTCCTATGCTTCTTACGCCTAAATATACCTAATGTCTAGACTAAGCAGTAGCTGATCTCTAGTCTCGGTTCATTGAAGAGGAATTTCAATTATGAGATCGGATAGAGTGGCGCGGCCCTGGAAATTGAAGCCTGTGCCTCGGCAGGTCGGTTTAGTGTCACAGACAGCACACCATTGTTGCAAACACAAACAAAGGTGGAAAAGCTTAATATATTTTGGTGATACACTTATTATATAGTCAAACATCGAACGTCTCCGTATATAAGCACTGCAATTTTGAGAGGTGTGCCTTGGTCAAGACCCTGAGGATCATGAACAGTTTGGATAACTCATGTTTGTAATGGCTGGGTATAATAGAGCTGTGATAACGGCCATGTTTGGCCAGACACTAAACTATCTAGGGCAGAATCTCATCCTCGGTCACTAGTAATGATCCTTGTATCCCTTCCTAACGCCATCCATTCTAGACGTTCACGGCAAGAGTCTGTCCAGAGCGGGTCGACCGTCCTCCCTGCTAGCGTGATCGAGGTGTTCGTGCGCCTCTAGCCACACTCAAATACAGTAGCATTGCAAAGAGATATAAGGATCATATCTGGTGACGCTGGTACGTGTTAGCTAACAAAACAAGCGTCGGCTGAGTCCTTGTGCTGCTCCGAATCTTGAGCCGGATTTACTTATCATCCGAAGCGCTTGTGTGATTCGCACAGCCCTAATAAATAGTAAATTACCCGCGGAGTCATCTCGCATTAGCTAGGATTGGGGTTCTCTTCCGCTAGAAGAACCAATCAATATGACGGCCCTGCATGAATTTGCCCGCAGCAACACGCACAAGGCTAACAATAACTTCTAAGTATTTAAGGAAGGGTTTAGGGCTAGGGTAAGGCTATTATACAAAAATTAGGAGCAAGAAAGACTTAATGTTAGAACTATAAGAGGGGAAGTCTGTTACGCTACAAAAGAAGGTGCTGTACAAACTAGGCGCAGAGGCGATAATTCAAATGTAACTTTAGGAAAGATTTAATTATAGGCATTTAGAATTAGCTGCAGTAGATTACCTCTATAGAATTATAGCAATATTTGTTGCGCATATGGCCTTTCCAGCTGCTGAAAGTCAAAGTACCCCTTTTTCGTCCCGCCACAGAGGGTGTCTCCCTGCGCAAGGAGTCACGTTAAAGCTCTAATATTAAAACTGAATGGGTATTTCTACCTCGCCACCTCTTCCCTCAATGTGAACCCTCAAAAACGGCTCAACATGTACAAAATCTCACACAAAAGGCCTAGCTTTCTCCTCACACCACTCATAAAACCTAGTGCTAACACTCTTTCCCCCCGCCGCCTGCATACTCTTCGCAATATGGTCCGGCACACACCCTTTCCGCCCCCACGGTACCACAAACTCTCCACTTTTGATATCGGGCGAGAATCCAGCATACAGCTCAGTGTACGCGCCGTACTTCGCGGGCTTGAATATGAGGGACATTAGAGCACGTGCAGGAGCGGGTGTGTGGCGCTGCAGCTCGGTGCGCATAAAGCCCGGGTTAAGGGAGATGTGGGTTATGGGTTTAGAATCAGGGTCTTGAGGTTGGTGGGTGTTAAACTCGTGGGCCAATAAGACTAGTCCGGCTTTCGTCTGCATGTAGTTATCCATGGCTTTGAATTGCTTTGGGGTGTTATTGGAATCGAGCTGAACGCCACCTTGGGGGGTAAACATTGTTATGTTGGATGATACCCAGACGACGCGGGCTCCACTGCCTGATTCCGCTGAACTTGAAGCTGGAGCCGAAGTTCGGGTCAAGGTTCGGGTCAATAGCGGAGTGAGCAGCGTTACTAACAAAAAGGAAGACAAGCAATTCGTCCCGAGTTCGAGATCATACCCATCCTGTGTCTTGCTGCCGGGTGGAGGTGTCATGACCCCCGCATTTAGGAAGAGAACGTCGAGACGGGACTCTTGGGCTAAGAGGGTCTGGCAGGCGGGCTTGAGGGTCTTCAGGTCTGATAGATCTGCGATGAAGGGCTTTAAGGTGCCGCGGGAGATTGGGATGGAGGTCTTGATGGCGGAGATGCCACCATCACAGCGAGCGGCTGAGCGGGCGCCAATGTAGACGGTGGCATTGGCGCCGTAGAGGATTTTGGCAAGTTCATGGCCGATGCCAGTGGCGGAGCCAGTTATGAGGTAGACCTAGGAGAGGGGAGTCAATGATAGGACTAGGGGAGGATTGGGACATGGGAGGAGAGGGGAAGGATTTACCTTGCCGGTTAGGTCACCCAGGTCTCTCTCTGTGAAGGTTGGTGCCGGAGGAAACCATTGGCTGAATGAGCTCATTTTATGGGTTTGATACGTGGAGTTTTAGAGGTAGAGATGTTGAGCTTTGGGGGATGAGTGGTGATTGAATGAATTGACAGCGTTGATGAATTAAGAGCAGCAAGTTGCAGATGTTGAATTGAATTGGTGAATGGCGAAATTCTTCAGTCCGCAGATAGTAAGAACATATATACATTTGCTTGACATTGCGAGAGGAAGTTTCCATGGGGTCACATTCGTCCGCTCTTTGCGATGATGGTTTAGTGAGTTCCCGGATGAGGAATGATATCCAGGCTTCACATGTCCGGAGTAAGACTAATTCTAGCAGAGCGAGGCCTTCTGAAGCCTTTAATTACTCTAGCATGAGACAACATTGATGGTCAAAGTGAGGGTTGTGGCTGGTAGATAGGTTAGACCCTCCGGCTCCGGAGTTGTGAGGTGGGATTATGTCCGGATCGCATTTCTCGCCAAACTTGAATAGCCGGCCCGCAAAGGTTGGGCCGGAGGAGAACAGATAGAGGATGCATTTATCGCGAAAAGTATTTCCCCGACCGAGAGGCCTGTGTGAGTTGAGGCTTGAGATGGTCGAACTCGGTGTGGTTGAGGTGGCCGTCCACATTAGGCTTAGCGCGTTGGCGATCTCTGTAGCACGAACTCGTGTGTTTGAACTACATCCTTCTCTTTCTACAGCAAGTCCATGTCATGTCGGCCGATCTATTTGCGGAATTTGGAACTTCTCAAAGCCAACAACAGCGGCCCTCAGGAAAGGGCCAAGAGGCAAACCAGCGAGCACAGACTTTCGGTTTCTTCGATGACTTGACTTGCACATCAACAGCTCCACCCCCTTCCACACAGACACCATCACAGTCCTTCCAATTTGGAACGAATAAGGCTTCAACAGTAGATGATGCAGATGACTGGGGTGAATTTGAGGGCGTCGAGACTGCTCCTGTTAAGCAAGATCCATTTTTCTTTCCGTCTTCCAGCCAGCAGTCAAACGTACCTCCACAACCGGCTCCAATTCTGAAAGCTAAGAAGTCTTTGGATCCAAATGTTCTGTTTGATGCAGATGATGATCATAATGGAGAGGAAGAAGAAGAAGATTTTGGGGACTTTGAGGGCCCGGAGGAGAGTGCTCAGGTAGCTGCAGCACCTTCAAGCTCGGCGGGGCTTGAGGATCTCGTGAAGGGTATGAGGATATCACAACCAAGCGCACCACCTCCTAGATACGGCCTGCCTGCCTTGTCGTCGACAAAGAGAAGCCCCGCTGGGAGCTTCGGTACTGTGTCACGGTCTAAGCAAGCTTCAACAATTCCGATACCGTCAGAAGCGCAACAAGAAGAGACTTGGGATGATTTCGATGAGTGGGAAGCATCGATTCCCGCAGCTACACAACCGACGGCTATGCTAAAAGCGACGTCAGAAGCCAATGTGATGACATCCAACGCCCGGCCAAGTTTATCATCCCCAACAGTGGAAGAACTGCAATCTGGGGAGCTTCCCCCCACAAATGTCCCACCCCCAGGTGTTCTGCTCTCCTTGTTCTCATCTTTAATTGGAGAAGCTCAAGAGAAGCTGTTCAAACCAATGACCGCACAGACGCTACCCATGAGGAATAAGTTGCTCTCAGAACCTACTACTATTGTGTATCTTCAGGGCTACTTAATGTTGGCATCCGTCGCAGCTCGGATTATCGCCGGACGTAAACTCCGCTGGAAGCGAGATACGCATCTATCTCAGGGAATGAGAATCGGACCCGCATCGTCGCGTGCCACATCTGGCATGAAACTGGCCGGCGTGGACAAGGCCGAAGCCATGAAGGAGGACCGAGAAGTGTCAGATCTCGTTCGCGTATGGAAAGACCAAGTAGGAAGGTTGAGGCACGTTGTCTCGGCTGCCAATCAGGCTAAGGCAGGGTCTTTAGGCCCAGTGCCAGATATTCAAGAGACGATGCTGGTGAAGACGTTGAAGCAGACTGAGGGTGGCATTCCTGCTCGGATGCCGTGCATGCTCTGTGGGTTGAAGAGGGATGAGCGTGTTGCTATGGTTGATCAATATGTCCAAGATAGCTTTGGGGAGTGGTGGGTTGATCAAGTGAATATGCATCGGGGTAAGTCTACTTGGGATTCTAGGTATGAGAGAAATGGAGATCTAACACTCCCTCATAGGGTGCAGGAACTTTTGGCACGAACATAAGGACCAGCTTCGACAGCGTTGATGCCCAGCCACAGATTACGGATCTTGACTTGATGCCATTAAAGCTCTAGCCCGGTGGAGGCCGTCACACATGATAGTGGGGCGAATCTGATATGATTGATGCATACTCGTGCCGACCAATCACCAATACCGGGTTCGTGGAACACCCGCCCAAATGGTGGTATTCACTCATTCCCATCCAGGCAAAAAACAATCAAGAGACAGAGACACGTACGCGATACCATCGGACTGCCGATTCTTCGCCGATGCAATCTGTGTGGGGTGGCCAGATTGGCAGATCACAGGGGTTAGGAGGTCACACGTAGTCAAGAACCAGAGCCCTGTGGGGGTATGATCGAGGCAGAACTTGGGTCTAGCGAAATGTCTTTGTCGGATCTGTTCAGTGGCCTTATTGGTTCACTCTAAATGCAATGTTAGCTGACTTTAGGTTGAGCACATTCTTGCGTTGAGATGCCTTCCTGGTAAGGCGCTGCCAATGGAATTGTGGTGGGGTTTTTGCATATTGTGCTCTGTGTAACACACCCGTCCAGGCTGTCGCGCAGGTGATGTTGCTTTGTGAATGCATTCATGGAGGTCTCCTTGGTTAAAGAAGTGTCCTCAACGCCTCGTTCTTGGGCGGCACGGGTCGCTAGTCGCGCGCCTGTGCGGGGCATCCATGAATCTCGACCAACATGTGCACTGCAAAGCCCTCTCGCTGCATATTGGCCACATACATACAGACATACATACTCCAACCCTATCGTCGTGTCTCGTCTCTCGCGTTAGCACGTCCGCGCTGTACCTCCGCTACCAGCCGAGCCTACAAAGTCTCCCAGCGCATCCTTCGACGCCGTCAGATCGCCACGACCTCTACCCTCTCTATTCACCGGCCGTCGTTCCTGATCCCAGACTACGAAGTTGACTCGGTGAGCGATAGCCGTTGACTTGGCCTCCGGCACCCCCCGTACTTCGCTGCCGAGCCGAGACATCCTGATCTGTCTCGAGGGCGTGCTTCAGGGAATGAGCAGGCCACATGAAGATGGTAAGCGTCTCATGACACTCCGCGGTGATGTTGGCTACCTTCACGCGCTGCCGTCTGTTCGTACCACATTCGCTGCACCGGGATCTACTACCCCAGGTCTTCACCGCTCTGTTCTGTCAAACCGACCGACATTCCGAGCGTACCGATCGCGCCGCTCCTGCACACACTAATCCGAGGCTCCGCTCTGCTTAATTCTGCTCTGTTTTGTTTTGTTCTGTTCTGTTCTGTTCTGTTCATGTTGCCCGTCTTGCAGTACTCAGCGCAACAGCCAGCCTCTAGCGGCCGGTCGCCCGCACCTGCCAACCTTGCTCGCATATCTACCTAATGGCTATCGATGCTGACTTTGTCCGCCGTCTAGGCCCGCATCATAATGATTCCCATCCCAGCCTCCGACACACTCTCCAGTTCGCTGCGAGCAACGTCTCACTGCCGAAGAACAAGAGCACGGGAAACCTGCTGGCACATGCCGCAGCGGCGGGGCTAGCCGTGGACACTTCGGCTAAGCGAATGAGTATCGATGCAGGACAGCTGGACAGGATGGCAAGGTAAGAGTGGAGCTCCTAGGTGAGAGGTGAAGGGGGGCATGGTGGCAGGGACATGTCCCGCGAAGGAGCATTGTCTGACGCGAGTCTGATAGATCACCCATTGTCGAACATGAGCATGGCCTAGGAGCCTCTGGCCTCCGCCGCATCCGCCAACAGCCTGCTGCCAGAGCGCAAGCAGCATCTTCTATACCCCCTAGCAAGACCCCACGAGCTACATCCTTAAACTTCACCCCCCCACTATCGAGACACCCTTCCGCCTCCGAGTCTGCCCCGGCCTCCCCAACCCTCGCCTTTGCCGAAGACCTCCACCGATTCCCCACAGAATCGCTACATTCCTTCTCCTTCGCAACGCAGTCTGAAGACTCCATCCACAACAGACAAAATGTGCTGAAGCGGTCCATAGACTTCATGCGGGACAGGCTGGGCTGGGCGGCTTCCAATTCGGGAATTGCAAACGCCCAGGCAAGATTAAGCGGTGACCAGGAAGTGCAGAGTATGCTTGAGCTCTTGACTAGAGCCAACTTGATAGGACAAGATGCGACGGGGGCTCACGGTCTAGGCGCAAGAGGCCCTTTAACTGGCCCTGCCGAGGTGTCCGGGGAGAACCCCTTCGAGAGGAGTTTTATACCGAGATCTGAGAGCCCGGAGAGCATAGCGGACTCTACAAAACCGGAGGTACACAGATGGCCGTCGTCAGATGGTGGAAGTGCGAACGGAACGAACGAAAACATGGGTGCCAGGAGTACTCCCACCTCAGACCTGCCGTCGTCAGAAGACTCAAGTCAACTAGCTGAGTCGTCTCCGCCTCCGTCTGGCGCCCAACGCGCTGCCCTGAAGCGAACATGGACCGATGTCGCGCCTCTTACGTTACAGAGTCAATTGAATGATGCATTAGCACAGCCTTATTTACTTGGAGAAAACACCCAAAACAACCAGATAGTCTCTCCAGTTATGCTACCCACTGTATCGCAGCAAATCTCCAACGTATCTGGGCCTCACTCTGCAGGCCCCGCTCCTCATGGTCACGGAAGTCGATGGGCGCCAGCTGCGCAAGCTATCTTCACCACAGAAGCACAAGCGCCGTGGACCATCACTGCTGCAAACGACCTTGCTTGTTTAGTGTTCGGGGTTACTAGAGCTGAGGTCCGCAAGCTGGGTATATTGGAAGTCGTCCGCGAGGAGCGACGCAAATGGCTCGAGGAGAAGCTGAAGAACCCCGAAGTCGGTTCGAAGGCTTTACGGGAGCCTTATAGCCAGAGTCAGCGAACTAGCCCCAACCCGACGTCCACTTTGAAAGTTGGTAACGGCGTTACAGCAAAGCTGCTTAGCAAACCTCCGTCAAGGGTTGCTCAAAGCAGGCGATCAAAAACTGATGATGGAAGTGGTTCAGCCTATGCAGACAAGAAAAGCGTCAAGGGGGGTCTGAATCATGAATCGAAAGGATCTAGAGGCGTTCTGCTCTGCGGGGACGTTGTTCCAATTCAGAAGCGGAACGGTGCCACCGGATCCGCCAGTCTGTGGGTCAAGGAGAAACGTGGAGGCCTCATCTGGGTGCTTGAAGAGATTGCTGAAGATGTCGTCTATGTGAACGTTGATGAAGTAGGATGTGTCTCCAAAGGCCATGGTGCAATAGAAGCTGTATTTGGAAGTGATAGACTACGGCGAGGCATGGACCTCAAACGACTCATACCCGAGATTCCACGGCTTGAAGGAACGAATACGGGTGCTCTGGATTATGAGAAAATCGCCGACCTCCGTAACTTCACCGCAAGAACGTCCAACAGCATCAACATCCCCGTTGCGGTCGAGGCTCTTCCCGGCGAACCTACGTTTCGCGTGTCAAGCTTTCCACATATTGCAGGAATCATTGTGTTGTCGGCATCCAGCCTCTCGATTGCTTCCTCAAACTCGGTTTTCTCTTCTGCATTGTTTGGACAGGCCCAGCCAGACGGACTTCATATCAGCAAGCTCATTCCAGGTTTCGACAAGATACTGCATGTTATGACAGACGAGGACAAGATTGAGCTTGTCGATGGTATTGTGATTCCAGAGCATAGCTTCCGGCGGGCTCGAGCTCTTCTTGCCATGCGGGAGGGCAGAGCCGATGCAGCCGCCATCTTCCTGCGACCAAGCGGACTTCCAGCTCTCCATCGTGATGGATCGGAGATTATGATTGATGTGCAAATGAGGGTTGTCAAAAGCGAGAAGTCAAAGGTCCACCCTGATGACCATGCCATTAAGGAAGAGGACGCTCCCCAGGCTTCATCTGGCCCTGAGCTAGTTTATGCTCTATGGATCACCTACTCGAGACACATGCACGCTACGAATCATGGTGTTGGTCCTGTCACGCCTCTCGTATCACGTCCTGGGACTCCGCCACACCAACCCTCACCTGGTCAATCCGCACCGGCGGCCTCTCCAGAAGAGTCTGCCGTAGAAGAACCAAGGCCTGATCCCTCCCATGTATCGTTGCTGACAGAACAGCTTCAGGGCGCAACGAAGTTACAATCACCTACAGAACCGCGGACAACTCAAATAACGCCAGAACCGGAAAAGGAAGAAGCCCCTAAGAAAAAGACGATTAATGATTTCGTAGTTCTTGAAGATATGGGCCAAGGCGCGTACGGCCAGGTCAAGCTCTGTCGATACAAGAAGAACACCCACAAAAAGGTTGTAATCAAATACGTGACCAAGCGGCGTATTCTCGTCGACACGTGGACTCGTGATCGACGGCTAGGGACAGTACCGCTGGAGATTCACGTCCTAGACTATCTTCGAAGAGATGACTTCAAGCATCCCAACATCGTCGAGATGTCGGATTTCTTTGAAGACGATGTCAACTACTATATTGAGATGATTCCACACGGCCTTCCTGGCATGGATCTTTTCGATTATATCGAGCTTCGGGTCAACATGGATGAATCAGAGTGCCGCAAAATCTTTGTCCAGGTGGCAGAGGCTGTTCATCATCTTCACACCAAGGCGAAGGTGGTGCACCGTGACATCAAGGACGAAAACGTCATCCTGGACGGCGAGGGAAACATCAAATTAATAGACTTCGGTAGCGCAGCTTACATCAAGAATGGGCCTTTCGATGTGTTTGTAGGCACAATCGGTACGATACGTTTCACTTGATCCCACGTCTCTCGTCTCTCCCAATATCTAATTAAACTCTCAGATTACGCTGCGCCAGAAGTGCTCCGTGGAAAGTCGTATCGCGGAAAGGAACAGGATGTCTGGGCCCTCGGCATCCTCCTCTACACCATCGTGTACAAGGAAAACCCGTTCTACAGTATCGACGAGATCATGGATCATGACCTAAGAGTACCGTATATTATGAGTGAGGAGAGCATCGATCTTATCAGGTTGATGTTGGACCGGAATGTTGAGAAGAGGATTACTATTAGCCAGGTGCTAGATCATCCATGGTGCAAGATGATTGAGGCGCCTTCATGACGGCGACATGCTAAGCATAATCAACCAGGAATTACAGGATAGTATTGTGAGATGACCGGATTCTGAAAACAGAACTGCCACCCACCATTCAGTTTATCCTAGATAGTCTTGTGGGGAGGGAAGTGGGGTTAAATGTGTGCGCATGTGTGAGGGTCAAGACGCATGGAAAAGAAATGATTCGATGCATATAGAGTTGACGACCTACGACCTTTTCGGCAAGACTGAGGCAGTGGGCCTTTTTCTTTTCTTTTGTTTCTGCATGGCAATGGCGGGATTTTGCTTTCGTGGCTCGGTTCTTAGGGATTGAGCGAGTTGTCACATTGCTAGATTTTTATTGAGTAGGATCAGCAACATGACATTCTTTTGGCATTACAGACGGAGATAGTTCCTAAAGTTAAAATTATCTTAGAGTGGTGGCAATTGTATGAAGCTTTGATACCCGAGACTGAGTCGCTGCCACATGTAATGTGTCATTGATCGCGCGAGGTTTGGTCTGAGCCTTCAGTAGGTGGGTCGGGCAGCAGGGTTTAAGGTCGACGAGAACAAATAATTGTCCTGAGACGTGAGTGACCCAGAATGGCTTCGCACTGCACAAGCATGAATTCAAAGGATTCAATAACGGCGCAGCAAAGAAGTTGAAGTCACTCATCCACTTCAAGATAGGCCTCTCCGAACCAACGATCTTTGACAAAACCATCACAGCCTTAACATTTGACGTCAGTGTCAAGCCGTGCGTGAGATGAAACGAGGCTGGTGTTGAACCGTGACCAGTTCTGTCACGCGAAAATTTTCTTCACTGTTCAGGGTGGCGGGCTCCCAGAGCCGCAGTACATGGGCCTGGAACGCTGGAAATATCCGATAGGATGGGAGTAGCAGAAATGCCATGATGACTGAGCGAAAAGCATCAGCGTCCATTGGTCTTACAAGATAGATGAAGAGCACAGCCTCCACAGCCTCACCAGCGACATGGCGACACCGATTGGCTGGTCAGCCACTATCATGACGGCGCCCATCGATACGAGCATGAGCCTCAGGCTAATCTCAATACAAGCAAAGCCCAAGCTCTCTGGGCCCCCTGCTTCAGCTGGTGAAGTGTGGCTAGTAACTTGGGGCCCTGGCTCTGCGGGGATCAGCCACTGTCACCCTGTATGTCAGGTGGGTGGGAGGTCTGCACCTGGTGGGAGATATCTTTGCGGGGCGCCCGGCGAAGATGCGGGTTTTTTGCTTTCTGCTTCAGCTTGTTCTATTCCATGGTTCGCAATTGAGCTTGTTTTTGAGCTTCTCAGCTAGCCTCGTTCGACGATTGACATGGAGGGCCAAGAATCGAAGGTCCCCGCCCCGAGTATCTGGAGTTTTGATTCGGGGTATGCGAGCGTGCATATTGATGAGGATGGGGATTTGAGACTGGATGATTTCCGGGAGGCGAATAGAGTGGGTGCAATTCTGAACGAGACATTGAGATGTGAGAACTGGTCGCTGATGCTGTGTTGCGTAGCACGACCACACTCAACCGTCAATTGAGCCTACCACTACTACTAAACTCCACGTCTTCACCTCTCAAGGCTCTACCGACAATGCATTCCTCCTCCCCGAAATAGCAAGCAGTCAGGGTGTTTGTTTACAATGCGAGTTCTGGAAGATTACGAATCCGGGAGAGGATGTTCGATGTGAAGAGTGTCGGATCCCGAAGATCGTGGAGCCTGCTTCATTGCTTGTGAATGGATGGAAAGGCAAATCGACGGACGCATATACGACTGCAACCACATATCTGGGCAGCCAGCACAAGAGCAAGGAAGCACACGGAGTCTCTCAGTTTTCAACCACAACCCGCTGCTCCGCCTGCGAACTTGCCCTCCTGATCTCCCCAAGCTATCCAACCTGCGCTTCCTGCTGCCCTAATCCTGGCCTCCTCTCGCCTCCGTCTCCTTCCCTCTCGCCATCGTCCCCCAAAGTCCGTCGGTCTCGCGCGGGGAGGAATTCTAAACTTCCTCTCACCGCACTGAACCGGCTTCAAGCTTGGCTGGATGCCAATACTGATAATCCGTATCCCAGTGCCAAGGTTAAAAAGGAATTGGCTCAAGAATGCGGTATCACGGAAAAGCAGGTTGGGACCTGGTTCGTCAATGCCAGGGCTCGACAACTGAATCCGTTAGAGAGGTGGGCGAGCAGTGGGAGTGAAGATGAGGGGGCCAGGGAGGAGGATATCGAAAGAGCAGCGGGCGTGGGGGTTGGTATGGTGGGTGTAGGGTTGGGCTTAGGGCTGGGGGATTCCGGGTTTACGTACTTGGTTGATGGAAGACCTTCTCCGTCACTGCATCGTCGGACTGGCTCCGTATCGGGATCCAGTGTTTTCTCGGGAGGGGCAGGAGCTTGTGGGAGGGCAACAACGGTGCCGAATAGAAGAGGGAAGAAGAAGAACTATCGGAGATCGAATGCACCGCCCCAGATCGACGAACTCTCACCTATCTCACCAGTCCAGGAACAAACCTCACCAACATTCAACCGAGCCCCTGTCAACCGCCAACCCGACCAGGAAACCTGGCAATGCACATTCTGCTTGCGTCCGCTTGTCCCTAAATCGTGGCGTCGGCATGAAGAAACTCAGCACCGTCCCCGCTCACAATGGACGTGTATGCTGTATGGACCTCGACTTTCGTTTCCTCCCCGCTCAAACACAACCCTCACCACGACCCCGAACGCAGCCTCTAATACATCTCCCACCTCGAACTCGAACTCAACATCGTACTGCGCATTCTGCCTCGCCCCGTCTCCCTCTGAATCCCACTTCCTCACCCACCACCGGATCCCGGACTGCGCCAAGCGGTCCCCCAAAGAACGCACATTCTTCCGGCCAGACCATCTCCGGCAACACGTTCGTAATTTCCACGGCGCGCGGCTGTTGGATATTGCGCAGGTGCGGTGGAAGACGGGTGCTAGAGATGAACACGGTGAAGGGGAGGGAGATGCAGAAGGTGGGAAAGGCTGGATTTGCGGGTTTTGTGGCGAGAGGTTGAGGAGCTGGGATCGGAGGGAGACGCATGTTGCAGGGCATTTTAAAGAGGGGTGGACAATGGCAGATTGGAGGACGGATTGGACGGATCAAGATCAAAAGCAGGATAAGGAGTCGGGGAAGCGGAGACGGAAGGCAGAGGCACAGGCACAGGCACAGAAACAGAAGGAGGAGGAGAAAGCTGGACACCATCACCACCACCACTCAAGCCTCTCACGGCTAGGCCAAACCTTTAGTTTTGGTCGCAAGCTAAAGACATCCCATGCACAGGCTTTCGATATGCCACCAACTACTACCGGATCGTTGACAATGCACCCTGCGTTCTCGAACACAAGCCCGGATGTGCCAATGCTGGATACGGATATCAATATGGACCCCATATTATCTGTATCTGGCTACAGTGGTGATGATCTAGTCGATTGGAATCAGATTCAACTTGCGATCTCGGATCAACAGCAGCCGTATCCTCAGCCCCCGACGTCAATGCCGCCGCATGATGGTGTGTTTAACCCGAGTCAGCAGACTGAGTTTAATGACGCGCTGGATAATGTGTTGGATCACGGGTTGGAATTTGGGAATGTGGTTGATGTGCACGAGCCCTGGGATCAGGAATAGTCGGTGGGATTGGATTGGGGTTTGTTGATAAGATTTTCGATGCAGGTTACTTTGTATTTGTATGATATCATTCTGGCAAAAGGAGCGAGGCGTTTTTGGGTGAGGTGGAACTGTATGGGATGGGATGGTTGCATATCGCGGCGTCCCCGTTCTGCTCTATTCTTTTCTTTCTCTCTCATGTTGTCGAATAGAGGCAGGAGTACGAGGACAGTCGGGATAGATTACTTTCACCTCTCAACCTCGAAACCAATCCCAGCTTCAACGTAATATCTTCCTCCCCATCTTCCCACCCCCCTTTCATGGCTTCTTGCCTTCCTCCAGTTATATACAAAATCACCACAGCTTGCATCTTCCTCCTTTCCTGAATCAGCAGTGTGATACCAGAAGGTGAAAGGGTTTTATTTCTTTGGACTCTGCAACGTAACGCTATTTATCTTACAAGTGACGACATTGTTGCTAACAGAGGCGGATACACCAGAGACGGCGTAGTTGGTTGCGCTGTTGTAGTTCTCCGGCGCGTTTGTGCACCATTTTGTGTCTGTACCGGAGGAAGTCTGTAGGGAAGGGGGGAGGGATTAGCTGTAGTTGTAGTATATGATGATCCGGGGGTCGGGGGTGAGTATTGAAGAGGGAAAGAGATGAAGAGGATGGGAGATTTACAATGACCACGTTGTTGAAGACCAGAGGGCCAAAGTCCCAAGACACGCTCGTCAGTTCGATCGCGAAAAGGACTTGGTTGAATGTCTTCGAACCTATTTTGTTATCAGCTTTCCCTTCATCAAATACTCGCTTTGCTTCTCCAATCTCTCTTCTTTCTACTCAAGATAAACACAAATACAAACATACTCAGCGCAAAGCTGTCCTGCACACTCCCCCCTGAACTCCCCTTCTTCAATACACTCGTCCACGCTCCACTCCCTCTCGTATTACTAAATGTTACTGTGTCCCCTGCATTCACATTAAACCCGCTGCCCCACGGCAAGCTGGGGTTCGAGCAACACCACCCCGATCCAATCCACCAAGTGCCGCTACGTCCATCGAGCACATTTTGGTACACCCCGCTGTTATCAGTGGGTTGGAGCCCGGGCCAGAGGTAGTAGACACCTGCCTTGGGGAGTTTGGGGATGACCATGGTGCCGGAGAAGGAGAGGAAGGATTGCGAGGAGGGGAGGTTGTAGCGCAGGAAGTACCATGTTGCTGCTGTAGTGGGGGTGAGGTAGAGGGCTGTTGCAAGGAGGAGGGAGAGAAGAGAGTACATTTTGAAAGTTACTATTCTCGACTTCAAAAAGACGCAATTGGGGATTGAAAAGGTGAGGGAGGAGCTGGACTGAGTTGTAGCAAGTGAGAATCATATGGATGAATACAGTATGTTCAGAGACATAAATCCCATTCCCGGCTTCCATTCTCGCCATTCCCCGGATTCGAATCCCGCAAATTTCCCCGTACCTTGGCTGTAATATCCATTGTGCTGGCGCGCGTGGGCTACTGTGGAGAATTCGGCCGTCTTGGATATTGTCATCTAATCTATGTTGTTAAACCCCAGCGGGGATTGTGATTGAAGAAAACATCAAGGAAGTGCTAGACATTCATGTTGCAGGATTGTTGGGAAAAGCCTCCGAAACCGACGACCAACTTTTAAGTGAGGTGTTTTGACTTGCCTAATCGACTTTGTTTCTCGATGGTGTTAGGCTTGGGTGTAATTTGAAGGAGTTGTGTTTATGCTCAAGGAAATATTTAGATTGCAAATTAGCTGTTTGTCCGCGAATCAGATCAGATACGGAGCCAGGGGCCTGACTGATTGGTCAGACCCAAGAAAGCAAGCACACTGTGCAGATGGAGAGTGTATGCAGTGTCTAGCTTTATTTTGATTTTCTTCAGCAAGTAGGCGCCGCACTGCTTGGCTTGCAGTTTACTAATGTAGCTCCTCTTGATTTGTAGATATTTGAATTACCTTGGAGTGTAGCTTGTAGTTAGAGCGTTTGCGGAACTCGGACTGCTCAACGAGCTTTTGCGCTGAAAAATCTAGAAAATAATTTAAAAAAGGAAAGGCGGAAAGATTTAGCGCTACGGAGCAGTGTGATTTAAACAGTAGATGAAGATTATTCAGTTGAAGTGGACTGAAAAATTGCAGGACTCGCTCCCAAATCTCTAATTTGCACAGCCAGGCAGGCTTGTTGGGCAAAATCCCTCGTGCTGTGAACGTCAGAACAAGAACACTTCACGCTATATTACATCTCCTTATATTCATCCACCTTGATTCCCGTGTCTTTTGAGATCTGGTTCCCACACAATCCCGGCTATCATGAACTCAACTTTGACTTCAACGTGCGCCGCAGGCTCGGGCACCAGTTCGAAGTTTCAAATTCGACGCTTGGCTTCATAACACTGTATTGTCATTGTTCTGGTTCATTGTCGCTTGAGTTTATTAAGTCTATATTTGTAATGCTCACCTCCTATTAACAAAGCAACGACTTTCTATAGAAAAGCGGGTAAGTGGATACGTCTTAAGCTACCCAGTAGTAAGGGAGATGAATAACAGATAGAGTCTAATAACGGGCAAATTCGTTTGCATTATTGGCTGAGGAGAAATAATCTAAGTATATGATGACCTTTTTTCTCCATCTAGTTCGCCAGGCCAGGGGGAGAAGGTGATGCGAGGGAGGTATATCACTTCAGTGCTCTACAGTTAGATATTAGAATGATACTTCTTGCTTTGCGGCTACACCTCATTGCTACTAAGTACTACTCCTTTGTTGGCCTTTGAGTCTGGGCGTTCACTTCCCAAGTTTAGGCTACCGATGAACTGGCAATTAGATTGGTTTCAAGAATCTCAGATTCGCTGGAAACTGCAAATAAGGGATAGAAGGCGGAGGTTACAGACCCTGGCTGCGATACCAGGCGTGTGGCTTCCTAAAATTCCTGGGAGTTGTGAGTATAGTGAAACTGTGTGAATGTTGTTGTTGTTGTTGGAACTAGAAATGGGAGATATGGATCTCCAGCTAATCAAAATCAACCAAATACGGCGCGCCACACCGTTTCTCCCATCTTGAACCGAAACGTGAAATGTCAAGTGCTCACTAAATCATTGAGAGTTGTCCTTAGGGTATCATACCTGGCAAAAATTGAGCCGTACTCCTTCTCCAGATGCAATGCAAAGTCCGTATTCGCCCAAGTATAAACCCTCACTATTCCCGCCATTCCTTCGAGCATTTCGTACACTATTAAATCATTAGCACTCTTCACTCTTCCTACACTCACACCCCCACCCAGCTTCTAACATACCTTATAAAATGCCGTCATTGGCTCATCCGCGCTGCGAATCTGCAACTGATACCAGTACGCAGTATCGTTCCTGCACTTCTCGTCCGGACACTGGACACTCGTCTTGTCAACATTGTCCCATGCGCCCTTCCCGCCTATCACATCGTCGACTTCTTTCTTTTTGATATATTTGCGCTCATAGTATCGCTTGTCGATGACCATTTGGTACGGGCAGGTGCGGCATTCGAAGCGGTTGTTGCCGGCGTGGGTGGCGACGGAAGGGTCGTTGGCGGGGACAGGGGAGATAATGAGCATGTTGCTACAGAGGGGGCAGACTGTGAGCATTAATTAGTATGATATGGAGTTGGAAAAAGGACATGTGATTACATAGTAACATGCTGGGTGAGCGTTGGTGTACAGATGGTCCAGTCTTAGAAGTGAATCAAGAGAAGGTGAAGAAGAGTGAATCGCAGTCGAGAGCTCTCCCAAAAATTTGGCGGGACCCTAATGACGCTATGACCGGATCGGGGAAAGTGCGGGGTTGGGAGTTGCTTCAGAATGAATCGCGGCCCTCAGCCACAACGAAAGACTTGTAACCTTCCACGACGTCTCACCTCAAGCCTTACGCGCCGTAGACGTGTACATACATACCCTGCCTTCCTCATTCAACTCCATTGGCACTCTCTCCTCTGTTCAATAATCGCTCGACTTAGACTTGAAGCACCGCTTTCCAGACCCCGCCCCCTACATTAGAGTCGAAACCTTCAAACCTATACATCCTGTCGCTGAGCCTCGAATCTTCTCTCATTTCGCAGTCCAAACTCCCTTCTACGTTCATTTTGCTATGGCGGACGAGGAGGTGCGTTTCTCTCACAGCCCCAACACTGGCATTGCTTGTTAATAACTGGTCTAACGGCGATATAGGGCGCCTCCCCTCGCGAATTAATCCTCGAAGCATGCCGCCGAAACAACACCTCCCTACTCGAAGAAACAATAGCAGACCTAGTTTCTGCGGCCCCGAAAGCTGGGAAGAAGCCGACCGAGTATGTCGCCGAAACGTTGAACAAGGCATTTGATGGCGTGGGCAATGGCTGCTTACATCTGGCCGCAACCTATGGAAGCTGTATGTGCCCGCTCTTTATATACAAATACATCCGACACACAAGGGCAGGGCCTGTGGCCACGCGGCATGGGTTCTAGACTGAGTCAACAGCAGTAGCGTCGGCTTCGAATTCGGCATTCGTCCAGCTGGCTAATACTTGAGATAGACGAAGTCCTAGACATCCTCCTCGACCAAGAAGGCCTCGAAATCGATGAACTCGACCGCATGGAGCTTGACACTCCCCTCCACAAAGCTGTTCGCTACGTCAACTCTCTCGACAAATCCGAATGGGCGTCTGCAGGCCACGCCATCGTCGACATCCTGCTCGACGCAGGCTGCGATCCCAGGATACGAAACAAGGCGAAACTGAAGCCGGTCGAGCTGGTGGATCCGAGGAACACTGAATTAAGGAGTATGTTACAAAAGGGTGAGTTCGCGATGACAGCGAGTGGGGATGTGGTGGAGGAGGATGATGATGATGGACCGACGGGGAGTGCAAGCGATAGCGAGTAAGATGAACTAGGTATCATGTATCTGGAGCGAGAAAGCCGAGCTATCCTACATTTAGGAGGACCGTCACTACAGGTTGACACGGCATAGCATATTAGAAAGGAGCATGGATGGCTTCGTCCCCTCAAGCCCGATCTGAGACTGCTTGGTAGAGCGCTTCTGATCTGAGCATTGTGTTCAAAGCCTTTGAAGCTGCTGTCTGAAGAGGAACTTTGTCCTCAGAATGACGGCAAGAATCGACCTCTTGTTACGCCTCCAATTCCGGCGCTGGGATTTCGCACCACGCCCAAAGTCTCTCCATTCTGACATTCACCTTCTAAGCCCATTCTCAAAACCTCGCTCTCTCATCATCAATCCTGTTCCTATCACCAAATCAGCACAGAGTCTCAAACCCAAAACACCTACCATCACCAACTCAGGTCGCAAATAACATACCTTCGGCGGTGGTCCCACAGGCTGTATCATTCTCTCCAGCAACTGTATGCGCATCTTCTCGCGCGGTTGTCCTGTGCCAATAGCCATGTACTGTAGCATCGGGGGATGGCCGATGTAGGACGCAAGGGAGTCGCGGGCGATGTTAGACGTCCATTCGAATTTGGTGGTGTCGGCGTGGCCGGTGCCGATGTATTTTGCTTGCAGGTTTTCGAGCTGTTGTTGTGCGCGGAGTTTGTCTGCCATAATGGAGGAAGGAGAGGAGGTGAAGAGGGTTGCGATCGGTTGGAGTTGAGGTGAAGAGGGTGTCGAAAGGCGTTGGAAGCGAAGTTGACGTTGGAGGAGCTAAGCTTGGCAGCCGTAAATATGGCATTTCCGATTTCCGATGAAAGCTCTAGCTCCGCACAACACAACATATTTGCTCGAGAAGCGCCTCGCTTCAGTGCTCAGAATTCACTCATACAGCACCTTCTATCTTTACTGTTACCGGGAATCTATCATGGCAGATATTCCCATGCCCAACGCGCCCCCAACCCCCGGCGAAGACCCCGAACCCAAATGCCCAACCATCGACTACTCCCCCGCCACAGCCCAGTACGACGAGGCCTTCGAAAACCAACTGATGCAAGCAATACTCTATCCATCAGATAAGCCAGCCCATCTCAACCCTTCCGATGACGCCCCGCACATCCCACCAACCGCGCTCCCCGTCCCGCTCTACTCGCACCTCCGCACACACCCCTCTCCAGTCCCAGGCCTTCTCCTCACACATCCACATGGATACCACACTGGCGGCCCCGGGCCCTCTCCGTCATCTATTTCGGATTTCGCGCAGAAGTTCATCCAAGAGAATGGGATCCAAGACGCAGGCCAGCTCGAGCGCATTGTGGAAGAGAAGATTCGCGAGAAGATGGAGATTGTGCGGGAGCGGATGAGGGATAGAGAAGAAGCGGTGAAGAAGAATGAGGCGGTGAATAGGCAGTTGGAGGATCTGGAAGTGCAGAGGAGTGCGGAAGTTAAGGTTGTGGAGATGATTAAGAGGGAGAAGGAGAAGAAGAGCGGCTAAGATCTGCTGGGCTTGGGGAAGAATTAGGGTTGGCTTTTGCTGGCTGTGAAACGGTTATACCCCTTGATGGATAATATCAAGAAGCGCTGCGGAAAATCGCGTTCTATCGCAAGAGATGACTCGAAGATGTCGCGCAAGAAAGGAGGGTACGGTCCAGAGGGCGATGCATCTTCATCTTCTTTGGAGGAGAGAGAGATACCCCGTTCAACATGACCGTGGGGTATTGAAGGCCGATGAAAATCATATTCATTCCAGCATGAACAGGGGACGGTTCCTGTCTTTGGCACGAACACTGGAGCAACAGTGTCTTAGCATTTACGCTTCTTGCACACCTTCTCCAGGCGCCAACAACGAATTTCACAAAATCGAGGCAGATTCGTGTAGCATGGTTACTAGTTGAATGCAGGGGTGGTATCCCTCAAATTGTCCACAGAAAACCGAGCATCGCTCTCTTCACCGGAAATTCTCCATTTTCAAAACGCCTCGCTACAACCGAACTCGAGCTATCCGCCCTTTGGTCCATCCCGCATCCCGCATCCCGCATCACGTGCCCGAAGCGCCAGGGGTCCATGAATAGCGAGGCCACAGGCGCCACCAATACTCAGCTGAAGACCTTTCGCATGCAAATTGATGGTTCCAGGGGATTGTGGCGCAAGAAAGATGCTCAGGAACGCTATGGAGCCGCACTCCAAGGCAAGGCTGAAACTGCTTCGGGAAGGCACACATACTTTGGCTCAGCCTCTTTGATACGAAATGTATTTAGCAACTTTGCAGCCTACCTTTTGTGTTTTTATATCTTATCGCCGTCTTGCGAATTCTGTCAATTTCTGTCGCTCGCTTGGAGGGTTCACATTTCTAATTTGTTAGTCCGCTCGTCGATGTGCACTAGAAGCGGCTTCAGGCTCGTGTCTCAACCTTGAAAACACATATTTGACATTTTCTCTCCCTGCAGCCATGGTACAGGATTCGGACGACAGTTTGAGATACTTCCCCTGGGACTGGACAATCGAATCCCTTGACCAAACAACCCACAAATGCCCCTCAGTCTCCTCCCTACTAGGGACTTTCGCTATCGTCAACGGAGTGGTTAGTCTTCTCGCAGTATTCTTCGGCCACCGTCTCGTAGTCAAAAAGCTCACTTGCGGGTTCTTTGGAAAAAGAGGAAGCAGGGCGTGGACCTGGATGTGGATATTACCCGTTGGGCTACAGCTAGCAGCAAATGCGTTCATTGCGCTGTTGATTAAGAAGTCGACGGGGTATACAGCAGATTTCAAGATTTCCGAGCTTATGCTATTCCTTGTGGCTCGGCCACGACTAAGCTGGATCGTGCTCGGTGCATTTGCGTTCAAGAGTACTAAGAATCGGCCGGAGAAGGAAAAGATCAAACCAACAACGCCGAATTTAGATGAATACCAGCCTACGTCGCATCCATATGAACAATCGTGGCATGAGAGCTCAAACCCGTCGTTCACATCGTACTCGTCACAAACCCCACTATTTACACATCCACACCCACCCCCACAACACCCCAACTATCCCTACTATCATAACACCACACTATACCCACCCCTCCACGACACCTCTCACACCTCATACCACCGCGTCCTCGACGATGAGATGGAATCGTCCCGCTCCCCTTCTACCTCCCGCGGCCACGGCTACTTCTCCGGCTCCCGCGACTTCCCCTGGTGGTCTGCCTTCATGTCGCAATTCATCGGCGAATTCATACTTCAAATCATAACGCTCTACCTGATGGGCCGAACTGCGCATTTCGCAACCCTCCACGGTTACTACAAGGTCTCGTCGGACGCATACTGGGCATTACCGCCTGCAGCCAGGATGATGTATTCGGGCGCGTTGTACTATTTAGTGGGCGGGGGATTGTTTCTGATATTTGCGGGCCTGTTTATTGTGTATAGTGTTTGTTCGAGCAGGATCAAGTATTTTGGGAAGGCGAGTTCGACGGGGATATTTCTAGCTTTGGCGGTACTGCTGATAAGCACCTGGATGGGGAGTTGGATTTTTTGGGCGGGGTTTGTGAGGCTAGCAGGGAATCTGTGAGTCTTTCCATCTTTCTTTCTTTTTATTTTTTCCTCCCCATACACCTGTGTGGCGGGGGGAGGTAGGGAGGGTTGAGAAGGCTAGAAATACTGTTGTAAGGGTTTCGCTGACACGTGGCAATAGGTATTGTCCACCGAAGTTGATCCATCAGGGTGTCATTTGGACGTTTTTCTCAACTATTGGGATTGTGCTTGGGACGGGCATATAGCTTACCCTGCCCTCCTACGAACAAACCCATGTACGTTGCTTCTTCCCCATCACGATCTCTAGAGAGGGAGGGATTCCGAGCAGGATTGTGGGTATAGAGCCGAAGCGGAAGCTGGAGGAGAGGCAATTGGTGTCTGAGGTACAAGCAGCTTCCTAGCTAGAAAATCGCCACCGGGGGAGAAGGTGTGTGTGATACTGAAAGGCTAGAATGAATGACGTCGATGGACGGCACACCGCAACACTCAACCCCGCCATATACCCCAAACGCTCCCGGGCTCGCAACGCATACAAACACAAAATAATAATAATAAAAATTCTACGGTACACAAAACTCCCATATGAAACCGTATCACCATAAAGGCAGAATAGATCTGCGTTTGGACGCGATGATCGAGATCAACAGCGATACTGATTCGAGTATGGATCTGCGTTTTAGTGGCCAATTAGTATCACCGCCCAACGCGGCGAGCACAGATGCCAGGTGACTTCTGTGATTGTTGGTCGCACGGTGGCCCCTCCTGTCCATGTGGTCGGGCATGGAAGCTGGGCTGAAGGGGATAAAGGGAAGCGTAAACGACCGCGGACTTCCTAGGTTCGCTTTCCATCTCTCAGAGATCTCTCTCTCTCTCTCTATATATATATCTCACTCACTCATTCTCTCACACACACAGACACACACTCTCTCTCAATTACTTGGAGGGTGTCCGTGCTTGGACTCTGCTGCACGTCTTCAACCAAACGGCTGGCTGAATACGAGCTCCAACGAACCGAGGGGTAGCTTAGACCCTTGACTCCCAAGCTTTAATCCGTACTGCTGGACAACTCTTTCTAAGCCGACTGACACACTGCCCGACTTACAATCAATAACCCCTTTTGTGAGGGAAAATCGACCTTGGTCACCCACTATGATCGGAAAGCTCGCATGGCGGAGCTTTAGCTTCGCATACGGCGTCATGAATCTCGCCGTCATGGTCGCGATTGCGGGGCTGCGGGACGGAGCGTTTACGAAGAGAATAAGTGAAGAGGAGAGGAAGGAGCTTGCTATTGGTATGTCCAAACCCGCTCACCCCCTAACGCACTCAGCTTCCTGCGTCTTACCCTCGCCCAAGAGCTTATTGACCTGTTTATGTTCGTGCTGGCATTGCCATCAGATCATGTATACTGACAGCTAGTTCTTGCAGCCCAGAAGAAATACTGGGATTTGTCCAGCGAGCCGATTCCGGGGTTCCGCCATGCGTTCTTAATGCTGAAGAGCGGGGTGAAGTTGCATTATGTTGTTAACGGGCCGGTGGGAGGGGCGAAAGGGACAAATGTTGCTGTGTTTATCCATGGTGAGTTTGGTCGTCTCCTCTTCTCTACACCCCCTCCATCCCCCCCCTCCCACGTTACCATGCTAACTGTGTTGATGTCTAGGTTTTCCAGACTCCTTCGCTCTCTGGCGCGCCCTCCTCTCCTCCCCCGCACTCCAAAACCATATCCTCGTCGCTGTGGACCTTCCAGGGTACGGAGGTAGTGATAGCCTTCAGAAATACGATGCGGAAACAATATTGGAGGCTATGGCGGGGTTTCTGCTGGGGATGAGGGAGTTGTATCTCACAGATGGAGGTAAAATGGCTGTTGTCACGCATGATTGGGGTGGAATTGTGGGTGCCCGACTGGCGGCCGAGGCACCGCAATTAGCGGATCGGTGGGTCATTGCAAGCTCTGTACTCGTACGTCTCACGCGCCATATCCCTAAACCCTTCAAGTTCAAGGCAGAGAGTTTGTGTGTTGTGTGAGATAGAGAGCTAACAACCTCCTAGCCCCAACAAACCTACTCCAACATCCTAATCACCATCGCCTCCGCGCGCCAAATGCTGCACACATGGTTCCGTTGGCCATTCAACCCGCGCCTCCTCAAAACCGCCTTCGCAACCCTCCAACCTGTGCTCCTACAAACCGCCTGCTCCTTCTACGTCTTCATCCTCAACCTCCCCGGCCCCATCGCCAACGCCTTCGCCCGCATGGGAAACTTCTGGTTCCTGCGCCTGCTGCACTGGGTCCAGGCCGGCGTGCTCACTGCGGACAGCAAATTCCACCGCGCACTCTCGACGCAGGAAGCTGCAGATTGGATGGCTATGAGCACCGGGCCTGGGCCTGGGCAATTTCCTACTTCCAAATTATCCCTAACCAACAGCGACAAACCCCAACAAACCTACCCCCAATCCGTCTACACCCGCATCCCTGACCTTGGCATGTCCCAAAAAATCCGCTTCTACCGCGAGAACCTGATCCTCGCGCCCTGGGAAAAATCCCTCGAAACCGTCGTCGCGCTATCTGAACTCGACGGCATGCATCCCCGCCGTTCCTCCACCGGCGCGGGACTCTTCGAAGACGGACCGCAGGGATCTTTGAAAGCACCGGCGACGATTGTGTATGGGAAGCAGGATCCCGCGTTTTCGCCGCGGTTGGCGTTGGATGGGATCGCGGATTATTTGGTCAGGGGGAGTAAGGTTGTGTTGATTGAGAAGGGGGGGCATTGGCTGCCGTTTGAGGAGTTAGGGGCGAGGGTGCTAGAGAGGATTGTTGAGTGGGAGTTTGAGAGTTTGGAGGGGGATATGCTTGGGGGTTTGGAGGAGGTGAAGGTTATGGTGGAGAAGTGAGTGAGTTGGGGATGTTGATATGACTGGCTGACTGGCTGGCGGAGCGTATGACGGGCTTGGTCTGAGCTGGTTTGGATAGGGTCTGGGGCAAAGATGTCTGGAGATGAGGTGAGACGGATGAGGATTATAAACTGGTCTCGAGGCATGGCATGTATAGTGCTTGGGCGGGGATTTGTTTTGGTCCGTCTGGCTTGCGATATTGCATGCAGATATGTTATGCTGCGATGACGGCCGGCCGGCGCTATCGCGTTTGGTGTTTGTATGATACCACTCCATTACCAATGATGACGATTTATCTCCAACACGCAATCAGAGTGTCTATCCAGTGTTGGGGCTAATGCTTCTGAGCATTAGGAAGCATGAACTGTGGATTCTCAGAAAGCTATCACTGCTGCGAAGCTGAGGAGTCAAGATTCTGACTGACATGATGACATGAAACCCTATGATCTCAGCATATGGAAATCACCATAGTCATTTCAGCAAGCGATGATGAGGAAATATAGAAAGTGAAGAAAGACGAGCATATATTATCATATCATAGGAAAGAGTGGAACGGAAACGCAAGTGGAATCCATATCAGAGCTAGAGCCCGTCTATCACTATGTGATGCTGCTCACACCCGCTATCCATCCACTGTTAGAAGTATGAGTACGCCTGCACTTTCTTGTGTACAGACAGTCTGTGCGGATTTACGCATGCATACCCAGTTACTGAGAAACTGGTTTTGGTGAAATTCAGATACCGATGGTATTATAGATAGAGCTTTGGTCTACCACAGCACTAGCTCGGGTTTTTCTTCCTGGAAAAGATAATGTGGTTTCTTGGTGGAGGCGTTGGAGAGCGCTTGTGCTGGTGCTTTGGGTGGTTGTGTGCTTATGTGAGTCATGTGCTAGACCAGCACCATTTGACTATTACCATTGTGTCAAGAGATGTAATATCTATTGCACACGCACTCGAACTCATCTTACAAGGTGTCCCTCCAGGGATAGAATGTCTCCCTCAGCTAATGGACAATTCAAGAGGGAGGCAAAGGAGTAAGCTCAACATCCCTCCCCCCGCCTCCAACCTTGTGCGAACAAGCAACATCTACTTAGCATTAGCCCCCCAAGCCTTCACTAAAAACTACCATGGCAAATCAACTTACAATCATTTTCATCCTCTTCGCTGTCCTCCTCATCCTTAACCCTACTCTGCACTACGCGGTAAATCGTATCCACGAGCTGCCCCACTCCCAGCATAAGCGGGACAAGTTGGCTAGGAGAACGCAATGTGTACACGTCCGTGACGTGATTCCATTTCAACGTCATCTCGCAGCCCGCAATAGAGATTGGCCAGACGACGACCATCAGCCAGACCAAGTAATCGGAGCCTTCTTGGGATTCATCAGGAATGCGCCAGAAGAAGATTGCTAGAACAAGGCGTTAGCTATTACACCCACCTACACGCTTCCAAGATTCCCTACCACTTTGGAATGACCGGAGAGTATCTAGATGGCAAGAGAAGAATAATACATACTAACTAGCGCCGCATAACCCGCATGAATCGCCGAAAACGTAAATATGACCTTGGAGAAGGTGCGAAACCAGTGATACACGCTGACCTTTGCAAAAACGAACACATAGTCATCTCTGCACCCTGTCTTTGGCAACCAATCCAATCCACGATACCAAAACCAAGTTAAAAAGAATACTATGCCGCTAATCAACAGAATCCAGATCTTGGTGGCCAGCGGATGCAGTCGCGCCATTGAGGGAGCGAGACCGCCGCTGAGCTGTGGCATGAGTAGCCAAATCATGATTTGCACTTCCGGCGCGTAGATTTCTTTGCGGTTGACCATGCGCGCGAGAAGGCTGAAGGAAGCAAGGACGAAGACGAAGGCGGAGTTGCGGAGGAGGGCTGCAGACCGCATTTTTAGTCCGCGGGTTATCAGGATGGAGATGAATTGAATATATAGGCCGAGGCGGAGACCGAGGCCGTAGAGGTCATTGTTTCCTTGGATGGGGCATTCTGTAGTGCGCATTGTTGGATTGTAAAATATCTAGAGAATTGTATGCAAGAAGCGACAGGAAGAAGTGAACAGGAGGGGAAGAAAGTGTCACGCTATAAAGATTGAGAGTTGCTACGCAAGAAATACTAGAGCAAAGCTGAAGAGCGGCATCCATTCGTTGGGGTCGCGGCATTATGTTACATTCATATATATTCCATCGCGCTCCTCTGACGAGGCTGTGGCCAGAACAACGAATCCCCATCAGCTGAAGGCATGGGGATTGAAGTTGTGACACAGACAGGCCACGCCCCATACAGTGGCGTACGGTGGCGTTCTCGGTTCGGCAATTTTCAGCGACATCCCTAGTGGGGTCCATGAAAACAGGAGCGAGGCTCAGCTCAGCCCTGAGAAATCATAGCAGTGAAAATAACATTTACCAATGCTAGATCCATAAAAGCTCTGTCGAACCACTGCGAGGTTGGCGTTAATATTTCGCGACAATATTTCCCGGATTTTCAGACATCTCACACTTCGTCGAAAACTTCGATTCGACCCGTCTGATCCAAGAGCATGGCAGCAGTCTCCCAGATCTGCGCTTTCCCAGGCAACCAAGATCTCTACGGCGCCGGGATCCGCATCGGCTTATACCTGCAGTGGATAGCCACTCTCCTCGTCACAATCTTCGATCAGAAAGAAGAGCAAACTCTTCGTGTTGTCAACCTTCTCGTCCAGTCTGCAATTTTCCTCGGGCTCTGCATTATCCCCTCACCCCAGATTCACCCCATCGAGCCCGTGATCACGCTCTGGTTACTAGTAGGAGCACTTTCGAGCCTTACTGGAGATGGACTCAGTTACTTCGCCCATTTTTCAGGCGCCTTCCGTGTTGCGTTTTACACAGCACTTTCGACGTACTCGTGCTGGTTCTGGTTCGTCGGAATTGAAAGCATGTTGCAGCCAGAATGCAAAGTCGTTGCTTTCTTTGGCGGCACTGCAATCGATGGCCGTTTCCGAACATTCAGTAAAGTCGTCTCCGTCGGAAGCCTCGCAGTGTGTGTCTGTTGCTTCGGTTTCGTCTTTTGGGCAATGTTGCAGCGATGCAAGAACACAAAAGGAATACATGAGAGGATTGGATCCCCGGCACCACGAGTAGAGTTATCTCTGTTGTTTCTATCGTTGGGTCTCATTGTCGTTTCAATCGTCGCTATCGAGTACCTTATCAAAGCGAATAGTATTTCTGGAACGAATGAGGTTGAGTCAGTGGGGCAGTTGATACCACTACTTGTTGGCGCACTCGGATGTGGGATGATTTGCTGGAGGATACTCAAGAAATTCCTTTTTCGGAGGAAGAGATGCTGGTTCTTGTTTGGATATCACCTTTGACAGTGATTAGGAGTTTCGGATGCTAACACAAGCCGGTTGTTGGCTGGCAGGCAACTAGAACTGGAGGTCACGACGATTAAGCAAGCGAAGCAGGCAATGTAATGAGAAATACCCTGGGCGGAGATCCGCGCATGAACTTGTTCCTCGACTAGCAGAATTATAAAACCACTGTGTTGGTATCCATGAAATTTTCCGACACACTCCGCCTGAGTGGGACGTTCGTCTGAGAACCCTTGAACGATGACTCACTAGTCTTAGCCTCCACCAGAGCATTGTTGTGGCAGACGAGCAATCGGAAGACGTACCAGTTTTCCATCTCGGCAAAAACATGCCTAAATGACAGATGGGGCGGGGAACTGTGGGGAAAGGTGAACAGCGAATAATCTCTTCAGGTTGATGAGATGGGAACATAGACTATTTAGCGAGGAGCTAATAGCAATGCTACGTGAAGAATGAGAGAGAGAGGTAGAAATAGATAAAGCATGAATGAATAGAAAAATAGGGAAAGTCATGTTTTATACTTCATTAATCCGTACTCATACCAAGAGCATGTCCTCATCCACCTCCCACCCTTCCCAAGTCGGCCTGTCGAATCCATTAGGTCTTGAACTACGTAGGAAACCATTCCACGTCCCTTCGATATCAATGACAGGCTTCACTGTTCGGACGTTCGCATTGAATCCCCGGCTGAAGCATTCCTGCAGATGGCGCTCCTCAAATAGCTCCGGATGTACTCGCCTCATTGTTTTCAACGCCCTCTTTCCTACTTCATCTACAGAATCATGATGTGCCAATTGAAAGAACTCGGCATCATGCTGCTCTCTTAATTGAGCCATCGTCACCTTGTCGTAGACCCCAAGCTCGAGCAGGAAAATGTCGTACTGACACAGTGACGTGGCTCCAAAGTAACTACCCCCCTCTTTTGCTCTCCTGTACAATCCTACCAGTGCAGCAATTGTCCCCATGCAGCCAGTGCCATAGTCGCTCATTGGGAACGGTGGTACGACAGGCTCATTCAGTCCCATAGAAAGGCCTTGATACCATGCAACACCAGTCACACAATCAGCAATCTGCTGCCAGCCTGGTCGCGATGACCAGGGGCCAACGTGTCCAAAGCAGTTTTCGGCAACGTACACGATGCCACGTTGGCGATGCTTAGTAAGTTGGAGGATCTGCCGGGGGCCGTATCCGAGGCGGATAAGGGAACCAGGGCGGTAGCCGTCTAAAACTACATCCGCCGACTGTAATAATTCCTCGAAAGTCTTTCGATGCTCGGGATTGCGTAGATTGAGATTGGTGGTGTGCTTCCCTAGATTACCATCGACTTGGAAGAATGGCACGTCGGATAACTCAGGGGATGTGACCTTGATGACTTCGGCGCCATACTCAGCAAGGCCACGTCCAATGGCTGGCCCAGCAATGATGCGGCACAGTTCGAGGACACGAACTCCCGATAGAATTTGCGGTTTAGGTGCGCGAGAGGGTGCCCGCGGGAAAGGAACAGGTGGCGACCCTGTCTCAAGTGTTTCAAGCTTCCACGGAGGCTGCCGAAGAAGCTCTTGACCGTGTTGGGTAGCCCGGAACTCATCCCATTTCAGACATGTCACGCCAGCCTGCTTGATGGTGGCGTTCATCTCCTCGAGCTGATCGGCTGTGAACTGCTTGACATGATCTTCTATTACCCTGATGCATTCATGGTAATCGGTTAGGTCTGGTCGATGCCCCTCGAGACCAATCATGTTCAGAGCTTTCGTAGCCTCGAGGGAGCCATGCAGGTGGAAAAATTCGCCGGGATTCTTCGTCTCGTAGAGATTGGCGGACAATCTTCGGTAGAGAATAGACTGCGCTTTGAGCAGGTCCGTGTCTGAGGGGGATTAGAACAGCAGGAGTCCCAGCCTGGCTATACTTGCCTTTTAGCAGTGTCTTTACTTTAGGGTGAGCTTTGTCCATGCCCCCAACAGTGGCGAGATATGTTGAAAAGAGGAATGCAGAGGCTCTTTCGAGGTCGACAGTGATATTCCTCTCTTTCCCCCCGACTGACAAGTCTGCGATTGCGGCAGCAACCCCTGCTTCCACCGCTTTGAGAGCAGAGATTGCCTCAGTCTGCTTGAGAGGACTAGGAAAATAGGGGCTTCCGGTGTTGGCTGTCTGGAAGTCCACGTTTGCTATGTGTGGTAGACATTCTTCAGGGAGTTGCCCGTTTGATCGGGCGAGCAGATGCTTCAATGCTGCTTGGGTGCCTTCCAGTAGTGGGGAGATGTGTGGTGTAGCTCCATTGGTGTAACCGTTCTCAACTCCCAGAAAAGGTGTCATCTTCGTGAGTTACAACTAGACCCGGCAAAAGAGGAGACTTGGGGAGAGAAAGCAAGAGATGAAAGGGCAGGAGGACTATAAGAAAATAGAGGGACGGCGGAGGCATTTGGCACTGGAAGCCCATTGCGGACCGCCGTCTAGTGTTCGTTAGCCCCATCCTTCTCGTCGGCGCCCTGTGGTCAAGCCTCATGTAATCGGATGCTAATCGCACTGTTGTGAACTGCGGATGCAGCCAGGCGCAAGGCTGGCGGCCCTAGATTGGGACGATTGGGGTGAATTGAAAGGCAGTGATCAGAGTCGTCTGGCTGTCGTGACTGGCGGTGGCAGAAGTGAGGGGTGCGCTTGCCGATGATGCACGCTGCAGACACCTCGGCTTGTGGCACGTGCCCTGTTTACGAGCTGCACAGTGCACACTTTGCGCTTCAGCCCTGGAGAGAGCCAACCACCACCAGGACTTCTCCATTATCAATTCACTCTGTTGTGCGATCATTCGTCGATCGCGACATCGCTCTGCACTCACGACCCCCCTTCCACATGTGTTGATGACTGCTGCCTCACTCACCCGCCTGTTCGATTGCCTCTCCCTCATCCGACGCTTGTGTCAATTTCTCGAATCACCCCTGTATCGGGGCCATCCGACAACTCGGAAGAAGAACATCCACTGCCTCCACCACAGCACTACCCGTGCCTAAATCCGTGTCACAGCAAAAAGCATCTTCGGCATGACTCGGCCCAAGGTGCCGCCAGAACAAAGGCAGCGCACCGCCCAAGCGTGCGAGAGCTGCAAGCGGCGCAAGCAGAAGGCGAGTTGACGTGCGTTTTCATATTAGTCTCATCAAAACTATGCATCTCGCCAAATATAGGAATGCGGATGTGATATCAATGGCCTTGTTCCGGGTCATGGTGCCGGATATTTCTGAACATTCAACATCGTTCAATTCAATCTGCCTGCATTCACATCTCAACTCCGTGTTGGCTTCTTGCCTGATTGGCATTCGATTCCCTACCCCTGAGATTTCCTAATCCGCATGTCTCAACAACCCTTGGTGGATGTTGGGTGCGACGTTACCCAAACCGCCCATGTTGGGAATGCAGACTGACGGATTCGAAGTGCAACGGTCTTTGTCCGTGCAACACGTGTGAAAAGGTAGCATTCATCATAAGCAACGCCACTCTATCGTCATCGCTTACTCTGTGTAGCGAAAGTTCACCTGCATCTATGCCGAGCGAGATGCGCATTCGCCGTCTGATGACAGACCGGCAAAGAAGCGAGCGCTCAACGACGGTGACCATGATAATCAAGGGGGAACTGACCTTTCGGCGTCAAACACCCCTACAAATGGTCTGCCGGCGCATTCACCCCTCCCGCGCCGGTCCCAAGGACCTTCGTTGGCCCATCAGCACTCCAACTTCTCTGCACCTGAGTCCAGATCGAATCCTTTGAGCGTCAAACATGAGGAGAACTCGTTCCAACCCCCGGATGAGAGGCCGACTGTGGAGGCCGCAGCCAGATCACTGCAGCAATTTGCTACTGGTCAGCCGGCAGAAGAACAGCAAACACTAATGTCACGTGAGACAACTGTGCAGAGTGGACAGGATGAAGAAGCCGTTGTCTACACACAGAGCAGGATGCTGCAAGACCCTACCGGCAGATTGCGTAGGTTTTCTATTTCCATATTGCTTCAATCTCTGTTCGCCTTCTCCATCACATCCAATATCTTCTCCATTCGCGTAAAAATGCGTAATGTGGGCGATATGCATGTAGCTGCACGTCATACATCGCTTATGCGGGTCGTAGTGGTTATTTGCAATAGCGCCGTTTACGTTTATTTTACCGGATTAGGCGCATTTTCTTGCATTGCAATGGTGTGTCGAAGTTGAGGCTCACACCAGCTTTCAAGAGGGCATCAAGTTGTAATTGCAGCAGCCACTAGCAAACTAAGATCTCAACTTCTCGCGATGGAGGGTGCTAAAGCCTCACGCTGTAGCCTTGTTACAACGGTTGCCAAGAGAAAAGATAATGGTATTGCCTGGCTTATTGCTTTGTCGCGTTGCCTTTATCCTTCACGGTGCCAGCTGTACCTCTCATCACTCTTCCCGTCTGCTTCGACTTTGAGCTATGTATTTAGCTAACTATATCTAGTATATGTTGGTGACTCCGCGACGCTCTCGTTCCTGCAATTGCTCCGGATGATGGTAGAGAATGTCGCTGGCACATCACCATTTACCAACGACCCTCGCCGTCACAAGATTGTCGAAGGCCAATTCTCGCTTCCAGCCGGTGCTCGGCACACGCATCTCCTCCCCGATAAGAGAACCGCCCGAGTCCTTGTCGACGCGTTCTTCATCAACACCCATGGATTTCTCCAAGTCTTTGACCGCCAGAAGTTCCTGGAAGACCTTGAAAGATGCTATTCTGACCCTCTTTCTACGGAGCCTTCGTGGCTTTGCCTGTTGAATTTGGTGTTCGCAATCGGGCTCACAATGGCCACACCTCTTTCTGGAAGCGACGAAGCACTTGTTATAGAGAAATTGAGGAGCGAGCACCTAGACAGAGCCGAGGTCTTCTACCTGAACGCAAAGAGTTTAAATGATCCTCTTACAGGATTTGAAGAGGAGGACTTCTGGTCTATTCAAGCGCTGCTCCTCATGTCTGTATACATGCTTGCCAAGTCAAAGCGCAATACCGCATTCGCCCTATTAGGCATGGCAGCCCGATCTGCCCACGCTCTTGGTCTCCATAGGGAAGAAACAATGGTGATATTTAGCCAAGAGGAGCAATTGCAGCGCAAGAACTTATGGCGCTCGATATTTGTTGTCGATCGCCTCTTATCCTGTTCGCTGGGCCGTCCGACAGCAATCTCAGAAGACGATTGTTCTGGCGACACACTTCGGCCTGCTGACCCGCCTCTAGAGGCTCCGTTCAATGCCAATTTCCCCCCAAAGGCAACTTTCAATGAGACCGGAGATTGCGCACTGGAAGCTGCAGTCAGGAGTTGTTCTGTCATTGGCTTGATCCTCAGAAAGGTCTACCAACAGCGCAAGATCAGCACTAGGCTCGCGCAAGAAATTGCTGATATCTGCAAGACATGGCCTCGCGCTTTACCTTCGATCCTCCACTGGCGCCAGGCTGCTAATGCCAGTCCTAGTCAAGGAGTTGCTATTCTGCATGTAAACCTCTTCTACTGTCATTCCATCATTTTGCTCACAAGGCCCTTCTTCCTCTACATCTTAAATCTCGAAACTCAACGACAAGCCAACCAAGCGACAACTGGACATAAAGGGCAAAGGCCATTCTCCCGTATGGAGAAGTTTAGTGAAGCGTGTGTCATCGCATCCACCCACACCATCCTTCTGGCTCAAAATGCCTTTGATGCTGGATATCTTTCACGCCGTAATCCTGCCGTCATCTACTTTCTCTTCGCTGCCGCGCTTGTCATTCTGTCGAATGAGTTTGCGGCCCTGTATCGAGTCGACGCATCAGATACTTGCATTCTCAATTCCATCAATATCATGAGCTATTGCGCTGAAAGTGATCAGCAAGCGAGCCGTCTGGTGTATATCTTGACTGCTTTCCGCGACGTCGTTGCCGCACAGCGATTGAGACGGAAACAAAATCAGCCAGAGGTCATCAATCTTCCAAGTATATCATCCCAGCTTTACGGCGTCCCAATCTCAAATCAACACCAGACTCCAAACAGCATGGGATCGGACCAGCTAAACGCAACACCTCGCCTTCACCAAGTCCCAGTCCACATTTACCCTGGGATGCAAACAACTCCATTACCGAACGATATGGGCCATAATTACCAATCCGAGTCTCAGCCAACGCCGTCCGTTTCCATCTCCCACCTCTCGCCTGTCCATAATCCCCCGGCGACAACAACCCCCTCCGAACAATTCACCCTGAATCCTCTTTCGAAACCTCCGCCACTCTCAAACGTCCTCGACCTCTCTGCGCTCGATGCGGCTAGGGCGCCGAGTATGTACTCTGAAGAAGGCAGTGGACCAGACGAACATATTGATTTTGACGCGCTGTGGGCTTGGCCGAGTAATACCCCAGCGCTGGGCACTCCCCGAGTACAAGGAGAAGCAGATATGAATAATGGAGTCTTTGATAGAGTCCAGGGCGTGAGTGATAGTTCAGTGCCGCTTTTTGGAGTTGTGAGAAATGAGGGTATGGAATAACTATCGCTGGAACGATCTACGAAATGGCGCATTGAACGGAAATTAATAGGTCTCAGAAGTGTCTGCTGGATAGCGTTCTGTGTATGAATAATGGTGTCTTCCTTTGTATATACAGATACACTGGGTCTATAATACTTTCACAAGACCTTGTTCAAACATAACCCCACATACGGAATATCTCGCTAAGTTTTGATATACCTTCTGGCCCGACGTGACTCTATACTGCTGCGATTCGATGGTAAGGCACTTGCCATTCGATGCGCATCATGCTGATGTCAGTCTGGGGAATCAAAGTTACCCCAGGCGGATAAACCTCCTTATTCGGCGCGGACTGTGGCTAAATGGACTAGTGTGGTGTGGGACGGTGATGTATTAATAAGTATATCTCCTTGAGATCCACAGAACTTCAGCATTTGAACCAGCGAAGTACTTAGTGTTGGTCTTTAGGTAGGCATCTTCGATTTAATGGCGAGTTCTGTTATAGTCGTACTTCCTCCTTTCATTCTTCCCTCATCGACGCTTTACCCTCTTATGACTGTTCTTGTTCTCTCCTTCAAATCACATTATGGAAATACCCAATTTCCATCTCCAGAGCGCACCGCGCCATCACCCCGCATCTGTGCCGGGATCTATCAAAGCTTCATTCTCTAAGATATTGTGAGATTTGTGGAAAATCTCGAGTCGACCATGCATCCATAATTCCGGAATTTTACCGACCCCCCTCTGGCCAAGGCTGGGCAAACAACGATCGCGGTCGTTGGTAACCAGAATTCCATTCACCTGGATCGGTTCAGTTCTCACTGTAAGATGTACCGGAATCTTGATTGGAAGGAGGCCTTGGGGTGCGATGGAGAGCGTGTATATACTTATACGTACAGCTTCATGCCCCCAGATACCTGAGATGTACTGCACCTAGCACTTCCATCCACCTTTGACCGGGAGTTTCTCTCCTTCTTCCATCCATTTATTCGATCATGGGTCCGGAAGCCACATCTCCAGAATTCCTAATCCAGAATCTCATCAAAGATGACACGACACACTGGTTCCTCAAACCCAACCTCCGTCGCCTGTACTTCTGTCTCGTCCCGTTCTGCCTCTTCATCGAATCAACCTCGGGTTTCGACTCGTCTATGATGAACGGTATGCAAGCGCTCAGCTACTGGAAAGAGTACTTCAGCCATCCAAAAGGCGGGCAACTTGGTCTTCTAGTCGCTTGCTACAACCTCGGCGCGCTTACTAGTATCCCTTTTATTTCGATTGTGTCGGACCATGTTGGGCGTAGATGGAGTATTGTGTTTGGGAGTGTGGTGATGCTTATTGGGAGTATTATGCAGGGGCTGAGCGTAAACTGTAAGCTCCGTACTTTATACTACAGTAACTCCGTTTTGGAGGTGTATGTATGCATCCGTGCTGAAATATGACAGTGGCGATGTTCGTCTTCTCCCGCATTTTTCTCGGCCACGGTATTGTTTACGCCATCGTCGGCGGTGCTGCTCTTCTTGGAGAGCTTGGGCATCCTAAGGAAAGAGCGTTCCTTGGATCTTTGTTCAATGCTTTTTATGGGATCGGGGCAACTATCGGCGCTGGGATAGTCGTTCGCACGCTCTTGATAAAAAATGATTGGAGTTGGAGACTGCCTAGTTTACTGCAGGCCTTACCGTCGGTTATTCAAATTGCCTTTGCATTTACGGTACCGGAGAGTCCACGTTGGTTGATCTCGAAAGATCGGTCCGAGGAGGCGCTTGAAATATTGATCAAATATCATGCTGAAGGCGATGCATCTGCCGAGTAAGTTTAGGCCCCGTTTCTCCCAACCACCATGTATCATACACATCTAACTCCAACTAGACTTCCCCACGTTGAATTCGCCGAAATCCAAAACGCGCTAAAACTCGAAAACGAATCCCGCCGCCGCGGCTGGGCCGAACTCTTCCAAACCTCGGGGATGCGTCGTCGCTCCCTAATCGCTGCCATGCTAGGTCTCTTCGTACAATTCTCCGGAAACAATCTCATCTCGCAATACCTCGTCCCTATCCTCGAAAAAATCGGCATCCGCGACTCGCATACCCAAGTCCGCTACAATGTTGGTACTCAAGCCTGGGGCTTCGTCATCGGTATCATCATGGCCAACATCTCCCCAAGGTTCCCACGACGTAGGATGTATCTGCTATGTGCGTGCAGTTTGGTGGTTGTATATACCGTGTGGACGATTTGCCAGGCTAGGAATCGGATTACGGGGAGTAAGGAGAGTGGGTATGCAGTGTTGGTTATGATTTTTTTGTATAGTCCGGCATATTGTTTGGGGTATAATGCGCTGACGTATGTTTATCTTGTTGAGCTATTTCCGTACTATGTTAGGACGAAGGGGTTGAGTTGGTTCCAGCTATTCGGCCGGACAGCTGTCATGTTTGGTAAGCTATCCGGGAAGTTCACATGCTAGGTCCGTCCGGACCATACAACAGGGGAGAAACTAGAGAGCGAAGCTGACAGTGAACAGGAAGTTTTGTTAATCCAATTGGACTTCAAAACGCGGATTGGAAGTACCTACTGGTGTACGTTTGTTGGTTAGTTCTTGAGGTTGCCTTTATTTACTTCATGTTTCCTGAGACCTACGGCAGAACCCTGGAGGAATTGACGTTCTGTGAGTGGATTAGAACCGAGATGTGCGAACTGAGAAAAACTGACTTGTTTGCAGTGTTTGAAGGTCAGGAGAAGCAGACAGAGCTTCTTCAGCAGGCTCACAAGGTCTTAAATGACTCGGTGACTGGGAGGCATGGAGCTCTATATAAGAAGGCGTAGATGGGTCCGGAATGGAAGTAAGCTGGAATCTTAGGCGGATCTTGGTGGGTAAGAAAACGTGCGAGGTTGCATTTAAAGTCGAGCTCGATCGTTGGAGAGATCAGGCCCCTAATGACTTTTCTGATTAAATATATAGCTTGCTGGATCGAAGGGCAGAAGTTGTGCACATGGCGGTTCCCTCTTCAGGACTCCCTCTTAAGAACCCCCTCTTTCAACTTCATTGAAATAGAACTTTTGAATCAGTAGCTTCGCTCACGTCTCCCAGGGAAATTCTGTCTATAATATTAGGGAGACAACCTAAGATGGAATGACGGGAAGGTCTTCAGAAATGCCAAAGACCCTAAGAGTATCGGCCTTACAACGACTCACCTACAGACACTCCCTTTACATTGCAACGACCAATCTTCAATGACTTATATCCAATCATAATCCATACCATTCATTTTATCGATCATCCCATCACACCATCCTTCCTTCTCTCTCTCCCCTCTTTACACCAATCCCTCAATCTCCCCCACAGCACCCTATTACTCGAGATATCCTGTAACTCACGCTAAACTACTGCCTTTGACACCACTCTCATCTCCATATACCCCACGATCTCCAACTCCCCTAGCGCCCCATTTACATGTCCCAAAAACGATTTGCGTTCCGGAATCCCAGGCTGACAACCCACTACCCCAACTCACAGAAAAAAAAACCACAGGAATAGAATTCCCCCGCCCCTCTGGGGTCCATCAGCAGCTACGGCGAAGATTTGAGGTTCTGCTGCGCGTTGGGTACAAGCAGTAAGGGGTCGGGTTGATAACGTTCGCACCAGAGAGAGGAGGTGTGGGTGATGGGGTATGCGTGGACGGCTTCTTCGAGACAAATTTCTTTACTTGTGTGGCTGGTTGTATGGGATATATTTATGATAATTTGTAAAGAAGTGTAAGGGTAAACGAGCAGGGAGGGGAAGTACGTTGCGTCAGTGCAGTTGGAGGATTGTTGGTAAGTTTGTATCCTTTAGAAATTACTTGTAAAGTGCTGTCAAGAAAAGATAAATCAGCAACATACCTCTATCCCCACTAAACCGGCCATCTAGCAATCGTCTAATCACTCACTCTAATCCCCTACTCCTGATTGTGTTCCTCTATTCCCCCAGTCCCCCAACCGTCCCGGCGCTCTCAACCATCTCTCTCACCAGTCTCAAACACTTTCCAAATTAGGGGCGAAGAGTGAGGACGAGAAGAAGGGGCTTTGAAGGGCAGAAAGGTGCGCGCAGTGCTTTCTGAGCAGACCTGGGTAGGAATGGATAAGATAGTGATGGTTCTGTTGGCGAGGCCAGGGACACGCGGCGAGTGGGAGTGGAGGGGAACTAGATCGAAAATTAGGCTAGAATGTGCTGTGAAGGAAAATAGGTTGTTTTGCAAGACGTATTCTGCAATGAGAGACGTGTGCGAAGCAACTTGGGAGCTGTATTGGCAAGCGCATGTATAGGATAAATTCTGTTTAAGTAGTAAGGAAAGGGTGCTCGTCGAGATGAGTACGTGGTAAGATATTGGCGCAGCTAGGGGTATAAATTTGAAGCTTAAGGAGAGGGTTGAAGTGGACTATAGAGGAGGGACAATGTGGTCTGATGAAAACAACCTTGAAGCGTGCCTAGTGTAGGTGGATGACGCGTAGGTACGTGAATTTCTCGCGAATTTCGCATGACATGACATTGCGGGTGAGAAAGAGAAGATGATCAGCTTGGAACATCATGGACCAACAAAGGACGCAATCCGTTCCACCAGTATCATTTCCCGTCTTAAAGTTGTGACAAGCTATACATCTGTAACGACTGTCCACTTCATCGTAAAGCAAACAATCATCAAGCACTCAGTAGTCCTACGCAAGATTCCTCCCATTCTCTCATACACATGAAATTTCTGTTCGCAATTGAACTCGTTAACCAAGTCAATCCCTTACAGACTTTAGACCTAGTAGCGAGATGTACCTAGCACGAACCCTCCTGTCCTCCAATTTGTGATGCATCACAACCATCAGGGTAGAAGAAGCTGGCTACGGCAATGATAATATACGCAGCAATTAGTAAGCTTCCTTCGAGGTAGTTACTTCTACCGTCGAGGACAAGAAAGTTCACGACAAAGGCTGTGACAAAGAGTGACACAGTCTCGAAGATGTTGAAATAGAGTGACATCTCTTTGCCCATGATCCAACCAAGGATGACGATGAAGGGTGTGACGAAGATTGCTGAGAACATTAGTTTCAAGCAAAGCCGGGAAGAAGAGGAAACATACCAATTTGGATGGAAGAACCAACTGCAACGCCGATAGCAAGATCCATTTTATTCTTTGCGGCGACTGTGACAGCGGTAACGTGCTCGGCTGCATTTCCAACAATGGGGAGGATGATCAGACCGATGAAAGCTTGGCTGATGCCAGTCTTTTCAACCATAGGCTCAATGGCGTCGCTCATGAAGTCAGCACAAATGGCAACTAATCCAGTGCTAAGAAGTAGCATCATAATCGCCGCAGTGCGAGACATCACAGGGGATTCTTCTTCCTCTACCTCGGATTGCACGACGGTTGGGGTTCGAGTGGCGTGATGTGAGAGGGTAGGCCGGTTATTGTAACTTGATTGAGAACCGACACGATTGATGCGATCAGGCAGAGAGGTTGTGCGGCGCAGCGTTCTAGGTCCTGCCATGCGAATGTTGCTGAGGGCAGGAGAGCCAGTGGGTGGTGGAGGATTTTGAGGGTTGTTGAATACATTGTTTGAAAGCAGCGATGGCAAAGCCGGCCGGAGAACGAAAGGTCGCTTTGGTGCTGGCGCGACTTCTGCCTGCTGAACCTCATCAGCAAAAGCAACCCTCGGTGAGTTGTCCTCCCCGCGCGACGATGGGCGGGGACCATTTTCGTCTTTCTCCACATCAAGGCGCCTATGTTTTCGGTGCTTCTTCTTGTGCTTCGATTTTCGCTTTTCACGCCTGCCAACGGGTGGGGAGATCGATGTACCTGCTTCAAAGTCACGAACGTGCGGAGCGTGAGAAAGTTCGTCGGTATCGGCTTCATCTCCGCTCAAGATAGCGCCCAAAATGGATCCTGTACGAGACATGGGGTTGGAGTTAGAGATGTTTTCGTAGTCAGCGCCATTGCGAGATTCAAAATAATTGTTGTGTTTCTCAACAGAAGGTGAGCTCATTACAGAGGGTGCTGAAGGGGTGTCCTTAGAGCTTGCACTGGACTTACGGCGTTTCCGGTTTCGGAAAGCGCGTCTAATCCTCTTTGCAGTCGTATGCGAACCAGCCGAGCTGTCGCTGTCTGTGCTGCTGGAGTCCGAGGAAGAATCTGACGAGCTCGAAGAATTTAGGATATCCGCTAGGACACCAGGGTGAGATTCCTCGTCAATGATATGCTGGGGTGTACTTGCGGCTTGTTAACTCAATGATGCTCGCATTGCATAAGGAATGGTTGCGCCCACTTACCTAGCGTACATGTAGGCATGGCTCTTTAGCTGGAACAGTAAATAGAGAACGTAGACTACTAAAAGGATCACACTTGTGCCACGGCTGACACGTAATGTCTGAAGGTCAGCCGTTGAATAACTTGAAAAGGCCGAGTGGAATGCTGTTGGTAATAGCAAACTCATGACAGCCAGGCTGAGCATACACGCACTCATTTGGGTAACGGTGCTGTTGTATATCTAATAATCTGATTAGTGATGTCACGATTTCAGCGTCGTTTCGGCGTCACTTCGGCGTCTCGGACTCACCTGCTCCTGATAGCGCAAACCGCCGAGCAGAAATGCCATTCCTAAAATCAACAGGAGATTTGCAAGGATAGACCCAAGCAATGCTGCCTGGACGACCCGGACCTGGTTGCCAGCAAGCAGGATGATGAACAGGATCAACTCGACGGCATTTCCGAAAGAGACGTTCAGCAGGGCCCCAAGCGTATCTCCAAGCCGAGCCGCAACAGCTTCGGTAGCATGCGCCAGCAAACCAGCCAAAGGAATGATAGCAATAGCATTCATGGAGAAGACAATTTCTGGGGAGAGGCCTGCGGGATGAACGGCAATACCGATGGGGACAAATATCTGGGCACCCCGTTAGTTCCGTAGCGAAAGATAGCCGGACTTAACACCAAGCTCAACATACCAAGAGCACATTAACCCAGCTGTGGAGTAAGGCATCTTTTGTGTGTTTCCCAAAACGGACAGTGCCATTTTTCATGCGAGTGAACATGGGAGGTTTTGGTTCTGGTGCTACGGGGGAAGGTGTCTCTCCCGCTGCCTCGGCATTGAGCGGAGGAGGAGCTGGGGGAGGCGGAGAGGTGGACTCCTTGTCGGCGACATTGTTGCGGTTAGGTGCGCGGTCGCGTTGTTCCGGGGCATTGCTGCCGACTGACTTCTCGGAGAAGGCGTTTGTGGGGGGGACGGTAGAGCGCGTGGGGCTGGTTCCATAGATGGTACGGGAGTGTGTTGGGAGGAATAGTTCGGCGGGATGCTTATCACGTCGAGTCAAGCCAAGCACTTTCGCCTTAGACTCGACACTGTGGAATAAGGAAGGGTCGTCAGATTCTCCCATCGATGGTGGTGTTGTATCTGTGCAGCAAAGGCGAGTACAAAGTACTAGGGGAGCCACGCAAGGTAACGGGCGCGCAGCCTGGTTCAGTGTGCGCTACTGCCAAGGGCTAAGCCAACCGAGAGGAGCAAAGATTGCCACAATCAACACGTTGATCCGTGGGAATCGTCATGCCAAGACCCCGACGCCTTGCTTCACTTTACTTGTGCGTTGCTTGGTTGAAGCTTTCGCCACATGCACCGCCACATTCGCCGGAAATTGGTCTTATCGCTGCTTAATACTTAGGCTGTATAGCCGCTTACATCTTGGATGCGAGGAGCGAAGCGCGCACCGAGTCAGAGAATCAATCGTCACCTTTGTTTTGCTATCTAGCACCCTGAATGTAGCCCTTGTAAGACGAAGAAGGCATTCCAGTATTTCCTGCTCATAGCTGCGCTACCAGGATTGTCGTCACCAACTGTCACATACGCTGGATTTGCCCCACGATGGGGTTGCTCTCTCCATAAGGAATTCTGCTACGCAGAATATATTTCTTGCCCTGCCTTCCAGACCTTCTTCACCTTTCTCAGAGCCTGCAAGTCCTCCGTTGGGTCGCCATCTACAAGTACCAAATCGGCTCGCTTTCCGGGCGCAATAGCGCCACGATCCAGAATGTTAAAGCACTTTGCTGACAGTTGAGTGGCAGCATTCAGAATCTCGATTGGCTTCATTCCAGCTTCAGCTAGCAACTCCATTTCGCGGAAGAGAGCCTCCCCGTGCTTGACTCCTATTGAGCTCGCATTAGAGTCAGTGCCGACAAGAATCGTTACGCCGGCGCGGTACAGCTGCTTAATGGACTCCATCGCCACAGAGAACTTATAATGCGGTTTATAGTTGGCTTTGCAGACCGCCTCCGACAAAACCAGCGTGGGCACAGAAATTATATCTCCCTCGGCCGCCTTGCAGGCTGCCTCTTGTGTGATTGGCTCATCCATTGGAACATGGGTGATGACATGGACGCTGGGCTCAGCTTCCAATGCCATGTCGAATGCGGCTTTGATTGCAGAGTGAACTATAACCGGCTTCTCATGACTTTGAGCCTCCTTGGATAACTGGTCAATGATCTCTTGAGTCGGTCCCGGAACGTCCGCCACAATCTTGATGTAGTCAGCGCCTTGCTTCACGCGCTGTGAAACAAAAGTAGTGGCGGCATTAACGGTGTCCACAATGCTCTCCGAGTTTGCCATGCGGAATTTGCTATGCGTAGCACCGGTTGATGTTGCGAAGTTACCCACATACCGGACATCAGGTAACTCTTGGCGGCTTCGGATAAAGTCATACTGCTCTTGACTCATATTTCCAGTGTCAATGGCAGTGGTAATTCCACATTTCACCATGTTCCGCAGAATTGGAATACTGTTTTCGATTGTCCTCGGAGTTGGATCAGACAGATGAACGTGGGTATCCCAAAGACCAGGAAGGATCGTCATGCCGGTAGCGTCGAAGACTGAGTCAGAAGGATCGTCTGTAAGCAATCCATTCTCGTCGATGGTGACTATCCCTCGCTCTTTGATGATCTTCTCACCATCGAAGATGCGAACGTTGGTGATAGAGAGTTTGGACATTGTACTAGATCTAGAAGGTGCAGGAAAATCGAAGGGAGTGAACAGGAAGAAGATTAGAAGCCTCCTCCTTCACAGGAGGGGGCTTTTATATATCCACGCATTCGAAATACTACCTAACCGCTTCCACCTGAGAAGGAGCCATCTAGATCCCTTTCATCATCCTAGCAATGCAATGTTACAGTACTGTGCGCGCTCTCCGAACATTTGGAAAAAGAGAGCAAATCAGATGGATGAGCGGTGGGTGCTCTGAACAGATCCGTCTTGGTGGTTGGGATGTGAAGAAACTACAAGGGGGCGCTTGGATCAGAAGTTCGTGAAAAGCGCCGAAACAGGTTTAGCGGTTCTTTTGCAGTATCGGCTATTCCTTAACTCCGATCGGGATCCTTCCTGGCTTCCCAGACTTTGACGCGTAGACCATCAGGCTCGCATTATTCTCCACGAAGACACCACTACTGTTCCTGCTTGAATGAACACGGTAACATGGTGAGCCGGGGTGGACGCTCGCGCGGTTGTGAACAGTGTCGTCGCCGGCGCGTCAAGTGTGGTGAGTAGCCAGTAGCGGTGGGTATCTTGAGAGCTAACCAGTCTCAGATGAGACTCGGCCGGTATGTAATCGCTGCACAAAGCGTGGGATTGATTGCAATGGCCCAAAAGACGCCACATGGATCAACCAAAATGCAGCCTTGCCTTTACGGCATACTTCCAACCGTCCAGTAACTACCTCTCCAACAGAAAGCCAATTGGTTCGGTACAGCTCTTCCATCAGCCCAAACATTTCCCTTACCGCTTTCGAGGAAAATATATACATCTCTTATACCCGTAAAGTACTCTTTAAAGGAGGGCCGGTCGCGCTCGCGTGTGATATGGTTCAGCTTGATACTCAAAGCACAAGTGTCAGCGAAACACCGGGTCTTGCCCTCCTTCGAAATGCTGTAGTGAGCCTAGCCGTTACGTTCTATGGAAGCCAACACCATCAACCGAAGATTACGACCAACGGTTACCAACTCTACGGATCAACTCTGCGACAGCTAAACATTCACCTGAGCAAACCCCAGCTTCAGACCACAGACGAAACAATATTGACAGTCTTCACCTGTCTGCTTCTGGAAATCTTTCTTCCCACAGGCAAAAACCATTTCCTAAGGCACATTCGTGGCCTAGAGAGCATCCTTGAACTTCGAGGGCCTCCTACTTCAACTTCAGGCTCGGACTCTTTCGTTTTAGCGCAAGGACTGCGACTAGCTTCGATTTTCGGTGGATTGGCCATGTCAACCCCTTCAATATATTCTCGCGATGAGTGGAAGCGTTCGCCGTCCATAGAATCCAATAAAGGGGAGATCCTTCGACATCGCCTATTTGACGTACTGGCAGACTGTACTCGGCTATTGAGCGAACGTAATACGGTTCTTTCGTTAGGAGGGGCTGAATCTCGTCAGCGCTTGCTTAAGGAGACTAGATCTTTACTGGAAGAACTGAAAAGCTTGCGGGATCTCTGGGCTAGCCTGAATGCAGGTCGATTGACAAATGTTGTTGATGGCCCCGATAATCAACCCAAAAGCCGCTTGACGGTCGCCAATCATGGTTCGGCCACTTTGCTGATGTTGTATAATGCCACCCTCATATTTATCACGGATATCCTGCTTCCATTGGATTCATCGACCGATTATCGTTCAATGCGGCATGCTGCTGCAATGGAGATTGTCTATTGCCTTGACACAAAGAGCTTCACGAAGCGTGAGGCCGGTGCCTACTCCAACTCAATTGGCCATATCGCTGTAAAGGTCGCTTGGAAGGTCCTCGGAGGGTTTAATTCCCCAGAAGGTCGCAAGTTATCTCGGTTGGTCAAGGCTGCCATTGGCGATGTGTTTGCAGTCGGGGCGTGGGCTGATGAAGCTTGGAATGCCGGCTTTGAATTATGATCGCATCACGAGCCTGCAACTCCTCTCCAGGATGGGATTTGCTCATTAAGGTGCGGCCTCATTAGAAATTGGATCACGTGTCTGTATCTTGGCCTCTCCATGCCTTTTCATTTAGCCGGCGGAAGCCAGGCCATTTCGATATGAGTCTACAACGTCACTTTCTGTTATTATTGTCGGATGAAGGGGCGACTCTAAGCCTCAAAAGAACTTTCCATCGTTTCACAGCGGCCGTAACCTATTTAGTCAGGGGCTAGTCCTTTCCACCAATGATTGATCTTACTGACAATTTCCTTAGATCCACATGCGTGTCGCAACAGAATCACGAGCCTATCGACGTCCTAGCTTTCTTATTATTAGGACTTTGGTCCAAGAGTATTCGGTCCGGACATGCAAATTCGCCTTACCGATTCCACGGATAAACAGAGTTGATCTACCGGGTATGAGCCAAGAGAATCCCAAGCTTTGTCAATGTGTCGGCCTAGGTTTAAATAACACCACAAACCCACTCCTAAGTGTATTTAAGATCAGAAGATACCCGGGTGCAATGTAGAGCCTTTCACTACTCAGATTGCCGGCCGTATTCTGTTCACCATGCATCTCTCGTCGTTATTGGCTGCTTCGCTCCTTGCGATAAACGCTGGTGCTGTGCCAGTCCTCGACCCCATTCAGATGATGAAACGAGCTGGTCCTGCAGCTGGCCAAGTCATCACGAAATGCTCCTCGCCGGGAATGCTCGCTCTGGCATACGATGATGGCCCCTATCAGTACACTCAAAAGCTCGCTGACACCTTGTCAGCCGGGGGAGCGAAGGGCACCTTCTTCGTGACGGGAACGCTCTATGGTACAGTCCACCACCATAAAGCCACAATCGCGTGTTCTATGCCGTCTGCTGACCTGGGAACCAATAGGTTGTATTTACGGGCAGAAGACAGCGCTCCAGAATGCGTACAAGGCGGGGCACCAAATCGCCTCGCACACCTGGACGCACCCCCAAAATTTTGGATCCATGTCGGCTGCAGATCTCACATCACAGATGACCAAGCTCGAGACTGCTCTTGTGAACATTATTGGTGTTAAACCCACCTACATGCGCCCTCCTTATCTCGCTACGGGCGGGAGTGTGTTGTCGACAATGAAGACCCTGGGCTACAGGGTCATCACAGACGACATCGACGCGGGTGACTGGGACAAGAAAACCCCTCAGCAGAGCGAAGCACTCTTCACTGCAGCAGGAGCGAGTGGCAACGGCCACATCCCCCTCATGCACGAGACGTATTCCACCACTGTTGATACGCTTACCCCTTGGCTTATCAACTGGGCAAAGACCAATAACTTGAAGTTGGTGACTGTCGGTGAGTGTCCACTTTCCACCACTCTACCCGATTAAAGCTAATTTAAGCAGCTGAATGCCTTGGTGATCCCACCGGTGCGTATGTCAACGGAACAGGAAGCAGCCAGACCAGCTGTTGAGAAGCCGCGTGGTCTTTTCTGCCTCGTGTATGCGACTATCGACTTGCATCAGCCCTTCATTATGAGCTTACAAATACTTTCCGTGAATTCGAAGACGGCCACAGGCCAGTTTCGCTTTATTATTCGTAAATGTGTGCTCCAAGAGATCTGATTATCTAACTGGTCACGTGAATCCCAGTGACAAAGCAAATGTCTTGGCAACGATGTCGGGGCGATGACATCACCGACACTCCGATTTTCTCTTAAAAAGCCCCTCCTTTTCAAGAAGCGCCACCAAACGCCTCAAAACTCAATGCGAGAGATACGACAAACCAGCATCCGCTACTAGACTCGCCACTAATTCCAGTCGCCGATGAATCTCACGCTGCCTGCGGTGGATTTCCAACAAAGTCCCGACGCCCCGAGATTCAAATCTTTTGTGGCCTTCGACCAATAGAACGGCATTGACGCTCCCAAAATTGATTACTTTATTCCCCCTGAGCTGACAAAGACATCGACGGAGAGGTGATGGTGCATGAGTTCCCGCAGCTTCAGCTTTGCATCACAACTTTACGACCAGAACCCAAGGTTGTGGAACTCCTCCACCGCCAGGATGTTATCTCGGCCTCGCATACGACTCTAACCCAATATGATTTATCGCGAGGCGGAGTTCACGCCGGCGATGTATATAAAGAGGGCGAGTCGAGGCTTTTTTTTATGGTCCAAATATTCAGCTCTTCACTTCGTGAATTTTAGTACTCAAACGTCAACATTCCATGATGAGAGGTGTCACAGTTGAAAAACCTGGGGCCAAACTGGAGGTTCGCTCCGATCTTGAGGTCCCTGAGCCAAGCGATACGCAGATACTTATCAAGTCGATTTATGCTGCGATTAATCCTGGGTAAGACTTCAATACTCCGGCCAAATGGCGGAATTCCTTCGATCAAAGCTTGCTGGTTTTACTGATGGAGACAGCGATGTTTTCATGGCAGACTTCGGCATTCTCGTTGTCGACTGGCCTCTCGTTCCGGGTTGCGACGCTGGCGGCGTTGTGATCAAGGCCGGAAAAGATGCGGTCAATCCCCTCGGAGTACAATTCAAGGAAGGAGATGAAGTTTGTGGGTGTACGAGGCTCGGTAGCAAAGGCTACTCTCCGTGGCAGGAATATGTATAAGCTTTTTCCATAACACACTTTCGTCTGGCTGACTTTTACAACTTAGTTCCTTATGGACGCTGCAGTCACCATTCCAAAGCCCAGCAATATCGACCTTGCACAAGCATCAACTACAGGTGTTGGCGTACTCACAGCTTTCTTGGGGGTCTTCGACTGCCTAAAGATCCCCCTGGTAGATCCAGACAATCTACCTTCTCCGAAGAATGAATGGGCTCTTGTCTTCGGTGGCGCCAGCAGCGTCGGCAAATTTGCAGTCCAAACGCTCAAAGCATGTGGGTACAAAGTGGTAACCACTTGCTCAGCAAAGTCCGTTGATGTAAGTCACCCGATCCCACCCTGCAGCCTTAAAACTATGTTCCGACTAACCTAACTTCAACAGCTTCTCAAGTCCCTCGGCGCAGACGTAACAATCGACTACAAGAAAACTGAGGCCGAGATCGTCGAGGAAACCAAGTCCGTTACCTCGGGCGAGCTAAACCTTGTCATGGACGCCGTTTCCGTCAACAACGCCCTTGCAACCGCGATCTACGCCGCTCTCACTCCCACCTCCAGCAGTGATCGTCTCTACACCACAACAAACGGCTGGGATCCATTGCCTAATGGCTCCGCAGGCTTTACATCCACACCCATCATGCTTGGTCCAATTGGACGACCAGATGCAGTGGAGCTTAATGCGAAGCTTAATAAGTATATCCCTGTGATTGTGAAGTTACTCGAAGCGGGGAAGCTCAGAGTTGGGAGCTATATGGTTGAAGGTGAGGGGGTGGAAGGGATCGAGAAGGCGTGGGCGTTACAGAAGAGTGGAAAGGCTGGGAGTGAGAAGGTTTTAGTGAAGATTGGGAGTGCTTGATGGGAAGAGATGGGTGGGAGGGGTCTTTAGTTTGCGTGTTGAAGCCCTTGCCACTTCTATAGCTTTGCGTGCAATTTGTCTCATGGTTAGGCGGAGATCTTTGATGAGAGTTGAGTCGTAGATAATTTCTCCCTGCCTTCACCTACTCTTGAAATCGCCAAGTTTGCAAGGACAGACGGATCTCATTCGTTATTTTTGGTGGCATTCTAAGTGAGATGGTGACTTGGCTAACCGAAATCAGCTGTGCTCCCACCAACTCGGGAGCATTGAGACCACAACATCCACCTTCACTTCGATTCTCTTACCTCGGCGTTCGCGTTAATTTCAATCTCGACAGCCTCCACACTAACCATACCAGTGTCGTCCGCCACTTCCAACATGGCCCTGCCTGATTTGCCTCCAGAGGCCTTCGCGTAGGTCATCCACTTCGTTGTTGAGGATGTCGGAGCTGCGGCGCTTTCGCCTGTCGGCCCGTGTGTAATAGGTCATTCGAGTAACACATAGACTATTTTCACCCTAGAGCTAATGGGCGAACCAGAAAGTTTTGCGGTAGCGATTTTTCATGACGTGGTGGCTCTGCAGCCAACGAAAGCATCCCATTTTCCTTATGGCGAACCCCATCAACGACTCGGACTACTATTCACCATCATGGTGGCGAAATTCTTCGCGCTAGAATCAAAGTTGCTCGAGGATTCCGCTAGGCCCATTGGAGCTAATATTGGGCATTGTTGAGGCCTTGATCTGTGTGGAGGCACCACATTCAAAGCCGTTGCGGGAATCATGTATGACAGACATTTGTAACTCCGTGGCAGCCATTTCACTTCGATACCATTTCGATGAGTTCACTAGAAGACCAAAAAGTTACTTTCACACGTCTATAATCGCTACGGCTACGGTTGACAACATGAGGGTCTTGCAACATTACCTTAAATTCGGTACTGAAATTAGTCAGTATAATTTGCTCTTACACTAACCACTCCGCCGCGGCAGTTACTGGAAAGCTCGAAATCGTACGAGTTCTTCTTGCTCACTTCAGCCACTGAAAGAAGCTGTCAGTGCGGCAATGTATGGGTCTCACATTGAGGCTGGGGACTTGATCTTTGACCTTATACACCAACACCAACACCAACAACACGTCAATGCCTACTTCTGTAATCTTTCCAATAAGTGTATCAGATTTGGAAGCATTCGCCTAGCCTCTCGTGAAATCCAATTCCACGGGAAAGTCAAGGTCACTTATCAAGCGGCGAAGTGCATGCTGCTGTCCGGATACTTGAGGGTTCTAGACGCTTTCCTGAAAGATGGGAATTTCGAAGCGAACGGTTACAAAGGATGGGATAGAACGCCTCCCATGCTCGTGCTAAAGGATGGCCGATACAATCTCGCTAGAGTTCTACTCGGAGGCGGCGCCAATGTCGATGGAGTCCCTTTGTTGACTTTGAAGGCACAGCGCTGTGGATTGCCGCCAACAACAACAACAACAACAACAACATGGACGATGCAAAGTTTCTCCTAGCACATAGACCTAATCCATAATCCTTTCGTAGGGGTTGGCGATCTCTAATTCAAGTTGCCAAAGAGCGCGGGTACAAGGATGTGCTCAGCTTGCTGCTAGGGACTAAAAGTAGACGGATGGAGCCTCAGAATGCTCTGGCCTAAAGGCCCGATGGTCGTGGGACGAGCCGAGTTTGGGGGAAAGCCCAGGTAAATGAGTAGGGGCTTCGTTCTGGTATTCTTATAGAGGGCTAATGGGTTCCCGTTTTGTTTGCTTTAGATTCCTGTTCCCATTCTATTCTATGTCGGAAAGAATCCTTATGGCGATGGATATGACCCCATACAGTCTCATGTCTCAAACATTTTTTGTGAAAGACCTAGCAAGGAGGGGTCTCTTGGGAGTGCTTCTCATGTTGCCTTCTCTTTCTACACGAGAGTTTCGTGGAGTGTGAAATGTTCCTCACTCTCACCTGATGGTCACTTCAATTCTCTAATGATATAATAGCCATCCTAAGCAGGTGGTTGTCCTGTTTTCGGTAGGCCCCTGGACTTGACCGCTATATCTTCCCTAACATCTACCGCCAAGGTAGAAGGCTAAGTGAGAGAGATCTATCGTCCCCGTATTTGAACAGCTTACTGCCGATTTGAGCCCTGTTTAATTCTTTACTAAGGTCTATATATCTTCTCTCCCCACGCTTTCCTCCAATCATCCTACTCCCGAGTCGCACATATGAACTACAATCAGTTTTTGCTCCCAGCTCAACAGAGCAGAGATATAGCTTCCTACCTTTTAATCACTCTTCTTATCCTATTTTGTCATTAATAGATTATCGGGTTCTCCAGCCCGTTCGCAAAGTCGGCTATAGCTACTTGATCTCTCCCCGGAGTTCTTCTAGCGTATAATAACTAAGCACGTAAGTAGGGTCAGAGTCCGCAAGGCCTGGAAGGCGCGAGCACTAGGCCGTAGGGTTTTCCTTTTTTTTTTCAATCAGTCCACGGTACATGCAGTAATTGGCCCAGGAACCTTTGCAGTCTACCTCACAGAGTAAATCTCAGGTCGGGTTCAGCTAAGATCTACCTTAGGAACTACACCACTAGGACTTTCCTCAGAACTAGTATGGCTTGATGCCTTCAGTGCCGTTCTAGTGCTGCAAACGGGGCTCATGAGATCTTACCGACGCTGATTCGAAATACTGTCAACATCTTTGTAGACATCACCGAATGCAATACGAATGAAGAGCGAAGAGCTATCATCGATGCTATCACTTGGACAATTTCTACCGATTGCAAGGTAGTCTTCAATCTTGTTACAAATCCGTTGCCTAGGATATCAGCAAGCACGTAGAGGATACCGATGAAGCAAACGCCCTTGGTGTTGCGATTGTCATGGCAGATCATGAACTGATAACGCTTCTTCTTTTTCAAAATCGCTCAGTGTGGAGTAGAGCGTAGAAAGCATACCTTCAGATCCGTCTTGGCGCTGACCAGAAATTGCTGTCAATCACTAGTGAATTGTTTGAAGAGCTGCATTTGTATAATGCGAGTACGTTAGCTGTAAGAACAGCAATACAGAAGACGGTTATGATGGCCGACATAACACGTGGGCTCCTGAGGCGCTGTTTGAACTTTGTCCGCTAGAAATAGGGACGCAGACGATACAGTATCTTCTTAGCTGTCAAACTTGGTGGAGATGCATAAATACTAAGGTACCCAGTGTTCAACATGGGTGGGTATGTTACCTATGGGTAATTCATGGCATAAAAGTAGGGGCCACTAGAGCCTAGTTGACAGGTAACAGGTGAGCTTATATAGAGTTCTCTATCAAACCCGCCTAGCTAATTTAAGAGCAATTCACTCTAATCGCGGCTTAGCGCCTCACAGCGAGCAAAGTCACCTAAAAGTCATCAAAAGGTCGTTTAAAAGTAGTCAGTTCACCCTAAAATTTCATTCAACTATCTTAGCACTAAATCAATCCTCAAACAAGGCCTCTAGAGCGTCGTTCTCCTCAAAGCTCGGCGTCGCGCTTTTAGTGAGGCTTGCAATCTCATGATTACAACCCCTCAATGAGCCCCCTGCGTGCTGGCCGATTTTGATGACACCTGCCCTATCCCATGAGCCTATACATTCATGAGCTTCAACGATGTCACTCTGAAGACGATTTCGTCGATCTGTTATGAGGATACCTGCTAGGGAGAAGATCCTTTCAGGCTCAGAGCCGATAGGGGGGATTGATAGGATATCGAGGGCCAATTTCCAGAGTCTTAGCCACCTCTCCTGTTGAATAGGGTTCAACCAGTAGCTGAATGGGTCTACATCCCCAGTAACTTGTGAGAATTCGGCTGCTGCGACAACGGGATCAGCACTGCATTGGTGAGAAGCGCTCAAAGCAGGTGCGACGGAGAGGTTTTGGCTTTTTTGCGACGTGATGTGGCATATAAAAGGGATGGGCGGGCGACTTGTGTTCGCTACCTCAATTCACTGTCTTGGCACTGAAACTACCCCATTGGGTTAAGCTCTACCCGATTAGGCTTATATTGGTGCCTGAGGCTCCTACCCATGGGCGCCCATCACCCATAGGTAGTGGGTAGCGTGGGTGTGTAGCTACCTACGACCCACCCATGTTGAACACTGAGGGTACTACTAGTCCTGATACAGTTAAGGTGGAGAAGCGTTTTCTTCGTCAGACGAGCTACGCCGTTTATATTTGGGAAGATCTGTCCTGGAATCTGCTAGAAGAAGCCTGGTCAGCATCTGTCGTGTTTATTGAACATCCCTTGCTGGGAACAAGTTTACACTTAATGGCCTCCTCTAGTGTGTCTTCTCTGAACTCCAACTCCACAATAAAATGCCTTAATCTATTGACCATCTTCACGATGCCCTTCTGAACGAGTTAAAGGTAATTGTTGAAGATCTGATTGACAGGTTCTGGTTTGCGCTGGGTCCTCGCCCTGGTGCGCTCTAGATTGTCTGGCCCCTCTTGGACTCTTGCATTCCTCCTGCGCTATTGTATGTCTGAAGCGGAAATCTTGAGTTTATTTCTGATGTAATGCTCCTGGCTTCTTGCTAGAATAAGAGTTGTGTACATATCTGAATAGGTAGACTCTCTGAACGAATTGTACAGAATCTTTATCTGGTCTGCCAACTCATCCAGTCTATGGGACCGCTTAGGGTATAAAGCTGTTAGGCAGGTCTATTTTATTTTGGTATTCTAGCTTCCCAGGCAGCAGCAGGGTCGGTGCGGACGGCATTTTGGGGGTATGATTAGAATCACCTTGGCGATTGTGAGGATTTTGATATCTCTAAACTGCGCTTTGGGTGTGTTTGTAGCGGTCGGTGTGTTGTTTGCCCTTCCAATCCTTGTTAAACCCATTTGTCTATTCTTCTACACCGGGGTCGCTCGCATCAAGACTGTTAGTGTTGGGTGAGGTGCTAGTGGCCTCATGTTCCGGCATTGATGCTCCTAGCGTGTCTTTCAAGCTCTCTGTATCCGCTCATACAGGCAATTTTGACAAAGTGGAGGAATGGGGTCTGAGATATGTTTGAGACTTGAATCTTCCCAAACGTAGAATCAGCAGTCTCGATGCCTGCGTGGCAATAACCAAACACTCTCGTGGCTGCCTAGGACTTGGAAGCCCTACCTTCACGTTGTCGAGACGTGCGTCCACCTTATTGGCTCCGTGCAAGACCCCGCGTTTTGGAAGACCAGCTACAGAGTCTTGGCGGGAAGAAGTTGAGCAAAAGCAAGTTCAAGGCTGAACTGCGGGTGTGGAGGGTCACCTATCAAGCCTCCTAATTAACCTAGTCAGATAAATCTGCATTCATCAAAGCACATCAACCTCAGGAACCCAAATCTCAACAGCTCTCTACCCAACCAACTCCTTCAGATTCCACTATATCCCCTAACATACCTGAACGACGCCCCAGGATACCCCCCTTCCCACTTCTCCCCCCACCCCAGCCTAACCACAAACTCCCCCTCAACCCTCACCCGCGCCAAGCCATCCAGAAACGAAATCAACAGCTCCTGCCATAGATACATTGTCCCTGTCAACTCAACAATAAGCCTTTTCAAGTTCTCCATCTCGCTCAGCAGCTGGCACATTTTCCTTAACGGCATATCTCGACTCGTGCACAAATACTCATGCAACTCAGGCGAAAAAGTGAATTCAAGGGATCGTATGCTTTGAAATCTGTGCGGGAGGATGGTGGGGAAGAGATTGATGAATGTCAAGGGTGTGCTGAAGGAGAACGTGTTTGTGGTGTAGAGGAGCGGTGTTGCTTCGGAGTATCTGCGCCCCTGTCAGCGCGCCATAGACGGAGATGTGTGATGATGTTCGTACATCTGTCGACATGACTTTAATAGCGCTAGCGCTCTGTTCTTTCTCTGCCACCACCGCAAATACTGTTCCTCAAGATCCGACGCACCTTGACATGTTGTATTTGAGGGGATGTAATAAATCTCGCCGTTTTCGTGGATCCAGACTGTACAGAGCGTGTGATCTATAATGCCTGCGTCTTTTCCGTATTTGCATAGTTCGTGGTCCAAGCGGTGATAGAAATCCGGATGGGGCGTTGAAGTTCTTCGCCATGAAATCCGCATGCATGTTCTCAGTCGAGATGGTGGCCGTGTGTGGCTGGGTAGCAGACAGGGGATTATATGCAGGGTTTGATTCCCGAGTACGTGGGTCCAAATCTGGAGACGGAGTTCTGGGGGGAGTTTTCCAAGAAGGAGGGATTGGGATTGGGAGGCGGTTTTGTGGGTGCTGGGGAGGAGCCCACGGAGGAAGGAAGGATTGGGGATGGAGAGAGTTAGGGCGCGTGGTCTGTGAGGTGGGAGGGGAGGGGGGGGGTGGGGTTGAGTAGTTCTGCGCGTGTATGCGAAGGTTAGGATTGGGCTTTTGCGTGTCCAGTTGGTGAGGGTAGTTGTGATGTAGGTGTAGGGCTGGCAGATTACGAAGGACCAGGACTTTAGGAAGGCTTTATGGATCGGTCCACGAGGGCGAGATTCCATGACTTGCGTCTTTAGTTCGGACGTTTGGTAGTTGATTTGGAAGGTAAGAGCGAGTAGTGGGAATGCGAGAGAATTGAGGTCGTCCCTAGTGTGGCTGTGTCGATACGAGTGGTGGCTGAACCATAGCGCCAGTTACGACTTACAACCTCCCGAACATTAGGGCTTGAAGAACTATGATCATTTAATCTAGACTATTAAGATAGTATGATAGCAAGATACTAACGATGTATCTTGCCGTCTCTGCTGTTATCGCACCAGGTCATCCTGGCACACTCTGGAGGCCTTTGGTCCAAGTACCAGCGCTGTTTTGACATTAGTCGAGGCATTTATGAAATGCGTTGGAGAAGTAGAAGATGAGGAATTCAGCCTGGAAGATTCAAAGAACGCTGCCTTGGCATCGCCTTGTCCAACTTCTCGGCAACATTCTCGTGGCCTCCCGCGTGCGCATGACCGACAGCAGTAAGATGCGCATTTCCCATCCAGTCTTTGCCAGTCGCCGAGAGATCGGTCCTCGGAGCTTGTAAGAGGATATCTACCACTTCCTCGTGCCCATTTGATGCAGCATGTATGAGTGCCGTCCATCCAAGCTCGGTTTGCCCATTGGCATCAAATCCGGGATGTCGCAAGAGAGTCTTCCCCACTCCCTCGTGCCCCTTGTAATGCAGCATCTATGAGTGCGTCTATCCGTTACTGTTCTGCATATTGGTATTAACTCTAGGATGTCGCAAGAGTCTTCACCACTTCTTCATGCCCCTGTAATACACCATCCATGAATGTCGTCCATCCGCCCTTGGTTTTCACATTGGCATCGACTCCGGGACATTTCAGGAGAAGCTCTCCTGTATTCGAATCTCCCTGGTTAACTGCCAACATGAGAGGCGTCTGCTCGTCATGATCTCGAGCGTTTACTTCAACTGCCCGCAACCTCAAAAGGAGCTTCACTATTCCTGAATGCCCATTTTCGGAGGCATGATGGAGCGGTGTTTGCGCGTAACGATCTCGGGAATTGAGATATACGTCTTCGCGACCGCTGAGATATTGGATACCTTCAAAGGAACCGATTTTAGCCGCAAAGCCAGTAATGTTTGATCCTGTGGGTTGTATCCAAGATCGACTCTGACACCTGATCATGCACCAAGTAACCTCATCATGTCGCTACCATCTTCTTCTACCGCAACCATTAATGGAGTTCTTCCAGACCTTCTGGCATTCGTATTGGCGCTTGATTCCAGGAGACTTTTGACAACTTCTTGATTTTCCCCCCTGGCTGCGGTGTGTAGCATATGGTCTTTGTCCTCATCCCTTACGTGTGCTTCCAGTACTTAGCTCGACCATAATAATCGGGACATTATTTCATACCCTTTTACAAAGGAGTAGTAGAATGCACCATGTCCGAGGGCGTCTAAAGCACCGGTGTCGATTTGAGGTACGGAAACCAGTCTTTTCAAGATTGCCAGGTGCCCTACCGTGGCTGCAAAATGCAAAGGTTGCATTCCGTGAATTGTTGCCAGTGTCGCATTGGCTCCGAGACGAAGTAATTCCTTGCCTGCCTCAACGTCTAGTTTCTGGCATGCAATGTGCAAAGGAGTAAGACCCACAATATCCCGTACGTTAATCATTTGGGAGCAAGGAAGATAGCCAGCAAAAGTATGCCACCACCTTTTCCATTGGCGGTGAAGAATCTGATGCAGCTAGATTGCACCTACGCAGTCTCGGAAGTCAGACTGGTAAATCTAATGCAACGGCAAGGATAAATAGCTGATGCAATCGGGGATCAGGCAGAGGCGGCGTTCTGCCAGACGCGTAAATCTGTCGAGGAATGGCATGTTCGTGTCCCCCGGGGCAATTCGTTGAAGGATCTGTCTTGCCCTAGAATGAATGGTGCTGTGCATTCCGTCGAGTTCACCCACTTTGTCATATCCGAAAAATTTCGTCGAGTCTATTCACTTCTATTCTATCTTCTAACGGGTCGTCACAGAACCTGAAATGCCATTCTAGGCTTACAAATGTTGGAAAAATTCGCCCATTAAGGCGTCCCCATGGCATGACTTATTCGGATTTTCTCTCTATTTTCTGTACGATGGCATATGGGGCACGTTGGATAAGTACTCTCCCTAAACTTTTCCGATGCAATCAGCCTAATTAGGAGAGACTGGATTCTTTGCTGTTCTACGTTTGTAAGTAGAACTTCCTTCCGCGCATACTCTCGTTGATTATGGCTCTTTTCCCTTTCGATAATGGAGCTACATATCTACATGGACGCCATTGCTAGCCTATCAGCATTATGCAATTCCGTCATCCTCTCTTGATGTTTCTCTTCTCGTTTGGCTGCTTGATGGTCGTTGCTCCACTCCACATACCCGGACCCGGAATATCGTACCCACTGATCTTATGATGAATATCTACTAATATCCCCTTATCCTTCTCTCCATACAGTTTCTCACCCTGTACCCCTCCGTCAATCTTCGTCGACTTGGCACCCTGCGTTGAAACCTGTGCAGCAGCCTTTCCAACCTTTAAATTTACGCACTGCGGATAAGCCTGGGCACCATCGGTTTCGTTTGCGACATGAAGTGCGATGATCTCGTGACGCAAGACATATGCACCGTCGGCGAGGTCGGATGGGACTTTGACGGTCCAGGTGAAATGATTGGCGATCAGGACATCAGTTGCCCATGTGCCCCCTAGTTGCTCCCACCCAGAAGAGTTCAGCCACCCTTGCTGATCTATCTTCACCCATCGCAACTTTTCCTTATCCACCCCCGCACACGTCGTGTTGCAACTTGCAAGATATGTCAATACCGGCCCTTTATGGCTAACCGGCCACTCATTCCACCTTAACCTTAACATATCGCCTGCGGTCGTGTTGATGTGCAAGGATCCGGGTTTTGCGTTTATGTGACAGGTTATGTTGGCTGTGTTGAATTGTGCCGGCGAGACGAATATATTTCCGAGATTCGAGGCAGACCAGGCAGCGAGGGCAGGCGCGGGTGTGGTACCCTTAGCCATTTCGGGATCCCATCCTTGGTATACGGCTCCGGAGGAGGTAGTGATGTTGGTTATGCGGCCATGGGCGGAGACGAGTGGGAGGAGAAGTGTGATGAAGGTCGCAAAGGATCTCATCTTGAAGACTGAGAGGCGGAATCCACCTGGAATTGAGCAAACGGTTCAAACAACTAAATATGTACAAAGAAAATGATACTTCAAAAGTTGTCAAACCCGGATCGTTCCCTGGTAAAAGTATCGTTCTCATGTCCCGCGACTCATTAACATGCGGAAACAAAGGTCAGAAACCTGGTTAGGCAGCCCACAAATTATACGTACCACAAGCTCCTTCATATCCGCTTCCACTCCGACCGCTTAAACTGATAAACCCGCTCATCCCACTAACTTCACTCTCCAGTTTTATTGTTCTCCACAAAAGTCATCGTTGCGTCGTTTATATTGTTGGTGTCATGATGCGCATCCCTGCAATTACCCCAGATCTAGACGAGTGCGTTTCATCTCGAATATTGACGCTAATTGGTTCGCGAAATAACCGGGCATAGTATGAGTGCTTTGGGGATATGGAGGATGTGCGGACGGGGCGACGTCAAGCGGCACTTTAATAGACGAGGGAGTTGTTAGGTGATATGATGAGAAACATCAAAAGTTGAGACTCAGTCTTCGGCATGTGCTGCAGGTATTGTGCATACCTTCAAGGTTTGAACCTCCCAGAATTGTCGAAAGATCGTTATCCATAATACCGATTCCTCAGAGAAATTGCAGTTTAAAGACGGCTGAATGCTTCGTACAATCTCATGAGACTCCCGGGATTTCTCAAGAAGATATTTGGATCAACTAAAATCTGGAAATATTAGACGTTAATCCTTCTTAGTATTTTTGAAGACAGGTTATGTGAACTCTAGGTAGGCGTCGGCGGCTCATGTGTCTGAAACTACCATAACCTGGAATGATACCCTGGCGGCTTAGACGTAGAACGCAACGAGTAGAGAAGGAGCGTCATATAATAGCTGCAAGCTAGTCGTAATCTCACAGTGTCTAGCAAAATTTAAATGCAACCCGAAGAACTTTCATAAGAGAAATGTCGTAGTCTCGAACGGACGAGTCTAGAGAAGAATATCAACCGACAAAGGAGAAGAAACAAGCACGAGAAGGAAAATAGGCTCTCTAAGTCTAGCGAGACGATAACGCCATCGCGCTAATGGTGTATGTTAAGATTTGTATAAAGAAGCTAGCACTCTGAACTAAGCTTGGTCTACCAAACTGAGGACCTATTGCTAAAGGGCGCTGAACTTCCATTTGGTAGATTAATTCCGAACTTCCCAAAACCACCTTGCACGCCGTTGATATTCATACCCACTGGCAAAGGCTTTCTTCCTATTCCTCTTGATCCGGCATTTATTGTCGGACCCTGTGCGGAGGGGAGGGAGTTCATCGGGAAATCCACATAGTCACCGTATGAGTTCGGATCTGGAGCCGCTGAAGCATGCCATTCTACCTTAATGGAATTATCCTTGCTGAGCTTCACCCCCTGATGCCAGAGTTCGAAAGAGATGTCGGCGGCTCCGAGATTCACTTTAACGACGTAGTCTACGCGATGGTACTTCTTTCCGGAATTCCACCAGTGCCTGTTCTTGAGTTTGAACGTGGAAAGAGGAAGGGAAGAGAAGTCAGAGTCGACTTTGCAGATTGAGCGACACGCTTTCAGGGTCAGTGTATTGAACGGTGTTGTTTAGGTGGAGAGCTTACAAGAGCTCATGGTTAACGGGAGCATGCTTTTATCAACATCAGAACTGATGATTTCGGTTGGAAAGACTCGGGGAGGATTCGGGTTCTGTGGTGTTGCAGGTGAACATTTACGACGGAAATTGCGGACAATCGGATGGTCGCTTGAGACAGGTTCACCCTACTATGATGAGATTCGACCCATACGCACGAAGGTGGGAGCCATACCTGCTTGATGAACCAGTCAATGTAGTCCATAATATAGATTTGGCCGTCGAGCGGATCCAGCTGCGTTCGAGCACCGTGATGAGCTGGGTTTTGGGGATTGTAAACCATCTTGCAGAGCGTCCCATAAGACGATCGACAGCAACGCCACCCAAGTACAGATTGGCCATTTTTTAGCTTTTGCACACGGTCTGCGACATTGCCTTTGCACACTACAAGCTGGGGATCTGGTGCGACTCGTATCTGCAAATTCCGGGCATTGAAATGGCTTGCATTCCCAGACGCGTAACGGTCACGAAGGCGGTCTCGAACGTAGGCGGAGTTTCCAAGACCCCCAGAAAGAACCATGTGTGCCTACATGCGTCAGCGATGCATCCGAAGTTACGCTCGTTAAACTTAGCATACCACCTGTTCCTGTGGCAGCTTCTGCTGAAGGCGGACAAACTGCTTGTCGATCATGTCAAAAAGCTTAACAATCTGGGATCTTGGTTAATACTTAGATCTATGTGCAAAGGCTTCACCGACCTGTGCGTCAAAAAACTGTCGGAGATCATCTCTATTCATCGTCAATGCCATCACAAGTCTTATGGAGGGCGACGGACCTTCGAAAATTCATATCCCCGCCACGAATCCCATACTGGTCATTCATGTATTGGCGATCGAGCTTAGGCACACGGACAGAAAAGGTCTCAGTATCGGCAAAGGATTCGTCGGAGCCATAATCGCATTTTGCGTTTCTATATCTGAGAGTTAGTATAGCGCTAGAGTTCGCCTATCCATACGTACTGGTATTCCTTGCTGATTCGCATTTCCCATGCAGTTTGGCTCAGATCCTCGAGGGCCATGGGCAATATTCGATTAGCAAGCTGCAGCCTCTCCAGCACGAACTTCTCAAAGAGACTGTCTAATTGGGCCGATCCGATGGTAGCACCTTAGGGCTCGAACGTTAGTAGACATACATCTCGTTGTTGAAGAGCTTGTTACCAAAAACCGTGTCGATCTGTTGGAGATTTAAGGATCCCCCGAAGCTATTTGTATTCCTAACACGAAATACCGACAAATCCTACTACAGGAGTTAATATCCACATGAAGTACGATAACACAGGAGAGATGCTCACCGTTGTTCCTCCTCCTACATCGCAGACGAACAGAATGTCATTTTCCTTTGCCAAATCAATGAGAGCTCAGTATTGAACAAGAACATATGATTTACCTGAAAAATGGCTGGGGTGTTCCGTGCGGTATGCACCGCGGCTGCTTCTGCCTCTGTCAACCCAATCACTGCACTATGACTTGCTACTTGACCGAAGCCCGCACGAGATATAATGCTCCGAAAGCGCTCCACTGTTGGGTTCGGCTTCCAGGTCGTAGGTACCGAAAATATGAATTCAATATTTGCGTCCTCCCACCGGCATGCAAGTTCGCCCTTTAGCCTTGCTTCGATACAGCGGTAGAGGAATCGGAAGTAGTCGCAGTACCTGGATTGATTGTAAGCTATAAATAGAGGAAATGTGCTAGCAGTGAAGACGAGTACCATTTCTCCACTTCGTGGATGCGGGGAACCTTTGATGGATCGTTCGAAGTCCTGCGCATTTGTTCAAGTAGGTCTTCGTCAAGCATAATCTTAAACCACTCCCGGCTCTCACTCCCATCACCACCTTGTTCCTGTGCAGTTTCGGCTAGGAATCCCCAGGACGATGGTGTCGATGATCCTTGCGGATATACAAGAAGGGTAGGGACCTAAGCACATGTCTTAGAATTTAAGGTAAAGAGATAGGTTATTACTATATGGGGCTAGGTACCTTGTTTTCATTCGCTTGCGTTCTTCCAGGCCACCTCTGAATGTGTCTCACGCTGTCTAGCGCTCCTGTTGATACGTTGCAAAAGGCAACCCCGGTACCTAAGAGAAGTTTCAGATAAGTAAGCGATTAAAGATGAAAGTACAAATGTCCTTACAGGTCATGCCAAAGTCTATCGAGACTACTAAATCCGGTCTACGGATTGGCTCACTCATCATGTCGATTCCCGTCGAACAGATTGGAGTAGCGGTGGTCGGCGGGAAAATGAAGGTGGGAATTAATGTAGAGGCAATGTTATAGGTTGGTAAAGCATAAAAGAATACTGCGGCTCGAGAGTTGCTGGCAGGCTAAGAGTGGGGCCTTAATCAAGACTGAACTTCTGATGAATTGCGAATTAGGTAAACATATCTCAATCAAATCACTGGGAAGCACTCACCAGCTCGAAAGTTAGTGGAATGGCCTGTGCCAGTTGGCGCTCGTTCTGGATTAATGGATGTCCGGACGCTCAACTCAGAGACTAAGCATGATGCTGCACTAGCTAGACGCGATACCAAGGAGTTTACAAAAACAACTGAACGATAAGAGAAGATGACATACTTTAGAGAGTGACCGAATGGGCGAAACGAAATTTGTTTCCTGGCAGCGCAAGGCTGAGGGTCTCTGTCTCTTGAAAAGGTACAAAGTGCAGGAGCGGTCTCCACCTCGTTTAAACCAACCCTTGGCTCTCATGAATACAGTATCATTATTCCACAGCGGGCAAAAGCGAAGGCGAGGCAATAATCCTGCATTGCGCCACTTGCGCCTTGGCTGCTAGGGAGAGGGCCAATGAATCAGAGCTGCACACTGCTTCTTTAGCTTATGATGAACTGTTGCTGGACGCTCTCTTGGTCCAGGAGCAGTCTTGGCAGATAAATCCTCACTGTAATCGTTCCGTGGTATTCGCTAACGATGGAATGGTATGGTAGCTGTCTGGTATGAGCTTGTGATTGAGAGCGTGAAGCTTTTGCAAGTGACTCAGACGATCACAGGTCGACGTAACCGTTTCCCGTGTGGTGGCTCAAGCACCCTATAATTCGAATGTACGATCACCGCTTCTTGGAAAAACGCCAGGGCGAGCTGAAAAGTAAGCGTCATGTCATCAGCCTTTCGCAATACAAGGCTGAGGATCTAGAAGCCGAAAGACAGCCGACAGAGCCAAGAGAGCCAGCACAATACATTGTCGCCCCCACCAATTGCTCTGCAGCAAGCTGCAGGAAGTTGGCACTGTTCGCAAGGATTCCATCCGCTTAAACAGCCGTAGCGCTACTGAGTGAAAGAGGTTTAGGGCCGGTGAATCGCGCTACAGGGAGAATGCGAACACACTGTGTATATGTAGTACCCCAGAACACTTGCGATTCTCCTACACTTCTACGCAAGAGCATTTTGAAGATCTTTCCTCGACCTCCACAATGACTACTAATTCGACCACGACAAGTCCTACCATGAGTTCGATGCTCTTAGCAGTATCGGAGCCATCAGTGGTTGGAACACCTCCGCCGAATCCGGTTGAAGGCACGAGGAAGCTTTGTACAACTCAGCTAGATGGAAGTGAATCTACAATCTATCCTTGTCCATCAACAATATCGGCCAGCTTGACACTACCAACAGCAACTAGTGGTCCTTTAGGACGGACGACAACCGCGATTCCCAGCCAAGTCCCCTCGACTCTACCAGGTCCTACTTCAAAACCAGGCAACAATGGAGTAGCTGGGGGAGCAGTGGCGGGAGTGGCTATCGCCTGCTTGATCATCGGGGCAGCTATTGCTGCCGCTATATTCTTCTTCCTCGCTCGACGACGCAAGAAGAGGGAGGCAGTTTCGTACCAGCAACATCTCCCGCCGTCAGAGAAGGGGCCACCCGTCACTGCTGGCCCTGTGCATAGTGGAATATCTAGCTACGTCGATAGCTTGCTGCCACAGCCTGCAGAAGATGATGCAATGAAGAAAGAAGTGTCCAGGATCCGCGATAATATCAAAAACCATGTGCGATCATACTATCATCTCGAGACGGTTCCAGTGACGAAGCTGGATCAGTCTCAACTACAGGGTTTAGCTGCGGCGACTGGCATGAGTGCTTCCGCACTTGCTAGCATATTCGTAAACCCTTCTACTCGAGAAGAATCAATTCGTCTGTTTGTCGCATGGATTGCTTTGTCAAGATGCTCAGACGAACACCACCCAACATTCCTCCCTGATGAGCTGTCTAGTCTGGCGGTGGTAATGCCAGGCAAGGACGGAACGAATGGTGGTACGTACCATATCTCCCCAATCCTACCTAAAGAGAAGCTGAAGAAACCGTAGCCCAAGCCTCGCTGTTTAGCAAGTGGAAGACGATTACAGGGGCCTTGATGCAACAGCGGTATGGCAAGTGGACGCAAGAACTAGCCGCGCCGTCTCGCAACGTGACGGAAGCTATTGGAGAATTGGATTTGCTTCTGGCGCCTTTCGTGATTGGCAGTGTTGATAGAGACCAGCGCCACAAGAATCTCGAGATGATCATGAGTCGGTCGGCGAGTTTGGCTTTTCTTTTGTTCTCTCAGCCTGGTTCATTCCGCTTCGACTTCACTGGACAAAATGGGGCCATGGTCGTTTTCCCAGCCCTTCTTCAGGTGATCAGTGACCAGGCGCAGACTCTCAGCCCACCCAGGCCTCTCTGGGAAAAGGAGATCACGTTCGAAGGTGGTCCGTGAGGGGATCTGTTCGTACGGAGTTCGCAGAATATTTCCTCACCCGGAAATTGTATGTATTAATTTAGTTTCATGGCAACAAGGCTGTGATATGAGAGCCGTGATTCGAAGAGTGAGGTGTGTATTGCGGGAGCTGAGAAGGCAGCAGACGTTGAGGTGGGAAAAGCCGCCATGCCAACCTGAGCTTAGCAAACCTTGGCCCATCCCGTTCGAGCTCACACCCGCCATTTTCGCTTGCCCCTCAATATCTCATCCCATCTTCTCTCCACCTCGTTAACTTTGTTCACTTCTGGACTGCCGCTGCCATCTGGATGACTTCGTTGACAATGGCACAAAGTCTTTAGAGACAAGGGCAACTTCTAATCTTGAAGCTTAGAAGATTAGCAATACTCTAACACTAATCCATTCCCAAAATGCCGCAGGATCTCGTGCTTCAAGACCATGCAAGCCACATTCACATTGAATTTTATTTGCATTTCCGTTTCCACTCAACTCCCCAATCTTGATCGCCACCTAAATGGCTAAGAATAGCTTACCTCTCCCCAAAACATGAACTCGCCCCGAACAGACTGAGATCCAGCCTTGAGGCTCTGTTCGCATGTGACGGGCCTGCCACTAAACCGACGCGGTCACCTTCGTGGTCTGATTCTTCGGCGCTTAGCATGAGTGTCTCTCTCTTCATCGCCCGCCCAGCCCAAATCACATGCAACCGGAATGGACCATCACCCCGACTGTGCCATCATTCACTCAGATCTCTTCGAATAAATGATACTCTATCATGGAACCGACTGCCATATTTGCAGCATTGAACTCTGCTGTCAAGTTCGCCGAACTACTTGTGCGAGTCGTTGAAGTTAGAACCGAGAACGACGTCTTTGTTCGGACGATCCAAATCGTTCGCAATGATTTAAACGAGGTTGAGAGGCTCCTCGGTATAGAGTCAGTCCAGAAAAAGCTTACAGCAGTACCTGGAAAGTTCGAATGGATTGGAGGTGCTATCATCAGCACCAAATCAGCACTGAGTGATATTGCGAAATGGGTCGAGCGTGCGCGCGTAGACCAGCAGGCTACAGGAACCGTGAGACTCGACACTAGGATTCGATGGGTCTTCAACGACCACGAGAAGTTGATCAATCGACAAACAGAGCTTTCGACATGCCATCAACAACTATCAAACGTGCTGAACTTTCTGAATCCTTTGGAAGAGATTCCAACCAGTTCGGCGCCTCCTACGTACCGCGATATCACTTATTTTGATGATATTGTCTCCCCCAATCAGAAGAGAAGGAGCTTGATGAAAGGGGCCCAGACAACAACGACAGTCCGAGACGCAAAAATTGAGGGTATGAGCACCCATGCTTAAGCAAACGATCTGTAGATCTAACACAAGCTGAAAAGGCCTTTTGCGATCTACGCACCCAGCGGAGGATTCAGATCTCCGCGTTAATCTCACCCTTATGGAGAGTTCCAGTGGTTCGCCAGCCCCTCTGCTGAGCAGAACAGATCCTCTCCAGCAGATCGAAGTCCAGAAATCAGCCGTACGAACAATACTGGACCTTCCTAAGTTTGCTTCAACACCATCCGAGACCATATCTCCCGCTGCCAGCCCTCCGCCGGCGTATACATTGATATCACAAACAAGTTGGACAGGAGAAAGTCGTCGAACAGAAGATGGGGGCTCTGAATACTTAGCTCCTAGCACGAAAAGGACTCCATCAGAACATGTTCTCGCCGACACACCATTGCTTCAACCCCACAACGCCAAAGTAAACTCGATGAACAATACGCAGCCGTCATCACAGCCTGTTGAGAAGCCGTCACTATACGCGGTGACTCAGGAAAAGCCCCAGCGATTGATAGCTGAACTAGCTGGGGACACTCCCTCCTTGAGTGGAACTAATGCTCAAGGTCCGGTAAATCCATACGAGCTCTATGCTAGCCCTCCACCCGGGACCGGCCAGAGTACGCTTTCCCCGTTTGGACCGCCTTGTCGCCATGTCCATGCTATATCTGAAATGCTTGGGGACTTATCGTTTCCTGTTGAGTTATCAACCAATGATCCAGGACGGCCTCCAGGATATCCTCGGCCTGGGGCAGGAAGAGCCATATACGAATTACCTGCACAAGTTCTTAGTCGCCGGCCAGTTCGTAATCAATCACTTGGCGATTCTCTCATGGCAGCTCACAAATTGCCATCTCCGCATGATACAGGCAATACAAAACACATTGCTCGTCAAGAATTGCCTGATTCACGACGGACTTTGTCGTCAGAATCCATCGAAGCACAACAACAGCGAATTGAAATGCCTTCGCCGCTCTCTGTAACACATCAGTCAAAATATCTGCGATACCCTTCTCCAGACTCGGGGTCTTTCCTGTCCTCACCAGCACTAAACCCAACATCTACTGCTCCATTCCCTCTTTCGTCACCTTCACCTGGGACCTCTACTCTTTCCAGTGTTGATATAGGATCAGTCTCGCTAATGGGCAGACCTACTGCACGCATTATCTCACCAAATAAGCCTGAGACGGCATCAGCTGCAAGGATGCGGAGTCAAAGAGCTATTATGGACATGCTTGGGAGCATTGACCAAACTTGATCACGCTTGTTGTTATGGAGAGGTTTTGATGAGGTAGCATCCATTCGGCTATTATACTAGTATCATTCCATCAATCCATAATTCCATGCAATCCCCACCAAACGCAGAGAAAGAATTAGCGATCATGACGATGCATCGAGACGTTAATGTAGACCACAACGCCTGTCGGGTACTCTGTCCACGTGTCACCCTTCTCAGTTGCCGGGTGTTGAAGTATTAATACCGAGTATCTATTCTGTCGTTTCCTTTATCTACTCCGATCAAGTTTTGATGTATTTTCCGGCTATAAGACTCTCGATTTTTGCTTCTGCATTGTTGGGTGTGCTTCTATCGTTTGATTTCTATATTTCGGTCAAGCTTTGATATGTCTTTTCTGACTATAAGACTCGGTCTTCGCCTTCTGATTTGTTGGGTGTGCTTCTAGTGACAATCCAATGGATGCTTTCCGTCTTAACATCCACGCATCAAATGAGGGGAAGCACCCGATTGTAAAAATCTCGTAACGTTGGTAGATGCGCAACATTCGGAACGCCGATCTTGAGGGCGAGGTATACAGGCTTTTTTCAACCAGAACCAGGCGTCACCACACTGAATACTTGGGCAAAGCCCTGCAAACATCTTCTTCTAGGGTCTTGTATTACTAAGGGACTACGTACATGGCCATACCTTTAGGATAGTGCGCTTTTAGAGCCGTGAATGAATCTAGAGAGCTGCTTTCTTCCTACTTCTAGATGCTGCGATGCGTGCTTTTGCGGGGAACTCAATAAGAGTGCGTCGTTGCTCCACATTAGTCACAACATATAAACTAGCTTCGGTTAAATCGGTCCTCAATTCTCCAAGTGTATAATTCTGACGGCCTCACAATGAGGTTGTGGAAGGTTGGAAGGAGGATATCTCGAGCTGGCTTTACGTGCCTACCATTTCTGACACGTCATCGGTCCGAGGCAACACATCCTTCATCCTTCAAGAGCTTCGCAACTTCGCCGAAACAAAACCCCTCATTTTCGCATGGAACATCCTATTTGAGAAGCTGCTATGAACTCAACTGCCACCACTTGCATGTCAGGCAGGAGCCACACTTCTAGCATAGATGACGTTCTTTGTTGAACTTCCTAGTTTCTTCTCCTTGAGTAACTTTATTTCGAAGACCGATTCCAATCCACGGGCCACTATGGGTGGTTCCAAGCTTGTCTCCAATAGCTCTAAGGCACTCTCGGTCCCGACTATTACTCTTCGCTGTCCTGTCGTGGGCAACATCACTTGCCGCTGACAATTCGACCTGCTTCGCCAATGCCAGGAGCCTTCATCGATCCGATCCTCCGTACGAAAATTACTTTTACTCCGATTGCCACTTAATCACCCATGTTGTTGTCACCAGTCCCCTTCGTTCGAGCAACTTGAGTGCCATCGGGCCCCGGCTGCTCATTGCCTGGCCTGCCGGGAACAGCAGCATCGTATTCTTCTTTCAGCCCAAGAGTGGGGAAAACGGTGCCCTTGGAATACAATTAGAGAACTCAACCATTACTGGGGAGATGCTCGATCCCATATACGATTTGAGTGAAACGCCACCTGGAAATCCCAAAGTCGGAGTATTCGGCCTTATCAGCTTCAACTCGTCCGCCATCCTCACAATCCCATACTGGGGAGAATTCGGACCATTAGAGAATTCACTGAAGGGCCAAGCATCATCTATTCCTCTGTCCAAGAGGCTATCTAGTTCTTGGGGTTTTCCGATGGAGGTGCGACACTGAAGAGGACATGGTTGGACAATATTACTACCACCTTCCTCAGTTTCTCCCCGATCAATGGATCTGACTCTGTTACGATCAGCCGAGGCGTAAACACTACTCTATCCTTTGGCACTGAGTCATGCCAATTCAACGCATCGTTCGAGTATCCCAAACTGGAGCAGCTCAATCCTCAGGAAGTGCTCAACAATGTATCCACGGATCTAATCGAGTAGAATCCGGACCGGACTATGTCTCTGTCCTTTCTCTCGTACAAACATAAGCTTCTGGCTAGAACATGGCGGTTCTTGACCTACTTCGGGCGGGATAATATGATCTCTCTGCTTCTCTTCTAATCCGTCCTTAGCGAAGGCGAAGACGGGGCTATTGTGGCAGTAATTGCTGCTGCACTAGAACTCATTAACAAGAGCGACGGGAGCGTGTGTCATGAAGAGAATGTTGGAGATTACGCTACGTTTCTGAATCTCCAAAACAATATCACTTCGACGGCACCTCAGTGTGACTACAAAATGGTGGATACCCATTACTTCCTTCCGATTGTAATGAAGAACTACTTTGTGGTTATGGAAACCGGGCAGGATCGAAGTTTGGCATTCTTAAAGAAGACTGCGTCCTTCCTTACTAATAGAATCGGTCTCGCATATGCCGAGCTTACGCAATTCACTGCCCATAAAGTCATGAACACGTCTGCGCCATTTGCTTCTGAAGGAGACCAAAAAAAAGACAACCTAATACATCTCAAAGAAAGGCAAGTAGTTGGACAATGGCGCGATTTGGAAATTGGTATTGGTGGTGGGAGAATTCTGTATGACGTGAACACTGCACTAGTTCCTGCAGCACTTCGATCAATTGCGGTGCTCAGCCGCGCCGGCTTCTTCCCTAACCATCCAGAGTGGAGCCAGAGTGCAGATCGGTTTGCTGACGTTTGGGAAGACGAGACACTGAACTTTTTTGAAGTTTCTATCCCACAATCCACACCCGCATCACTCGTGGAGCCGTATTCCAATGAGATCTCCTCATACTCGGGGCCCTCGCGCACGGAAGACATCACTAGCGGTGTCAAATTCTATGGATTGGCGCTAGATGGGAACAATAACCAGTCCATCGTGCGCGTTCTAAATACACACGCCTGCTTCCGGTACTTCCTTCTCAATACCACGAACCAGACACAGCTAAGCTCCTTCCTCAATCAAACTTCGGAGCATATTCTTCAACCGTTTGCAATCGGTCTTTCTAGCTCAGTGGGGCTTTTTGTAGCAAATCCAGCGTGCGGTGGTGGTCTAATTTATGCGAAGAACTTTACGAATGCAAATTATCATGGAACTATAGTTTGAAGCTGGCAATTGGCAATGATGGCTGCTGGACTTCTGCAACGATGAAATCCTCTACAGAAAATTCCTGTCAGCGAAAAGCCACCTATGGGATCTAGTCGACAATAATAGCGCTTAATTAAGCAGCGAAGTGTGGAGCTGGGCCTATAAAGACGGCTTTCAAGTCGAGCCACTAGGTACATTTACTCCAACGGAAAGTGACATTAGGCAGCTTTGGTGTTTGACATTTCTCGCCTTGCATCGTGAAAATCCCAAGGTCTGAAAATATAAAATAAAAGTACAACCAACTATTCTAAAGTACAATGGATTATATCAATCAAATTCTAACGCTTATCGTCAGCATGTACTATCGCCTGACCAAGATCACCATAGCTTTCTCCACTACTATCATACCAGTCCTCCCAGGATCCCGCGTTATGACTCTACCAGTCACCAGATACCACCTTTTCCTCGAGTTGTTCTTCTTCTCCTTATTGTTCTTCACGTCCAGTATTAACTTTACCCGTTTATCTTGCTCACTTAAACCCCGTCCGTCAAAGGTAGATGCGTCTTTGAATATCGCGGCCATCTTTCTCAATTGCATCTGTCCACGTTTGTGTGATAAAAATTGAGGCGGGACTCTCATGCCAAATGCTGTTGACCCTGTGCCAACTTTCCAGCACTCAAGATGCTCGCCGTCTCCCTTTGGCTTTGCGGCTTGGGCATTAATTTTACTCATCAGTCGTTTCATGGAACTGGAACGCCGCAAAGGCGCAGTCGGGAATTTGCTGTTGGGATCGTAGTACTCCCCGGGAGGTGTTCGGGATCGTGACGGCTTCCCAGCTGTCGTTGATGCATTCGCGATGTTGCTCCATGCGTAATCCTGGAGCATATTATCACGCTTCTTATTCGGTCCAAATCCAGAGCTCACCCTTGTGACAGGTTTCGGCCGTCGTGGTCCCGGATTTTGCGGCTTTTTCTTACTATTACCCGCTTTCCTCCTCCTATACTGGCGCAAACATTTTCGTAGTCTACTAATGACAAGGCTCAGAACAAGCGTTCTGCCTACGTTCGATCCAGACCTTGCTCGAGTCGTCGGGTTCGTCGGCATGTTGGCTTGAAACATCTCCAACGCAGCGAACTTCTTCATCATAATCTCCATCATACTCTCCAACTTCCACAACACACTCAACCCCTCCTTACTCAGAAACAAATCCAACATGCTCGTTGCCATCACCAAATCCGCCTTACAATCCGCAATCTCCTTCTTGCCTTCGGTACTCCAGCGAAACCTATCCCATGCTCGAACATGCTGTTTCCTAAACCCTTGGTACTTCTTCATCAACCGCTGCATGCGCTCTAGAGCTTTGTCGCAATGCGTAATGTGAATTTTCAAGCTGAATTTCCGTGTTTTCGCGATATCGTTGGACTGGTGTAGAAATGAGTTGCCATTTTTGACTAGATCGGATTTTACGCCCTCGAGGACGAGAGCCATGCAGTGGACATGGTCTGATGCGAGACGGATTTCTTCAGGTGCAGCCTGGCATGCCGTGTAGAGGTCGTAGGCTTTTTTGAGAAGCGAAACCAGGGAGACAGCGCCGCCGATTACGTCGCCCATCTTGATGGTTGATATTTTGCAGAGCTTGCGCGGGTTAAGGAAGAGGAAGCAAAGGGTATGACAATCACTTTATCAAAACATCTTGGTTGCCTGCCGCCCATAACGATACCAGGATTCCAAGGCTATTGCGCACACGGCGTCCCTCCACAGCCTTCAAACCACGCCCACCGGCCCCATCCCGTTCACCGCATGACGGGGTTAAAGGTTCTTTGCTTACACAACATTTTGGCTGGTGAGTGTGCGGTAAGACAAAGTGTGGCGCAAGGCACATCAGACAACGAACTTGTTCGCATTCATATCATCCCTACCCAACACTAGGTCATGGGGGCTGTGCTCGAGTGGTGAGTGCAATCTTGCGATGCAGCTGATGATGCACGAGATGTGGTGTTTGGGTGCTGAAGCTGGTGGTGAGGGGCTGTGCTATGCTGATTCCCCCCACTGCCCCGCTAGTTTGATGGCTGATGACGCACATCATTCATCTTGACTGGTGTCGATAAGTTTTGACTTATCCAATATGAAGATAAGGTATTTGTCCTATATAATTTCTTCTTATACTTCACTAACGCTACACAGCCCAAGGAGTCTTCTGGAAATGCCTTTTCCGGCAAAGTGCTTCGAGTCAGAGAGAACGATTCTAGGGACGATGATCTCCACAACGATAGGAAATCCTACGCCCAGAATCGATACCAAACCCTCGGAAGAGTGCCGTAACCCAAGTCTGCGTCTTTCATTCCCCGCAAATGGAACGGAGAGTATAAGGTTGAAATACATGTATTCCTTCGGTGCCGCTCAGGCTTGAAACGAAACACTTTAGTTAAACGTCTATAGTATTCAAAGTCCTTTCTTCAATTTTCATACTCTTCTTAACCCAACTTTTGAGAATATCCTTTTACAATCTTCCCATCTTCCGATATGTCAAATACCACCCACACCACTGCTCCTATTCCCCTCAAATACCAAGAAGTACCCCCTACAACTGCCGACCTCGACTATGCAGATCTCATTACCCTCGACCTATCTCTTTTCAACACACTCAAAGGGAAACACCAGCTCGCAACCCAACTCAAAACCGCCATCAGCACGCTCGGCTTCTTCTACGTTACAAACTTCGGACTCCCCCCCACAAAAATCGATGAGCAATTTGGAATCGCGCAATCTCTATTCAACATGCCCGCAGATGAGAAAATGAAATTCCGCGTCGATGCAAAGAAGCAAGGGTTCTTCGGGTACAAACCGGCCGGCTCACGTCCCGCTAAATTCGGACTTCGAGATAATCTAGAACTGTTTGATGATCCGAAATATTCTGATCCCTATAAGGCCACCGAACGTCCGGCAGCACTGGAGAATAAGAGAAAGGAGTGTGAGGAATTTGGACGACATATGCATTTTCACGTCCTATACCGTCTCCTTTATCTGTGTGGAATTATTATGGAACTCCCAACCCCATCAGCACTCTGGGACTTGCGTAATTATGATGAAGAAAGCCAGTGCCACTTACGGTATATGTTGTATCACCCTCGAACGCCTGCCGAGCTGGAAATCATGGAGAAGAACAAGCTAGAGGAGAATGTATACGGCCATACCGATTTCGGGTCGCTTACTTTGTTGATGCGGCAACCGGTTGCGGGACTACAGGTTAGGGTTGAGGACGCAAATGGAGAGAAGAAGTGGAAGTGGGTGAGGCCGGTAGAGAACAGCTTAACGGTGAATGTCGCCGACACGTTGAGTTTTCTAACGGGCGGGTACCTCAAATCTACTGTCCATCGTGTCGTGCTCCCTCCTTCGGACCAACGCCATGTTCCCCGCTATGGGGTTATCTATTTCTCGGGTCCGAATGACAATACGCTTCTCCGGCCTATCGAGAGTCCAGTGCTGAAGAGAATCTTGGGCGAAAAACCAAGGGAGGGGGAGAATGTAGGGTTGCAAGGGAGGGACTTGCCTCCGGATACGACGACGGCTGGGGAATGGGTTCGAGTCAGGTTCGGCAGTATCGATAAAAATTATCAGACGAATAAAGATAATGCGGTAGAGATTGGAAATCGGAGTGTGAAGGCTTATGCTTAAGATGAGGGGAAGAGGGGATTAGACAGTGGTTATGAACCCCGTTTGGAATCACCATAGCTTATTCTTCGGACTAAGCGGCAAACCCATATATTTATACCTGTTAGAGCCGTCTGGAGGTAATTAGTATGTCCTCCGATACTCATTTCAACCATGACGTCAAGGTCAAGTCACCTTATCATGTAGTGCGCTCTTGGACAGTGTACTCGATGTTATGGATATCAAAACCTAGATATGGACACCCCCGGCATGAATGCTCACAGATCTGCGATACACACTAACGAAACGGTGTAACCAACGTAGTCCCAGCTCTAGAGCTAAATTTCCACCTTAGAACAGACTGGAAAATTGCAGAGATCCTGTCCATGATAAGACTGAAGCAGTCTCTAAAAAAAAAAGAATAAGATGACCTAATGGCCAACAAGAGCGCGGAGAAAACATAATGGCAATAGTGGGCATGGGGCGATTCGACTCAGTTTTCCATTCACGGGTCAGCTAGCATTCGCAAGCCAAGGGGCATAAAAACACCCCTATCCTCCTGAGGATTCTACATAAACACAACATGAGCTTAAAGGTAGTCCTAGCCTATCTTGGTTAATAAAGGTTGAGATGGTTGTTTAACGTATCTCTCTGGACCAAAAAAAAACCCGATGACCCGACGAATGGCTGAAGCCGAAAGACCTAGGACCAAGATACTCTGCGGCGCTGGCATATGGTTTCCAAAGATCGGGGGTGCAAGGCGCTCTCTGGGCCAGCCTAAGGCTTTTGGTCGAAGCAGTAGCTTGACGAGTTAGGTCGCTAGCTGGACTAGAATCGTTTTCTCTAGAGGAAGGGCACATAAACACTTAATCCCGCCGAGGTTAAGACGTCTCTCCTTGCACACGCGAAAAGCCAACTCTCCGTCATTCTCGAATGCGCTCTAAGATAACAATGTTGGAAAAGGTCACGATATGTTCCTCTGCTCCTTCCATTGGGAATTCAAACTTTCCTTCAACTACTATATGGTCAGAGCAAGAGAGCACTAAAGTAGCGGCACTATGGACCTATAGAATCTACTTCTTTTCTCTTAGAATAAGAAAGCAACCTGACTGTTTCATTCCCGAAAGAAAATTCTCAGTTCTTTTGACAACTAAAAATTCCACTGACAAGGCCGCATACCACTTCTGAGCGCTGCTGGATATATCAATACTCACGGACAGCATTGATGACCACTTCTCCACACTCAACCGATTGAAAGCAAAGATATAGTAATTTCAACTTCCGGCAGGACTAAACAGTATACCGGAGCTCCTCACACCCTTTCCTTTCTCTCCGGACCGGGGAATAAAAATAATCTCTGCCTCTAATGAGATAAATACAGTGAACTGATTGGCAAATGAATCGTGGGGTATTCACTTCAGATTCGCCATTGAGGATGTATTCTCACAATAGCCCTTCACTCGTCTCAAGGAAAGACATCAGCCTGCACGCAAGCTGAATTATGAAGCGTACTTACCTCATGCCGCCCGGCTGAGAGATCCTAGAGCCAAAACTTCAAGCTAAGGATATTGAACCGGATCTTTTGACTGCGAGGCTGTTTGGTAATGCGGTTTAGTACTATAGCAGTCACGGCCTGTCGGATATTTATATGATGGCTAATACCTACAGGTATCTGGCCTACGACAACGTTGACCTTTTTGCTCAGACATATTTCAACGTATTGGACTATTTGGATAGGAAGTAGAATATGAAGTGAAAGAGAAAATGGAAGATTTACGTGTATCAAGTTATCTCACTCTTGCAAATACTACCCAGAGGAAACGAGAAGGCAGAGTCGCCTTCCAAGGCGCAGAAATTGCGTTCAACTAGCACTTTCGTACATCTTGCGTCAAGCTATCACAGATTTGTTTTCTGAAGAGGCAAGTGCACGGCTCTACAACTAAAAGGAAATTCCGACTTCGTATGATCCGGGTTTGGTTGAGTACATCCGACATAATGTGACAAGCAATAGGAGCCATGGTATTCAGACAGACACCAATCCCCTTAATACAACATATCATATGTGCCAGAGGGTTCGATGGAACTACTACACAATAGCCACGGGATGCTGTCCGCAGCAGGCTAGCGTTTTCATTTGGTACATAAACAGGGATGCCTGTATATGTGCACCTAATTGATAGAAACAAGGGATGTTCCCTTCTAAGAGGATGCAGATTCCGGATACAGTTAGAATACTTGCCAGTGTCTTGATGAGAATGTTGATATGCAGCATAATCTCGCTTATGGTGGCAATCTAAGTCCACTGCATTCATCTTTTTCTGATCGATGAGGCTCCCTCAATACAATATTAAAGTGCAATTCACCTCTTCTTTGTCTTACCCCCAACCCTAATATCCTTCAGACTCTTCGCTTCCTTCCCCTCCTTAGCATTCTCCTCTGGTTTCTTCACCTCATCCATACCTCTTGTAATCAACCTCGGCAAAAACTTCCCAACCCTCTGCTGATAAACCTTATACTCCGGATACTTTCTCGTCGAGATCCACTCCGTAAACCAGGTGCTTGCCTGGAAAAGCAAAAGATACCCCATAGCGCCCGCAAACGTCCAATTCATATACGTAAACGTCTCGCAACAACACCACTGATACAAGCACACCCACACGGCCTGCTCGGCCGCAAAATTCGGGTGTCGAGACCACGCAAAGAGGCCGGTTGTGTTGAAACCTCGGTCGAGCTGCTCGCGGGTGAATTTTTGGTCTTTGGGGAGTTTAGCGGTGGCACGGTATTTAGTGCGTGCAAGGTAGAAGGTCCATTGTTGCTGGTCAGCGAAGAATTCGACGAGCACGAGGAAGAACATTAGGCGGGAGAAGAGATTGTCGTAGGTGGACATGGTGTCCGGGGTGAGGCGGGAGGTGAGGAGGAGGATGTAGGTTGGGGATGTGATGGCGAATAGCAGGAGCTAGATTACGCAACGCATCGTTAGACAATCTTCTGTTCTGTTATGCGAGTGGGTGGATTAAGATGGGACTTACGCATTGTCCTAGAGAAATGAATCCAATGTTAAAGATGAACATCCAAGTAGGCCCGGCGTAGTTCTTAACGTACTCCCATCTATAATCTTCCGAGCCAACGGAATACCCGCCTTTGCGCCAGTAATTGAACGTCAACCTTGCTCCCCACAGTATTGAAACTGCCATAACGTGATCTAGCCTCTGCGAACGGAGCCCCACAAGGTGTGCCCACAATGCATAGTGGCAATTATACACCACGGGGATGATGCTCCATAACCTATCTACCTGCGAGTAGTTCCTGTTGGCCTCGGAAACGATCAACACAACTCCAGCTAGAAACAGTGAGAATGCGAGCGCCGTTATCAGCGGATTTGTCGACGTATACAGCTCTCTCAGTGCACCGAGGTCGTTGATGCGGTCGAAAATTTGCTGGGGCAGTGCGTAGAGCTGCGGGAGGAATGGCGAGACAGTTTTCGTGAAATCGGCGCACTCGGGCAGGGTCTTGAGAACGGGGACCGCTAGCTCCAGATCGGGAACGTGCATTCTGGATGTTGGTGGGTTTCTGAGGCTGTCGTGGGTTTCCCGGGACCTCCCTAAATACGATGCGTAAATAGTGGCGGCTGGGTCAGGGTGAACGACGGTGGCGGTCGTCATGACTTCATTGGTTACGCCGGCGATCGGTCGCTTAATTCATCGTCGACATTACATAATTTAGCATCGTACGCGCCTGCCTCGACCTAAACGCGTCTTCACATGATTGCCACTCTTGATTGACTTCGTAACCTCTCTCCATGGATTGTATTGTAGACCAATTGTAATGGGGCGAATTTTATGTGTAGCAGAGAAACCCTCGATAGCAAAGGCGGTAGCTAATCATCTCAGCGGCGGTGCCCGAGCCGTAAGTCTCTTCCCTTCTAAACAAAATGTAGAAGAGTAGGATATCTGGCTGATAATAACAGCAGAGCGACGTCCGTGGCATTACATGGCTAAAGAATTATAAATTCGATTACACATTTCAGCGCTGGGGACAAAGTAGTGTCACATTCACATCTGTGGCAGGGCATATTCAGCAGTCGGATTTCCATGAACGGTACCGGAAATGGATGTCCTGCAACCCTGTGGAATTGTTTGAGGCTCCGGTAGTTACCTTTGTTGCAGATGTGAGCTATTCATCTCATTGATCGACTATTTGGAGTATCTAGCTGACACAAAACAGGACAAAAAGGTCATTGCGAAGAACATCGAGTCAGAGGCACGATATGCTCAAGTCCTCTTCATCTGGACCGATTGTGACCGCGAGGGGGAGCACATTGGGACAGAAATACGCGACATTGCTTTAAAGGCCAACCCGCGGATGCAAGTATTCAGAGCACGATTCAGCAATATCGAGAGAGCGTTTGTACCCTGCATTGTCTCTAATCAGACATGGTCTAAATTTGTTGCAGACACATTATCAATGCTGCAGGGAATCCTATTCAGCTGGACGACCGGCAAGCCAATGCCGTCTCTGCCCGAATCGAGCTTGACCTACGCCTGGGTGCGGCCTTCACTCGGATGCAGACTCTAGCGCTTCAGAATATGATCCCACAGCAAAATCCAGATCAAAAGAAGGTCATCAGCTACGGTTCCTGCCAATTTCCCACACTCGGCTTCGTGGTCGATCGATATCTTCGTGTACGTAATTTCGTACCTGAGCCGTTCTGGTACATCAGAGTCGATCATAAGAAGGACAACATTGATGTCAAATTCTCATGGGCTAGAGGCCATCTATTTGACAGAATGGCAGTAACGATCATCTTCGAGAAATGTCTGATTGCAAAGACAGCGAAGGTGATCAAGATGTTGAAGAAGCCAACGAAGAAATGGAAACCCCTACCTCTGACGACTGTGGAGCTGCAGAAAATGGGAAGTCGCTTCCTCAGGATGACTAGTCAAGATGTCATGAATATCGCCGAGAAATTATACACCAAAGGCTTCATCAGCTACCCACGCACTGAGACCGATCAATTTGATCGCGGAATGGATTTAAGAAGGCTTGTCGAAAGGCAGCAACAGGACAATAACTGGGGCCCTTTTGCCCAAAGGCTCATGAACGGTGGCTTCAATCAGCCTCGCAGTGGGCGAAATGACGACAAAGCACATCCACCAATTCACCCAGTCAACTATGTCGCCCCGAATGCTCTGAGCGAGAACGAGAAAAGAGTATACGAATTCGTCGTCCGCCGCTTTCTCGCTTGTTGCTCCGAGGATGCCGTGGGCGAGTCAACTGACGTGGAAATCGACTACGGAGACGAAGTATTTCGAACACATGGCCTGATCGTCTTGGAACGGAACTATTTAGAAGTCTATCCTTATGATCGATGGGAGAGCAGCCAACAATTGCCCCAATATACTGTTGGCGAAACTTTCGAGCCGACTGAAGCGACAATGGTAGATGGCAACACTGCTCCTCCCAGCTACTTAACCGAACCCGAGCTCATCGCGCTCATGGACGCGAATGGCATCGGCACGGATGCTACGATGGCAGAGCACATTGCAAAGATAAAAGAGCGGGAATACGTGGTCGCTAGGCCAAAGGGAGGTGGTGCAGTTGTCAGAAATGCAAGAGGCAGAGGAGGCAGAGGAGGCAGAGGAGGCAGAGGAGGTCGCGGAAGAGGCAACCGAGGTGGTGCAGCAGCTCAGAATGGTGGGGGTGGTACTGGTGGAGTCCAAGAATTTATTCCGACCACACTTGGTGTTGCTCTCATTGAGGGTTATGACAACGTGGGTTTCGACACAAGTCTTAGCAAGCCCTTTCTACGCAAAGAGGTAAGTTCATTAGTGGCGGCTTGATATGGCGACATAAACTTATATTCGGCAGATGGAGGTCCAAATGAAAGCAATTTGCGAGGGCCGAAGTACGCGGAACGACGTGGTGCACCAGAATTTGGAGCAGTACAGAGCCGTGTTTCAACGCACAACAGCGCAGATCAATGTACTCAAAGCCGTATGTTCCGCGGAGGCGAAATTCTATTGAAGCGACTGCTAATATCGCACACGTATCTAGGCCATCAGAAAATACGTCGTTGAAGCGAATCACGGCTGAGGCATTTTACACGAGGCGCGCAGTTAGCGATATGGATGGTAATTGCTTAGACGGCTGCGGGAGATGTCCTGCAGTTATGCACCACGTGTTTTTGCGGGGTTTTGTCGTTTGTTGCTTTTGCTCTCTCGGCATGCGAATCGACAGGAGCAGCAGGCACAGTCGCATCATCAGGTCAGCGGCTTTTCCTCACTCGGTACCTGTCAGCGCTACAGGTACCTTTCTGTCTCACGCGGGTTGTAGATAGTCGCGGAGCGATTTCGGAGAGAGGAAGACCACCGCGCGAGCGACAAGGCCAATCGTGTTGAGGCTGTGAAGGGGTGGTGATATGGTTGGAGCACCTGATATGGAGCTTCGGAAGGGAACGGAGACGAGGCTGGCTCACGACGGCATCAATGACCGCGAGACAGTGTGAAGGCAAGTTGGGACGAGCTGGCAACAGACTGATGAGGACAATGGTGACGATGACGCCCTCGGACAGGCGCCCCTAGCGAGATAGAGACAGGGCAGAACGACCGTGATTATGGCATAATGGGACTATTGAGCGGCAATCTGATGTGATAGACTGAACGAGTGTTGCTCGTTCCGGCACGCTGTGGCTTGCAATCTTGGTCATCTGCCAGCCGCAGCCAATCAGCGCGCGATGCCGCTCGGCCGCAGCTTGCCTCACGGCGTCCGTCCCTTGGGTCGGCGGAGGTGGTCACTACCAAGCTTATCGTCAGTCAGTCAGTCATATATATACACACGCACGAAGAACCCGCACTCAACACCACGAAACAGTCATCGCACCGATACAGCCAACTTGTAACCACGCATACTTGCCTAGCACCTATCGCATACTCGACGTCGCGCGCCCAACAGCCTCTCATCCAACTCCAGCTCCTGGTCGCTGATCCCCATCGCCGATCGCCTCGTTCCGACACGGTCAAGCTACTTCGCTGCAGCTTGCCCTCGACACCAGCTCCTGCGCGCCTGCCTTTCGCTCGTCTTCCAGACTCTTCCCGAGACAGCTGCGACTGTCTCCTCTTCCAAGTCTCCCGCGCTCCTGCCATCGGTCAGACAGCGCCCCTTCCTGCTTCACTTCCGTCAGCTGCTCGCTCCTTCCAACGCTCCCCCGAACCACCCGGCAACATGGCTTCTCCAGCCAGCAAGCCCGTTTCTAACCTCGCCGCTGCCTTCGCGGGCCAGTCCCCCTCTGCCAACATACCCATACCACGTGAGGGCGGACATGTCTCCGCCCCTGACCGCCCTAACATGCTCCTGACCCCCCCGAATTCGATATCCCCGACCCTTCCACCCCACAAACACCGGCCTGGTATAGCAACAACGGTCGCTTCTCCTCCGCCTGTGCTGCTGGATTCTGACATCGACCTCCAGGATGCCGTCGAGCATGCCGCGGCGCAGGACCAACCCTCTGCGCTCTCCAGGGAGGCACTTGCCGCAGTGGAATCCTCCGGCCAGATCACTCCTGCTATGCTCGCGAAATACCATTTGCCTGGCATTCTCTCGAATGAAACCCCCCAAGCCATTCGCTTCGTGCTCCAAGCACTAAACGAGGAAGTGCCGGGGTTCTCTCGCATCCAGCCTGCGAAGGCGCGGAGGCTGGTCGTCGCCGCCCTGGAAAATCGCGCTGGAGGGGGTGTAAACGGCGAAATAGAATTTGAGAAGGTGGGGTGGGGCAAGTGGAAGTGTCGTCGGAAGGGACAACCGTCCCGAAACGTGCACGCTGTTCCAATAGGAGCGCATGGCCCCCCCCGTTCCGGCCCTTCTCCGCCTGCCAGCATGGACAGCGCTGGCGGGCTCCAGGTCCCCCGGAACACCTCACGGGACCATCGAGATATGTACTCTACCAGCTGGGGAGCAGATTCGGCCATGAGCTCTCGCGATGAAGACATGGCCGAGGGAATGTCTCTGGACGGCTCTGAATCTGACTCATCTGATATGGATCTGGAAGACGACCTTGACGATGACACGGATATGGAAGATATGTCCAACTTTAGGCCCGATGAACTCAGCCTCGACCACGGTAGCTATACCGAAATTCGCGACTACAACTACCTCTCCCGAACATCGGGGGCGCGGTTCCGCTCTGCTTCAGCGCAGGCAGCTGGCATCCCAATCGGGGCCGGCAAGAGCGACCAAGGCAAGATTATACGCGTTAATCAGAGCCTTGGTGGCTTTCCCTTCTCTTACGCATCCCATGTTAACATGGGCAACTTTCCTGCATCTTCTGGAGTTATGGGAACTGAGGACCAGGAGTCTAAAGAGCACGAGGCAGCTGCAGCCTTGCTCTCAATCATGGACTCCTCAGGCTCCGTGTAGATATATACCATTTGGATCGGCGTTATTCTTTGTCGGTTGTTGTTTAGCTGGACTGGGATGTGAGCCGATATCATTAACAATATTCGGATATGAATAGCTCTGGATCACCTGGGCTAGGATGGGTTGGTTTTATTGGTTTTTGTCATTGTCATACCCCCCCCCCACAACGACTGGGAAGATCCGTCAAGTGCTGATGCGATCCATTCATGGGCTAACTCTGGGTCTTTCTATTGTCATTATTTTATATCAGTGAGTTCTTTTCTTTTCAGCATTATGCATGGAATGGAAGGGTTTCCCTCGCACTCAAGCATCAGACATGCTCATGGTTTTACCCCGGTTCACGTCACTGGTTGGGGTAATATATGTGGGGAGTGAGAGGTGCTTTTTGACAGGCAGGGCCCTACTTTCCTTTCCCAATTTCTAAACGATCTGGATATTGTATATACATTTTAGTGGAAGACACACCCCGCTCTACTCTCAACTAGTGGGTTGAAGCGCTGCAGGACGGCGGCGTGGGAGAGGAGACTTTAATCAATCAATGTTGATACGCTTAGGGCAGGTACCGTCGCAGGCCTACCTTGCCTTAGGCGTGTTTACTTCTTCTTGTTCTTCTTCCTCTTCTTCTTCTTCTCTAGCTGTGGATATAAACATCTTTCTCTTACCAGGAGCTGATCGGTGTGGGGTTGGAGGATTTTTCCGGCCGAGGTCATGCTGAGGTGCCCTTTCCAGTCAGTGAACTAAGAAAGGAACCTTTGTCTCTCAATAGATTCTTGCCCTCATTACATCAACCCAGCTTCGGGGCCCTTACCACAGTCCCAGCATTATGGTCTGTAGAAAGGCCTCCTGTACGCCACGTCTGTCTGACACGCATCTTTTGCAGACCTACGTCGAGCTTTCCCCACACTTTCCTGCCCAATCATCACCAGCGGCCGATGCAAGAGCAGGCGCCCTTCGCGAGCTCCAACGTCACGAGCTTCCGCACGTCCAGCTCGTCCAATCGGTCTAGAGTCGGATGGCCCCTTCGGTGGCAGGACATACGTATGTGCGAGAATGGCATCAAGAAGAGAGTGAAGGTTTTTGAGAATGCTTCGAGGAAGCTTCGATCTCAGACTTCATGCTCGCTTTGCGAGAGCATCGAACGACCACTTATTTGGACTTGGTGCTCACCCCAGAGCCAAGAGCTATCAACATCATTCCACTGATACACATCAAGCCAATCCCATCCAATACCTCCCGATACTTCACGCACATCCACCAGCCCAACGCTCTGCAGAAGTCATTCGATCTCAAACAAACAGACAGTGCCTTCCATCTGCGGCGTCCCCATCTCCTCCAGCCCAACACTCCCATCCGTCCTTAAAACCTTAACTAATACCATGACCAACAGGCATGCACACACTGCCTGACACACAGCTCTCCAATCCCAAGCCTAACTCCCAACTCCCGACTCCCATGTCCCTCCCAAACTTCATTTTTCTCGCCTCTTTCATTGCCCAGAATTCCGCACAATGCACTCACCCATCACATCACGCTCTCCTCTAGCTACCATCTATGCCGAATGCGGCAAGCCGCAACACCCATCTTACCGAGAAGCAGATTCAATCCCCACGAAACTTGCGCAAACAGGGTATAACGCATGCTTAGCTCTCCTCTAAGCCATTGATCTCGAAGTCAGCCATGGATGTTGCCCACCATGAGCATGCCTGTGCTCGCGTCTCCGAGCTTAAGATAGGCTGGTGCCGACCTGGATAGTCCCAAGCGCAGGCGTCGAGCGCGGGTATCGGCATACAAGGTGCCGAAAACGGGGTCTCTTGCTGTTATCGGGTGTGTCCGCTGCCTTGTTGGGTCACTTCTTACATTGGGAGGCTTGCTGGAGGAGAGATAAAGACCCCGCTTTGCCCCTCTTCGTTCACACCTCACCGAAGCAAAGTAACGAGCAACCAATACCAATACCAACACAGCTAAATACAAAACCCAAAACCAACACCAATCCTTCTTTTGAAAATGCCTGGCTGCGGAACTGAGGGCTGCACTTGCGCCGACTGCGGATGCGCTCAGGGTGCCTGCAACTGCGGAAAATAAGTCAGTCAGTCTATTCCTTTCCCTCCCCCCTGTTCCCCTCTCACCTCATCCCACTAAACCAGACTCGAAGATAACATCGTCTCTCGCTCTCGAACACGCCTTTCCTTGCCCCTACATTATACTTCGATTCGATAGCCTGTCCTTCATATGAAACACGTTTGAACTCAACCGAAAAGACGAAAAAAATTGCCAATACTTGCTTCATTCGACAACGCTCCTTTCATGGTAATATGACAATTAACGGATGGGATAAGGTGGTGGGAGTATTCAGGCGGGTGGATAGTTGAAATATAAACCTTGAACACGTACATATAGACTCACCTTCTTGCTCTCTGTATCGCTTCTGCTGGAATTCTATGCGGTGCACTTTGCTGTGCTGATGCAGTGGATAATAGATTGTGAGTTTAACTGTCTCCGATGAGGGGTGTGCGGAAAATACTGTAGCTGTTGATCTTCCCCTGCAAGGCCATGCTCTTCCCTTCATCCGCCATCATTCCTCAGCCTTTCCTTTGTATCCATGGGTCGGGCTGGATCAAGTCTCTCGTTTTGGGGAAAGTAGCTTTTGAGTTCCGTATATCATAGCACGTCTTACTCTAGCAGAACTGGACTAGACTAGAAGGCGGGTACCCATATTCTATCCATATCCATTTCAGACATAATACACGCCCCATCCATCAGCCCCCAGGGATCTTGTTATCGGATGCCTCCTTCGAGAACTCTGTCTAGGGCATAACATCTCATCTCAACTTCCTCACGCTCACGCTCACGCTCACAATCAACCATCCCTACCCAACAGCCCCCTTCATCCGCATATCCCCTAAATCAATGACCTCTTCGTCAACCCCAACCCTTTCATCTCTTACCCTCCCAACTATACCACCCCCACTATTCCCCCTCACTCCGCCCACACTCCCTATTCTTTCCTTCCCCCCTACACCCCCGCCATCATCCTCATCCCCAAACAAAAACCCTTTCCCGCTCCCTCTAACACTTCTCCTCTTCTCATCTGACGGAAACGCAGTGTGCGCGGATGCAGATGCGAATGTCGAGGATACAGAGTCGTCTTGACCTAGCATCCACGAGAACGAAGATTGAGATAGGGGCGGTCGGGTGCGGGGGGAGAGTGACAGGGCGGACGATGGCTTATGGTGGGAAATGGGGGACGTTGTGCCAGGTGGGGCGCTGGAAGTTCGTTCTGGGACTGAGGGAGATCTTAGGCTCTCCGGTTCCACCGTTGATATTGAGTTATTCGTCTTACTTTCTTCAGTGTTTTCATCCGCTGGTAACGGAATCGTCGCATCCTCCAAATAAACCTGCACGAACTGCACCTTGGCAATTGCCAAACTCAGCTTCTCGACAGCGTCTTTACTTTCTTCCTCGCGCTCACTCCGCTCTTTATGGTGGTCCCATAGCTCTTTAACCGCACTCTCTAACATCTTCGCGAGCCCTTTGTTGCGTCTTTCTAGCTCTTCGATTTTCCTAATCATATTCCCAGATTGCGTTCTTTCTAGCCCGGGCTTACTTGTCGCTGCCCCAGTCCCGCTCGGCATCGATGTGCCTATCTTCCCTGGTTTCCTATACTCCCTTCCCCCCGATCTCACGAGCGATGGTTGGCCCGGTGGCGTCAACGTCCCGGATTGCAATGCTTCTACATTCTTCTTCACCTCCCCGACAGCATCCCGGATCGCTTTGCCAACACCCCATTGCGAACCCCGGTCTAGCACGCCTTTCACAGAGTTCTGGAGCAGGGATTCGAGCGTTGAGGTTGTGGCTGTGGATGGCTGTTGCAGTGGTGGGATGAGGGATCTTGGTGACCCGATTGATTGACGTGTTCGACTTGATGCATATGAGGGTGAGGGACTTGGGATACGAATACCAGGTATGGGCCTATCCTTTGTTTCGACGACCTGTGGTTTCACGCCTCCATACCGTGATATTATCTCCGCACCACCGTCCGGTGTAAGATGGTCTCGGAGGTATAACGCGTCTTTTATAAACATGTGGGCTGGGGCTTCGGGTTCAGGGTAGCGAAGAAGAAGTGAGAATGCTTCATTGGTGTCGGAGGAAAGAAGCGTCCAGCGGATTCGGAGGAGCATGGCGATGCAGATGTGGTCGACAAGTTCGAGGGTGGAGTCGATGGCGAAGAGGGAATCCCATACTTGGAGGGTGGAGGGGAGCGGGAATTCGCGGGAGAAGAGGAGGCGGATCCAGCGACTGGAGTGAAGTACTGTTAGCTATTGTATAAATTGGCCTGGGGTATGGGGACTAGGGGAGGAAAAGAAGGGAACAGAAGAGGGGTGAGGAGCTCACAGGAGAAATATCTGCGGCACAATCTCCAGCTTAACTAGATGTGCCGCAAGCCCTGGATCAGCTTTCGGTAAATACCGTTCAAATATCCTCGAACTCCTCGCCAGCATTAACGTCTCCTTACTCGTAGCTTCCTTTTCCGCTGGCGCATAAAACCCCTTAGCTGTTCGCATGACCCTTTCAAACAGCGTAAAAGCATCATGTTCGATATACTCCCCATCCAGCATATCGACCAGCGGCGCGTGTGTCTGCTCCACCCTCTCACTATCAACCTCCACCGCATCCCGCTCCACAACCCAGAGTATTGGCGCGAGCAACTCGTGGATGCCTTGTCGATATCCAATCTCTTTATTCAACTTGCACCAGACAAATAGGATGTCGAGCATCATGTTTTGGGTGGCTGGTTGGCGGAAATACACGCTATCGGGCATACAGCGTTCGATGTCTTGGAAGATTTCGGCGCGCAAGGTTTCGTCGGCTCGGAGGGCGTTCCAGGGGGACTTTAGATGGACTTAGTAAATGTCAACACAGATACATAGCCATAACTATAAGCGTGACCATAATCTTTCGTAGCAGACTGACCCCTCACCTATCCTCCTCCTCGCGGGACACACACTCGGACATATGTATGTAAAATAGAGAGGGGGAGGAGGGGGAAAGTACCTCATCATTCTCACTTAGTGGATCCACACTCGAATCAAACTCATCCGGATGCTGTATCGCCCGTAAATAATACCCCCTCAGATCCCCATACTCCTTCCTTGACTCCCCTAACCGTTGTGTCCATATCGCCCGATCAAGCGTTTTGAAAAGGAGAAACATCTGTTGTATACTACGTTAACCCAAATCCCTCATGTCCCCTCCCCAGGCTTATCCCCATAGAAAAAGGGCGGTAAGGATTGTATGGAATTGTATTGGTTCTTACCTTCCAACATACACTCCTCAATCCATTAGTAATATTCGGATCCCCATGGCTCGAAACCGAAATCTTCAGCTCCGTGAGCGAGTGGAAGTCATCGAGCTGTCGCCAGTACTTCCTATTTCAACCGACGTCAGTGCAGCGATCCAACTTAATCAAACTCAATCTGCAACTCTGTAGAAGAGGGATGGCTAGCATACTCAACCTCCGCAATCGTTCGCATGGTGGCCCAAGAAGAGTGGGTTCGGGAGTCAAGATGATATATGAGGAGAAGTGATAGGTTGAAGTACCCTGATGGCGCGTCGTGGACTCAGGGGTACTCAATTGTATGTATGTATGCACCGCACGGTACAAAGATACGCAGATGAATGTGGGGCGAAGCTAAGCTCGACCTGCAGGCAGAGCCGAGGAAAGTCACGTGAAGGGCTTGCAGAAGACAGGACGGGATATCCTTGTACACACGAAAGGAGTTGTCAGTGTCACATAATCATCGAAGAAAAAAGCAACCTCTACAGAAGCTTGTTAATGCCCAATCACCTCCAATATCACAAATCGAAGCGAACAAACTTCAGACGTCATGGTGGATTGAAACTACCATCCAATTTCCCACCACCACCCCATTCAACACTAGACCAATAGCACTGAATGGCTGGGGCTACAAAACCACCCATTATTAGAGCTTTATTTTCCGCTATGCCCCTTTTCCCCACTCTGAATGTACACACACCAAAACGTTTATCAAGTTCGCCTGATTCTCCCAACCATGCTAACCACCAATACTACGCCCATGGCGCCTTGAATAGTTTCCATGTTCCAAGTGACAATAAAAGAGAAATACACAAGCGTGTGTGTTTGTGTGCTTGCCCACCCCATTACGCAGCGATCTGTACACTGTTTCTGCCCATTCTCGCCGGGAATCATCAACGTACGTCCTGCGCTCCGTCTTAAATCATGTATGCTGATAATAACGATGCTTGCATGCCGTGAGCCAACTTCCGGCACCTTTCGGTCGTATCCAAAACTTCCAGGCATATTGGGAAGAGGTTGGACATTTAGGCGGGGCGTTCCGGACGCGGTCGCTTTCCTCCCTTCAGACTCTTGACCCGGCTGAGGAATCCGTTGGTAGACTTGGTCGCATCAGGATTGTCCACGCTGTCGGCAGTTACAGCTCTAGTTAAGCCGTTGCGTGGTGGAGGCGAAGTTGGAGATTTTGTGGAAGGGCCGTCCTTCGTATCTGTTTCAGCAACTTTGATGGTCGCACCCTTCCTCTCATACGCATCATCATACTCGTCAAAAAATGGATTCTGCTCGTTGGACTTGGACATGCCGCCAGCACTCTGGACCTGTGGTGGGCTACCAGGAGTTCCCGCACCCGGGCCATAGCGAGATGCTGGCGACGTGATACGAGGATTTCCATCCGCAAATCCACGGCGAGGTTGGGAGATGCCGCGGATTCGCTGAGCAATCGACTTCTTGCGTCCCAAGCCGCCATTGCTAAGGGCAGCAGCCTCGTTCTCGGATTCCCTTCGCTGCATGGCGGTGCGTGAAGCGGGCGCACCTTCAAGGAATGTGGAGGTGCCAAGACCGATAGTCTCTTCTCCGTGAATGATATCGCCGCGATCCTTGGGATTGAAGGAGACTGAGCGTGCCTCCAATTCCGGTCGCTTCTTGAATTCCACCGTACCGCTTGTGGCAAAATCCGTAAAACCTTCAGTGCCCCTACCGTGAAACTTCTCCAAATCAATATTCTTGTTCACGGGACCAGAACCTCCAAGGGCATTATTGGCGGAGTTCACTGGGAAAGCCTCCATTGGAGCTCGGTGGTCCTTCTTTCGATTGCGGTGAGGATTGCAGGCATCGAAGGGGCCGTCGTGATGGAACAAGCTCGGTCCGTAGATACCACTGACATCTAACTTGTCGATCAAGTCCAGGCCTTGAGGCTTCCTCATTTTGCTAGATCGAGGTTTGCCGTCCTTGGCCCGATTCTCTCTCTCCTTACGACGCTCTCGACGTCGACGCTCTTCGTCTGGGTTTAGCGAGCCCTTGTCGATCATGGACGACTCGGAGTTGCGGCGGGGCCGCCGATTCTCCCTCCTCTCGGGGCTATTCTGGTGGTGCGGTCGCGAACTTGGGGGCCCTCGCGGTCGTGGCGGGCCACGGGGGGCGGGACCACGCAGACGCCGTTCCTCCTCTTCTGAGCGCGACGGGCGATGGCTTTGGATGGGGAGAGTGCCGCTGCGCTGGGCCGGGCCGCGAGGCGCGGGCCGCTTCTCAGCGCTTTCATCGAGAGTGAGATTTTTCTGTTGCAAAGATGGATAGTCAGCAAACTGGCTTGCGAATTGCTTGAAGCGTTCCATGGCGCGTTTCCATCAAAAATATGGAAAGGGGTAGCAAACGCGGGAGATTGAGGCAGCCAGAGAAGAAGGTGCAGCTTGTGCGACAGATATCACCTGCCGCCTTATCTACAACCATACAGGCAGGGGGGGTGTGGACGTACAAAGAGCTCCTCGGCGCTATTGCCAAAGGTGGCCTTTTTTGGAGAGTCCTTCAGTGAGACCGACATGTCAATTAATTGCGGGTTTGAGGCCTCTTTGTTGAATTCTGCCTCGAAGGTGGACAGGAAGGGGTTCCGTGAAATGGGGCGACTGCCAGCACTATTGGGAGTTCTAAGTGCGGGCGAAGGGAGCGCGGGCGACGCAGCTCTGTTGCGGAAGGGATTGTTGGAGGAGAGGTTGAGGGTGAGGCCCGGCGACGGGCGGCGCTCTGTTGTTAAGGAGGTTATCAGCGAAATTCGTTTTCGTCACTGCCAACGAAGATGAAACAGGCGATAAAGAACCCATACCTGGCATTGACGGGTCAGCGATCATGATGGCGGCCGTGAGTGATATCCTTGCTGGCGTGGCCAATCACGCGGTGGTGCCAGGGGAGCGGGCAAGATTAAGCAAGTCCGGTGTCGAGGAATAGTTGGAGGGTGGAAGAGCACAGGAGGGGATGACGCGCAAGGGCGACCAAATCCTGTTCCTGAAGCAACCACAGCGATGCCCGCAGAAATGGAAAAGGGGTGTAGATTAAGACTGGCAATATGATGCTGGTGAGTGTTTCGTGCGGCCAGGAGTCTCTCTCCAGGGCTGCGAGTGGCGAGCCGGCCTGCGCTTGGCGAGGCGAGTGTTTGAGCGCCGCGGGGGGGGGTGGGTGGGGGAAAGAGGCCAGCTAGAGCATGCAACGCCTAGAAGATACACGCGGATTGTATGTAGTGTATGTAGCACTGTACTTGTACGCGCAAGAGGCCAGCCAGTGGACGGCGCGGCGGGTAGAGGGCGGAGGGCGAGAGGAGTGCAGAGAGAGGGAGAGGCCACTAGCAGTCACAGTGTGGAGCAGGCCTGGTAAATAGCAGTGTCAGTCTGGGAGTGCAGGCGCGGCTCGAGGCTTTGAGGCGTGCTGGCTGGGGGAACTCGTGTTTTTGCGGCGTCGCTCCTGATTCGAGGGATTGTCACAAGCAACTCGCCTGGCAACGCCCGCAGCCAGCTCCAAGCTAAATGCAAGACCAAAGAGTCCGTATAAATAAATAGCCTGGTACTGCTGTGTGGGGAGATGCGCGGTGAAGAGCCACCCAAGAGGGTCCAAGCTGAGCAGCCCGCTTGACGGCGTCGACGCAGGGGCACATCAGGACATCACGAGCGCCATCCCGCTCCTCTCGATCCTCGTCGCCCGCTCGATTGCTGTGGGAATTAGTGAGGCCCGCGCTCACTGCTCCTGTTGAGAATCGTGAAAGAGAGCCCTTCTTTCACGGCCCGTCCATCTCCATTCACTCCCGTATGCCACTTCCGAGGTCGTCACTGTCACCGTGAGTCGGCCTATCGAATCCCATTTCTACGCTAACCCGATTCTTGGCTCTTCCCCCCCCCGCAAATTGGGAAGCCGGACCCTGAATTTTTGATGAGAGCCTCACTCGTGCCGAGAGCCTGCACCAACGCCAATTCAGCTCATCTCGCCAAGACCATCGCTCATCATTTGCAATCCACCTCACATTATGGCCTTTTCAACCCCAGACCCCATGCGTGACGATTACGGCGGCTTCACGCGCTTCGAGCTCGAACTCGAGGTCCGTCCGCCCGTACGTCACATCCGCCATTCCTTCACTAACACACTCCCAGTTTGTGCAATGCCTCGCCAATCCCGCCTATCTCAATTACCTCGCAACGCAGAAGATGTTCGACAAGCCCGAGTTCGTCGCCTACCTCGGCTACCTGCAGTATTTCAAGGACCCAAAGTACTCCAAGTACCTTCAGTGAGTATCCATCTCCCGGAGTCGCTTGCGATCGGTGTGATGACTGATGGTGTGCGTGCAGCCACCCTGGCCCAACTCTCCATAACCTGGAAATGCTTCAGATTGAGAAGTTCCGGCAAGAGATACTGACCCCCAACCTCATGAATTTCATGACCATGGAGGGCTTGAGGAATGCAGTGCCTGAAAAGAAGGATTGATATCACAGCCGAACCCAGTCGACAGTCTACTGATCTTCATTCTTTGTTTCCTCTGTTATTTACAGATTCTCTACGACCAGCCTGCCCCATTTCTTCAAGCTACCAACGCCTCTAAACGGCGGAATGGAACGCCGAATAGGTCGATCCCGAGTGCATACTCGCGGTGTGTATACGAATTCGTTAGCAACGAGGGCGATAGCGTCGCTCGTATCTTGAAGGCTAGTTGGGTCGTTTACAGTAGCGAGACCGTCGTGGCGGATCGAAGCAAGCATGTCCACCAAAGCGCTCAATGCCTCCTGCCATTTTGGGCATGTTTGAGGTAAAAATAAAGGCAGTCGCGATCGTTGATGTTGAATATCAATGCCAAGTCTGGGCAAGCCTAGGCTGAACGCCAATCTGCAACAAGTGGAACTGTTTCTTCCAAGGTTTACATCCTCGCTCTGCGTGCCGATTTCATACGTTACTCTTTTCATAACAAACAGCTTGCTTGACATCTGCCATCGTACACAAACACTGACGGTTTGAGTTCAGAGAACCAAACTCCTATGAAACGGCAAAACCTTCCCAATCCCTGCAACCCCCAGAACTGCAACTCACCCTCTTCCGCGAGTAACAACCCTGACTAAAACACTATTCACGCCTCATCGTAACGATCTACCCGTAGCAAGTTTCGCATAGCCAATTATCGATGTGTAGTTCACGATAGTACAATTCCCAAAACCCAATCCAAAATTGTGGTGACACAAAAGCGCCACATCTGATGCCCGATTCGGCAGCCACTCGGCCCGGCCACTCTCCGCCCTCGGAATCAATTCCGACAAGCACGCCTTCCTGATCCAGACCCGAGGACCACTACTTCAACAGTATGGCACAAACGGAAGCGCAATCTTACCCTTCTGAAATTCAGCTTGCCAAATCAATTCTCGCATCTTCACTTGTGAGTGATGAGGATCTTGATAGTTTACTTGAGCATTCGTTTCGAGACAAGGCGAGGGCTGTTAAGGTTCTGAAGAAAGAAGAAGTGCTTGGGACTGGTATCAAGAGTGTAGATGACGCGCTGGGAGGTGGTTTGAGGAAAGGGTCTCTGGTGGGCATGAGTGGGGAGGTGGGGTCTGGACAGGTTGGTGTATGTGCTCCTCTGCTTTCCTGCTTCCGAATGCTTGCCACTCGTCAATTCATTATTTGCGTATTAAGTTGCTCTTTCCATTCTCAATATGTTCCTTTTGTACCATAATATCATTTCCTGCTCCGTCCTGCAATATCATGTGCAATATGTTAAAGATCCTAGCTTCTTTTATCACTTTTATCCTCACACCTCCTCGACCATCCCACTTCCACCGCTGCCATCATCGACACTACAGGGAATTTTGATGTCTTACGCATTTACACTATTCTCGCCTCTCGAATTAGAGACACTTCACCCAATACGCTCGCCATTTCTGATCAATCCAATCCAGAAGATGCAGCAGCAAAAGTTCTTGACCGCATTAAGATAATGCGGGTGTTCGACCTTGTCGGCGTCATGGAAGCGATTAGCGAAATTAGAGACGGACTGGAGATGCCGCCAGTATCTCTATCAAGAAGGAGTGCCGAGGGTGCTCCAAGAAATGTTGAAGAGCCGAAGAAGGTTCACAAGGCAGTGATTCAAGATAGTGAGGACGAAGGAGAGGATGAAGATGAAGATGAAATGTTGTTCGAGCCTAGGCCGAGGTCGAAGCCCATCCTCGATCCCGAGCCACCAAAACTTGCAGCCGTGAAAGATCTAGATAATTCGGATGCGGATATTGAAGGGAAAGTGGGGTTTATACTGATTGACAACATCGCGCATGTCATCAACCCCCTTCTCAAGAATAACTACGTCCAAGGTACGATCTCTACTTCCCACCATTCCGCTTAACCCAACACTGCTCTGCTCCGTCTGTACTCCAAGCACGTCAGCCTCTCTTTAAACATGAATCCACTAACATCATGCACCCAGCGAATGCCCTCCTAGCAGCCCTCCTCCAACGCCTAACCCATCTAACCCACTCCCACTCCCTCCTCACCATCCTCCTGAATCCTGCAACCACCCCCCGGCCCCAAACCCAAACATCAACACCAACCGCCCCTTCTAATTCCGGATACCAACCTCAACCCCAAAACCCGCCTCAGAAGCCTGTACTCCCCCCCTCGATCTTCGCGTCAAACCACGCGCTACCTGCGCTAGGGAATTTGTTTCCCATGTATCTAGACATATATTTACTAGTATCGAAGATTCCGAGAAGAAAGGTGGATGCGAGGGCTTGGTATGCAGGGGATGCGGGAGTGGGAGTGGGAGGGGTGAGGGGTGCAGGGAGAGGGGTGAATGGTTTGCAGATGGTCAGTGTGGTCGAAGTTGTAAGCGAGCGGTGGGAGGGGCGGGCCGGGGACTGGGGAGTGTTTGTAGAGGAAGTGGAGGGTGGGATTCGGAATGCGTGATGGATAGAGGCCGGTGGGTGAGGATTAAGAAAGGGGAAAGACACTATTGATTTGGGAGCAGTTTATTGAGATTTATCCAAACAACTCACATGCACATCAAGGCATCTCCCCAATATCATTTTCTTATTCTATCCATTTGTCTAATCGTCTTTCAAACATTCCCGCCTCTTCCCCTTTCTTCCCCTCCCCCTCTATCTCTCTCCCAGTCCGTCCAAAATCCCACACACTTCTCACCCCCCTTCTTCGCATTTTATCACCTAAACCCCCAGTGTCCCCACCGCGTCCAAGTTCTAGAGGTAGCTCCCCGCAAATTGAATTTTGTTTCAGGTTTCATAGCATAGTCTTTATTCCATCGCTTTCGGTTCCGGGTGAGACAGAACCCGCTTTTAGTTGGATTTTTCATTCCAGTCTTCTTGTAGTGTTTTTCTTCCAAACGAAACAGAAGCAAAGCCATTTCTCGTTTCGCCCAAGGCTTTTATTAGAATGCAGCGATGACTTAGACGGCGAGATAGCAGTTGTACTTGAGTTTCTCATTGGTTCTGACTATAGAGAGGTTGGGACTAGAAAGGACGGGAGGAGTGCCATATTCTTCTTTAATCATTATTCTATTCCAGAGTGGTTCCAGACGAGAAGACAAATATGCTATCTCCTTCCTCTTCTTTGTTTTTTAGCCCGGCCACCATCCTTCCAAATCTCACGCATTTGTAATCGGCCTAGGTTTTGAGCGTTTAAATCTGAATTACAGCCAGCAAGCGACCAAAAGCCGTACCATTATATTCATAGTTATTTCAGTGGGTTCTAGCGACGGTCGGCATTCGCGTTCATGATGGGGAATTGAGAAATATGTAGCGACATTGCTGTCTGCCTCAAAATTTTCAGTCCCATATAGGGCTTGCCTCAGCTTTTTATTCCGTGGATGGAAGTCGTCGGTCGAATATGTTTTCCTTCCGATTCTCTACTGTGTTTTAGCGTGTAATGCACGGCCTCGCGTAATGCACGGTTCTGCGCGAAGCTGTCAAAACTTCAACCACCTCTCTCTTAACCAATATGGGCAGTATTAAGGCCGCTTTAGAGTCGCTAAAATTGCTAAAACCTAAAGAATCACTAAATTATGCTGCAGTAGCTAGGCAGTATGGCGTTAATTAATCTACGCTCTTAAGGCGTCACTAACGCGTTACCTGCCTGCGTGCAGAGAAACTTAAAAATTAGCAACTACTTAGCCTAGTGCAGGAGAAAGAGCTAGTAGAGTACATTAATAGGCTTTACGCAAGAGGTCTATCTTTTTTAAGACAAATAATTTAAAATTTTATAATAAAAATAAGTAGTAGGCAAGCTAGTAAAAGCTAGGTTAATTAATTTATTAAAAGGCACTCTATTAACCTATTATCTTAATAGACATCTAGCATAGACGCTGCGCGTAATAAAGCTAACTTAGCATTTAAGTACTTGCTATATTTTAAGCTTGTACGCAAAAAAATTAAGCAATATAGCATAGAACTACAGCATACCTATAATATAGATAAAAAGGGCTTCCTAATTAGGGTACTGTTAAAAATAAAGCAAATCTTCTCTAGATAGCAGTATAAGCAAGGTATTAAGCAGCAGCTTATATAGGATAGCAATTGCAAGTAGATTATAATAATAGCCTGCATCTGCGCTAACAGCAGCTTTTTTATACTTACGCTAATCTACTAAGCTGTTTCTAACTATATATAAGACTTTTAGCTATAGGATTTTAACTTTTTTAAGTATTAAGCTTTCTTTACCTTATTACTTATAAGTTAGATAAATAATAAACTAGGCCTAGCATAGCTTAAACATGTGTTTAATTGCAAGACTAAGGTAAAGGCGTAACAGGCGTACTAACTTTTGTTCCTAGATAGCTATAAATTGCATGTTTTAATAGAGTTTATTAAGTACTGCAACAATAATAAGATCCTCCTAGCTGTATACTTGCCACATGTAACCTATACGCTGCAGCCTTTTAATGTCTGCATGTTTAAACCTCTCTTGTTAGCCTACTTAGCTAAGCTAGCTAGCTTTATAGATAAATGCTAAAGACTATTATTAATTAAAAAAAAAGACTTTTATAGCATGTTTAATAAAGCCTAGAAAACATCTTTTAAGCATAAAACTATCTTTAGTGCTTTTAGAGCAACTAGTTTATTGCTATTTAAGCTATAAGTAGTCTTAAATTAATTTTACTATAAGTAGAAAAAGTAACTATTCTTTAGTAAGAGCACTAGCTTAGCGCTTAGTGCAAAGAATTAGAAGAGGGTTAAAGGCCTTTTAGATAAGGTTGTTAGTAATTTCTATAAAAAAGACATATAAAAGCTTAAAAAGACTGTCTAGTTATTCTTAGTATGTTGCATTCTCCTCTAGCGTGAGCTTAAGCAGGTTAAAGATGCGCTAATTAATAAGAAGAAGCGCTGCTAGCGTAGCAAGCCTCTTCTACTAGAAGCACCTTTAGAATATTATAGTAGTGCAACCTTTTAGTCCCTAAATAAGGTCTAAGAAGCATGTAATTATTAGGCATAAAAAGATGCTAAGAAGGAGGCTTTACAGCTTTAAAAACAAAAAAAGGTAAAGCGTAAGAAAGCAGAGAAAGCTAAAAAGGCGCGCGCAGTTAAAGGGAAGAGGCATAGAGTAGTAATAGCAAAGAAGGCTTACCTGCAGGAGCTTAAGACAAAAGCAGCTTAATAAGAGGAGGTAGAGCTTACCTAGCAGGTTAATTAACAGCTTAAAAATAACCTCTAGCAGGTAATAAAGGGCAAGCAGAAAGCTCCTACGCCTATTGCTAGTACGCTAGAGGATTTTAATAATAATGCAGCATTAAATAAAGAGAGGGAGCTAGCATTAGGCAGGACTTAACATAGCAGGCAAATTAACCTCCCTATAAAGTATTGCATGTAAATTATTGCTAGGAATAGAATCTATAGCATTTAATTAGTATTACAACAAAAAATCTATATAATCTATAATTTGTGTGAGTCTCTAGAGCTTTAAAAGTAAAAGTCGCGGATTGCTAAAATCGTGCATTACGCGAGGCCGTGCATTACGCGCTAAAACATGGTATCCCCTGATCCGAGATGCTCGCCTGCCTTGGAATAAAACGGCCGATCTAAACTCTCATAGCTCCATAACCTTCCTTCTCCCAGTTCTATGGTGTGGGAATAACACTGGCGAGAAATCGTTTGATGCCGTGGAAATGAAAGTAGCGGTCTCTTCTCTGTCTGTTAGATGAAGGGAAAAAAAAATAAGACTTGATCCAGATATATTGGAACTATGGGCCAATTTTGAAAGCATGTTGAAAGCCCTAGGATCACACCGAAGATAGCGGCACTTAGTTGACCGGTTTTGGGTCTTGAATAAACTATCGCAAGATTCTGCCAATAGTTTACTATTAAGTTTTGACCTGAACTTCGCGCGCAGCCAGCTGCCTCGGCGTCAACTATGGGGTCTCTGAAAAAATGCAGAGCTGAACAAGAATGGTGCTTTCGGAGGGAATAGGTTAAGAGATTGTACAAATATCAACTTTCATTTGATATGTTGTCCTCTAGAGCTAGAGTCTGGCGTCGAGGGTTTTGAACATTGCATGCGGGTTGGGACCAAGGCTTCGATTGCGAGTATAAATCATCTGAACCTTGAGAAGATATGAGCGAATAGTTAGACTTTTAGATGGAGCGTGGGCCCATCAGTAATAAGGAGTCGAAGAATTTATCTCTGATGTGGTTGCCACGAAGATAGATGTATTTGTACGAAGTTCTGATGTGGAGTGATACTTTTCTTGATCCTATTCAATAACAACATTTTGTTGAAGAAAGGATATCGTTCCATCCAACTATCTGTGTAAGTTTTCTGGTTGATGCATCATGAGCTGGTGGTTCGTAAAGACGAATATGCTGTGCACCCCGATTGAAAGCAGATTTGGCATTAAACAATATTGGCAACCCCCAAGAAAAAGCACCAATACAAGGCAATCCTTGTCATTGTATCTGCTGCCTGTGGGATGAAGTCAAGGATCAGCGTGGATGGATGGATGGATGGATGTCTTTATTACGCCCGGCTCTAGCCTAGAGGGCACTAGTAGTTTATTACATAAGCAATTCCTTGGTAATGGCATACCTCCTAATAAAGGATCAGCGTCATGAAGAGAAGAAGTTAACTAAGTTGACCGGTTGAGAAAGCACAGCCCGCCGCTAAACTTAGGACAGCCTAGTTGGTTCATGGCTCACCGCTTTGGAACACGATCAGCTTTCTGCCTTCAAGCAAGCATTACGCAAAGACGTGCTGAAAGACGGGTTGATCAAACCGTAGGCGCCATGATCATCAGTTGCACTGCCTTCCGGCGGAGAAAATAAATATGCCATGATTTCTCTCTTGATCATCCCACCAGACCACAACTTGAGAAACACGTAAACACCACTACACCACAGTCTGAATTACATTTCCACAACTCTCGACATCCTATTGAGGCTGTAAGTGCCAGGTCTCCAGTTGGCGTCGATATATCTCTCATAGAATCCAGAAACCTTCTAGTAGCTCCAAAATGCGACCCCCAACGATCGTTACCTCCTTCATCTCGCTTCAACCTCTCGAACCCGTTCTCGTCTTCAACGCCGCTGACGACGCCGCCTACTTCCAAACGCACTGCCGCCAGGGCCGTATTCTCTATGACCAGAATCCCCGCTGGGTCTTCCTTCCCATGCCGGAAGGCCTGTTGCGAGTGAGGACGGCGAGATTTGGGGACGTGTGCTATGAGTTTGACAGCCATAGACATGCATCGCAGTTCAACGAGAGTATCAAAGGGCTGGGGAGGATCCTTCAAAATACGAGGGAGAAACCAGTCTGGGATCGTAGCGTGTATGTGGGGAAATCAACAAAGTGAAAGATACAGTGACCATGTGGAAAGTGCAAACGAGGGACTGATCAGGAATTACCTTGAGATAACGGAAGGGGATACCAGGTATCTTGCTTGGTGAATGAACTTTAACCAATTGTGCGAGTTGCTGGAATGTTTGCACGCTACGATTTTCGTCTCTTTTAGCTAGGGTAGGATCCGTGCCTTGGGATTTGGCGACTTCTTCGTGTGTTGCACTGTGTCCATATTGACTATGACTCTCTACGTGCGTTGGAGCACTCCCGGAAACTGCGGTACGCTCGCGTTGTTGTCTCGTTCACATCATGCACATCACCTCCGTCGTCACACTCTCGCACTTTCACTGTTAGTTACTGCTATCACTTTACAAACATCGTCAAAATGCCAGACTTTACGGTTCAAGTCGACTCCGCTTCATACGATCTGATCCTCCAACTGACCTGTCCATAACCAACTCCCCAGCCATGGCTGATCCTACACCAGCCGATGAGCCTTACGGTAGAGCAACCGACACACCCAGCGGCCTGTCCAATGCCGACCCCATCGTCAGTATAACCCCCACTCCCATAGACAGCGAGCCAATCCTTCCCGACACTCCCTACCACGATGACGGCGAAGGCGTCCCTCGCGCCTCCGAGGGCCTCCTCACCGTCCAACTCCTGGTCCTCCGCTACCTCCAAGATCATCCAGCCGACACCGTCACCTCATCACGAGCCAATGCATGGACTGAAGCGATTGACTCGCAACACGCCCCATCCGTGCAAGAAGTGCTCCGTCTATGCTATTACATGCGACAATTAGGAATCGCTACATTCTGTCAAATGAGGCCTGACAAAAAAGAGATTGCGTTATACATCGTGAATGCGGTCAATCTCACTCGTAGGTCTGACCACTGTTACTGGGTTCAGAATTTCAGCACCGGTGCTGTGGGTCTACCCAGGAACCGACTGAACGATAGGTCTATTCACCGACTGTTGAGGGAGATGTTAGCCCGCATGCGAGAGAGGATAGTTGGAGCGCAATGGCTTCACACTCAGGAAGTACACCAAGAGGAGGTATTGAGAATCGCTGAGGATCTGCTCGGTGAAGCTACAAACCTCGCTGTCGATCGAGGCGCTGGCGCTCGTGGTGAGGGCGATGCGGACCTTCAAGCCGCGATACAAGCTTCGTTGGAATTGGCAGTGCGAGGCCAGGCACAGGCAGTTGGGGGCTGTGGGGAAGCGTCTGGGACGCAAAATGCATAACATTTTGGCATATTTTGGAACCAGCCTCTAAATGAGTCCTTTAGCTGAACCCGCTTTACAAGGTGGATAGCACGTACGGGGGACTGTTAGCACGCTAACTTTGTACATGACGCTTCCCAGATTTGGAATGATTGGGCGCCAGAACTACACTTTGTTGCATTTGGAGGTTTAGAAACTGGTAGCAATACAAGAAAGCATGCATTCATGGACTGGGGTTTGACGGTTTAGAAAATGGAAGCAGCAAAAGAAGCACATAGATTTATAGACCAGCGTTTAGGTCCACTTCAATCATTGATACCAGGGATCTGAAGAGCTTTCAGTAACTTTCCTATGTCAGTAATATAGAGTCAAGCTTTGCCCGACTCTTCATTTTTGAGTAAGGAAACATCTTTGGAAGGCTTGGGAGTCAGCCACGCAGCCTGCACCCCAGGGTGTTAAGTGTCCCAGCTCTTATTCCCCTTTTACATAACAGTTAGATAAAAGCGGCACAGCAGTCCCCTACTTATCGACGCCGATGATTCATAATCTGAACCATGAAGGTGAGAGAGGAAGCATTTAATTTCTCCAGTCAAAGCACGCCGACAACGACGCTCTGCTCCACCATGTCTTGCCCTCTTCTCCTCTAGAACTTGAACCTTAGAGGGTAAGCACCGGGCTATCAGAATTTAGGTCACCCCTTTTGTGCCAGTGCCAGTCAAGCTGCTGGTGGAGCCCTTCAAATGCTGTGATATGCCTCTTGATCTCATTCATGGATCCTAGCTATGGCTGTTGTAAGATTATTCTTTGATTGATCAAGACCATACGACTAATTCTTAGCTCCTTTCAAGATACCGGCATTAATGCAAGCATTCTCACGTGGCCAGAGAGCAGCGGGATTTTAGATGCTACTGTTAGTGCAGTTGGAGCCATTGAAAATATCCACAATAAGCTACAGAGGACGGTCCATTGAAGATGACAACAACGAGTTTAAAGAAGACGACGGGTTGGGTCTAGGAGTAGTATTGCGTAGAGAGCAAGGCTACGGGGTTTATGTACCCGGAGCGGTTGTTGAGGGCGATTTCGACAGTGTCCGAGCCCCTGGCTATAGCCTTCTAACATCAACTGTCTGTAAAGTGTTCAGCGCCAGCTGTGAAGACCGGGTGCACGCACTTTTGGATTGGCTTGTGATTATGGTTGTATGTTGATTTCCGCTTGCATGTGGACTCGGCTAGGCAGCTGCCCATAGCAGGCGGAAATACGTGGTTAATGCTGTGGAAACTTAAGGCAACTACAGCCCGTTCTGTGGGTTTACTGCCCGGGGTGCTGTACGCGTGGTGAGAATCCAGCACTGTTCCTAAGCAGCGGTTACTAGCACTAAGAACATCTCGTTACAAGGGACAGACCTTCGAAACAAAGCACCTTGGCTGAAGGAGTGTTCCAATCAACCAATGCATTCAAGAACAGGAATCTCCTCACGAACTTTCTTCCTCTATCTGGCGGCTCATGGATATACCCGAAATGGGGTGACATAGTGCGGCCGTTGATGTTTCAGGCCCTCATAGCGGTTTCCAATACAATCTCTATACCCACCAACACGACGAATTGTTTCACAGTCCTTAGGAAAGTGGTGAGGAGACAGACGTCATGATCTAGAAAGCAGCTTCTTGAAGATTTTTTCAAGTACTTGATGTCGCAGAGCATTCAAGATAGTCTCAAGTTAATAGAACACATTTAGTAGTACAGGTTCCCAGGTCCCTGTGAGGTATCAAGCATACCCCTGAGAATCGATTTGATATACCTCAGAGAGCTCCCAAAAGCCTTGAAGGACAGGAAGAGATGAAGAGAAAGGATGAGCTTGTAGGGCTTGGCAAAATAGAGCATTTGCGTACCAAGGATGTAGACTTTGGCACACATTCGAGCCGCTAACGAACTCCCATCCTCTAAGCACTATGAAATGTTTATAGAAGATGGATGGGGGGGATAAGATATACAAAGTTGAAAAGACTTGATAGTGTAAAGGAATGGTGTGAGGTTGGAATATCAAAGAACCCACTTCAGCTAGTAAGAATGATCCCAATATTCTATTGTGGAGAAAAACGACCGTATTCAGCCACACATATTTCAATGTAGTTTAATGGTAAAGAGGTATATGGTCCTGTCTTACAGGCAACGGAGTACGCACAACTCGGAGTTTAATAATGGGCCTGCGGCTTGCTGCTCTCTGTGGGTTGTTTTCGCGGCGCTGGATCTTTGTTAGTGCCTTCGTAATTACAGCGGAATATGCAAGTATAAGTTAGATGTTAGTTGCCGGTCAAATTCTCAGAGTCAGAGGCCTTGGTTAATAGGTTCGAGTATGGTATCGAGTGCGTCAGTGGGAGTTTCGGCTCAATCCCCTTCGGAGACTCCCACAGAGAGTTGGAGGGGGGTGTACCAGCTGAAGAAAGCGGACGAATTTGTACAATCAGTAGCCAACATGGCTTCCCTTTTATCGACGACTGCTGCGAACTTCTTAGCTAGTGAGCATTAATACGGAGCTTTCGTATGCCTAAATCAAAGCCATATTCATACTCACTTTCTACACAGCAGAATAGAAATTAGAAGCTCACGTATGTGTGTGTATTCTATTATGGTCATGCACCCTATTGGTATCGGTTGTTACGATGCGCCAGCTATGTACATTCTGTTATCACGCACCTGCTCCAGTTCAAAAGCCAAATAGAAGCTCGCAAGGTTGTGACCGGAGCGGGTTAGTCACCCTCCCTGATTGTAGTAAGCAATATCTGTTGAATATTGAAGCTCGCCTCTCATTGGTGGGGGGTGCTGCTGTCGAAAGTGACATCAGGCAGCAGTGTCCAATCCCTTTTTAGCTGAGCTTTTTTAGACACTAAGGGATTGGGACTGAGCCAAAATAGCCTTGCCTCACATTATCTTGACATCGGCTGATAGAAGCTATTCACAACGATCTCTTCCTCTGCAGACCATTCTATCTTCGGTTGAGAAACCCTATTTCGCTCGGGTTGGGCACCATCTAACTTCGCTACCAGCATTCGTTTTATGAGGAGACTTGCCTTCTAAACTCTAGACGTGTAGGTTCTCAGCCTGGTTAGTTCCTAGTCGATTCTTCGCCACTCCCACACCCTTCCTTGTTGATATCTACTCACTGTTCCGGCTTTATTCTCACATCATTCTTGGAACGAAGCAAGTTTACTCTAGATGAAGAGCTTGGGAACTCGAATACGCTGTAGCCTTGTTTGTCTGATATCCAAAGGAGTGTGAGTCGAGCGACGTCATGGGGGACCCAGACAGCGTTCATCCAAACGACATCGATCCTCTTCTTAATGAATATAGCGATCCATCTTTACTTCCTCCATGGCAGTACCCTAGTTATAGCGACGCAGTGGAGCAAGTCCCAACTTATAGAAATACTATATCGAAATGATTAATCGCTTGCAGCCAGAGGATGGGGACTTTTGGTGTCTCAATTTTCTCGATACGAGTCATCTCGACCTTGAATCCCACCCTATTGTTCCACAGCATCCCTCCTATACCCCGGCTCCTAAGAGACTCACCTGTCTAGAAGGATGCAAAAATCGCAGATTTGGTCGTCAATATGAACAAAATAGGCATATAAGAGAGATACATCGGTGCCCCCATGAAGATTGCGTAGATGTGAGGTTGTCAACCCCAGTAGAAAAAAGGAACCACGAGAGACTGCATAGCGAATCTAGGCTGGGCTATAGATGTGGGCGCTGTGAGCTAAATGGAATACCTACAAGTGCACTCAGACGTGTTGAGAAGCTGTGAAAGCATCTCAAGAACGTACACATGGTGCCGGAAAATGTCTCTTTCCCCGAATACCAATGCACTCTAGAGCCTTGCTATGGTGAAGAGACAGTCGGGGGTATTTTCTTTACCTCGAAAGATGAATTAAAGGAGCACCACCAGCTTAAGCATAAATTAAAGCCCTTCGAAGATCACCCCCAACCCGGAGAAAAGAATAAATTTGAGCCAGTCGACCCAAATGAGGAAGCCGCAATTGCTACTTGGGAATCTCTTGTACTGCAGCTGGCCGATATTCTACAGGATATACTCGGAGAAACCTAGTCTGCTTGTCTTGTCCGTCACGTTAGTGAGGACAGTGTTTCCACCCCAACTGTGTGCATCTCAAGCCCCGATGGCCAGACAGCTCTCACAAGACAAAGAATCCAAAAAGAGGTAGATTCGCTTTGCGAGGAGATCAACCGAACATCGCTGATGATATGTTTTACCAATGGTAGAGGTATGCCCATCGAGTGTATCAAGAACACGCTTGGGATCCTTGCGTCGCGTTTGGCCCTTGACCATTCGGCAGACGTGGAGAGAAAGAACGACAAAACTCCTGAGGATATATCATTCAGCATTGGCCATGTTGAATATGGAGTATTACCTTTTAATGTTAGTATGCATGGTTTACTCTCATCACAGGAGATCAAGCGAAAAGACCCGGAGCTGGCATATCCCCTTGAAAGTAGCGGCGAACTGGAATCTCATACACACGTAAATCAGGGTCCCACGTTGGCACAGACTCCACGAAGTAACTTGAGTGATCAAGGTGTGCAGAAATTAGATGGATATTCTCCACATTTTGAGGAAAACGGTGGTATTGAAACATTCTCCAAATGCCTGCATACGGTTTATTCTGCGCGAAGGGCTCTAGCAGAAGCAAGCATTATATCGTTCTCGGAATCAGGATATGCATCTGTTAAGTATGAAACTGGAATGCACGTATCTCGTCTTGGTCGAGCAGATAAGGCCGTGGATACATTAAAGGCCCATGGAAGCGCTTCCAAGGGGACGAACGACCCAGCCACTCAGTGTTATGAAGCTGGAGGGGACTGCGATCATGGCAAGACAATATATTCAATTGGATCCAGCACGACAGGTTCAAGGAAGGAAGCATACATTTCTGAACTAGTGGAAGATCCGAGTAAAAGCATGCCCAGTACTCGTGGAGTAATTAATGATGCAGTCATGGAAAGGTTCTACTCTACACTTCCTGGCTTGCTCAAATCTTTTGCTAGGAAGATTGGGCATATAGGCCAATCTCTAGAGTCTAGAGATGTCATGGTATTCGTCAGTGAGTATAGACAGTAAGTATTGCCCACCTTCACAATCTCGTCTATATCAAAGTCTTTCTAGGAGCTACCTCTATTCTGTTATGGTCTAGTGTCTTTCTGCATGTGTCCGTATGCCTGTGTCTATCATCCTAGCCCGAAGTTCAAAGATTTGATTATTCACGATTCCATCACTCATATTTGCGCTCGAATATTCTGCTAATTTATATATAGGACAATCCTAGCGAGATTGAAAAGTCACATGCTATCCCAGGAGGACAAGATCTTCCAAGAACCCAGACCCACAGACCCAACCCCAACATCGAGTTCAAAGGTGCAGGATTGGTTTAACTCGATGCAAGGGGAAAGTGGAGACGAATGCCCCGTGGATCTCTTTGTCGGAGTTTCTGACCCTCCAGATGAGGAACCAGGGGGAGCCAGCACTCACGGAAACCTTCCGCGATATTGTGACTTCATCGTAGGAAATCCAGCGTACACCTGGCTACTATCCAGGCTCGAACGTGAACTGCTCTTAGCTCCAGCAGAGCCAAACCATATGCGGGCCATCTCAGATACTATACTGAATGGGCTTTCACATAGAGCGTTCCGAAATCTCAGTCATGAAAGGGGCCCCCATCTATGTGACATGACATTCATGGTGGACTGGGACCCATTGGCTTTTTTGCAAGAACAAGAGTACGATGAAAAGCCAGAGGAGGCATTTGAGCGAGCCATTACTCTTACAGGGACCGGAAGTAACGCGCAAGCGTTGACCACGGCACAATATTTGAGCCAAACTTGGCCGTTGGTGGGAGATGAGATGCTAGGCACACTTAAAGAGGTTGTTCGATGTGGAAGTGGCTCTACCATACAATCGAGTAAGTATGCGATCGAACCAGCGTATGACCAGGAGGCTGAGGCTAATCACTAACGGTATAGGACGCATGAGAGGCAACACCACTCTTTCCGCCCATTTAAATGACAGCAAACTTTGTCTTCTAGTTATTGGAACACTTGACTCTGTAGCAGAGATAGGGGGGGTTGTCGCCTGGCTTGGTGCTGCCTTACGAAGTTCACCCGAAGAGCGAGGAGTCGTCTACTGGTCACCTTTTGTTAGCGACCTGTATATTCAGGCTTTTAAAACAGATAGAACCACGGTTACTTCCAACATAAACCTCAGAATTGGTGTGGAAGAGATGGATGAAGATGCCGCACCCCCTTGGAGAACGAATGGCAGGTGTTGGCATGATGTATTTCGAAATCCAGTCGTGGTCAAGGGGTACCCTACACGAATCAAACCACGGAAAGACATGGGTATTGAAATGCCGATGGAAATTATGGCTGGATTGGTTGGATCCAATCTAATATCTAGCTTTGCTGGAAATCTGTTCATCAAAAGCTATAGCATGATGTTGATATTGACTAAGCAGGTAGGAGACGTTTTGATATGGCATTTTCTTTTCAACGAGAATGGTGAACACATATCGTACGCAGATCCTCGAGTCTGTGCTTCTAACATGCAGAACATCAGTATGTCCACTTTAGAATCTACACGGCATGTGCTTGGATGGTGCTCAAAAGTCGAAAATCTAGCCGGTATGTAACTCGTTGTGGATTTAGTATATACAATACTAATCAATACACTGCGCAGGGGGACCGAAAGCGAACTACAAGATCAGGTGGTCTAGACTCCAGAACTTGTATTCAAAGGGCACCCTCGAGAAACTCTCTATCTCTAGTGGGAAATTCATCACTGCTGGTGTCTCGTTTGCTCTTGGCAAGAAAGACAAACCGGTGTACATGAAATCAAGAGATGATTACGTCAGTCAACTGAAGTGGGTCGCAAAGGAGTTTGTGGTACTCTACAATGTAGAAGATAGACGAGCCTGGCTTGTGGACGGAATCTGTACCCTGCTTCACCTAACTAGGGCTTCTCTACAAAATGATCTCAGCGATGGCTTCACTGACTTCTCCTACTTCAAACTTGGACAGTTGAAGGAAGCAGATCAAACCCATATAGGGAAAGCCGCAGCGATTGCGGTGCTTTCTAGCGTTGCAAACCAAAACCTGAAGCTTCATCGAAAGCCGGACGAGAGCTACGATGAAGAAACGACCAAGGAAGATAGCAGTCTGGAGGAACTCACGAAAACAAAGAAGGCTTATTTTTATTTTAAAGATCGGGTCCAGCAAATCTACCACGTACTGGAGCAGATCATCACCTACCAATGCCAGATGGACTCAGAAGACGGAATCAGCTTCGAAATGAAACCCAAGACTCGAAAAAATCTTGAAGGATTCGATTTCATGGATGTTGCTACAGGTAACGATCCGCTCTGGCGTCGTGTTACTACTCTTAAAGCTCGTGGAAGAGGTTGGGTCGATTTCACCCGAGCTATTCATGCGCCAACGCTATTTGGGCGTGGATTTGGTGAGATCTTGGGACCACTGGATGATAGGTCTTGCGCATTGTGGGCGGCGATGCCTAAGAAACGTGACTATCTTGCGGTTTGCTGTTCGGACTTGAATGAGATTCTTGAGAGGCACGGGGACACGGAAACCAATCCTTGGCGGGTTCTAAACGATATCTACTGGCATTGCCCTGATAAGGCGGTTGAACCCTGTCGATGTGTCGATGGCTCTCGATCAACTTGTGACAGAGTTCAAGTACTTCTCCCCAAAAGCTTTAGAACTCTGTGGACACGTGGATTCTGGAGTCCTAGTTGGGCCGGTTCTGGCGCAGTTATCTTTGGGCATAGTCGGAAATTCCCTCTTAAATGGCTAGCTCGAGGTCATCCAGAGGAAGGAGAACCCGAGGATACTGACGACGAACCTCTACCACCTTCGCAAGATAGTGGGCTTGGTTCTAGCCTAGGTTCGACGCCGCAAACTGAAAGCAACGGTAATCCGCCATCAACACCATCAAGCAATAATTCATCATCTGGTAGGACTGTACCGTCAAGCGCCAATCTACTGTCTATTGAGAGTGTACTTGCAAGCAGCAATGCGCCGTCTACTGGTAGTACAACTCCAAGCAGCAATCGAATGTCAAATTCCCCTGCCTCGAATGGAGACTCGCATGGAGATTCAGATACCTTTGTTGCGTTGCCGTGTCGAAAGAGAAAGATGCTAGACGTCGTAGACCGCGTCTGGAAGAAGCGTAAATAGTCGTACCCAAGTAGGATTCTCGCAATGGTCGTAGTACTAGGCTTGCTGGGGCTTTACCTCACCAGAAGGGTAGAAAGCAGTATGGAGATACAATGGCACAAAGCAGAGGCGGTTTAATCATTTGGTCGCGTTTCTGGACTTCCATAGTCGGGCAAGGGAGAAAGGGTTCTGCCAGACTATGGCTTCGATTTAGGCATATGAGAGCTTAGTATTAATACTATGGAGCACGTGTGTTTACAGTACTTCAGATTTGACGCTTTACCGGATGTAGAAGTGGGGCGCTAAGTTGTTGAGTTGAAAGGTTTGCAGTTACACTTGAAGGGGAGGCCGGTTTCGCTAGCGACTGTAGAGCTTGAAGAAAATGAGTCTCTGCGTGAATAATGCAGATTCTCAAGCACGCTGAGATTGGGAGACAAGAACTGACCCATCCTCTGGGCACAAGAAACGATGATCTTCAACACACCGCTCCAACTATGCCTTATCACTGGGATCTCACCAAGTTGGGTGTTATCATTCCTTGGTGTTGCGGTCAAATCCTGCCACCATGGACCGAAGTTTGCGGTATTATCCCGACCTCTTTGATGGACCGGCAGTTGGGTTTTGGAAGAGAACCAGGAGTTTAAGTTTGAGCTTGGGCCATTTGGGCTACCCGGTGGTCCTAAAGTGAGGTCAGCGTTGAGTTACGGGAAAAAGAGTGGCGTTCTGGAATGTGGGTTGAGCTGAAGAGATTCGGGTGACAGAGTTTGCGGGGTGTTGATACGTTGTTGCCTAATAATGTGCGAGATGCTTATGAGATGGTTGGAGAGACATAATCAAAGCCAGTGAAAGACAAGATAAATGGAGAAATAAGGAAACGAATTCTTAGAATGTCAAATGAAAGAGGTCTAAATTGAAATATCGGTGGGCGTTGATGTCGTCCTTGAGGCTGCACGAGAAACTAGTCAAGATGAGTCGATTCGAATGGAAATCAAACAGAAACCCCCGTTTCTTTGGGCTTAGGTTACATTGCATCAGAAGAAAGCAATTAGTAGAAGATGGAGGTTGGAAATCGTGGGGTTGGTCAGGGTCTTCGATCTCGTGGTGATGATGTTGCGGTGAGGGCTAGACACCCGAGACCACGAGCTGAAGCTGAGGGACCTCAGAAGTCGTCGAGGAAGCAACTAATCGCCGCTTACTCTCGGGCTTACTTCCTGGATCGGAGTGTTTTTGGGTGGGCGCTTAAGAGCTTCCTTTCGGGGATAGTCTTGGGGGAGCATGCAGTCGACGACCCGAATGGCGAAGTGAGAGGACAAGGTGTGGTAAGACTCAGCGCTTTGGATGTGCGAAGCTCCACGATAGCATAGGATGTTGCTTAACGAATCAACGATGGTGATATGAAAGAGTGTCCTTCACCCCGGCAGAGTTTCAGAAAATGCGGCTAGAAGATTCTCATGAGTTGTTGAGGTTGCCACCTGAAACGGGTGGGTGTGGGTGAAATGTGGCTAGAGTGGAAATGGGCTAGCGCGATCTGGGGACGATCTATGGGGGCCAAAGATTCCGAAAAGCTTCGTGGCTTCCCCGCTACACTCCACATGCCCAGTGTCTTTGAAACTATTGTGAATTAAACAATATGGACTGCCATGGCATCCAGAGACCAAGCAATACCGCAACTACGGAGAACCAGAATAGTTTGCATTTCAGATACTCATAACCAAACGCCGAAGTTACCGAAAGGTGATATCCTGATCCACGCTGGAGACCTTACGAATCAAGGAAGCTTCACTGAGTTGAAGAAGACTGTGGATTGGTTGGAGAAGGCAAACTTTGAAGCAAAAATTGTCATTGCAGGTATGCAGACGGAGCCCAAGGTAGATCCCCCTATAAACATTATCTCAACCCCAACTAGGGAACCACGATATAACGCTCGATGCCGACTTTTACAAGCAGCACGGCTCGTCATGGCGCTGGCCAAGGCCTCAAGACCCGGAACAATGTCGGAGCCTCCTCATAGACTCGCAGTCGATTACCTTCCTCGAGAACGAGGCTGCTTCTATTTTCCTCAGCGCCCCTACCGGACCACATACTTGCTTTAAGGTATTTGGGAGCCCATGCACTCCAAAGCTCTGGAATTGGGCATTTCAGTACGGTTCAGAGGACGCAGCCCAGCTGTGGGATGCTATTCCTTCGGATACAGACATTGTCGTCACGCACACCCCACCGAGGAACCACTGTGATGCCGCAGGCACAAAGGAACGAACAGGCTGCGAGGCTCTGCTCAACGTACTCTCTCGTGTGCGGCCCATGCTCTCAATTTTTGGTCACATACACGAGGCCCGTGGGGTAGAGCGAGTGCAGTGGAACGAAAATTCCTCAGATGGATGCCTGGAAGAGAGCGTCGAGGTTTGGAAAGACTCAGGGATTGGAAACAATAAACAATCACTGGTCAACCTCACATTAAAAGGAGGGCGTCCTCTTCGCACTGCCGCTACCATGACACGTCACAACAGCATAAACTTCCTCAGCCTTACCTCCAGTTCCCCAATGGGAGACCTTGGGGTCCAGCCTGACGTCCCTCAGCCTGGTGTTCTTAATTCAACCTCACGCCCGAAGGGCGTTCCGGTGTTCGAAAGTGAGGCAAATGGCAAGATTCGAAGGATGTTGGGAGGCGCAATCGAGTATCGCCAGGCGCCTTCACGACAGAGCGATATCGGGTTCGCAGCACCGTTTGACGTGGGGGCTGTTGAGAGGAGAGCGGCTCGCAAGGAAACTTGTATGATCAACGCGGCCTTTTTGGGCCCTCATTTCAGTGGAGGTCCCAAGCAGTTCAACAAACCCATTGTTGTTGATGTTGATCTGCCTGTTTGGAGTTGAAGCACCTCGATGCATGCGCAGTGATGTAGCTAGCTGCAAACACCCGCCAACTAAGATCTGACATCGATCAAAGTGCCATGCTCATGATCTCGCTGTATGATACAGATTGACATGAGCAGCAGCATTTGAACCGTTCACGTCGAGTCCTTCACTCTCTGCCTTCACGCTCAATCATGTCCTTCCACGTCAAAGCATTGTGGTGATTTTGATGCGGCCAGGGTGTCGGAATGAGGGCATGACTGCCGCTATTGGTTCTCAACCTCAGACATGTTGCCCCGCCTTTCTGGCGACGGTCCCCCGCAGCGCCCCTTATCCTACCACTCAGATGGAGCTCTCATCCCTAGCACACGGACCTGATCGAGTTGAAGAAATGTCTGCCTGGCGACGCAACCGCCAGGCACGTTAAGGGAAGGATGCAGCAGATCCCTCCCCTTCCGCCCAGGCATTCGTTGCGAGCATCAACGACGGAGCATCCCACAAGCATGAATCGAATAGCGTGCGGGCGGTGCTCGTGACTGCCCATCACCCCACAAGGCTCCGGCTGTCTGTTTCGGGGTGCTCCAGACGACCGTCCAGAAGAAGCAGCTCAAATCTGCTGATGTCCTGAGCAGAAGGGCTCGGATGTGGTGACGGTAAAACGGTCTGGCGGTGGTGCACTCCTTCGTTTTTCTCGGGAGCGCGACGGCCACATTGGCCACATCTTGCAGCGCTGGATCAAGCATTTTCTTATTGGACCTCTGGGGTCATACACAGGAGCAGCCTGCTCATCGGCTCGTGGGATACTTCCTTGGGCTTCTGGATCGCCTGCAGCGCTGCATCAGCGTGCCTATCAACAGCGGGTGCCCGCAAGGTCCCAGAACGGCCGATGGGTGGGCTGCAGGTGGCGATTGGGCCAGTGTTTCTTAACCGCTAACGAGGGCGTGCTCTGCGTGCATCGTGCTGCATCTGCATCATCGGCCACAGCGGCTTGCGCGATTCAATTCGCAGCGTGGCTCAGGGCTGGGAGGTGGAGGCATTTCTGGCATTCGTCGCCCTCAACGAATGGGTGGGCCCGGGGCGATGCCGGGAGAGCAGAAGAGCGAGGTGAAAGACCACTGGGCTGCAACACCAAGAGCTGGCTTCGCACAGGCGCAGAACCAGCAGCTGCAGCACCAGCAGATTGAGTAATGGTGCGAGGATGCTGCTGCTACTGCTTCAGGTACTGGTTAAGCGTGCTGAGGCGAGAACGAAGGGAATCGTGCGTGTGTCTTGCGAATCCAACAGCCCTGCTGGAGAGGCTGGAAACTGCGCCATCGCCCGTCAGAGAGTGCCCGTGAGCGCCTCGCGGGCTTGGAAACCCAAGACGCCATATTACTTTGTCTCCGTCCTAGTCCCCCAGGATTCCAGAGGACCCCGACCTCCGCAGCAGGCTTATTCCTCCTCTGCAGCATCTCTATTTCCATACCATCTCGTCGTCCGTCGTCCGGAGGGTGTTACAGCCGCGGACATTTTAGGAGGCCCTGTCCCCTTCTTATTCTTGCTGAACGTCTCCCTGCTGAAACCGTAGTGACGTCGGCTTCACTCACCGCTTCGTTCCGCATCCCAAACAGGACAGCCAGAGACGACCTCGGCCGTACCGTACAACAACAAGCCCGAGAGCCTTCGACACAGCCTCACTTGCGCGCACGAGTATCTAGCTGTTGAATAATTAATCGACGATTCCATTTGACCAGGGCTTGACCAAGTAGTCGGCGCGAGAAGTCTGTTTTTGCCACAAGCCTTCACTCACGTTACTCGTTCCTGGTCCGCCTTACTCAGCGTCGGTCACAGCGTCACCCCATCCGTGACCCTAATCCCGCGAGCAAACCAGTTCCATTCACCTCTAACACCTTGACCACGACTCTCATTTAAGGTGCGCTAGCACATCTAACGCCTGTCGTTCGTCCTTCCTGAAGTCGACTTTGCCATTCACGCCTGCTTGGCCGCGCACCATTGCCACCATCCAAATCCTACACTCACTTGGGCCTTAACTTGCATGTGCCTCAAGGAACACCAACGACCCCCACAGCACGCCGCGATCCTCCTGCCATATAACATTGAGGCCACATTCCCTCTCGGCCACCATTCCTTCCCCATCCATTGACCATGGATTCCTCTCTTCCTGCTGATCCATATGCCGCCTTAGGAGTGTCCAAGAATGCCGATGCAGCTACTATCAAATCGACATACCGGAAACTGGCCTTGAAATGTCACCCAGACAAAGTCACCGATGAGTCGCAGAAGCAGCAGAAGCGGGAGGAATTCCACAGAATCCAGCAGGCGTACGAGTTGATTGGCGACGAGGATAAGCGGACAGCTTATGACGCTGCAGTTAGACTGAACGAATTCAGGAAAGAGAAACTAGCTAGGGCCGGCAGTGGCGGTCCCAGTGTCGACATCAAAACAGCACATTACGATCTCCGCACTGCAGCCCCAGCGGGAGCCTCGTTCGCTGCTCGTGGCCCCGCTCGCTATGAAGAGCGCAAGCCGTCGAGGTCGTACGATGACGACAGACACCACGAAGACAGATCGTCATCGCGAAAGTACGACACATATGATGCTTACCCCAAGCGCAGCTCACCCCGCTCGTCACGAGAAAAGGAGCCGCCGATTAGAGCCAGCCGGACTTCGACAGACCGAACGAGGTCTGACCACAAGAAGACTCGCGATAGGGAAGAACGGAGAGATCGTTCCGGCAAGTTCGTTTACGTCGAAGACGACACTCCGTCATCTGCAGACGAGAAGACGCGTTACGAAGCAGAGTACAAACGCCGCGCTGAGGAGGACCAGGCCAGGAGAGAGGCGGCAGAGGCTCGACGCAAGGCAGAAGATCGACGATCGCACGAAGAGCCCCGCCGCCACCGCAGCGATGACCGTGAAACATACGACCGACAGCGCAAGATCAACGAGCTGCAGAATGATGCATTCCAGTACATCTCACGTGCCAAAGCCGAGGCGGAGATTCGGCCGTCACCCGGCAGGAACGTCTCCTCGCGGGATGTCCGGCCTGAACACTACGACAGTCGTTCTCGACGAGACCGCCCAGAAACAGTTCGTCGGTCATCTGCTCGTCCGAAGGATTCGTCTCAACCGGCATCTTCGGGACGTGATAGCCACCGAGACCGCAAGGGAATCCCCGAGATTGTCGAATGGGGCGACGACGACAGGAAGGTGCCATCTTTTAAGCACTCTAATTCATCCCCAGCGGACCTTCACGTGCCGCCGCGCGCTACGCCTCAGCGATCCTACACTGAGACGTCCACCCGAGAGCACCGGCGAACGGATTCTTCGCCCACGCCTGCCTTCCGTCGCTCTGAGACAATGCCTACGGCGTCCCGAAGGAAGGAAGCAACTTCTCGGTCTACTGGCCTTCGCAGCTCAGAAACGGTCGTGCCGATGCCCACCACGGAGACCTTCCCCACTGTTCCACCCCCTCTATCGTCATCCACTCGGAAGCTTTACCACTATCCAATGTCTGGAGGGGTGAGGATTGCCCCGGAAGAGCCTGGTGTGGCAAATGGCCACCGCACCGTCCTTCACGAGCCCGCCCGCCATAGGACTCGCTCACCATCGCCACTATCTCGACCTCCCATGGGACCGAACCGGCTAGTTGAAACCAGCTCAATCCCATACCAACCTGCAGCCCCTGCTCCTCCACGCACCACTCCAATAACCGTGCCGCCACCACTTGCGCGCGCCGCAACTATGAACGTAAGCCCAGTCCGGGGTGAGGAGCGTGGAAGATCCAGGCAGCTGTTTGGAGAGATCAGAGGTCGCCAGGCTAGCTTTAGCCCAGAAAAAATCTCGTATGCCAAGAAATTTGGACCAGACGATATTAGATGGAGTGCTCCAAGAGGTCGTGATCCGGTCAGAGATCGCGAATACATGGGCACTAAACCGTCTCTAGGCAGACATGCTACGTCTGTCTACTAGATGATAGGTCGAGAGGCGGCAAAGTGGTGAATGCGTGTGCTAATTTAACGTATGTCTTAGGAAACATAGCGTTTCACGGCGGGCATAGCGGCAAGAGCATGGCGTGGACACTGTAGGATATGTTTTCTAACACGCTCTCATCGCCAACTCTCTCTTCTTCAACCTGTCCATACTGAAGTCCATGAATACTAGATAGGCATGGCATTGAGCTCATTGCTTATACCTCTCTCCCCTTTCTAGTTTTCAATTGCCCCTCTATATTCTTCCAAAGTACACACGTTGATGGATTACTACAACACGGAAACTTAAATACAAGGAGAATTAGTCCTCCCTTGACGACGGACTTGGTGCTCCAGTCAGGGCTGAGGCGGTTCTTTGTACATGACTCTCTTCTCTTCTCTTCACTTCTCTTCTTTTCTTTCCTCTTCTCTTCTTTTTCGCTTGTTCTATCCCACCTCTTCCGGGGCTATGACTATTTTAAAGTATTTCTAGCATGTCTTTTTTCTGCTACATATCATACCTTGAGAAACCCACATATTGGGTCCGTGGGTTCTTCTGGGACTGGGATCTGGGTTGGTCTGGGTCTGAGGCGCTACGCATGGTCGTACGGTTTCTGGTCTGCTTTCGCTTTTACTTTCGCTGCACAGACGCATGTTCTCACTCACACAAGTCGCTCTATCTCGACGTCTGTATAAGCTGGAAACGCTCGCTACGACACTGCATTCGCTCATTTTGATCAACGATGCTTCATAACGGCTACGAGGGAACCAGCAGGTTGACATGTTTGGAACCCTCCCTTCTCTCTCTAGGATTTGTGTCAGTCTTCCTGTTGTTTTGTTGTTGCTGCTGATGTTGCTGTTGCTATCTGTCTTGGTCTTTCTGACTTTCTGACTGTGTGTTTGTCTGTCATTTGCAATGTGGAATATCTTCGGTTTTGTTCACAATGGGTCAAGGTGTGGTTATGGAAGGATATGGACATGGACACGGACACTTTGAGCGTCGAGCATGATTCAAAACGAATTCTTGCTCCGCTATTGATACATCTCTTGATGATATACATGGTTATGAATACGTTTAGATATCTGATTGATCGATTGAATGATGAATTAAATAAATGATAAAACAAACTCGACTAACTTAAATCTGTGATGGCTTCTTGTGATGGTTTGGTGGTTTGCGTAATTAACTAATGACTGGCTTCTCGCATTTTGCCTCCTACTAGACTAGACGATGGGAAAGTCATGCAAATTTTCTTTCTCGGCGTTTCTTTTGCTTTCTAGGGGTATACATGTATACGCGCATGGCTGTGCTAGTCGATTCGTAGCTACCTACTCCATCCGTGCCGTCCGTTTCCGAGCGAGCCGTTTCGCTTCCCAACTACATTCTTTGCCTCCTAATCCTAGATTCCCCGCGCTCGCTCTCATTCCTTTGGACACAACCCATCCTAAAAACACTTTCGCTTCCTGAGCTCAGTTTGCTCAAACGGAGATGTCTTAGCGCCTCTGTCTGACGGCATACCGCCCAGCGTCTGCATCGCAGATGTGCATCTTACCCACTCCTTCCCGCACACAGACCCTCAAATGAGATGAGGCGCTCAAGGAGACCTGATCGGGCGAAGGGGCTTTATTAAGTAAGCGCGGACGTTCTTAGACCCTGTATTTGGCAGATTTAATCTACTCCCAACACCTCCCCCGCTCAGACGGACGGATTACCACACATATTTTTGGAATGCATCTGCGGATCTGACCGCGCCACAGGAGCATGACGTTCAGGTACTTTCGGTGTCCGTTTATACTCAGGATATTGTCGTTTTGGTTCGGAAAGCGAATGCTAAATATTTGTAGTTTTCGTCGCTATCTATAAGATAATGGTTGGTCATGAATTACTTTGAAGAGTGGGTAGAAGCGATTCGGATACGTATTGGTCTTTAGCAATGGCGTTTGTAATAGACTTACGCCGGCAAAGATGTGATTTGTAAAGAGAGCTGTTCTGTATAGAGTTAGCCTGCGCTGTGTTTGGTTATCGTGGCTTCCATACTACTTGCTTTAGGCTAGAAGGGTTATCTGCGGCCTGGCAGCTAATTACTCTTCCCTTACGACGGAGAAAAGTAAACAAACAGCCGAGGAGCCAGAACATAGATGATTAATCGTATAAGAGCTAACATCGAGAAAAGCGCCGGAGATGGAGGCACTATGAGTAGTGGTCTTCAAGTTCTATCTATCAGAATATATCAATTTCTCTACCTACATATATAGAAAGAAAGGCTTCGTTGCGTATTAGTGCATCTCTGGCTACAGCTAGCATTTTAGCTGGATCAGAGCAAAACGAAAATGAAACCTTTGTTCCAATAGCGTAGACACCCCTTTTGCTACTTGACAAATACTTGAATCTATGTTTTTCTCGTTTGCTTGTGCAAGATTTCGTGAGAAGGAGGCTATATGCCAATGTAAGGCGCCTATCTACCTCTTCCCCTTTCAAGGATATGGATTTAAGAGACTATGGCTGTGGACCGAACTTCACTCAGCCAGCTCGACATTCGATCAATGATGAAGAATTAATTGTATGTACATCCAAGCTGATTACACAATGCTCAACCACCCCGGGCAGTCCTGGGTTCTTCTCTTCTTCAACTTCTTCAGATTGCCATACATCTTTTCCCACGTCTGGTGTGAAACCAAGAACCCTTCAAACGCTCCAACGCGCCGATACAGCGAGCCCATTCCGTTCGGCTCGACCAAAATAATACCAGCTAAATGATACCCTTCCGACACCATCTTAGAACCCAGGAACAGAAGTACCGGCCGAAGTAGCATTCTAGGGGAATCAGGCGTATCTCGAACCTGGGATTCTGGTAGGGCTTTCAAATCATCTAGATAGGTGCGTAGGGCGTCGGAATATGAAATCCAGTCTGTTACTGGCTCGGCACCGCCGTAGTACTTGGCCGAGTGCTCGTACCTGATGCTCGGCAAGGTTCTCATGACACCGAATATTTTGAGCGGTTGTTTTTGCATAGCTCGAGGGTGCTGAGTATCTTCAATAGTGAGGCTACACGTGGTCACTATTTCAGGTAAGCTCTCGTACCCGTGTAAGAATTCTACTCTGCCGTCGACAGATGCCCACGTCCAGGATGGAGCACGGTACTGCGATTGTCGATTGTACGTGGTCCCTAATTGTGTACGTTTCCCGCGGTGTACCCACATGAGTTGCTGCGGTAGTTCGCTGAGCCAGAGGCCAGCTAGATATGTGTCTTTACAAGAATTTTGGGCCATCTGCGCGAGACCAGAGAGAGCAGGTAGCTTGTCAGTGATGTAGGTTAGATTCCTTTGCGTGAAGTGCTCCACAATCGTTTTCCATTCTGTGAGCATCCACTGTGGACTATCTTTTTGCAGTCGTTTGACGGTTGCACTTTCAACGCCAGGATTTGATGTCTCCATTATGCAAAACCCTTGATGTCCTAGCTTGGGAGCAGTCTCATGATGAAGTGACTGGTGGCACATCCAACGCAGACCCGCAGTTCCATAGCTCAAGATACGATTCGACAAAAGCCTCTCTTGAAGTGTCCATGCTCTTGTATTTAACGGCTCTAGATGAGGCAGAAGATGAGGAGGTTCCGGACCAACTAGTATCTTCACAGGATATTTGGGGCTTCGTTGGAGTGCGCAAGGTTGCACTGGTTCTATTTTTCGCTGATGAAACAACCCTTCGTTCGCATGAGCACCATGAGCAGCGGAGAGCGTAAGACATGCACCTTGGTAAATATGGTGCATGTTGGTCGATTCTTTTTGCCAGTCCGAATATGCAGCATCATCGTGGCCCTGAAGGATACAAAAAGCATCAGCCCATAGATATTGGACTCCTAGTTCCCGGGTTACGATGATTGCATCCTGGATAGTTTTCGGTATTGTCTCCCACGGAATTGACGTCATAAAATCCCCTATATTCGAGCTGGTTGTTGTGAGAAACGTACTTCGACCCCAGCAATAGCTCAGAGCAACGTATCTCGTACTCTCGGGGTCTGGAAGATATTGTTGGCTGGTGATGACAAGTCTCGGAAGCATTGAGCTATCCCCTACGTCGATGAGGCGTGTGGGTAATTTCTTCGCACCACTCTGGCAAGCGCTTCCATGGTTTTGTAGGCAATTATCAAGCCACTGCTTCGCAAGAGAGAAGCATGCTGCGGATTGGGAGTTCTCTAGAAGTGGTCGGTACTTGAAATTCGCCTCGTTCACACTACCTAGCCCAGATCAGAGTGAAGTCTCAGCAGCGAATTAAATCCACTTACCGCGTTCACTATAGATCGTCAAACGCCCTCTTCGTATATCGTACCTCGAATCCGGAGGTCCAACATGCCATGGCTCGTCATAGCCTCGAGGACCCCAGCCAAATCCTGACACGGTTCTGCTCGAAACGATTACATCAATGCATTGCAATTTGGCGTATGTGTGCTTTGGTGGTGGATTTAAAAACAGATGGACCTCGTCCTCTGAGTTGTTTCGGAGGTAGGTCTTGTCGAATCTCAGGGACCATAATAGGAGGGCACAGAGAGAGCACGGGCCGATATTCTTATCCTCTTGATTGAGTAGATAAGAAACTAGGGAGTGTAGGTAGCCATCCTCGAAATCATCCAGCGTAAGTGCTTTGCACTTCGCGCAAAGATGCTGGTGATCCATCATTGAAGGATATTCAAGATGATAATCTTAATGTCAGGAACTATTTCAAGGATAAGAAGGTATTATGAGTGGGTGCAATCTCAGACAATTAATTTTTGGAGGTGTGCCTGAAGAATGGATTGTGCTTTCATTATGACATATGGTAGATCCTTTCGCAGGCTGAGGCTGAACGGGCATGATACTCAGCCCCGCTCGGTGGCTTGGCGATGACCCATGGCTTCAATACCAATCGTAGGAGAGCGGTGCGACGAGTGGAAAATATTCTTAGTGAAGCATTGCTCAAGTACGGAGGCGAAGTTGAAGTGTTGGGAAGCGATGTGTGAAAGGATGGAAGAGGGGCGAAGAGCAGAGAGTGAGGATCCAACACTGGGTCGCAATTTGTAATGAGACCCATCACCAGGCAGAATCACAACACTATGAAGTCAGATCAGTCATGTACTTGAGACAAAGAAAATATGTCCTTTCATTCATTTACACACTTCATCTTAGCTATCCAAAAGGACCAAGAATTTTTGAATCACCATATGCCACCCCAAGGGGCATATTCCAATTGTTCCCTTCAAAACTCCGCGGCCCGCTCAAAGGGCCTTATCGCTTAGCGCATCCGAGAAGGGTCGGATCTATGAAACGAACCCAACACATAAACTTAACAAAGGGAATCCGAGACCACAAGCAGCCGCACAAAGCCTCCCTTCACCCTCCACCCCTATGTACTTTCGAGTAGAAGAACGACCCGCGCAAGGTGCATTGTGTCTTCTATGTCGCCTATAACGCGTATGTGAACCAAGATATTCATGTATCCAATTCCATCCAATTCCATCCAATTGAAAAGAAAGATCAAAGATTCTTAAGAATAAGTGGTAGGAGAGATACACGGGAGAGAGTGTAGTTTGTGGGGTTGATGAGGTAAAAGGAGTCGGATCGGGTACTAGAGACTACTGACTAGGACATTACTTAAACCAACTCTTCTACGTTTCAATCCAAGTAGAGGACATCAACAGACATTAACCTCCACAAGTGGGAGCATCGATGACAAAGAGGAAAGAGGGAAGAGCAAGGAGATCAAGTGAGCGTTGATATAAGGGATAAGAGAAGTAAACTGAAAAGAGAAGTGAGGGTTGTATGGTGGGTTCCTCGCAACTAGGAATATATTGGGAGAGAAAGATAAGAGTTCGTAATGTTGGTCCGCTTTCTTGGAAGTGGTCTCAGTTCAAGGCAGCGTGTGCTATGTGTTGGTGGCACCGCTGCCAACCATCTCCCTGGTCAACGACGGACCGAGCGGTTGAAGGATCAAATCCTTCGCGCGCCTTTGGGAGATTAGGGTTGTGCCATGGTAGCTATCTCGACAATACGAGCGGGACAGTTCGCTTTGCGCAGGGATTGGACACGATCGTTTCAATACGTCGTCCTTCGAGGCATCTCGGTGGGTAGACGAGACATATGCTGGCGTTGGTTCTCCCAGTGAGCCTCTCCTGTGGGAGAGGAAGCTAGAAAGTAAAGTGTGGTCGAAACCAATCATAAGACATCCCAGATATTTCTGACGATGGGGCTGCTCCCTGTTTGTACTGGACTTCGAGGGTCTTCATCGATCACCCTTGGCGGCGTCCATTGAAGTGTCTCCTTCCATTCAGAACCGCCCTGGCCATCCTTGATCGTCTCGTTGGACGATGCTGGGCTTGTGTCATCAGTGGTTGCCTTTAGATCCATGTGGAATGGATTCCTCGTGAATTCTTCTGCACGTGGTGACATCAACGCATCGAGGTCATCAGCCGCCTGTGGCAGGTGCGGCGACCGTGGTGGCAGTAGAGCCTCCATCTCAGTCTGCAACTTGTGGAGTCTTCTCTGCTCGCGCATGTTCGGTGACGAGAAGCGAGTTCGGATGGCGGTCTGTTTCGAAGGTGTGGAAAGGAGCGCTTGCTGGGAAGTCGAAGGAGCAAAAGGGACATTCTCCTCGGTGGGTTTAAATCCGGGTGTGTGAGGCTCTAGTAGACGAGCAGATTGAGATTCCGGTGAAGTACTCAAGCTGTCAATTCGGCCAGAACTTGAGATCTTCGAATTCTCGAGATTTGCAAGTGGAGTTGGCGCGAAAATAGTTGGCTGCATTTGCGCTGCAGTGCTGTTTAATGAAGCAAATCCATTGAATGCTTCGGGTTGTGGTAGATGGGATGGCGGAAGTATCGCTTGAAACGAAGGGCGTCGGGTTTCAGATTCGACTTGCGGTGGCAGTGTCAGGTCTGCGTTCTCAAAAGGATTTCTAGGGAATCCGAATTGCCTAGGCGAAGTCAACCCAAATGGATCAACATCTGCCAATCTTGGTTTTAGCGGTGTCATGTGGAACTCAGTAGCCCTTGGCGAAGTCATTTCGACATCCAGTGTATCGTTCGAAGGAGTGAATATATCCTTTGGGAACCCGGTCGCTGCAGGCGAAGTAAGATTAAAGTGCTGTGATGACTGATTGCTTGACCCCAATGGTTGCGGTCGCTCAGAATCGAAGCCTGTAGCGCGAGGAGATAGAAGGCTGTATGATTCATCGATCTCGCCTTGGTGCAGACCAGTCATATGGAACTCGGTGGATCTTGGAGACATTGGCATATTCTCATCATGAGATTCTGGTGATCTTGGAAGCGTGTGAGAGTTTAGGGGGTTGACCTGTGTCCATGGGCCAGTGTTGAATTCCGTTTTCCTTGGAGACAGCAATGGGGATACGTTTGCGTGATTGTTAGGAACAAGCGGGTGAATATTGAAATTCGAGGCCATTGGAGACCTTAGAGTATCGAAATCATCCAGTCTCAACGGTGCCGTATGAAAGTCCTCCGACTTGGGCGATGTGGCTGCACCAAATCCCTCATGTTGCATCTGCTCCCTGAACGGTAATTGACGTGAGAAATTGGGAACTGGGAGGGGTTGGAGATTTACGTGTGGCTCTTGGTGAATAGACTGCTCGTTCATGTTTGCATCCATTATGCCAGGTGATTGATCATTATTGGTGATTGAAAGAACGGGTACAACCTGGCCTTTTGGGTCCACATAAGGTGTAGCAGAGGTGGTGGGCGAGGACTTTGGCGATAAATCAAAATGTGTCTGACTAGAGGCCCACGAGCGGCGGTATCCAGGAGAGAAGAAGACACCAGATGGTGCAGACAATGGGCCAGGCGATATCGATATCATATTTCCGGTACTTGCCCGTTGCATGTTCAAGTCGGTGTCTGGTGGTAGGGGTGCTGTACGTGGTGTTCTTGAGCCAGCGGATACTTCCATGTCGAAGGGAGAGTGCCTGTTCGCCCCCGAAGAGACCGTAGTTGGCAGGCCAGCGGACCTCCTCGGGAGGTTCAGGCCATAAACTTGGTTGTGGAACGCCCTGTCTCCATTTGCTCGAAGGAGGCCATTCCTAAACTCTTGGAGCTGCATGATGAGATTCATGTTTGGTCCTATCCATTTGCTCCGTTTCTTTACAGAATCGTACGCTTCTTGAACGCTAATACCTGGATTCTTGTACAACCCATAGGCGACAATCAAACTCGCCGAGCGACTAACACCGCACTGGCAATGGACAAGGACACGCTTTCCTTGCTGTACTCTGTCATCAATAAGCTTTACTAGCTTAAAGAGGTCCGGCACAATGTCAGTGTTGTGTTCCCAAGGCATATGAATATACTCCGGAATCTGCAGAGTTGTTCCGTTCACGGTTTTCATGGTTGGCTTGGTAGTCTCCAAGATAGGAGTAGCCTTCGGTGTAGTAGGAGAGCTGCTCTGTGTATCGACTGACGATGCCTTGGTCCGTTCGGGTATTGCAGCAAAATCCACAGTCTCTGGAGGAGGTCCATCAACGCGCCTTGCATCCAAGTCCTTCTGTAATTCCTCGGCTGAGGCTGTGAAAGGATTCTTGACCTCGCTGGCAACATTTATGATCACATCGTAAGTCGCTGCCTGCTCTGCTGTGGGCTCGAAATATAAATATACACCGGATTCGTATATACATATTGGCCCATTCGGATAAGCGGCGGGTTTCTCTTCGCGAGACTGGGGAATGTCGAAATTTGGTTCCTGGTCCTCCTCCTCCATCTCTATGGGCACTTCGGCAAAACCGTGGGGATTGGTTTTGATGGGGCGAAGAATGGGGAGTTGCATCCCGCCACCTGGAGCTACACTGGGAGAACATAACGGAAGCGAAGGCGAAGACTGGAAATGGCGCAACGCTGGACGATTGAGGGCAGGAGTGGAAGGGATAACGAGCCGCATGGGCTTACTATCGCTGCCAGGAGTTTGGATTGTTAAGCTCAAATTGCTAGGCCGTCGCTTCGGTGGGGTTGGCGGCTTAATGAATGAGGGAGATGTTGGGGCGGAAGTGTTCTTTTCTTTTTTGGCGAGAACGGGTAGAGGTGCAGATGGGTTCGAACGGAGGTTGCCCAATGAGCTTGCCGTATTGATTCCGAGGTTCTTCAGATTCCTCGGCTTTTTTGCAGGCGTCATGGGCCTTTGCAGTTCGAAGAAGGCATTTTGCGAAGGTTCCGCCACGGCGTTGTCCGTTCTTCGAGACCGGAAATCGGGTACAAATGAGGACGAAGCAACCTTGGCAATGGGCGATTCTGGTGAAGGTCCCGGGGAGGGGTCTGTTACAGAGGATGAGTCCATGGTCGAAATAGTTGTGGTAGGTGAGGAATCGGACGACTCAGATGCTAATGTCGATGTACTGTCGCGGTGTACGTGGAAGGTGGAAAAGGGTACGTTCGACGGACTCGATCCACTAATAATGTTCCCGCTAGAAGCAGGCCGTGCTACGGCGTGGCCATGAGGGCCAGTGCTAGTTTGCTCCGAGAAATCCTTTACCCCAGTGTTGTTTACTTCCTCTCCGAAGACCGACATGAAGGACGGCATAGGCACAAATGTTCTCGAGCTGGCCTGTACGGGCATGCTGGGTCTGCGAGGTCGGGTGGGTCGTTGTGTTGGTCCCGACCTGGGGGAGCGATTGCCTGGGTTACCAGTCCAAAACGACGGCTGCCGTGGGGAGGGTGGGCGAGAAGGCCGTTGCGTGAAACTATGTTCAAACTTTTTGGCAGAAAAAGAAGAATTAGGTACTAAATCGGGAGCAAAAGCCCTCTTGAGAGTGGGACTGTCAGCCTTTTGGACGATTGTTGCGGTCGCCATGTCAGCGAGGTGGGGTGGGTTCGACGGGAGGGTTAGAGAGGAGGGACAGAGGGGACGAGTGGTGCAAACTGCTTGCTGCGGCGCGGCTTTGAGAGGTCGAGGAGGGACGGGCAAAGATGGGCAGGTTAATTGTGGACGAAGAGTGGTGAGTCGACAGCAGTATGCCCCAATGTTTTCACAGAGGCATGTCGAAACAGTGCAGAGCGCAGGCGGGTAGAGAGGTGGAAGGAGTGTGGGAGACTGAGGCACAGGAAGAGGACTGGCGACGCACCGACTTGTCAACAGCAGCGGCTGTCAAACTACCTGTTGGTTACTTGAAACGAGATACCAGATCTCGACTAAGCGCCAGAGAGAGCGACTGGCCAGGCGATGCGCCTGTTCCTGGATGGCAGCGCAGAGGAAGAAAAGCCGAGAAGGGACGAATATGCAGGTGTTGTAATTTTTTTTAAAGGCGAGAGAGTCGAAGGATGGTGTGGGCGCTCGAAGGTAGGGACGGGGTAAGAAGAGACCGGGTCGCGACACCTGGGATTGACGGCACAGGCAGGTGATGACCGACTGCGGGAGAGAGCCGGTCTGTCGCAGGCGTTTTTACCGCCGTGGTCGGGGGGAGGGTGGTGAGGAGTCGAGCGGCGGCGCTTTGGGTCGAGGTTGAAGTGCAGAGGGCACGAGAGGCATTGAGGGTCAGTGGTCGACGCCAGAGCGAAGGCCTTCTGGCGGCGGCTACCTGGGACAAGGCCAATGGGAGCGCGGGCGTGAGTGGCTGGGCTATTTTAAGCAGCGAGCGAACCGTGGAGGGCGACAAGGGGCCGGCAGTGGTCCTGCAGCGCAATTCACTAAACACAGTGCGCCGCCCGCCTGAAGTTAACGTACCACGGCGACGAGAGGTCCAGCCCGAGGACTCGATGGATTATTTTATTCACAACGCCGAATGCCCTCGGCGGGCCGTTCTGGGTCGCGCTGTCCATGTCGTCGCTGGTCGCTGGTCGCAGCTGGCCCCTCCCCCCCCCCAAAGTGCCAGACAAAGTGGCGACCGCGTCCGCGGCTATTTTTAGCGCCACCTATGCCTCTCGGCGGCAACACGACGCGAATTATTCTCCTAATCAACGAGCGCCAAGCGGCAGCCTTATACACCGAAGCCCTAGTCTAGCTCAAACCTCCACAGCATCCGGATCGTCCGCCCGCTCTCGAGGCCACCAGAATTTGAGAAACACCGTCCGACGAGCGCTAGCACTGTGGTCGCTCAGCCTTGCGTCAGAACTCCGATTTCGCCGAAACTGCTCTACACAGCACGATACACGTCGCCTGCCTGTCTCCTGTCTCCTGCTGTACACTTGCTTCTCCGGTGCGTCGGAGTCTTAGGTGTCTGACTCCCGTTCGATATGTCACGGCAGGTAGAGAACAAAGACGAACTTGAAACATGAGGCTGCCTAGACGACCGCCCAGGCCACTGGTTGGCGAGGAGATGCGACAGTAACGCATTTCGTTGTCTTGAACATCAGAGTTTCAAGTCACGTAACTAGGAGCAGTGTCAGATCGAGTGACAGTTTCTCGATCATGGTTTGTCAACCATCCTTTAAAATCTTCACATGCGTTGCATGCGTTCCAAATCTCTACTTGTCCTCTTTGTTTGCCAAGGTAGCGCTCTAGTACTTTGGGAGAGTTAAGTTCCCCGGTCGTTTAGTCCAAGTGTCGAAACAAACCTGATACCTTCCGAATACGGAAAGTGTCAACTATCAACTCTACGTCAACAACAATGCGCTGGGTGAAAGCGTTCAGCACTAGGCAACCGGGATGGTGACATACAGTCGGTCTAGAGGAGGTTTCATGCTCATCGCCAGGCTGATGGAACCGGCTTCAGACGGTGTGGCTTGGAGGTTGAGACTGGTCAGCCTTTGGAATGAGTATGAGCAGAGGTCAGCAGACCTATGGCGAGATTTGGAAGGAGGTCGAGGAGTGATGTTAGACTGCGATCTTATGGGAAGAATGATTTACATGACACTTCCAGTCTCGCGGTCGCAGGTAGAGGTCACATGTTGCTCTCCGAGACGATACTTCGCCTTCAGAATATCTTCCTAGCGAAGTATGGGATTTACAATAGTGCACCGAGTACTCAATAACTCAAAACCTGAGCCATATACCTCAGGGAAATATGCCAACACTCAAAACCAAGGGTTGAAACCCACACTTCGATACCTGAAATTTATTAACCTCCTGAAGGACCTGATTTTAATTAGCACAACTTCTACTTAATACTTCGCACTCGAAGGGCCATGTTTCAATAGAGGCATAACCAAGAGTCCACACCGCTACCGTTCATTTAATGGTGCCTGCGTCCTCAAACGCTCTCAAACAAGCTAGCGTTCATGCGTGCTTATGTACTCACCTCTAGTTAAGCGAGGCAAAACTCTTGGCGAGCCCACCGCGATATCGAATTTGCCGGCTAGAGGAACTTCAACCTCACGATTTGCGTTCTACAAATCACAACCACAGCAGTAAGTAATTACAATACTTCCCCCAACTACATATAGATACTGACTTTATATCTCTCAGACTCGAGTCAAAATGAGTCGCCCAACAGTCACAGTGATTAGCCCAGAGGGAGGAGCCTCGAAGAACACCCTCCCTATCCCCAGCGTGTTCAAGGTACGCATTCCCCTCGCAAACTGCCTTCGAAGGCTTTTCCAATTTCTCTGTGCGATCTCATTTGGTGGGCAAATGACGGTCATGGATAGATTTGGGGATGGAGACATTCTACCAACCTCCCCAACAGCTCTGACAACGTTACGATTTGCGATTTGAGGATGGCAATATCTGCGCCTGTCTGATTGCTTTCACTCTCAATATTTTGCCTACACTTTGGCTCTTCTCACGGGAGTTTTGTTGTTTATTTACTTCTGATTCTGCCCATCAAATTCTGTTTGCATTCCACTTTTCTTCATCACTCGCTTCATCGGACTGTGCTATCCTTGAACATTCTCTGCATTCCAGAAAGTCTAAGCACTAATTCCAAATTCAGAGCCCCATTCGTCCTGATATCGTCCATGCCGTCCACACCGGTATGAACAAGAACCGCCGACAGCCCTATGCCGTGTAAGTTTCGCCCGGCACACTCCAACTTGGCACTTCTAACTATATGTCCAGCTCCGAGAAGGCAGGTCACCAGACTTCTGCCGAGTCTTGGGGAACAGGCCGTGCTGTTGCCCGTATCCCGCGTGTCTCTGGAGGAGGAACTCATCGTGCTGGTCAAGCTGCTTTTGGTAACCAGTGCCGGTCCGGTCGCATGTTCGCACCAACCAAGGTCTGGCGAAAGTGGCATCAGAAGATCAACCTCAGCCAGAAGCGTTTCGCTACCGCCTCCGCCCTCGCCGCTTCCTCCAGCGCTGCCCTCTTGATGGCGCGTGGTCACAACGTCTCTACTGTTCCGGAAGTGCCCCTAGTTGTGTCTTCGACTGCCTTCGCCGACGGTGCTATTGCTAAGACCTCTGCTGCCATCGCCCTCCTGAAAGCTGTCGGAGCTGCTGCCGACATCGAGAAGGTCAAGAACTCCAAGAAGATGCGCGCTGGAAAGGGTAAGCTGCGCGGTCGCCGCCACACGCAGCGCCGCGGCCCTCTGGTTGTTTACAACCCTGATGAGGATGGAAAGGAGCTTGTTCTTGCTTTCCGCAACATATCAGGCGTCGAGACATCCTCTGTCTACTCCCTCAATCTCCTTCAGCTTGCTCCTGGAGGTCACCTCGGCCGATTCATCGTTTGGACTTCATCCGCATTCGCCGCGCTCGATAAGATCTATGGCTCAACAACTGAACCATCCGCACTGAAGAAGGACTTCCTCCTCCCATCAGCCATCATGAAGCAGCCCGACCTCAGCAAACTCATTAACTCGTCTGAAGTCCAAAGCATCCTCCGACCGGTTCGCGGCGGTGCGGTGACGAAGCGTGCTTTCACTCAAAAGAAGAACCCGCTCAAGAACTACCAGGTGCAGCTCCGTCTCAACCCGTATGCGGCTGCATTCTCGAAGAACAAGTTGGGTCAGCAGAAGATCAAGGTTGGGAAGCCGCAGGTGTCAGGTGAGGCGTTCGAGGAGCTCCTACATGAGAACTAAGGGGCCTGGTCTGGTTTCCATCTTCTTCACAGTTCTAGGACTTCTAAAGCGATGGTGGCTTTCCGAATAGCTGCCGCGGCTTGAATGTTCAGCGAGAGAAATTCTCATTATACCATGCAAATAAGTTCCGAGCCGTTGTGAGGCTATGAATACAGTGAATGGCTTAGTTACCATGAACTGCAAGGTCGCTCCAATCGCATAAAGTCTTTCCCCGAATTCTCCATGCATATGTCCGTATTCCATGGTCCCATTTAACTCTCCAGCTCGTCAGCCTATCATACAATTCGGCATAATTTAGATCAAAAATCAAACGCCACACATTACCCCAGATCTTCATGCAACATTAACTTTCACCTCCGCCCCCTCTCCCAAGCTCAACCCCAAACAACTTCAACATCGCCTCCCTCTTAAACATCCCTGCACAATCTACTGCATTTGGCTGACCTAAACTTATATCCGCACCCCCCTCATACAACACCCTCACTACATCATCCCAGCCTTTAAACACAGCTCCGGCAATGGGACTCTGTCCTCGCCCGTTCAAAACATTGGGGTCGGAACCGGCTTCCAGAAGCGCTTTTGTGGTAGAGGCATGCCCGTGGTAGGCAGCTAACATGAGTAGTGTGTCGCCGGAAGCATTTGTGAGGTTGCGTGGTACGCCGGCGGAGAGATAGGCTTGGAGGGTATCTGTGGAGCCGTTACGGGCCAGGTCGAATAGTTTCGCCGCCAGATCGAGAGCGGCAGGTGGGAGGTCGGATGGAGATTGGGGCGGTTGTGGCGGTAGTGTGTTTGTGGTGGAGGGGTTTGCTCCGTTGGTTTGGGGTGGGACACTCATTTTCGCAGTTTGGAATAGTTAGGCTTTAGGGTGGATGGTCCTACATTGGCCTACAAGGAGAGGAATGTGTTATAGGAGAGAAGCATGAATCGAGATCGAGGTGATTAGTCGGAATTATGGATGGATGATGGTAAATTGGTGATGACATAATGCAAGGGTGCGAAGGTAGCACGGACCATGCGGCGTTTTGGTGTGCCACTATTACGAACAATGAACTTGACCTAGTCTACTTCACTACGAACCACCCTTGCGATTTCCTCTCTCGCCATGACCTAGGCATCTCTCCCATCTTCTAACACAATATCAGACCCCAAAGTCGCGCCACAATATACCACGGCGCGCGTCGTCCTTCGGCTAGATCTCCATCCCCAGATCATGGCCTCTCCACCACACGTCCCCACGCTCAACATCCCCCGAAAACGGCCCTCAGTCTCTAGTGTCGGCTCTGCAAACAAAAAGCGCAAGCCCTCCAACCTCCGAAACTCCTTCGCACCCGAGACCGAGCTTGGCGGCTCACCACTCCGCTTCTCGCGCTCGCCATCAGTCGACAGTGTTGCTACAACTTCAGTCGTTAATGGCGGAGGAGGGGGACGCAAGAAAGGCAGAGGGAGAGGTGGCGATGGAGGGAGTGCTACTGGGAGTATGAGAGGCGGGAAAGGTGGGAGCGAAGGCAGGAGCATGACCGGTGCGATGGGAGAAGTAGGGGATAGGGGGGATGAGGGTGAGGACGATGATGATGACGAGGAGGGCGAGGGCATGGATGCTGTACTTGAAGGTGGAATAGGGACTGAGGCGGCGAGGAAGCAGGAAAAGGAGAATGAGCGGTACATACTCCCCCCACCAACATCTCCACCAAACACCCTCGTGATTACAAGGCCCCCTGCTAATGAATCACAGTATCCTCATGGAAGCCATGTCAGAAAACCAATCCAACCGTTATGCCATCTACCGCCGCATCAAACTTAAAAAAGAAATCGTCCGCAAAATCACTAACCAAACCCTCTCTCAATCCGTCCCGCAACCCGTCATCATCACCGTGGGTTCCTACACTAAATCCTTCATCGGCGAGCTCATCGACCGCGCACTCACTGTCCGCGATGAATGGGCCGCCTCCCGCACCCACCTCCCAAACCCCAATATCCCACTCCCCGTCTTGCAGAATGCGCTGAATGCTCCGAAGGGATATAAGCCGGACGCGAAACCGAGTCTGCAGGATTTCCAGGCCGCGGGCGTCTGGCAGGGGAGTGTGGGGAAGGAGGAGAGTTTTTGGAAGGAGGTTGCGAATGATACGGGGTTGAGTGAGCGGCTGCAGATGAGGGATAAGGGGCCGCTGACTCCTGCACATTTGAGGGAGGCGTTGAGGAGGTACAAAAGGGATAGGGATGGTGGGGGAGCGGGCGTGGCGGGCATGAGTTTGGAGGGCGTAGAGAGGGCCAGGGCGAGGTTGGGGGGTAGGAAACTGTTTAGATGAGAAGGAGTGGCTACATTGGAGACGAGGTGATGATTTCTTTGGTTGAGGCGTCTCTTGGTGGATAGCTACGTGGATTGATTTCTCGAGCTAGGATGTATGCATCCATAGCGTGGAGTTTTTTGGGAGGCGGTTATCTGGGCATGCAATTGGCATCATGTCTTTTCCAGAGTCGGAATGAGAACTCTGACTTTTTCCGCTTGGAATACGGGTCCGTATAGATGGCCGTCTTTAAATAGAGACGAAAGAGGGGCATGTCTAACTAATTCTAAGCATGTATAAAACATCCTCCATTGCATGTAGCAGTCTTGCACACTAATCCACCCAATTTTGATTCCCATATATGATGTGCTTTGTCTGGATGGGCGCCACGCAAAGCCATGCCTGCTCGATCTTCAACCCCTTTTCATCGCATTTTAATCCCTTCGCTGAAACTCCGATCTCATTGATAAGTATTCCGATTCTTAGAAGGGAGGAAGTGTTAGGACTGGCATCGGTGAATTTTTCGAACGTCTGAAATATAGTGCTGATTAGTGTTTTGTAGGGCGAACTCCTTGCTCAGGTAAGCATCAAGCTCTCCAGCGATATCTCTCTCTCCTTAATCATCGTCCTCCTCAACCCTCGCCCTTTTCGAAGCCCTTCCTTCCGGCTCCTGGATCCCATACCGCTTACTCCTCGCTGCAGCTGCAGCCACAGCTCCAGCTCCGGCTCCACCCTTCCCACCAGTCGCTTCTCGGATCAACTCATCGATATTAAACGGATCATCTGTATCCTTTTCGAACTGGACCGGGCCCTCTCTCGCCTGTACTATATTAGTTTCCACATCATTTCTAGCCCATGCATATGGACATGGATGGCGAGATCTTACCTCCGCCAACTCCGCGCCTTTAAACCCCTCCTTCGCCTTCCCAAGAACCTCAAACTTACTACTCTTCGTAATCTTTTCATACGTCTCTCCATCGTCTTCACCACCCTCATCCTGTTGCACGCTCGGACGATAAATGCTCGAAATGGCGTCCTGGGCTGCGAACAGCGGCTTATCGTAATGCTGGTCCTCATTGAATCCAGCATCGAATCCAGACGTTTGATTAAACAGTCGGGAATCGTACATGGATTCGCCGGACTGTGTAGGCTTTGCGAGACCCAGCGCGACTTTTTCAGAGATATCGCGGTTCTGTTCACGTGCCATCATTTGGATGCGGCGTTCGGTGCCCATCCGCGATTGGCGCAGTTCGCGTTGGTGTTCTTGTCGGCGTTCGCGTCGGACTTCTTCGCGCTTTCGAGCAGAGTCTTCTTCATCGGAGCCGGATGTATCAGAGCCGGAGGAACTGGCACTAGAGCGCCGAGTGGAGGATCTTCGACGGCCGGCGTTTGCGCGCTCGTCGCGGGCTTTTTGGGCAAGAGCGCGGAGATGTTCTTCGCGTTGCAGTTTCTCTTTTTCAGCGAGCTTTTGCTGCATTAGAGCGCGCTGTTTGACTTCTTCGCGGGCGTGGCGGTCCGCGACGAAGAGGGCCTCGGAGAATTGGGCGAATTTATCGCTGATGGTATTATCTTGGAGGCCACGGCCGTCAGCGGCGAGACGCTTATCGAGGGGCACAGTGTAGCCTTTCGGGTTCTTCCAGTTTGAGATGGGGGGTGGAATTTTCCACATTTCTTGGTCTTCCGCGGTCAGTTTACGCGGCGGAGAGTGTAGGACAGGAGGCGGAGGAGACGGTGGTCCTCGTGGAATGCGCTTGTGCTTGAATTTTGGTGGTTCCATGGGATCAAGTTGTCGGTGTTGGATTTTGAGAATTCGTGTCTTGCCCTGCGCCTCTCCCATCTGAGCCGTGGGCGTGTATCGAACGAAGGTAGGCTCCTCTTTCGATCGACCCTTGACCATCTTCGGCCGTTGAGCAGCAGTCTGTCCCGCAACAAGTGCTTGCAGTGCTGCTGCCGTCCTCTCCTTCGTCGCCTCCACCAACTCCTGGCTTGGACGCTCTAAGTCCAATTCCCCAGCATTCGCTTGTTGCCGTAGCGGGATCAGATCCTTGAAGCTCGCCTGCACAATCCTCGAATCGCCGTGGCCCCTCTTTGCAATCTCATCCCACTTCGTCTTCCCCTCGCCATCCACCTTCATCGCCAACGCGTTCGACGTGCCAGATGTTCCCTTCCGCCCCATGTCAAGCGGGTACTGCGCAACATGGACTTCTGGGAACGCACCGCCATCTCCGTAATCTTCCGCGGACCGAGGGCGCCATCGTTGTCGTTGGCCGTATGGTGGTGGACCCTTCTGCCTAGTTGCGAGTCGGGTGTCGGGGGTGAGTGTGCGCTCGCCGCCCTTGAGCTCTTCTTCTTCACCTGTGTATTTCGGCCTTGGGAGGGCTGCGGAGAGGGAGGTGACGGACATAGTTGGCATAGTAGGCAGTCAGTGTGGTTATCCGTATCCGAAAGATAAGAATCGGAGTGAGCAGCCCATGGAACGAGTTTCTGTAGGGGTAGATGTGAAAGTGATATAATGAGGTTGGAGTCGAAACTTTAGGCCAAGCCGATGCCTTCGGCGATACATTCAACCGTCTCCCGAAGTCGCTTGGCAACACCCGCGCATCACGTGACTTTCAGTCATCCGAATTTGGCACACTGAAACACGGCCAGTAACGGTCGAGCTGCCGCTTGGAAATTGTCACCGTGCTCTAATTAGTCTCCCGCGTGGCTGCCATGTTGCTGCGATGATCTCCGCCCACAAGGGGCTCCACTGTGAAATTGCATGGTGAACTTGCGCCGGACACTTTCACTCCCGAGATCCTCATCAATCCTCATCAATCTACGGAGTATTGCTCCCAGCTACACTGTTCTCTGCTAAGGGTTTCAGTCACTGGCCGGCTATTTATTGCAGCAAACAAATGCAACTGCAGTCAAGTGACTCGAGTCCTGGGGCCTCGTCGATGCAGGCTGGGCTTGTGATCACCCTGCATGCGTTTCATTGGTCCCTTTCTAGATTCGGACGGAAAAACCAGAGACTCGTCACCGCAATGGCTCGCGTCGAGAGCCTTTCGAAGCTGAATCGCCAAAGAAGATTGAGCACTGAGAAACCGCAGAACCGAAAGTCAATTCGTGAGAGCTAAGGTAGTTTCATGTTAGGTACAGACAGGATTACCTGGAAGGGGATTAGGGAGCGAATCTCAATCAAATCGTCCGCCATCTCGTAAGACCAAACAGAGCACTGAATCGTGGCCCTGGACAGCCAATTGGGGTGTACAAATGGCCACGAATCCCAAAGTCAGACGGAAGTTGACGTCAAGGAAGGACTGTTGGCTTAAATATGCTTTTCTCGGACCATAACTCACCCACAAAATCATAACTCGGAACGATGCCTTTCTAGGCGCATGGGTTCGGTAGGAACAAAAGTTTGTCTGGACAGGCGCAGGCGTTCGAGTACGTCAACCCCAGACTCGAGACACAGCGAACATTGGGTTTAAGGCAACCTTGCAAGCCAGCTGCACGTCACCAGATTGCCCCTTCTGGCAACGACAATAACGCGGCAATGCCCTGCTTTTAATACGGGATTGTGATGTGATGCTCGTGCAGTTGTTCCGCCGGCACTAGCCCGTCGACGGTTTGTGGAATAGCCTCTTATCCGCGCTCCTGGCATCGCGAGCGGACCACTACGGACCTTACGATTCCTGCTGGAGCGGGCCGGCAAAGGGTCTCAGTTCGTGAAACGGCGAACACTGCGACAGCCATGCTGCTCATTATTACTTTACTCAGAGTTGCCTGACAAAGCTGGGTCGGTCCTTGCAAGTGCGCTCCCGCGGGTCCAGGTACAATACCTCCATTATGCCAACCCACAATCGCAAGCCGTCCGGTGGACGACAACAGCAACAACAACAACAACAACAACAACAACAGCAACCACAACACCATTCCAAGCACGCATCACAGACCACATCTCCCGCGAAGCACCAGCGCACAAACACCGCGCCGGCGGCCCCCAGCTTATTGCGACTTCCCTCGACCAGCAGCAGCACCGCCGCGTCTGCGTCTCCACGCCGTCGGCGAGCGACGAACCCCTCCACACCCAGCAACCTGACACCGAGCCAAGTTTCAACGTCGTCCGCGACCTCGAACTCTTACTTTTCCCCACAGCCCACCGCGCCTGGCAAGGAACCCCGCTCGCCAGCATCCAGACGACCGCCCGCGTCCTTCTCCGGCCATGGCATAGACACCTCGCGTGGCCCGCCCATCGCCCTCATCACTCGCGGCTCTGCAGACATCGTGCGCCGATCGCAGAAACCGCCCCCCGACTTCGCATTTGCACAGCAGCAGCTCCTGCAGTTCGGCTTAGTCTCACCAGGTGGCACTTCATACAACTCGGGAGGGAACAGAGGACGCAAGGACGCACCCGGAGACTCAGCTGAATCTCCACAAATACAAACACAAACACCAAATCTGTCGCGCGAAAATTCCTCGAGGACGTCACGACGCGATCGGAACATGGCAAGCTCGGTGGAAGACTCGTCCGAGTACGACTCCGGCCTGCGCAGCCAGTCTGAAGACTTACACGGGACGCACTTTCAGCCTCCTAGCTCGGGCACGGATGGGGAGCACGGCGAGGACCTTTTCTTGAATATTGCAGAGGACAGTCCCCCAAAAGAGAGCGCGAGCTCGCAGATCGACAGACGAAGGGTGAGTTCATTGTTTTTTATTTTACTTCACTGGAGCATGTATTCAGCTGCTGCCCCACTCTCTAGAGCGCATCCGGACATCGGAGACAGGTGTCAAATTCCCTTTTCTATCTGCGTTTCGTTGTCGCCAAGAGCATCAGTCCAGCTAACCCACCCAAGTCCCGCATAGCACGCGCAAGCAATCGACAGTCGTTTCCGGGGTCTCTCTCCTCGCCAGCTCAATCCCACTCAATAACACCGAATGCCCACAGATTATCTTCGGTCGACTCCAAGTCTGCAACGCAATACCGGCGGACATCGCACCTGCCCTCTCCTACTCTCGGCGCCAGAGGGCAGCGAGAGCAATCACCTCTCTCCCCCGCTAACGTGCTGGACACCCCGCGAACCCGCCACCTCAATCTCTCGCCTCAGGCATCATTTTCTAGGTCGAAGGACCAGGAGCCTGCTTCACATCAATTTCTGTCCCATTACGGAAAGAGGCGCCCGTCATATCCCGATGCCATTCAAACTCCACCGAGCCGGACCCAGGCGTATCGACCTTCGAACCTATACTACTCCTCCTCGCGTGACAATGAAGAGACAGTTCATATCGACACACCCGAAGCCACCAATCAAGCGTACTCCCGTGCTAATGACACAGAGTCTCTTGATTCGACCGGTCCTCCCGCGTCGGTGTGGGATGAATTGGATGACCTAAAGTCCAGGATTCGAAAAATCGAAATGGGAGGCAAGATACCCTCGACCTCTGCCGCTGTGGTGTCAAATGCCTCTGGGGAGCGACCGAGAACTGCTAACACCTCTGTAACCACTGTGTCATCATCTCCAAAGCATTATCGAAAAACTAGTGGTTCGCCATCTGAGTCCACGGTTGGAGCTAATGGACCAACCAAAGTTCACCCGATCCTGAAAGATGCCCTTGCCAAGGCCAAGCAACACCTTTCGCCTTCAGTCTATCGTGCACTTGAAGCAACAGCATCCGAGGCTTTGGAATTGGCAGAGTTAACCGGCAGCGCAGGCCCGCAAGGTACCCTCTATTCTGCAAGCTCGATCATAAACGGCGCCTCGGTACCAGATCGACAGGTTCGCCGCAAGGCTGACAGTATTTGTCGCAGCCTAACGGAGCTTTGCATTGCGCTGTGCGAGATGAAACCTGGTATTGCGAGCCCGGCTATCAGATCTGCAACGGCAGCAAACTCACGGCGCCCGAGCGTCCAAATCAACGGCGAGTCTCCGCAGATACATTCGAGTATTGAACCAGAAAGCAACGTGTTGCCTCGTTCTAGTCCTAGCAGGGCGCTTAGCCGAATCGAAGCTCGGAGGAGCAGCTTGCTTGGACTCAATGGCAGCCCGCGGGATTCCAGTCAAGAGCCACCGACTCCATCACAGTCGCATATTCCATCCCGGTTAGCACGTGCGGGTACCAGTTTACATCGAACCCGCCGTACTGTTGATGATGAAGATGAAGACCCCACTCTCCGAGCACCATCTCGGGCAATGACTGATTTCCGGGACCTCCGTCCAGCAAATAAGCCCGCGAACCGATTCACTAGGGAGTACACTTCTCGAGAACCGATGCCAGAGCTGCAACCGTCACCCTCGATTCAACAGACGTCGTCGCTTCGCCGACCAACTGTGACAGGCATAACGAACGAGAATAATCATCTCCTTTTTCGCGACAACAACCGACGGTACTTGGACAGACAGAGTTCTCCTGCTTATGAGAAGCAGATATCAACTGACGTTAGGAGCAGGACCCTGCCGTACAACTCGAAGAGGTCGTCAATGCCAGCCTCGGGTCTTGGTCGGACTGGAAGCCTGAACAGGCGTCTTCGGAGTAACGGTGCTGGAGAGTGAGCTGTGGGGAAGATAAAAGTTATACCCCGTTTAGGGACGATTGTAATGATATACCCAACCTCCTTCTGAAACACAGCAACGATTATCTCGACTCAAAGAAGAACACTCGAATGGCTTGGTAGCCCTTGAACTGCCTGAGCCAATTACACGCGCCCATCGAGGGCCGCTTCTACATTTGCAACTTCAACGACATTTTCAAGCGCAGCTGATAGGTCGTCTTTTGTATCTATCAACCTTTTCTGGTACAAGGTCTTGCAAGGTTACGCATATTGGGGATTGTTGAAACCATGCGATTTCATGGTTTTTAGAACAAAGCATTCGCAGGTTATGAGCCTACCTAGCATGAGTATCGGCGTGATAGCGTTAGCATCAGCTGCCACGAATTTGGACGTGGCCTTTTTGGGAGGTTCCTCGGGATATGTTTTACTCTAGTGTATGCCATCAATACAAATGCAAGACTCCGCGTCTCCCTTTGGCTGCGGAGGCTTAATATCCTTTTACCGTAGTCTTTAAGGGTAATTATGTCGTCGCGAATTTAATGTTGTCTAATAGGGTTGCTCTGATGACACTTTCAGCACCTCTTGCTTACTTGTCAAGCTGCTATCGCGTGGATGTTCCTCTCCAGGAAACAATTCTGCGGCTAGCAATAGGAAAGCACCTTCGGTGCGATTATTAACGAATGCATTCCTCGGTTATCCAATCTTTTACCAAGACAGTGACGAAGGTCGAGCTAATGGCATATATCTCTGGGTTGCTTCTCTGCTCAGTCATCAATCTTCTTCTCATCGCTATGTCACCTCTCAGTATCATATCGAAAGATGGTCTGTCTGTAGTATTAAGTATCAGCTTTAATGATGAAGATGAAGCAAGCAAAACATAATTGCTAGACTTGCAAAGGTGTGTCGAAATGCCAAGATATGCAACGCCATAGCTCACAGAGATATAGGACGCAAGGTAGGCAGTGACCGAGCCCTTCCGACTTGCGCAAACTGCAGAAGATCCAATCGGTGCTGTCAATGCTACTCTCTGAAACTTTCCTGGTCGGACAAGGACGATGGTAGAAGAAAGCAGAAGAAGTACGAAGCGGCGCCAACTAATATGCTTCGAACTATGTGCGAAACAATGGCCGTTTCTCCTTTCTGAATATAGCGTTCAATGATGTTAGAGGGGAAAAGGTCAATGTTCTAGACATGATCAACGACGATCATATTAATTTCAACAGCCTTGCAATCCCGGCTCCTGTCTCATCGATAACCAGGATCCAGGATGGGGATGGCATGCTGTTGTCATTCTGTATGCACCCCACACATGCAACTGCCCCTTACAGTTAGGAGCCTCTAGCATCCACAGATGGGTCAGTATTGGGTCGCATGATCACGGCGATTAACGACAATACCAATGGGTTTCGGCTGAGCTTAATACCCATGGCCTTGTCATCTTCTGACTCATCTTCTGGAAGCCTCTTGCAGGCCACGCTAGCCCGATCTTCCTTCCATATGGGAAAGCCAGAGGAGGCTCTTCAACGCAAAGTTGTACCTATCAAGTCCCTCTTTGAGTCTTTTTGGAGCGGGACAGCTTCAAAACTTGCCTACCTCGCAGCCACTATGATGCTGTGCGTCTATTGTGTGAGTCTATCTATTGTGTGAGTCTATCAACTAACGCTGTTCTTCACTGTTTTCTCGCGATTCACTAACATGCCGTTGAAGGTATTTGATCCCTCTAATTCGACCTAGGATGTTCACCTACAAGATGCGAAAATAATAGATCACAGAGTGCTTAGCCGAGCACAAGCCATATTTATCGTGCCTCAAGTTCCTTGCTCCTTGGTTGGCCATCATGATACTTTCAGCGCTTATAGCTATTCCTCCGCTGCAAGATCTCTGATTCTTCCGAGCCCAGGACAGCTGAAGCCCATTCTTATTCTTCCAGAAGGTGACGATGAGGGTAGGAAGGTTTGTAATCTAAAAAGATATGCATACTTTCACAACGTTAAGTTACTAATTTCACTTCAGATTGTCGGGCTGATTGAGTGTTCTACTAAGCTTTTGTACCTCATTTCCTGCATTTATCAAATTAGAGATACATGGGAGCCCCTAGCATGTTACCTGCAGAACCTCAATCAAGAAGTGCACAAATTTGCGAATCTCGTTCGACCGCGTCTTCAAAGATTAAACCAAGAAGTTCGTATTAATGCAGACCAGCTGACAGGCACTACCGAACATGCACGTATCACGTTGACTTCCGAATTGTATCGAACCGCTTCGCTTCTTTATCTTCACCAGGTGGTTCCAGATCAACTTAGGTCAGACAGCAAAGCCCGTGGGCTGGTCAGTGATGGATTAGGACTGGTAGATCGAATGGAAGTTTTCACCAGTCCGTGGCCGATGTTCTTGCTGGCGAGCAATGTCTGCACAGATGTCGAACGACGTCAGGCACTGGCCATTTTGAATACCGTGGATTAGAAACACTAGATTAGAAATATTATAAAAGGTCTTGTACAATCCGTCCGGAAATAGCAAGATCTCGCCGCATCCGGTTGATTGGCGGGCTTTGATTGATACCGAGTCTTTCGTGTCGTCATTTATTTGACTACCCACTGTGGGAGCTCACCTTGCCCTAACACCCGTTGGCATTGCTCCCCCAGGGGGTTGAATAGGTTTACACCCAGTAGAACGGACCCCTACTTCATAGAAGTTACATGCTTCGCTGTGACTGGATTGACCAGTGAACTCAGTAGATCTGGCCTGGCGTAAAGACCCACTATGTTGATAAACTGCGAAGGGCGTTATAACATAGTTCGGATATGAATACTCAATGAGGCCCCGCATACCGCTTTCGGATAATCGATGTCGCTAAGGTCTACATCTGCATTCAAGATAGCTTCCTCTTCACGGCCAACAGGCTCGCACAAAGGCTTGCAAGCAGGGCTAAATATCAGAGATAACCCAACTCTGGGCTGTCGATCCACTCCGTTAGAAAACCTTGCGAAGTAATTACATGGGAATACGCACCGTTTTTGTAACATGATTACCAAGCAGATTGTTTTTCTCCAAGTTTAGTTCCGTGATGATCTGGCTTGCGACGAGAACAAATGTTTGTCCCTCTATAGCCATGAACTAGCTAGCGCAGTAACTAACCTCTCCTGTCTCGTGGTACAGCCATGGCTGCTTCTCTGGGTCAGGCACCTCGAATTTGGCGAGCCAGCTCTACATAGATCTGGACACGTTGGCTGTATTCGTAGTACTGGAGGAGGCTGCGATTACCATGTCAGTGCCAAGTAATATCGCCCAGTTCAAGGAAGTCAACCTAGAATGTCTCTATCCGGCGGCCCCCTTCGAAAGCACACCTTCAATTACCAAGAATTGTAGTAGAACGTTGCAGAATCGCGAGATTTCGAAGAAACGCTTACGGTTGAAGATGCTCCCAGCAGTCCGGTCCTCTCTATAAAACCCAATCCTAAGATGAAAGAGGCCACAGCACATGTCGACCTCTACGCCCTTGAGGGTATCTACCAGCCATTTTAAGCCTCGTTTGTGGAGACTAAAAATAGTTAGTATAGCTTTTGCGATCCCGAAGTAGAAGAAATTGGTCAGCTTCTGGGTAGGCTAGACTAGCATTGCTGGGTGGCTGACACTACAGAGGGGTTTTACGCAGGTATTTTCCTCACAGTTAAATCTCAGATCTTCTCCATAGCCAGCGTTATGGATGGAGCGAATCCTACGGGATCCAGCCTTAGAAAACGTATCTAATATTTTGTTGCAATCCTAACCTTCGGGACACTGGCCAATCTCTTTAGCAGTCAGATACTTGGTCAATGGAACGACGGTGCCTGTGCGTCTCTTTCCTTCCTCATCCATTAAAGAACCCAGCTAATTGTATGAAGTGTTCTGGTACGTCAGTGCCGTCATAGTAATAAGTATCACCATTCTCGCAACCGCTGATAAAAACTCCGCTAACCACGTCTTCACTAACTTCGCGAACGAGACGGGATGGTCCGATGGAGTCGTTTGGATCCCCAGACTGCTACAATCGACACTCCCTTATTAGATATAATATCGTGATGCATATGACTAAGGAGATGCTTCGACTATCTGAAGAGGCTTCAAGGGTTATCATGTTTACGATCTGTGCAGGAGGTGTGATGTGAGTCTCTTTCCCCTGATATGCCTGACCTCGAGGACTAATGCGCTTCCTAGGGGCACAGCATTCATACTCGTAATGCTGTTTTCCTTGACGGATCTGGAGACTATGCTGAATATCTCAACCCATATGCGGATTACGGAGATAATATTTCAAGCAACGAATAACCGCGGGGCTACTGTGGTGTTGGCGGTACTGCTGGGAATGTGCTTTCTTGATGGAACAATAGGATGTATTACAAGTGTAAGTCGAAGGTTGTATGCTATAGCGAGAGACAAGAGGATAGTGTTTCCCAGTTTGTAAGTTCACTCGCAAATCCCCAGAACCATCTTAAACAGAACTTTCCAGTGATAATTGGCATATTCTAGTTTCAGATGCTTTAGAAAAGGTCATGATGTTCCCTTCGCAGCAATCATGCTGTGCTTCTTCTTCAACCTCTGCTTTGGCCTACTCTATCTCGGTTCGTCCACTTACCCTCCAGTTTCAGGGTGGCAATTAATTTCGTGCATAGGACCCAGCGTAGCCTTCCCCGCCTACCCCTCAACGTCTCGTACACTGTCTCCATCACCATACGAGGCCGCGACATCCTCGCCCAACCAAACCCTTTCTACACCCTTTAAACTGGGCCGATGGGGAGCACTGTAGTTGGATTGTGGTTATTTTCGTAACTATTACGTCTGTGCTTTCATGCTGTCCGCTGGGGCTCCTGACATCGACGTCGACGATGAATTATGTGTCTACAGTCTTGAGCATATTTTTCGTGCTGATGGTGGTTTATTGGTGGATTTTCGGGAGATGTTTTGGGGGGTAGGTGAGTTTTCTTGATGATGAATTCACTGCCTTGGTGGATAGGTGCTGATTTGGGGATATAAAATTTGGAGCTTATCATGGAGATTATAGTGTTAGCGAAAAGCATAAGGATTCCTCGTCGTAAGTTAAAAGGAAGGCAGGTAGGTATTGCAAGGCAGTCATCAATACCAAGCGCACTCCGGCTCGGGCCGAATACTTTCAAGAGTCAAATCCATCCTGGCTTCAACAGGCAACCGACCCTACCATGTTTTAGCGCGTAATGCACGGCCTCGCGTAATGCACGATTTTAGCAATCCGCGCCTTTTACTTTTAAAGCTCTAGAGACTTACACAAATTATAAATTATATAAATTTTTTATTATAATACTAATTAAATGCTATAGATTCTATTCTTAGCAATAATTTATATATAATACCTTATAAGGAGGTTAATTTACCTGCTATGTTAAGTTCTGCCTAATGCTAGCTCTCTTTTTTTATTTAATGCTGCATTATTATTAAAATCCTCTAGTGTACTAGCAATAGGCGTAGGAGCTTTCTGCTTGCCTTTTATTACCTACTAGAGGTTATTTTTAAGCTGTTAATTAACCTGCTAGGTAAGCTCTACCTTCTTTTATTAAGCTACTTTTATTTTAAGCTCCTACAGGTAAGCTTTCTTTGCTATTACTACTTTATACTTTTTTTTTTTAACTATGTGCGCTTTTTTAGCTTTTTTTACTTTTTTACACTTTACCTTTTTTTATTTTTAAAGCTGTAGAGCTTCTTTTTTAGCATCTTTTTATGCCTAATAATTATATGCTTTTTAGACTTTATTTAGGGACTAGAAGGTTACACTACTATAATATTTTAAAGGTGCTTTTAGTAGAAAAGGCTTACTACGCTAGCAGCGCTTCTTCTTATTAATTAGCGCATTTTTAACCTGCTTAAGCTTACGCTAGAGAAAAATGTAATATACTAAGAATAACTAAACAGTCTTCTTAAGCTCTTATATATTTTTTTTTATAAAAATTACTAATAACCTTGTCTAAAAGGCCTTTAACTCTTTTTTAATTCTTTACACTAAGCGCTAAGCTAGTGCTTTTACTAAAGAATAGTTGCTTTTTTTACTTATAGCAAAATTAATTTAAAACTACTTATAGCTTAAATAGTAATAAACTAGTTACTTTAAAAGCACTAAGAATAGTTTTATGCTTAAAAAATGTTTTTTAGGCTTTATTAAACATGCTATAAAAGTTTTTTTTTTTAATTAATAATAGTTCTTAGCATCTATTTATAAAGCTAGCTAGCTTAGCTAAGTAGGCTAATAAAAAAAGTTTAAACATGCAGACATTAAGAGGCTGTAGTGTATAGGTTACATGTAGTAGGTATACAGCTAGAAGGATTTTATTGTTGTTGTAGTACTTAATAAACTTTATTAAAACATGCAATCTATAGCTATCTAGAAATAAAAGTTAGTACACTTATTACGCCTTTACTTTAGTCTTGTAATTAAACACATGTTTAAGCTATACTAGGCCTAGTTTATTATTTATCTAACTTATAAGTAATAAAGTAAAGAAAGTTTAATACTTAAAAAAGTTAAAATCTTATAGCTAAAAGTCTTATATATAGTTAAAAACAGCTTAGTAGATTAGCGTAGGCGTAAAAGAGCTACTATTAGTGCAGATGTAAGCTATTATTATAATCTACTTATAATTACTATTCTGTATAAGCTGCTACTTAATACCTTGCTTATACTACTATCTAGAGAAGATTTACTTTATTTTTAACAGTACTCTAATTAGAAAGCCCTTTTTATTTATATTATAAGTATGCTGTAGTTTTATGCTATATTACTTAATTTTTTTGTGTATAAGCTTAAAATATAGTAAGTACTTAAATGCTAAGTTAGCTTTGTTATACACAGCGTCTATGCTAGATGTCTATTAAGATAATAAGTTAATAAAGTGCCTTTTAATAAATTAATTAACTTAGCTTTTACTAGCTTACTTACTACTTATTTTTATTATAAAATTTTAAATTATCTATTTTAAAGAAGATAGACCTTTTATGTAAAGCTTATTAATATACTCTACTAGCTCTTTCTTCTACACTAGGCTAAGTAGTTGCTAATTTTTAAGTTTCTTTGCACACAGGCAGGTAACACGTTAGTGACGCCTTAAGAGCGTAGATTAATTAACGCTATACTGCCTAGCTACTACAGCATAATTTAGTAATTCTTTAGGTTTTAGTAATTTTAGCGACTCTAAAGCGGCCTTAATACTGCCCATATTGGTTGAGAGAGAGGTGGTTGAAGTTTTGACAGCTTCGCGCAGAACCGTGCATTACGCGAGGCCGTGCATTACACGCTAAAACACAGTATACCTAGCCAAGTCCCTCCGGCACACCGTAAAAACCTGAATGAAATCCCAGAACGCATGCACATATCTTCTGTGCTTTCTTGGTGTATCCTAGCTCAAAACGTTGTCTAAGACCTTTGAGTGGTGATATTGTCATAATTGCCAAAATGTTGCACGCGGGACAATCCCTTGGCTGAAGCCCTATGACGTATGCGAGTGTGGGTTCCCTGCAACACATCGTCACCAGCCACAATGTTGTTGTGGATGAGATCATCACTGCTCTATTTAATCTAAGCTAGATCTAGTGTTTGGGAAAGTTAACTGATCCCATTTGATTTATCGACCGAAGTTCTTTAGTATGTCTATCTGTCTTCGTTGTACTTCTTTTGTGGTAGAGGTTAGGTGTTAGCCATTGATCTGACTTGTATCACAGATACCCATCTATCCATCTTTTTGAAGACTCTCATCTATCTATCTCGACTTGGGAGATTAGATACCCATTTGTGCAATATGGCCGAACCAAATAAGAACCAAAAGACGTACAAGCAAGCAGTGGGCGAGTACTACAACAAGCAATACGAGTCGTGGGTGCCGTGGGTCGAGGACCAGTATCTTAGGTGGTTCACCAAGGACAACAAAACCTCGTATGCTACGAAACGTACGCTTCTCCCCACCACCCTCTCTTCTTCTATCCCTTCTGCTCTGGCTAGTTTGGCTGCTAACACGCCCCAGAACAACTCGACAAAACCAAAATTACCGGGATTGAGCAAGTCGACAGTCTCCAAGACGGCGTGAACAACCTCGTCAGTGGCCAAGTTGGCAAAGGAGGACTTGCGCAACCCATCGGTGATCTCGCCTCTAAGGAAGGCATAAACCGTGCTGAGAGGGGTGGGAAGGACGAGCAGGGTAGACCGATTGAGAGTCAAGGGCCGCTTGGAGGATATGGACAGAGTGCTGCGGATGGGGTGAAGAGTACCGGTGGCGGTGTTGCTCAGGGGGTTACGGGAGGGGTGAAGTCGGCGGGAGGGTTCGTCGGGGGCCTGTGGGGGAAGAAGGGTGAAGAGCCGAAGAAGTGAGGGGTGGGCATGGAACGTGGGAGCGAAGTTGGGAAGGGAGTTAGATTTGGGTATGGTATGGTAATCGTCGGAAGGGCTTGGATATATCCTGCAGCTTATATTGGATCAGTTTTTAGGTCTGTTTTAGGGTGGTCGGTTGGTGCTATTATTTGAGTACTCAGTATTTGGTTTCGATGCACTCAATACCCGTTTTCGCCATTTCAGTTTCCACAACGCTGGATTTAGATGCCAGTGTTGCGAGCATGGTATAACACTGTTGTACTGGAGCAAATACTTTGTTCTCGAGAACGTACCGCTTCAAACCCTGGATGTCGGGCATTTACCAACATTATTCACGCCTCCTCAGAGCATCCGACTATGTCTCCACCCTCATCCCTTCAATTTATGTCTTTCCGCTCAGCTTACGAGACAATATCCAAAGCATCCACGGCACTGGAGCTCATCCTCCACTTCTGGATTACCCTTTTCGATCAGCTATAATCTGATTGGCTGAATCCTGAGCTCGGATATAAGCAGCTCGGATGGCGCACCACCGACAACAACTCCCGCCCACCTTCGACCTCTCCACAGCTCCGCGGCGCTGCCCCGCGTGTGCTCCTGGGTAGATGCAGCCTTGCTTACGATCAGCCCATCGAGGTCGCTCGAGCATCGAAACTGCATTGCTTAATTGCTGCTTTTCTGTGCTGCGGAAGCACTCCGCATTTGCTTACTGTACTCACGTCTCCTTCGACTTAACATATAAACTAGGCGCTGGACTCTGAAGCAGCACATCGCAAATCATTTAATTGAATAGCACCTATCATGGCCTCAAGCGGCACAGCAACGCACAAGTTCAACCCTCACTTTACCCAGACGGTTATCAATGCCACGGGTCCCAATGTCTCCCCGCGACTCCGCAAAATCACAACCAGCTTCATCCAGCACCTGCATGACTTTGCGCGGGAGAATGAAATCACCGTAGATGAATGGATGGCTGGCCTTGAGCTTGTAAGCCCTATCCCCTGGCCTTCTCCAGAATGCCAATTAATATTTCATAGATGAACGAAGCAGGACGCATGTCCAACGATCGCCGCAATGAAGGCCAACTCCTCTGCGACATCTTCGGGCTGGAATCGCTCGTCGACGAAATCACATACAAACTTGCGTCAGACGCGAAGGATGAGCCTACCGCAACCGCCATCCTGGGTCCGTTTTGGCGGAAAGACGCGCCCATGAAGAAAATGGGAGACACGATTGTCTCGGGTATTGAATCTACGGACCGGACGTGGATGCACGGAATTGTCACCGACTTCACAACTGGCAAGCCAGTTGAAGGTGCAGTGCTAGATGTCTGGCATACAGCGCCGAATGGGCTCTACGAGCAGCAGGACCCGAATCAACCGGATATGAATTTGCGGGGGAGGTTTACGACCGGGAAGGATGGGAAGTATAATTTCTACTGTTTGAGGCCGGTTCCGTATCCCATTCCATTTGATGGGCCAGCGGGTAGGGTAATCCAGGCGTTGGGTAGGCATCCATATCGGCCGGCGCACATACACTTTATTGTGAGTACTCCCCTTCCTCCCCTCCTCTCTGCCATCCGGTCACTAATTAGTTGCTGTAGCTCACGGCACCGGGCTACAAACCCATAGTAACCCAGATCTTCGACCGCAACAGCAAGTACATCGATGACGACGCTGTGTTCGCGGTTAAAGATTCCCTCATTGTGGACTTCAAGCCGTATCAAGCGGATCCGAAAGCGGATTTCGAACTACCGTATGACTTTAGGATGGCAACTTTTGAGGATGCGAAGAAGCATTCAATTGTGGGCTCGAATGAAGATGGTGCCTAGGAGATGGTGCCTAGGAGCTGGTGCTAAGTATGGGTAAGGCTGCTTTCCGGAATACTTATAAGGTAGTTGTAAAAGCAATGAAGGAAGGCTGTAAGGCAGACTTCATTAGAGAGATACTGCCTGATCTCGCTAGCGATCCAATGAGATAATTGAACAATATGGTGTGTTTTATAGCAGAACCGGTCAAGTGACTGAACCCATCTCTCAAGGCTACAATATTTGCTTTCCGTCAAGGGGCAGATGCTGGAGCCTTCCAGCAATTTTTCTTTGTCCGTGCCCCAGGCTCACAAGAATATATAAGGATGCGGAGAACTTCAACCTCCTCTCTTGGTTTCAAAGCAATATTCATCCAAAACATTCGCGACCTTAGAGTCAAGTACACAAACCGTAAATAAACAGTCACTTTATCGTGATAGGTAATGGTTTATGTTGGTTTCCTGTCATCAGACACTATTTATTGACCATTCTCACGCTAGCCTAACCTTCGAACGTCTACTATTCCACCCTCTATTACAATGAATCAACCCACATTCCCACTAAACAATCCTCATTGTCGCCACTGCGAGTCCAATGCAGGAACAGTCCGATACATAGTTCGACCTACCAATCAAAACGGTAATGGCGGCAGGCCATATTACGCCTGTTCTAATTGCGACCAATCTAACCCCGAAGGCGGTTGGATAACCTGGGACGATAATCACGGAATTAATGCTACAAATCCGTTTTGTGACTGCGGAGTTGTGAGCCGACTAGATCAGGCTGGCGCAAATAGCACGAGGCTTGGAGCTGGAAATGTCTTTTACACTTGTGCGACAGGGGCTTGCAATTTCTACCAGTAGGTTTGAAGATGAACTGGCAGCCGTGTTGTTTTTTATCCGTGGCTGTTTAGGAGAAGATATGTTTGAATCTAGTAGGATTCCGGTGGGTTAGTTGGTCGAAGTTGGTCAAGCTGCAATGCTGAGACTTTGAATGAGGAATTTGGAGGGATGATGAAGGGTTTGTTGCGATCTACTCTGGTTTTCCTCAGTTTCTGGGAGGAATTCAGGCTTTGCTGGCTATGATCAAAATTTAGTTAAACCTGTCTCTGCTCTTTGCGATGTGTGACCGATCACGTGGTAGATGTTCGGAAAAGGATCCGTGCTCGAAGGGGCGGGGAAGTAGGCCTTGCATATGGGTTTTCCGGAATGGGGACTGGGTGTCTGCAAATTTGAGTAAGATGAAATTAGAACGATTCTTCCAATTCCAATGTCTCTTGAAGGGGGTAATCGATAAGTCACTTGCTGGGAGTTTGGCGTGCAGGATTGTATCGCTCAGTCTACTATCATGAGGTTCCGTGCCAAAACTAGAAGGTTGAAACCCTAATTCACATTTCGCTTATCTCGGAACGAACCTGCCAATCAACTGGCAAATTTTGTTTCTCGAAGATGAAACCAGCGCTTAACGTTGAGCGCGAGTATCCGCAGGAACTATAGGTCCCCGCATCTTCAACGATCGTCGCCAACCGTGTGCAGCCGATACATGACGAACTTTGCCGAGGGATGCTGCAGTTCTGACTACATGTCATTTCGTGAACCACAGGAACGCGCCCTACCAATATGCGGATCTTTAAATTGCAGATATAACCTCTCAACAAGGAAGAAAAAACTATCTTTGTTTCTTCAGTTGAACTTTGATCAAGATCAATCATACGAAGTTCAAGTGAGGGCATTGTGTTGAGTACAGCATCAGCACTGCACTCCTCGAGCGAGCAAGAACCGGTGTTTCCGAATTTAGAAGGTACTTATGTGTACCATATTCATGCAGACTACAACCACTTCACTCTGCTACAAACAACAACCGTCCCCCAAACTCGTCTCAACACCAATTACTATATCAGGCAAAGCCTCTTGGTTCGACTAGGGTTTGCACACCAAAGACTATCTGTCCATCATGGCAAAGATCACGCTTGGGAGATACATGTGGGAAAGGTAGATTTAGAATCCTCTTCACTGCCTCCTGCTTATCTAGTTGATCTGACCTTTCTTCCAGGATACATCAGGTTGGCGTCGATACGATTTTCGTATGTGAACACGCCCTCACACTTTCCCCGCACGTCGAGCCGCAACAATGCTGACGCCGCTCCTTAGGGTGTTCCTGGAGACTTCAACTTGCAATTCCTGGATTCAATATTTGAAGTCGAAGGTCTCAAATGGGGTCAGTACCTCCGATCGATCCTCAGAAACATGCTCGATAGTACTTGTAGCGAAGGAGCTGACGCGTCGAAGTTGGGAACCAGAATGAGTTGAACGCCGCATACGCTGCAGATGGCTATTCCAGGATTAAGGGGGTACCTGGTGTCTGTAAGTAATTCGTGTTCTTGTCTCATGGTGAAGGCACAAGCTAATGTAAGGATGCTTTTAGTCGTGACAACTCACGGTGTCGGTAAATATCTCCATCAGTTTGAAAGTAGATCATACGAGTGCTTACAAAGACCCTTCAGGAGAACTGAGCGCCCTGAATGGCGTCGCCGGCGGTATGTCGGAAAGGGTGAAGATGATTCATGTTGTTGGGCAAACGACAAGAGCTATGCAGAACAACCATATGATGATCCATCATTCGATTGGCAATAAACCTGATCACCAACAATACAATAACGCATCGAGAGGACTCAGATTTGCCGCAGCGGAGTTGTGGAATATCGAGACTGCTCCTGCGGAGATTGATGTATATTTTCTCTCCCCTTATTCGCTTACCACGTCAAGCTAAGAATTTTCAGCGAGTGATACGGGAATGTTTTATTCAATCCGGACCGGTATACATCTTCCTTCCGCTAGATCTCTCTACCGAGGAAGTTTCTGTAGACTTGCTACAAACGCCAATTAACATCAAAGCCAATGTCGACACCACGGCACAAGAAGCTGCGGTCAAGGCCATCAAAGACGCTCTAGAGTTTTCAAAGAACCCCTCGATATTGATCGACGCACTAGCTCATCGATTCAATGCAGTGCCAGAGACACGTGAGCTAGTCTCGAAACTTCATGTCCCTTTCTATTCTGCAAACATGGGAAAGGGACTGGTTGATGAGACCGATGAGATGTACGTTGGGGTTTACAATGGTGAGATTAGTGCGCCTGGGGTAGCAGAGGCTTTTAAAAGCAGTGATTTAGTGGTAGTGTTGGGGTACTTGCCTGCTGATACAAATTCGGGTGGGTTTTCTAGAGAGTTGAAGAAGGAGAGGACGATTGAGATTAATCCGTTCGACGTCGTCGTAAGTTTTCCGGCCCTCTTTTGACTGACCATGTTTCAAGTATGCGTGATTAACTAGTGTTTAGGTCAAAGGCCAAACCTTCTCCAACACACACATCAAGCCCCTTCTCGCCTCCTTAATCTCAAATCTGCCTTCTACCCCCTTCCACAACCTCTCCCTGCCGAAGCTCCCACCACCCCGCAATCCTATTGACATCGCCGCAAAACATATCACACAATCTTGGCTGTGGCCCCGGATATCCCAATTCCTGCGTCCAGGTGACATCCTCATTGGCGAAACCGGTACGACCGTCTTTGGCCTCTGTGATATTCGCTTTCCCCGCAACATTTGCTTCCAAGCTCAGATCTACTACGGCAGCATCGGTTACGCTACTGCCGCAACATTAGGCGCCGAAATCGCTCGCGTCGAGCTCGAATCCGGAAAGCACGCTTTGCTCAACGGCTCAGCGGGGACAAACGGGATCGTGTCGGAAGGCAGCTCAGGACGAACGATCCTCATCACAGGCGACGGCAGCATGGCCATGACAATCCAAGAAATCGGAACCATGATTAAAGCAGGCATCAACCCCCTCATCATCGTCATCAACAACGCCGGCTATACAGTCGAGCGCATGATATGGGGTGCACAACAACCCTACAACGACATTGTACCTACCACATACTCCCACCTGCTCCCACTCTTCAAACATCCGCGTCCGGAGAAGAGCTTTCATCTTGCGAAAACGAAGGTTGAGTTAGATGCAGTGCTAGAGAAGGGAGAGTTGAAGAGTCCACGGGATTTACAGTTGGTGGAGATTGTAGTGGATAAGATGGATACGGCGTGGAGGCTCGGAAGTCAGTTGGCGTGGCGTGGGGAGAAGAGTAGAGAGTATTTGACGAATGAGGGGTTTGTGGATACGTATGGTGGGTGGGGGTTAGATGGGGGTAGTAACGGGACGGTGAAGTGGAGTTAGGGTGGTTGGGTGGGAAGGAATGGGAGACTAGGGATTTCATCTGAAATTGTTGGACGAGCTGAAAAGCAGGAAAGGTAAATCGTGTGAGTCTGAAGCCGAGGCCGGTCACCCTGTGGCGCTCCACTCAACTGAATTCATATCACAGCACTTCATTTATCATCTCACTGTTAAATTCTTCAATTCAGATCCAAATACTAGCACTACCATTACCCAGAACCTTTGCAGTTTCTAAATATTTAGAACCCTTATTTATGTACGCTAACGTCTTCCAGATAACACAGAATATCAGCCGAACCTATTTTGGATTCCTTGAAACCCATCGAGAATGCCCATATATTTTCGAGACCCTCTGCGATTTGCTCCACGTCTTGTTTGATTTCCACTACAACGTACTAAATAAAGCAAAGGATGACTCTGCAGCCAGTCCTCTGACCAAAAGAGGTGTGCGGGCATTTCTTCGAAGTTTTATCTTAATTCCTCTAGCATTGTTGGTGGTCTTTTCCTGCAGCCATGGAAGATATTCACCTGATTTTTATTCTCGAGTCCTCGAGCGGTGATGGGAGATTATTCTCGGCAGCTACGGACGCTCTTCTCTATGTTTTCGCTCGCGGGTCTTCGCCTAGTAATGATTATCTTTTCCGAGAGTCATGGAAGATCTTCTCTATAGTCGTAATGTCGAGTCCTTTGCGCATAGCTGATGTAAGCAACTACAATTGTACAGTTCCTGCCTTACGTTGTTAAGCAACTGTACAAGTACTGCTTTAAGAAAGAGAAAACAGGTCTTTACTTGCCTATCTCTTGTTTACCCTTTTTTAATTGTTTGTAAACTGTTCTGCCTAGAGGCCCCTCTTAAGACGAGAGAAGACCGTAACCTTCTAAGTTCTGCTGGCCTAAGGTTGTACGAAACAGTAAATCTCCTGTAAAAGTGGTTCTACTGTTACCTTCTGTCTGATCAATACTATCATAAAGGTCAAGGACAGACGTACCTCCCTAAACTCAAAGAGCCCCCTCTATAGCACCTTACCCATGAGAGATATTATAGGAGTTGAAAGCTGTACGCTTTTAGACACTCTAATCGCATCTTCTTATGCAAAACGTCCGCTTCACGCTTCCTGAGATCGGGTATCCTACGTTATCGTCATCAATCCAAGAGCTACGTGAGGCTTCTTGCTTCCTCAAATTGAAGAACCTCCGCCACATTCACCCAGTGTTCCCTAAAAACCTTCACTCTGGGTGACGAGTCTTGGAGGCGATTCCCTTTCACCAGCGCGAAAGTTTTCACACAATGTAAAACCGTGGGACGAGGATATGCTACTCACCTATAAGGTTACGCCGTCCGCCCCACGCCTTCTCTTCTCTTTTCACCACTGACGCGGCTTGACTTGGTACCGTAGCAAAAGGGAAACCCGCTAAATTTGGCATATCAAATTCAATTCTTTCTTCATTACCGTCACGCGAGACGGACCTTTCTGCAGCGTTAACTATGCGCCCCACGAGCTTGCCGACGCCAACCATGGACGACCCACCGTCTTCACCATCAGTGAAGTGCGATATGGGCATGCCCACAGGCAATACAGACCTCTCCCTATCTCCGGTGAACATGGACGATGCCTCGCCATCCTCGCCATCAGCAGTGTCCACTTTGCATCTATCCACAGCTTCGACGCTGGTCCTCCCGAGTTTACCGCCGACCGACGCTGTAGAGTATCACAATCGCTGTCGGCCGTTCGCCCAAACCAACCGGTTCATTCTCCAAAAAGGTGACAAGACGTTTATGATGTCCGATCGTGGGGCTCGGGGCGGCTACGTGCCAATGTCTCCGACCGACCGACCGCTTTACCATCGCCGGTACACTATCGACGTGAACACCTGTGGTTGGTCAAAACAATTTTCTCGTCTTCGTTTTGAGTGGGCAGCTCTACTAGAGGATGACTGTTCAATGCCATCAGTGCCAGCGGTGGAGTTCGTTCTGTTTCCGGGGAAATGGGTTGAATTGGAGCCTCCCGCCTTTCGGGAGCCCATCCTCAGTCTTCCCAATCCGTGCCGCTTCCAAGAACTCGCTCAAGCCAACTTCAGTCCTCCGATAGACGAAGAGATATATCTCCAACTGGATGAATCGTCGCTGCAGAACGACGAATTTCATATGATCGTTGATCTGCAAAGCTGCAGTTGGTTCCGCGACAATATACTCAACGTCGCTCTTGAGATGTTGTCTAACCAATTCTCCTGTAAGGCCCGAAGGATTGAGATCGCTAACTCGATGGTCTCGCAAATTCTGTTCAGGGTGGGCTACGGTGGAGATGTGGACAACAACAACTTCGTCCATTACGCAGAGGAAAAGCGGCGATTTGAGGACAAAGACTGGATCTTCTTCCCCATCAATGACGGTTTCGCATCGGATGATTCAACACAGGTCTGCGGCTCGCACTGGTCCCTCGTTGCTATCAACCGTCCGGACGGTCTGGCTCACTACATCGATTCAATGTCCAACGAGGGCAACAATAAGCAAGCCCTGATTGGCGCATGTGTTGCTGAAGGCCTTGGAAACATCCTCGAAGAGCGTTACGCTTTGTACATTGAAGAGTACGCCCCCGACCAGTATGCCGACAACCAGTGCAAGAGCGATTTAGGCCCGTGTGGACCCTTTGTTGTCGTCATGATCTTCAAGTACCTTAACCTAATCACGGAGCATCAGGATGAGGGAACAGAGGAATATATAGACCTCAGTATCCCAGAAAGCTTTGTATCTGAGGCATGGCTCTTTAATTCCCAAAGGGTCCGACTACACATTCGAGAGATGATTGCGGAAGAGCAATGCCGGCAGGAAACTCGGCGAACAGCCGCCGAGCATGACTTGGTTGCTCTAGAGGAGTAGCAAGCTGTTGTAGCCGGTTGCCAGAAGGCGCTGTAAGGCATATTATTGATGTTGTCGTCTGCTTTTGGGGTAGTTACCTCTCCGTATTGTCATATGATCCTGCTGTGAGTTGCTCTTTCCTAGGTAGCATAGAATCTGCTTCATTGGGAAGGAGACACAAAGGTGGAAAAATGCATGAGCGAATTGAACAAAATTGTTAAAAACATTTAGAGGAAGGTGAAGTGAAGTTACTCTTTCCGGCTAAATCTCCAACAAAGCGAGTCTAACAAAGTGATAACTATACCTACCTTAGCTAGGTAAAAGGAGCCTGGAAAGGGAGCACGTTGAATGCGCAGCATGTTACCACATATCGTGGAACATGACTAGAGTAGTCTATCTGTTAAACCTCTTCTTCGAATAAAGGAGAGGGTTAGAGGAATGCACATTTCTGTCCCCAAATACCCTGTCATGATTCATACTAATTAGGTGAACAGATACAGTAGGCATTTCGCTTGAGAATATACAGACACAAAAGCCGAAATAGACATACTAGATTAACACAGTCTTATGTGAAAAAACTTCACAAAGCCCCCTTCTAACCACATCCCCTCCACTAACCTATCGGATGCCATCACTCTTTCCTCTATGTATACTAAGAAAGTAAGAATAACAACAAGAGGAAGCTAACAATAGCCCCATCCTGCCATGCACCATGTTTCGCTGACCTCACTATCATATTCACTGCCAAGACGAAACGTTCCATCGACCCGCTGACATAATCCCGAGCTAGCTAACCTCACGTCAACCTCAAGCTCCACTACCACATCCAAACCCCACACTAGCACAACAACAATGGCATCAGGATACGGATTGGCAGGCGGTACGTACACTCAAACTCCAATTTCTCAACACCCGGCGTTTAAGGGCCATGGGAAGCGTGGAGAATCTAGAATCGCACCACCTCAGAACAAACACGCAACCGACGGCACGTCCGCTCCAACGACTGTCGAGCATTCGAATAAAACTCTACGATCATATTTACCCTCGAATTAACTTGCGAATTTATGCTCTCTGCCAACACTCTCGTACTGGCCTTCCGTGCACTCAAACCACCCCACGGCCCTCCAGAGCGCCTCAACCTTCCACCTCCAGTCCGCGCGCCCCCCACCACGCCTTTCAGCACCCCCTCATTCCTCCTCCTCTTGCACATCTAGTACAAGCAACCAAGTATTAACAGCAACATCTCCCAGGCCCCTCCCGCTGCTTCCCCTTCTGGCAAGAAGTCCTCGCCTGCTACGTCACCAACACATCTGCCGAAGACGATTCCGGGAAAGCGAAATGCATGCCCATACTCGAAGACTACTATGAGTGTCTACATCATAAGAAAGAGGTATATTCGATTTTATCTAATCATTTCCCCCGCATTCCGCACCCCATCACGCCCTGCCTCACAGTTTCACTTCCCCTCCCTCAGCAGTCATAATTCCTTTATGGGTAGTGTAATAAGGGCCCGAGGCTATGGGTTCATGTGCAAAGATTGGTCCCACGGCCTCTTGAAATCCCCATACCCTACCCTTCTCCCTTCGCCCATTGATCTCTCCCCTCCCATTCTTACGCACATCTCCATCTTCATCCCCTAGTCTCCGCTGAGCCACCACAGGCCGCGCGCACTCTCGCCCTGCAAGCCGCTTACCGCAAGCAACAAGCGAACATAAAGCGCGACGACGCACCCTCAGCTGGAGAAATTAGACGCCTTGGGATACTGGACGCGCCGCTTGAGGAGAAGAATATCAAGGTTTCAAAGTGGTTGCCGCATAAGCAGATAAATTAAGCACTTGGATGGTGTAGGAAGAGTGGAGGAGGAAGGAGTGTAAATACTGAGAACACGGGCTGTTTTGCCAGACGGGCGTGCTACGGAAAGTTAAAGTGTGAGAGAGGGAGAGCGGGAGGCAGAGAAAGCAAGGCAATGAAACCACACTATATACAGCTTCAATAAAACCATGGCATGTCCCATCTTCACTAGGCGCTTATATATGTGAAAATTCATAGTCACAGACACTCAGCAGTATCGATCTTTATATCTTGCACATTCGGATTCGCACATATACACCATCTAATCAAGCAAAACAAGCAGCTACTCAAACAAAATCCACCCTTATCCATCACCCCCACCCAACCCCTCCTCTCCTTCTACCCTAAACGGATAGAGGAAACCCATATCATTCCTAGCATGCAATATGTACAAAAACATAGTGGGCTACCCACTTGTAACCGCTAGACCATCGTATTCAACAAAGCCGGTAGTCGATTTGTTGGTCGGTCGAGAGAAAAGTCGTAGGGAGGTGCATTACGATCCCCGAACTCTTTACTCCGATGAAGTTCTGGTGGGGAGAAAAGCAGGAACAGAATGTACAACAAAAACCTGAAACTGAAACCGAAGCTGAAGTTAATATGTCGTAGAAGCAAAGAAAGCCACACTACAGTACACATAACACGAGGTGATACCCAAGCAAGCATCAATCGCCACGCTAATACCAACCAACCAGCAACACGAAACTCCCACCTGAGAAAGGTTTGTCACAGATGTGTAGTGGTAGTTTCGGCATGTGTGGTATACCAAAGCATTTGAAGTATTGTTTTGTACAGGTAGGCGAGGTGTATGTGAGCGAGCGGTTGGGTTGGCGTTCTAGTTCGAGAATGGGTGTGGCCATGTTCGATGTAATTTCAGGAGGGGTCGATGCGGTCAAGATGAAAGGCTGTGTGTCGAGAGCATCGTCGCCGGTGATGAGGTCGATTTAACCAAATGGAAGAGGGGAATCGTAGGTTGGATGGACTACATTCCCAAACCAACGCTCGTTCTTCCCATCTCGCCCTGGTTCGGTCCCGGTCGCGCACCGTGAACCTGGCTTATATTTCGATGATATGATCCGATCTTCTGGAAACCCCTATTCAAGAAGTTAGTCGCAAATTCGGCAAGAAACATAAAATGGCACACGCCCAAGGCTCTTGGCGTCATCTTAAATAGCAACAACCAAATAAATGATTGGCTACTTAGACAACTTCCAGAGCCTCGGGGTATCCGCCACTGCCCTTAGGAATTTTTAGGTCGTACTTTGCCAGGTCGAATCCCTCCTCGTCTGCATCTTCTTCGAAAGAGCCGAGACTAGCGCCTCGGACCATACCACCGTTCACAGGGTTCGCCACAAAACCATTGACGTTCGAGTTTGAGCGGGAGCGCTGCAGACCAGGGTTACGGCTCACAGGACGGGAGACCGTGCGGCTAGGGCTATCAGGGCCGACATCCTCCTCTTCATCGCCTTTCTCGTTGTCGTTCTCGTCGCCGTCGTCGTCGCCGTCGTCGGCCTCGCCACTTGGGTCTTCACCTGGCATGATTGGTGGTGAACTTGGTTGCACTTGCTCATCCTCGATATCTTTCTCCTCGTCTTCATCCTTCTTCATCTTTGTCGGGCTAAGATCGAGGTTCGGGGCGCGGGCCGGTGTACTTGGCAGATCGATATACTTCCAAAAAGGCGCTGGACTAGAGAAGTTCATAAACTGACTTGGGACTTGGGCAGTACTGGGGGGTGCGAGCCGAGGTGCATGCCGCGTGACGAGCGGAGTTACCAACCCAGCATTGTTCTGCCTACTACCGTCCTGCGCACCATTGGCATTGTTCGCAGCAGCATCAGAATATAACGGCGGTGGTGAGTTTGCAGCGTCACCCTTCAAACCTGTAATCTTTGGCTTTGGAGGGTCGACGTTCGGCGACGATCCAGGATTGCCGAGCATGCGGGTTGAGTCCAGTGCTTCAGAGCTCTGCGGGAAGATAGAAGGGCCGCTAGGCTTCGCATCTTGGAAGAGTCGCTTAGCAGGGGTCGCAAGATTCGATTGTTCACCGTGAGTGGGGGATTGCTTGAACCCCCCGAAAGGATTGGAGCGGGGGCCTCGGTCGGGAGTATATGACTCGTTTGCCATTGGATAAGACGCCAAGGGTGGAGTCGCAGAACGGGGAGGAGACTTAACGCGGGTAGGGCCTGGCTCCTGCTTCCCGAACAAATTGGGCTGGCTAAGCACATCGAGGAGACGCTCGGTTGCCTGCGAAGGAGCTTCTCGAAAGGCTGGTGAGTTGGGCCCAGAAGAGTCAAGTCGAACAGCAGAGCCACCTTTGCGGGGTCGGTGTTGCCTCTTCAAAAAGTCCTCACGCTCGCTATCCGCAATCCTCCACTTCATCCCTTTGCCTGGCTCGTCTGTGCGACGCGCTACCTTTTCAAAAACCTTGCTTAGGGATAGATTGTGGCGGATAGAGTTCTATAGATGAATCAGGAACCCATCTATTTAATGGATCCGCTCGTACTCACCTGCCACCCTGCATTAGTGTGTCTAAAGTATGCATATTTATCCTTGATGAACTGGTAGATATTTGCCAGAGTAAGCATCTCCTCAGAACTACTCAGGATAGCTTCACCAATAAGCTGGGCATAACTATGTGGTGGCTTGACCTCCTTGTACGATTCTTGGCTATAGTCGATGTCTTCTGAAGACTCCATCATCAGCCCGCGGGGATACGTAGCCGGGGAGGTCTTACTGCCCCTGTGGGAGGAACGCACGGCTAGGGGAGTTCCTGGCTCGGGCCGACCTGGTGTGGATGTTAATTGATTGTTGTAGCCTTGCGACGACTGCTTATGACGAGGATGTGAGGATGGTGGAAAGGGGTCATAGTTCTCACGCTTAGGTGTTGGACCGCTAGGATGAGCATGTGGAAGGGACCGATTCGGCGGGTTGCCTTCGTCGTCAGAGGCTCCTGCATCTGGGTCATTCTTAACCTGGCGCCACAGCATGGGATGGAACTGATCATCCTGGTTGGCCAGAAGAAAGAGCATCTGAGTGCCCATGATGCCAATGCAGATACCAGAGTGAAGGGGGGCGCGGGATCCTTTACTCAGATTGTTGTCGTCCAGCTTCAGGCCGTTGCGGCTGTTCACGAAGATGAACCACTGTTGCAACACCGTGTCGAAGTGGATCTCAGCATGGATCCGCGAAATCTGCCGCTCGGGGCCAAGGTCGATGTCCACGCCCCATTCATTGACCTGATCCTCGGTGGGCAGTCCGCTCGCATCTTGAGAGTTAGCGGGGTTGGGGCGGAGCGCCGAGTCGGCTCGCCCGATCCTAAGATCAGTCTTCTGGACGAAGAAGCACCAGTCGCGGGCGGCGATCTTTGCGTATGCCGCGACGTTGTTGGTTTTGTTCCTCCGCGCCTGCAAGTCGTTGGCGTAGTCGACGGCCGCATTTGGTAGGTAGTTTGGCGTGCGCAATGAGGCGATGATTAGATTCTGTCTGTCTACTGGGTCGGACGGGCCTTCGGCATCTGCTCCGTTGGGCAGCGTCGTATTAGAGTCATTGCTCTGCAGGGACTCGGTGATGCGGGTACGGGGAATGTCCTCAGCGACGGCGGCGGTGCGATCGGCGCCATTCAGCTGTACTGGTGGTCAGTCCTGGTCTGCAGGTGGGGTGCTTGCGGGGTGGTGCTGCTTACCCGTCTCCGCTTCCTTGAAGGCGTGGCTATGGACTCGGGAGTATCAGCATCAGACTGCTGCGGCGGATCTGGCTCCCTGCGAGAGCGAAGTCTCCGGTTGGAGGAGGGTGGCATTTTGCATGGGCGTCAAGGGAGTGACTTAGGGTGGAGGAAGTGCCAGGGCGGCTTTATTTGTTTGTGTCCAGGTGTTTGTTTGGCGAGAGCGGAGCAGCTGGTGACGTTCCAAGGTTCAGCGCCGATTCTTTCACACCCTCAACGGTGCGCGGGGAGGGGCTCGGAGTGCCTACTACGAAAGCAGGCCGCGGCCGTCTAGCACCAACTGCCTCAGGCGGCTTTGCAGGCCGAGTGTATGGGCGAGCGCGGAGTGGAAGGAATCTACCGTGGGGAGCAGCAGGTGATATGGTGGCAGGTGTGGATGTCGAGATGGAGTGGCTGCTCTTGTTTACGCGAAATGCGCGAAGGTGGCGGGCCCAGCGTGACTGCCGTGGGTGGGTGCTGACTATGATCTCGAGGCGGTGGGTGAGTGCCAGCAGCACTGAATTAAGCCAGTGAAGATATATCAAATGCCAGTCCGGGCGAGGCGCAATTGAAGAATAAACTAATCCGCTTCAGGCGCCGTGGGCGTGACAGTGACCGCCAAGCACCAGGTTCTTCACATCAGCCCTCGCAATCCTGCGCAAAAATTCGACCTGCACACGCATATCCGTTCCAGTCCGCATCTTCGGCGTCTCTGGCAATCTGTTTACCACCTTTCATCCGTCTGGCATTTTCTAGCGGTGCTGCGTCCATTTGCGCTCGACTTTGGCTCGCAGATTGTTTACCATGATCGCGTAGAGACATTCGTCATCGACGCGACCGACCGAATGCACTGCAAGTCATCGGTTCGCAGCGTCGCCATCAGCTACACCGAGAAGGCAAATTTAAGCGGCTGCGCCAGTAGACCCACACATGGAGTTCACACATGGAGTTCACGCTCGACACTCAATTTCTGGAAGACGTCTGTTCTAACAAGATGTGGGTTTTCTAGCCCCCACCCAAAATATTTACAAGAATCATTCAATTGTCAAATCAATGATTGGCCCTTTATATCTGTGGCGTCCCAACCAACCATGATTAAACATTCATCATTATTTGTTATCCAGCGGACCAGTCCATCATTTCCCACTCAACGCCGGAATAATCAAACGATAAGTCATTACCGCTTCCTCTTATAAGCTGAGCTGCGCACTCAAAACTAGCTTCCTCGACGAGCTACCCACGTACGCCGTCTTGGAGTAGTTCGAGATGACCCAGTTCTGCGTCACTGTGTCCCAGTTGGAAATGTCCCTGCGCGTAACATCCGCTGAAAACGTCGCACTTTGGCCGGGCTGGATGCTCAGGCGCTCGAAGTTGCGCAGGACCACCTTTGGATCATCAGGGCCGCCGAGTGACACATACAGCTGGGTAACTTCTTCGCCGGGGACGGTGCCGTTGTTGGTGACAGTCGCGGTGACTTTGAAGAGCACGTCGTAAAGGGCTGGATTTCCTCCTGGCGCTCCGCCGGCAGCAATCTTGGGTTGCGGCGAGCCATCGCTGACCCCCTCAGGTAAATACGCCGAGTTCTCCAGTCCATACTCGGGGTCCATCGAAGCTTCTTGGAGATTGGTCGAGTTTAGATAGGGGTAGATGTATGCTTTGACATAGGTCAGATTGGCTGGCCATTGGTAGTCTGCCGGGTCGGTGCTAAAATTTCCTAGCACCGGTGCTGCCTTCGTGGTGCCAGTAGTTGGAGCGTATGTACCAGCAGGGATCTTGACAACTTTGATGTCGGAGTAGGAGAAAGTCGTGTAGCTCAAACCAAAGCCAAACTCGTAGATCGGGGAGATATTATTCTTGTCGAAGTATCGGTAGTCGATGAAAACACCTTCCACGAAGTTGTCCTGTATGGAAGCATGGCCTGCGGAAGGCTCGTAGAACAGGTCAGCGCCATAATCGGACGCCTGGCGGCCCATCGTGAACGGCAGTTTTCCTCCAGGGTTGACCCTTCCGTAAAGGACGTCGGCAATTGCGTTGCCGGATTGCTCTCCAGGAAGGCCAGCCCAAAGAATACCAGTTACATTCGGGTTGTTGTACCAAGAGTCCACGAGGACAGGCCCTACACTGTGGATAACTACAATGGTGTTGTTGCAGTGGGCCGTCACATTCTGGATGAGTTTGTCGCCATCTTTCCAAAGTGTGAGGTTATTCCTGTCGCCCGCGTTGCCATCAACAGTTATGTAACCTTCACCGCTGTCCGCATTCACAAAGACAATGGAGATAGTAGCCTGTTTTGCGAGCGCGACGATCGAATCGTAGGCCCAGTTTGCTGTGACGGACTGCACTACTCCTCCATGACCAATCACTTCATTCTTTATGGCATCGAGAGGAGTGACGAGATACGGAAAGTACGCAGTTCCAGAACCCCACCCTTGAGCGAGCGTCCCATTGTCACAGCCGTGATCAGGGCAACCGTTCGGTCCAAGGTCATTGTCGCCGGCGTCGTCGCCAAAGACTGCTGTGAACTTCTCCCGTCCCTTCAATGGGAGGCTACCGTTGGTGTTCTTAAGTAGGACAGTGGATCGTGCAGCTGCTGACCTGATTGCAAGGTAATGCTCGTCTCGGACATCAACATGCTGGTTGATCTGTCCATATCCAGTCATGGCATAAGCGTGTTCATAGCCGAAAGTATCCAGAGACCAGGAATTGAAGTTGACCGGAACCTGAGTCCGGTCCCTGCCAACAAGGTAGTATGCCGCCATAATTCGAGTAGCCATATCATCAATTCGCCACTCCGGAACTGAGCCATTCAGGATAGAAATAGTGAGGTTCGGGCCCCAGAAGGAAAGTCCAGTGTCGAAACCAGTATCTCCAGGCATGGTCATATCCAGGCCCGCAGCTGTGGATGATACACCGCTGTGTTGAGCTGACCAGTCGGACATGATGAAACCTTGGAATCCCAGTTCGCCCTTGAGGATGTAGTTGTTGAGATAGCTATTTTGGCAAGCTTGCGAGTTGTTGTTCTTGTTATATGAGCACATAATGGATCCAGTCCCAGCACGGACTGCATCTGCAAAAGGCCAGAGGTACAGCTCATGCAGGGTCTTGTCGTCCAGGTTGGAGGAAATTGCATCGACGAAGCCAAAGTCCCCAAAGCTGCCTGGTGATCTGAAATGCTCCTACAGAACCCAATTAGCATCGAGCTAGTATAGATGGGTGAGGGAGCTACTGACCTGTTCGTTATTAATATAATGCTTGGTGCAGGCAATGACACCCGCATCTTGGATTCCGCGGACGGTTTCTGCGACAGCAATACCCGAAAGGACAGGGTCGGGACTGAAACCTTCCCAGTTGCGCCCGCCCTTTGGGTTTCGGCCAAGAGGGCCAACGACGGGACCAAGTTGAACGTCCACGCCTTTTCCGCGATGCTCCATTCCCATTTGGTAGCCACGTTGATAGAAGACCCCACGGTCCCATGAGGCTGCGACCGTTCCACCGGCAGGAAACGCGGAGACATAGTCACCTTCCCAGAGTCAGTGCAGTCTTTGGAAATGAATTGTATGAAGCTTACCAAAGCGAACACCGAGGGGAGAGTCTTGCATGCACAGTGCTTGAAATCCCAGCCGTGGAATCGCGCCCACATTACCGACGCAGGCCTCACCTTCCCAGCCCACACCAGCTATGGGATATTAGATATCACACCTATGAACAATCTTCCTGGCAGCACTTACTTGTGAGATTGACTTTCTCGAGAAGGGTCAATTGTCGGACGAAGGATTGCGCCTTGGCATACGCATCAGCCCATCCCCCTGAGCCGTCCATCCATCTGCAAATGGTTAGCAATTGCTTCGATGCAGGTTTAAATTTCTACGTACGGCGAAGGATAGAATGGTGGACTCGTCGCATTGCTCAACTCGGCGGGATTGGTAGTATTATTGGTGGGGATAGAGGTGTTGGGATACTTGTTTACTCGTCAGCTCCAGTAATAAACAAAAGGAAAAGGACAGAGTTGAATTACGCGGACGAAGGGAAACAGAGCCGTGAAGAAACGCATATATTTTCGATTCATTCATGCAGCTTTTCGAGGATACTCGCATAACAATGGTGTTGTTGTGGGTGAGAGTGAGATTGTTGACTGACAGATTGAGCTCCAGCTAGCGGGAGGCTGATCGCCAAAAATGCTTGTGCAAGCCACAGCATGACGTCGGACTACTTGGCTGGCAACGGACGTATTCACCCAAAGATATTAACGATTAACACGACACGCGACAGGTTTGGAACGCGGTAGAGGTCGCTACAGCACCACGGAGGCAAGGGAACAAAGCAGCCTTTAAGAATTTTCCAGGGAGCTCCGACAAGGAAGGAGCTCCATGACTTTTTCCACACCCTTGGAGCTAATCTGAGGACGCGGCCGAGCATTGCCTTCTGCGGGGTCTCCATGGTCCACAAAGTGCCAGTGCCTGCTGATCACTCCTGTCGGCCTGCCAACTTGGTAGGTGCTGCTCCGTGGGTCACCCAAAGCCGCCTTCGAGAACATCACTTTTGTAGACTACACTCCACCGTGGCTGACAGCTTTAAGAACACAGCAGCTAGCATTGTTCAAATCTCCCCGATCACCGTCTCTACACCAGCTGTCTCGCAGAGTCCTTATATCAAAAAACGCGTCGAGGAACTCCACGCACCTGTCCATCCCTTGATGCCATCCTCAGCCCCCCCATCATCTCATTCCTCTTCCCTTGAGCACATTGTCGTTTCTAGACTAGGCCCATCGTGGACATACCTAAGCTTCTGGAAGAAGCGGCTCCCGCCAGCCCACCGCCAGCCCAACGCCCAAGATGTCGCAAACACGAACCAGGCACTTGTGATCGTGGCGCGCCGTCGCTGAAGCTAGTGCAACGATTCATCACCGTGATGGTGAGATGCGGGGTTGGGGTCGCACCCCGAGGTTGCCTCCACAACGCCTTCGCATGAGGAAAATCCTAACCTGCAGCTGTGCAGGTGGCATCGAATCATCGTTGCCGCAATCTCCCTTCGCCGCATGGGTTTGATTTGTGGAACCCGGGGAGACGTCTTCACGCTATGCCCGGTTGCTGGCTCCATCCCGATACCAATGCAGGCAAAATCTCGGCTCAATCTTGGGAACCTTCCTTCAATGCACTAAGAAACGCCGTTTCTTAAAGGCTTGCAGAGTAACCGTTGGCAGTAGGTACACCACAAGTTATAGTATTGATCCACTCCGAAACGGCAGAGCACCTCGGTACCATACCTACCTTTGAAGCTGTTCCTCGCTTGCGTCTTACGCCTCGGCGTGAAATTCATCAGCAAAGACGAGAAAACGCGTCTTTAGGCACTGTCTCTCTCTGGAAGGTGGTACAAAGGGCAGCTGCATGTCTCAGCGTCACCCGATTGCCCAGCCACAATTCTCGACCTCTTGATCACGATTGCTATTCACGATGCTCTCTTGGGTGAGACGAAAGTAAGGTCGTGTATCAATGTCCTCTTCCTTTTCCTTGGCTACATTCACAGTCCAGACATCTCGTGATACGCAATCTACACCCCTTCCTTCTTTAGCTCACCATAGATGAAACTCCATCAAGAAGGCGCGTTGTGACCCGCTTCACATAAAAAGTACATGCCACGACATCCGCCGCCACTAAACTCAATTCTATTACCTTGGCGAGGGCCAGCGAAGCCTCTCCAGTCTTAGCCCCCGCCGGTTCACTGCACATTGGCGCTTGAACACTATTAGATCCTATCCCCGTGAATGCCTTCATCGCGTCTCTAGTAGCACAGCACATTTTACACTTAACTTAGAGACCTCGGGATATAGATATATGCGAGGACGTGAGTGTAGTTTTGCTCCGTGCCCTCTCGTATAGATGTTCAAGTATGGCTATTTCTTTTAGCTTAGCGTAGATATCTCGGCCCGGATTATGCGGTACATCACATAGTCAGCCAAGGAGGCCCCTAAGATTCTAAATTTTCTGTTCTCTTCCATGGTCTTTATGTAATGACGTGGCAATTACGTCGGACGAATTTCGATTAGAAATGAACGTGTCTGTAGGCTGAGAAACAAAGGCATCGCGGCCTTCCGAGGAAACTCGTACCTGAGCTGCCCCTTCTTTGCCCAATACCAGTGACAGACTTTTCGGCTTCCCCACCTCCATAGATGCTCTCCACGAGTTGGCAGCGGCCGAATACTTCCTCCATGGAGGCCACTGGTTTTCTTTGAGAGTTATCAGCCTCATCTCCTCTCCTTGCTGTAGTAAAATAAATGGCTTTTGGCCTGCCTTGTTTGGGACTATCTTATTAGTAATATCGCTTCCAATCTTGTATCTGGCTTTATTTGAATGGTATCCAGGCTTCTAGACATCTGTATTTCTATTTCAGAATCCAATATACTGTTATTCCTTCCTAACTCAACGTCTTACCCCTCAGCCTCATGTGCAGCCCAGCCCCACTTATCAAGTCTTGCTGTTCTAGGTCCAATAATATACTGTTGTATAGGGGTGGATATATAGCTCTCGAACAAAATCGTGGGTTTACCGGTGTGGGCGCTATGGATAAGCTTAATGTCAATGATCTTGATTAGGTCCAGTCCATGAGGTCCGCGGTATATAACAAGTAGTTTATGCGACGAACACCAATGAGCATATAGATAGCAAAAATATATGTTGCGCATATTTTGCGATGAAAAGAAATCTTCATTTGAATTTTCCTCTGCATTCACCATCGCTGTCCCTCACTCTCTCTCGCCAAACCAAAGCACACCAATCCAGACCAAGAATCAAAACGCAAAATTCTGTGCCACTGCACACATAACCACCCAAATCCACAAACCTTCCCCCCAAACAACGGATTCCCCACCCCAACACCCCAACTCTTCCGGAATATTAATTAATACATCCGGCCTAAAAATGGATTTCCCGCCCTCACCCCCACTCCAGCATCCACCCATGCTCGACGACCTCGCCGCCAACGTGCAGTGGCTTGCAACGAGCCTACCACCAGATAATTGGGACCTCCACCCGCGACCGATAAGCCTTCAACGGCTGGATACCGGTTTGTTGAATTTCGGATTTGATGGTTGGGAGAGTGGGAGTGAGGTACGTGTGTCCATATAAATGCTGAGGATTCTCCGAGGTTGAGGAAGGACAGGACAAGACGGGATATACAAGATGTTGACGAATATTCCAGGACGGGCTCGATAATCTGAATGCTACACATCGGCCTCGTGAACGACGGCCGGGATTCTGGCACCGCTTGCGACTCCAATCCCAATCTTGCAACCCATCTCTACCTTTAGCATGTCTAGCTCAAAAAAGTGCAAGTGCACTCCTAAAGACCGTCTACAACCGCACGAAAACGGGCATCCGCCGCCTGTGGCCATTCTGCGGGCGAGAAGCAGATAGAAGGAACAGAAGCTCGGTAGGGGAGCCACTGCTCTGAGTTGAGAATGAAAGAAAGGATTTCTGAAAGGCTGGCCATGCCATTTCAGAGAACGAGTGGATTGAAGACAAGAGGATACGGCTGGGTTGGATTGATTAGTACTTCTTTTTAGAGGCAGATGAGGAATCGGTAGCAATGTCGAGAGCTTCCGAAATATCTGCGCCGAAAACGATGGTCATATAAGCGGGGAAAACAATCCATAGGCCACTAATGTTTCGTTAGCTTGAGTGATTTAAGAGATGCATTAGTTGGAGGGGATAAGTGGTGACTAAGCGTGCTGCAAAAGGCTTGAGACACTAGTGGGGAACTTACTTCATAATACCGTAGAAGAGAATCAGAGTGGGCCAGTCATTGTGCTTTGTATTCTCAAAGCCGGAGAAGTACTCATTCAGATCTGACAAGATCAGCTTCATGCACGGTTCTCACCAGCAGAGTTCCCTTTGGAAGGTCAGAGCGGTGACTTACAGTAAAGCACAGTCTTACTCAACGTCATCAGCGCTGCTGAAAACCCAATAAGCAACGCCCTATTCCCCGTCTTCCCCTCCACTCTCATGCCCCCCGCAAGCCATCCCCTCACACCCTGTCCAACCTGCAGCCCCCTCCCCCCAGCCGCTGGCACTCCGTGATTGAAAATAATCATAATATACAGTCCATACAGTACCGCTTCAATCGCATTGATCGCGCCCTGTGCACCTCCAAACCCATCATTACCCTCCCACCCAGGCCACCCATATACATAATCAATGCTCGCGTAAATTTCATACGGTTTCCAGATAGGCCATTGCAATATCCCTCCAGCCATCGTATGGGGACGAAGCAGGATGTACAAGGAGTCCCAGATGACGAGGGGTAGACTAACGCAGATCCAGAGAATGGTGATGTTGGATGCGGTGTGCGACCATCCTTCTGAAAACGCAGGAGCCACAGCACTGGAGTTCGACACGGCACGCTTTGTCAGAGACGTGTTTGCGGAATTGGGAGAGCTGGGCGCGGGTGAGGTGGTCGCATTGCGCGAGGTTTTGCGCGGGGAGGCTTTGGTGGGGGAGGATTCGGGTGGGGGGAATTCCCTGGGGTGTTGGCGCGTGGAGACCATTGTCGAGAGGGGGTGTGTAAGGTGAGAGGAGGCGAAAGAGGTTGTCAATGAGGGTTTGAAGAAGAGAGAGGGTTTGGTGTTGTTGTTGTGAGGTCGCGCACTGCAAAGCAAGTGGGAAGGTGGCGGGGAGCTCGGGTCTTGATTCTCCCGTCATGCTAGCCTGTCTGGGAAGGATGTAATCATGCAGCTGACCAATGGTGTCCGCGGTTATTACTTCTAACTACCCTAGTGGCCTTGAACATCTGCTCTTCTCTGAAAAACCCCCTGAAGTCCTATGGGCTATTGTACAGTCTCCGGCTGAACACTCATCTCATTACTTAGCTTACACCACTTCTCTGAAATAATCGAGATATCTTGTAAGCCCAAGGGCTCTGCGATGGGCTGCCCAATCAACCATAGGCTTAGCGTCCTACGACACTATATATATATATTTTAGTACCTCGGACCCTCCATCCGCTGTACATCACTTCTCTCATAAATCATGCCCCCTGAAAGGCTACACATCTACATTACGACACACCAGCAACACATTGTCGTCTTCGGTTTCCCTTCATGCTCGTGACCAACACTCTGATCTTTCGGGCTACCCGCCTCATACTGCACGCCCTCATTTTCTTCACCAAAGCTTGCTCCCTGAAATGGTGTAAAGCGCTCGGCGTACTGCTCTCGCGTCACCGGTGTTGGTGTATATGACCTAGCCCGGTTGTGCTTGAGTAGCACACGGGATGGAGGCTTGAGGGTGAATTCAGGTTGCTCGACTGGGTTGCTGCGTAGCGGATGCGGATGGCCATATATCGTCTGACGACCTGAGCTCGCGACTAGTTGTCGACGGCTATCCATTGAAGTATAATAGCCTTCGCGTAGTTTCAGTTTGAGTAAAGAGAAGGGAGTTTGCAAGAGCGCCAACGAAGCTCTTACTTACAGAGCTCAACTTCCGCTGCTCGAGTTTATCGGCAACAGAACCATGAGCTCGAAGGTGTCGCCGTCTATTCTCGTGTACATTCATCGGGTTATGGAAGGTAGTGAGATTCGGAGCGGACTTGGAAGTGGTGTTGACGAAAGAATGGGCGTTATTCGACAGCTCGCCAAGTGCTGGTCGAGATTTTGGCGTAGAGTGTAGAGCCTTCCCGGCGTCCACGGCCTCTGATATTGAGTCTGGGGGCGATGGCGTGATTACTCTGATGGACCATTCGCTGCCCGTAGGGAGCAAACGACATGAGGTCATTGCGGCGACGGGATGTGGATACTAGCAGACAGGTACTAAGGCGTAGTGTTAGTGGAAGGGCGCGCTGGTGGAGGCCATGAAGGAAACGGTTTGTTTGTTTACGTCGCGTTATCGTGTTGCGGGGCGAAAGCGAGTGGTGCCGGTGATATTCGAAAGAGTGTGATTAATGTTGCGAGATCAGGGCAGAAAGCGGTGTAAGTTGGGAACCGGATGGGCGTTGCGGTGGTTGTGAGCCCTTCACTACCTTCTCCTAATGTGCTGAGGGTTCATAGAGCCTTGCTGATCCGCCAGGACTTTCAAAATGGATACTGATATGTATATGCGTGGCCGGTGTTCTCTAAAAAGGGGACGCAGAGAACACACCTCATTATAGTTTGACAGTGTGGAGACCTTTAGGGAAGGCTGGAGAAGTGAATGCTATCGTTGCAGTATGGCTTCTCTTTCACTCAGTGCGTATTAAACTGATCGTGATTCCAGACACTCGGGCAAAGCGAAGCCACCTGCTACCCAAATACTAGTTTGGTCCTAATAAACTGTACTTCAGACGCACCGTATGCTGTTAGTGACGTGCAGTAACCGTGACGGTGAGTTCACATCACTGCCCTACTCATCTTGTGCTAGAACAAGTAGTCTGCCCCAATATTCCCACAAAGAATCACCCGGTCTGCTATCGAACCATTTTAGTGCAACCTAATGCATCGTAATACATACCGCCCCCTCATACTACCAGAACGACTCCATTTGTGAACAATGATAGTCGGTATACTCCTAGCATTTACCTTCTTCACTCTTGATTGGAATAGATGTTTGAAAAGTCTCTAGAAACACTATAGGACTTGTCCCAGCTTCGGTACCACAAAAGCATATTCAAAGAAATAGGAGCGTTGGGATCCAAACGGTATTCATTAAACAGCAAGTCTCCTACTATTCACCACAGTCATTCTTCTAGTCATATCCAAGTCATAGAATCTGACTCCCTCCAGCTCCACTTCCCCTATTCCGGTATTTCACACCTGCTAGCAAATACAAGTCGCCGTTCACGATCGACGGAAAAGGCAGTAAAACCTTTCCAGGCGGCGTGGTTTGACATGCGTCGAGATCCACTAGCTTGGAGCTCCCGCAAGATGAATGCGGGTCTCGATTCAAAGTATGACTGCACTAGGTTGTTTGGGCTTCAAAGCATACTAAAATGAAGTCTTCTTCGAACTGTTTCTTTGCACTAGGACCCCTCTAGATGAGTTCCCTATGCCCGTTGGCTCAACAACACAGATTTCTCGTCCATATTTTCTTACCCTTCTTCGCCTTGAGTTTCTGCATCTAGCATCGGTAGGTTCGATGGGTTTGATGAGTTCTGTAGTTATGAAGAGTGCAGGACTTCAAAACATTCGCTTAGCAGTCAGTGGTCAACCTCGCGGACTCCGAGTACAGTACTAAAGGCACATTGAGCAGATTTCTACGTTTTTAACAAAGCGTAAAGGTCAGAAGGTCATTATTGTTCTCTATCGGTCAATCCTCCATGCCTGTTGTCGCCCAAAACGTCTATTGTACCACACCACCTGCCCACCGCCTGCCCACCACCTGCCATTGCCCATCAACACGCGGATTGTAACGCACCTCCCACCACCTCAGATTCCCACAGCAGCATAAAGGTCATGAATTCCCCTCCTCAAACCTTGCTCAAACTCCCACACAAAGTTCCCTCTCATACCTGACTCCCGCACCCTCTTCAGCACCCAGATTTCCAAATTTCCAATCTTATTCCCGCCGCCAACTGTAGAGGCTCCTTGGAAGAAATCTTGTGCATCCTTGTATCCAACCTTCCATCCATTTTCATAGCGCCAGTGCTCACATGGCGTATTAGGGACGAGGTGGTCCCAGTAGGAAGTGTGTTGGTTGACGGCGGCATACATGCGTTCGTCGCGATGGGAGTTTGATCTATCAAGGAGAGCGGATATGCTAGAGGAAGGGGTGGAATATGAGGGTGGGGAAGTTACTGCAGAGGAAGAGGTTTGTTCTTGGAAGCCCCATTCTCCGCCTGGGAACCAGTCCTGAGGGTAGTCATTAGAGGGGCATTTGTGTAGGTTTGTTGCTATTTGGATGAGTGGGGGGGGAATAAGGAAGAGGGGCGGTTCTGAGCACTACGCTCTCGCACTGATTATGATGGAGGGGATTGAAAAGTGGGAATCCGGATGCGGACTCACCATCTTCCACGTCCAGAAGAAACTTCCACCGCTACGTTGCTGCCATCTCCGACTCTGTGCTTCGCCAAATTCTTTCACCAAGACTTGTTTTGGTGTGTCCCCGCGCTTTGACCAGCTATCTTCGCTAAGGACACAGCTATATTCGCCGACAACGACCTGGGCAGCTCCACGGTCTATAATGCTGCCTTCTTTCCCATTAAGCTCGCTAAGCTTAGTGCTGGCTTCATTGATGATCTGCTGCGGTGACTTGGACGTGTCCTCGCCTGTATGTGCCCAATAGTAGTGTGTATCGACAACTACAGGACATGTGGGCTGAGAGGGCATGGCAGTGTTCTTGATGAGACTGTAGTTGATTGCATTCTCCAGGTTCCAGCCGTCGGAGATGATGACGGGTATGCTGGCATCGATAGCCGAGATGGCGTCAATGCAGTCGTTGTACCAAGGATTCATAGGACTCCCCCATTCACATTCATTAGCAATTTGGATGCCAATGACGCCATCGAGCCCTTCCACAACTTGCTGAGCCAGGAATTGGCAACAGCGGATCCCGAGGTTGCGGTCATCTTGAGAGACCCAGAGGTCAGCGACGCCGCTGTTGGTGCCGGAGTGGTCTTGCGTATTCGCACCACCAGGAAGCGCGTGGAGGTCCAGGAGGGTGCCGATTCCGTGCATGCGGAGGCGCATGACAAGGCTGCTGATGCTACTCCAGGCTGAGGTATAGACAGCGGAATATGGAGCGAAGGGGGTGTTTTCTAAGCAGGAGGGGAGGAGGTCGTAGTAGCCGATCGGAAGACGGATAGATGTGGCTAGAGGATTGTCAATAGAAATTAAAAAAGAGATTATAGTATGATGGCGTTGTTCATTGAAGTGTTGGGGGCGGTTAGGAGTTGCGTAGTCATGTGATATTGGTACAAATTTTGGGCCTTGAAGATAGGAGTGGAGCTCAAGGTTGTCCATGCGACGGAGGAAGACAACGGCTTACCTCTAGCCTCCTGGACCAGCCACTTGATATCCTCATCCGTCACAGCATTGGCCCAAAACTCTTCAAACTTCTTTCTCGTCTCATCTACCCCAATCTTCTCCACCCATGCCTTGACGGCTTCCAACTCGCTTGACCCAGAAGCGTCTTCAGGGAACATAGAATTCCGAAGCCATCGTTCGAGAACATAGACCGATCCGAGGTTTGTGCCGTGGTGGTATCGATAACGGATGATGTCGAGGGGCGTGACGGGTTTGATGGTGGAAGGCTGGTCCATTTCTATTCCGCGTCGGAAGCCTTGCTGGTGTTGATGTTGAGATGGTTGAGCGGGTGGCTGGTTGGTTCGTGGGTCGATGTCGAGGATGCTTTGGAGTTCGGCTTTCGCCTTTTTGAAGAGCCCTTTCATAGATGAGTAATCTTCAAAAGACCAAAGGATATGCCGAGTACCTTAACACAAGGTACTTTTAATTGGTTCGTTTGAAGTTAATGTTTTAATAGAATGCGCGTAGGTGTTTGATTATTGAAACAAGGTAAACGTGAAGGATATGAAGTTGATTGTTGAGAAGAAGAAATCTTGGAGCACAAGAAAGGAATTTATAGTCCGGTAAACAAGCACAAAGGCAACCGCACTCGAGCCGTTAATTGTGGAGAAGTAGCGAATCCGTCTGCATACTGGGTCGTGATTGCTGATCGGCTTTCGTGTGAGACGTAACGTGAGACCAAGACTTCAGCACCTGAGCGATCGGGCAGTTCTTCTCCGACTCTTCTTTCTTTCAAAGTGTAACTATGGTAAAGTGCCCCCGTTGCTTAAGGTAAGCTTTGTTTGAGAGCCTGTACGGATCCGTAATACCACCATGTTCCTTGCGCTCGTTGATCCCAAACCGATGCCCACATCTATTGATGTCGATTATCTGCAAGAGGCGTTGAAGAAGCCTTCGCCTAATAGGTACTCTATTCAACTATTTTTTTTTAAAGTCTTCTTCATGAAGACACGGGGGCTAGCGTCGAAGGAACCGGGGGAAATTCCCAACTTCGAATGGCTGACTTTATTGCCTTAGCGTGTGAAGCTATGGTATAAGTCCGGCTGAGATCAGTGGCGAAGAACGAGAGGGTTTAGTGTCTATTTCGTCGATATCAAATGACATTAGAAACGATGAAAGGAAAGGAACAGCAGCTTAAGAGTGTGTGCCGTTGAAGTTCGACCCCCGCTAATGAGATTCTGTCCCATCCGACCAATCAGCACAACCTGGTCCGAGCCATCGATTTCGAGCTTCTAACTATGAACGCGACTCTCTGTCACCACAACAAACACTCGACAACAACACTTCTCTTTTTTCCTTTCACCCTCCAATTGAGCAGTACATACACCGCTTATTCTTCATTATTATTCCCAACATTCTCAGTCCTATTGTTGGCTGGTAAATTGACCGCCACTACTATTGATCTTGTTCAAACGCGTGTCTCGCAAATTCCAGTATACTGAAATACTGAAGTCAACAGCCGGTATGAGCGCTACAACAACACCTCACAGGACGCAAATGTCGCCCTACAATAGTCCGACAAAGTCACCCTCGCGACGCGTCCTGGGAGACCTCACGCCAAAAGCTATAAACACGCCTTCTAAACAGACCGTCACATCCCAGCAAGCCCCTTCTGGAGACATGAGAACCCACACGAGTCCGCTGAAACAGGTGCAAACTCTCTCGCCACACCTTCTCTCAAACGCGGACCGTGTTCCTGCTAGTGGATATCAATTGGGCAGGAAGAGGAGTATATATGAAGTGGAAGGTGTCGAGAATGTAGAGAACATAGTTGGAGGGTTCAGAGCACGCGATGGGGAGCTATTAGGCACGGGAATGCCTGTTACGGCTGCGGTATTGCAGGCCCACACTGTACTTCACCTCTGCCGTAAGACGCGTCTCGCTCTTAACTAATCTCAGGCCTAGGGAACCCATGTCCTGGACTTGATCGACGATGAAGAGCTATCTCCTACAGAACCAGATACCCCAGAGCCCAGCGGGGAAGAACCGCCAGTCTCACAGGAAACTTCTGCCAGCAAGGAAAGCTTCTCGTGCTTCGTGAATTACGGAGCCTGTGACAATCAACCTACGGAGTATGATCAAACAGCCAAGGAAGCGGAGAGCAAAGCAAAATCTATGGCCGCCAAACTCCGGATCCGCCTTCGAGGCGCATACTACAAAGTTGAGACCAATCAAATCGAAACCCCATGGTCGAAAATCATTTCCACGATACCCTCATCCTCTGATTCCCTCAACACATCCACCTCCAGCGCCGCAACTTCGTCCGGCACCGAGACAACGCATTCCATCCCAAGCATAACTCTCTCACCAGCGCGCCGTGAGTCTGTCACCCACGTAGTCGCGAACCTCGATCCCTTAACCTACTTCCCCAAGCTCGCCGCCGCGCCAATCCTCCTTCCTACAGCGTATTCCTCCCGTCTAATTCACGACTATCACGTGCCCTCCTCCCCACCTGTTCCCAAATCTGTGTCCCCGGAACAATTAATGTCACCAATTCGCACGGACGCGAAACTCCGCCATTTCAGGACCCCTGTCGCGAAGAAGCTACGCGTTGAGGCTGAGGTAGATGACGAGGCAGAAGAAGGCGGCGATGAAATGGAGGAAACGGTTCAAGAGCGACTCGAGCGATTACGGGAGAAGCGATTCGAGGACGGCGACTTAACGAGTTCGGTTATAAAAGGACATGCGGCGAAGGGATTGTTGGAGCTGATGGCTGGAAGGAGGTAGCTAGACCCCATCTAGTTTTGTGTGTCCCTGAAAAGAGACGGCAATCGCGTCGTGGCAGGGAGTGAGGAAGCATACTCTCTGTTCTCGATCATTCGAGATTAACACCCTTCCACTTATATCATGGCAACGATATCCATGTAAACCCGAAGGATGCATTTGGGCACCATTATATCTATCTCTCTGTCTCTCTGTCACTATTTGGTATCTATCTATCTTACGAGAAACGGCATTTAGATCCGACGGGATTTCGAGCTCGAGTCTTCAGAAGGCATATTAAAGCCGTGCTGTATGACCTGAGCTCCGCGTGCTATCACGTCATGAACGTCCAAGCATCCATCCACAACATACGATGCGCTAAAGCGAGTCGAATATCAGTGGAAGTGGAAGCAGCCAAGAGCCACAACACAGCTCCTCCCACTCATCACACTTAGCACAGTGCTCCATTGACTTCCCCTCCATGAACCTGGAACTGGAACTGAACCGAGGAATGAATACTGTGGACTTTTCGATCGTCCTTTGCTGCTGTGTGAGAGTAAAATCAATCTCTGTTAGCCACGCCAGTAGACAAGCTACTAGATGAACTGAAGCCGAAGCTGTCCTAACTCTGTTCTACCTAATCTAAATGTTGTGTTGAAGACGGCTGCGTCAACGCTGTGCGGATATCCCATCTAAGATCCCTCAACACTTCTCCCTTCTCCCTCTCCATCTAAATTTAACGTTTCTGCGTCTGTGTCTCAGCCTCACAACATCTCCGCCAAGTCTCCACCACCCAATCGCAAATCTTCTCGCTCTCCTCTGCTAAAACGGGGTAATGATGTCCCATCTGAAGCTCCAGAACATCGCTTTTCCCCTCTGCTACTTCGTATGCGGTTTCGATGAGTAGTTTCCCGGCCCATTCGAATTCGTCTTGCTTGCCTTGGATGTGCAGGGTTGGGGATTGGATTTTTTGTGTTTCGATGGCGGAGAGGGTTTGTTGGTTAAAGGAGGGGGACTGGGACAGGGGTTGGGAGAGGAGCGAGCGTGCAGATGAAGGGACGAGGGGTGGGGGGTAGGAACCACAGACTGATAGTCCGAAGGCAAAATCTAACCAGTCTAACCCCTCTCCTTCCGCCTGCCCCCCCTCTCCACTAGCCTTACTAGCAGTTGCAGCCTCCACTGCCCTCCTGATCTCGCATCCCTTCAATAATCCAGCAACCACCCTGGTACCCTGTGAAAACCCGATTAAGCCAACGACGCGCCCGCCTTGAGACCGCACTTTGCTCACGGTATTCCGGACCAGGGTTTCTACTAAAGGAGGCATTAGCGAGGATGCGAGGCCGGCTTTCATGCTTTCAGTGGTGACGCGGTCGGAAGGGGGAACCCAGCGTTTGAAGGGTCCGCAGCCTTCAAAGAAGGGGAGGACGCCGGGCCCGGCGGGGGAGGGGAAGGGTGCTGGGGATCATTCGTTAGTGTGGTGTGTGGACAGGTTTATAATCTAATTTTTGAGAATGGGGTAGCAAGAAATATGTGGTTGTGGTTGTAAAATAGACTCTTTGAGTCCTGGGAGGGAGGGGTTACCTTCACAAGAAATAATATTAAAATGTGTTTTCAGATGTCTTGTCAATCGTGCTAACTGCACTGTGTGTATCGTGCCATTTGACCCTGAGCCATGGAATGCGAGAAGAGTTGGTTTGGTGGGCTCTCCCGATGTGGAGCGAGGTGAGGAGCTAGGTGTTAGATAGATTGGGTTTGGATAGAAAGCCGCCATTTTGGGGTGAGGTGGGAGGATATGGACTGTAGTGATGATGGGATAGCGTGAGATGGCAATTATTGGAGGGTTGGGAGGGAGGAGGTTTGCGGTATAAGGGAGGTTGGAGAAAGCGTCAAGCGTGGAAGGGTGCTCGCACGTGATTAAATCTCCGAGTTGAAGGTTGCAAGCTTGAAGTCGACGTCGAGTGGCGATGTCCGTCGTCGTAAATACCAGAATGCGAAGTTCCTACAGTCCGAATATCTTCTCTTTTGTTGTCTCGCGCCGATATCTTCTCAATATGTGACTCCCTACAGATATCGACGGGATCACCAAATATTCCTTGCTCTTTCTCCCAAATACTATTCCAGCGACGTTACACAGAAGTCTAGTAGCCGGGCAATCTTGAGACCGAAAGTAAGATAACCACACAGCACAGTTTCAAGAGTGTTTTCGCGGCGGGGATTGAAGAAAGATGGGGGAAGAAGCCTGGAGACTGTGGTGGATGAAATCGGAGGCCGAGGGTAATCGCCTAATCAGGACTAGCGTAAATTTACAATCTCAAGGCGGCACAAAGTTTTGCAAAGGCCAAAGGGGGGACGGTGAGATTGTTCACAAATACTACAGATTTTAACGTCTTATGCCTGAGAATGTCCTGTGTGAACCCAAGACTTCTACGTAAAGACTACTAGAGATGCACGAATCAATATTTATATCTATATTTACTTCTTGCCATCAAGAACACAAAGGATGAATTCATCCAGGGTCTATATTGGGTGCTGAATATCGATCGCTGAGCAGCGATGAAAATACTCAAGTTCTTTTGCCGCTGTACCTTTGGACTGCATGATCGCCCAAATAGCGGCAGTTGAGTATGTCTATATCAAATGCTTAAGTACTCCAACTCTTGACATGAACGTGTCATCCAACATCCCCCCTTTCTCGGGCTCTCTCTTACTTTTTCAAGACCACAACGTTTCTTCCATGCACACTCATTACAGATCCCTCACCGTCTTAACTCTGCTCTTCCCACCGACTACATACCCTCCAGCCGAAGTACTCCCAGGAATCTCCGTCTCCACCATCTCAAGCCCACTCAGACTAGGATATCGTTTACTGAAACTGGCCATATCCCAATCGTCTTCTCCACTGGTACCACTAACGCCTCCAGGAGCGGGCAACGGCTTGTCTTTTCCGGTAACGGGATCTGCCGATCCACCTGTCCTCAGGGCCTTCGGTTTCGGTGGCGCTGATGGCCGTTGCCCAGGGGGTCCTGTTACGGTTCTAATCGCTGCTGCTACAGGTGCGGACGTGGATATAGGGGGTTGTTGACGCGGCTTCGGAAAAGTGAGGTCCGGAGATTGAAGTTGAGGTTGAGGTTGCAGAGTAGTAGGTATGGCCTTTGGTAGCGGTTTTCGTGCAATAGCTGGAGGTCTGCTTACAGGTATTTGTTCTTGCGGTCTCGTGGGTAGAGGTTTGCCAGAGTCGGTGTAATGTCCATAGCCCTCTGCGGTGCGACTCGTACTGACATGCTTAGTATCATCTAGGAGACTTCTGACACGGTTTTGGATTGTCGAAGCGCGAGATGGTCCTGCCTTGCCTTTGCTGTTCTCGCCTTGTTCTGCGAGACGCTTGCGGTATTCAGCAGCGGCATCAGCAACACGCTTTTCTTCCTGCGACAGCCGACGTCGCTCTAGCTCGCGGCGCACTTCGGGTGGGAGATCTTGGGTCTCGTCGATGGCACGCTCGTCATCACTCGTGCCACCTGTCGCTTCTGAACCCGCAATTGGGGTAAGGATTTTACCGGAGCGATCGATAAGCCGGTCAGTAGGTGTTAGCGGTGGATCTCGGTCTTGATTACTCGAGCTATTGCTTTCAAACTTTCTAAACGCGTCGCCGAACTTGCCCTTGACGATATTCTTTGTATTACTAAGAGATATTGAGGGCAGGCTTGACCGCTTCGATTGCTTCGATTGGCTACTACTCCTGCGATGGTGCTTCTTCAGCCCCGAATCATCTTCCATGGCCCGCAGAAAGTCGACGTTTGATGTAATATTCTTCTCTTCGGCTTCGGTATCCGAGTCTTGTATTGCACCCGAAGGCGGGCCTCGGGATAGAGACGGGGCGTCGAAACTACGCCCAGGAGCCATTTCGCGATCGCGGAGGTAGTCGAGATTTGACTCGACATGAACACTCGTAGGTCGAGGACGGGAATTGGCAGACTTGGATCTACCAAGAGTGTCGCTGATGTCTAGCGCAGAAGGCCGCTGACTTTCGAGGGATGGTCTTGATGATGCGGGAGATCTCGGGATAGAGAGCGCAGCTGTTTGAGACATCGACCTAGACGATTCAAGTATTGATGGACGCGGAGGAAGTGTGTAATCGGGCTTCAAGGTTGCCAGGCTGGTTTGAGGTTTCTCCAAACTCCGAGGCTGGCTTAACGTACGGCTGTGATTGGGAGAAGAATCCGGCACACGCCAAATAGCTCGCTTGTTGACATCAGGATACTTCTGCAGCCCCGGGGAAGGCGACGGAGATGTTTGGATACCGGTCGACACCATAGCTGGTCGCTGTGGAGTTGGCTGTACAATGGTGGGGTTTGGTTGCCGTACGGCCTCCTTTGGCGGCTCGTATGGTTTTGACTTCGTAACGGAAGTGGATCTCGAAACGCCTGAAGAAGAGGTATTCGAAGAAGGTTTCGTCGTCGGTGTTGGCCCTGTTTGGCTTACAACAGGAAAGGCAAAGGCATCGTCCGCTAAGGCCTGCGTCACTCGCTTGTTAATCGTGTCTTGTTTGGGGTCAGATGTTGGTGCCTGGCCGAACTCGAACTTCTGTCCTCGGTCATGCAATAATGAGAACTCGTCCAAGGAAGGAAAGCGCGCAGCAAGCTCGTCAGCAGCCGCACTCCTGACCTGGACGTTCTGGGAATCAAGGGCCGCAAACGGATCTGATGTAGTCCCTCTCATGGGTGAAGGACTGGGTTTTGCTGCAGGAGGTTGCTGAACGGGGGCAGTCGGTCTTCCTCGTCTCATGGGAGTGATATCTGGAATGGCCTGTACTTGTTGCACAGGAGCAACTTTCTGCAGCCCGATAACAGGGGGAGAGGAAACCCGGGGCTCGGGAGAGGGAAGCTGCTGGTTTCTCCGATCTTCTGATTGGGTTCGGTTGGAGTAGATCTGCAAGTGTCAACTCGGAAATTCGGACATGAATTCAGCATCTTACGTCTTTGATAGGAACACTTCGGTGCCTCATGGAGCAGACCTCGACCACTACTTGGTAGATGTTTGGTCGATGTTGGGGATTCTCCCGTAACATAGATGCTGTTCAGAGGTGAGCTTCAGGGTATTGAAATTGCTTGAGGTATAGCTACGCACCGATAAGCTTCTTTATGCGGTCCGAGAATTGGGGGTATGACGGGAATTTGTAGGTCGCATTCAAAATGGCCATCTGTCCCACCTCTTCAAAAGGGGTCGTGTAGTAACACAGCTTGTAAAGGAGCACGCCCAAAGCCCATATGTCACTTTTTTCGTCTATCGGTTGTTTCCTGTAGACGTCGATCATCTCGGGGCTCCGGTACTGGAGCGTGGTATGCCGTTGTACGTCGTCCTCGATCAGGCGTCCTTCGGCGGCTGTTTTTGCAGCAGGTCTCGGCGGAGCGGTGGATCCAAAATCACAGAGCTTGTATATCCTCGAAGAGCCGGAATTGGTAATGAGTACATTTTCAACCTTGAGATCTCGGTGGAGCAGCGGAGGCTTCAGGTAATGCATTGTCGCAACGCCCTCTGCGACGTCGGAGAAAATGTGTAGGATCTCTGGCTCGGTTAGTCGGTGCTGCAGCCGCGTGTTCATGAAGTCAATCAGGCCTCCGCCAGAGCAGTATTCCATAAGAAGGAAGACCTCGTAACCCCCACCCTTCAGCTGCGAGGCATGCGAATCCATGTATGTCACAATGTGTTTGTGGCCCTTCAACTTCTTCATCGTCTCCACTTCAGTCCGCATGTTTGAAAGCGCCTCCTTATCCGGTACTGCGACTCTCTTCAAGACGCCAACTTCGGGTGTTCGCTCTGAGGACTTGGGGATGCGAACTAGGTAGACATGGGCGAATCCACCCTCGGACAGGTATTTCTCGATGACGACGCGGTGATTGCCCACCTGAACTTTCGTCCCCGAGGCGAAGGTCCCTGGAGGAGCATTGGAAACAGGAGCCGAAGCGCGGTAGGCCGCTGGCTGGTGGGGGATTGAGTGTGCAGCGGAGTTGGCGTATCGTGCCGAGGAGGACATGGTAGGAGGTATAGAGGCCTGCAGGAGTGCAGGATGCTCGATAGACCTAGGGCGCGAACATGTAGGTAATGAGGCGTGAAAGGTGGGTGGTTGACAGACTCAATGAGCGTGTGTGGTTGTGTGGGAGTTGTTGAAGGTCATAGGGCCGTGCCTTGTGAGTGCATCATTTTACCTGCAACCTGCAACCTCTAATGGCGGTGTCAAAGCCACATTCGCAATCCACTAGGCCGCAACACTTGCACCTCGGCGAATAAAAACAGATATTATTATCTTTACATCTCTCGAATAGCCTAAGAGGAGCATTCACATTCCTCTAAATAATTCCTCCAAAACTCCTCGGCCTCAATCACGATATATTGAGGTGTGGCGCAGTGATTGGGCTGCCGCACTCAACCGACGACCCTTCCCTCGGACAACCAGATCTGAAACACAGATGCGAACAGCAAAGTTCAGAAGCTGTTGACAACAACCTAAAGCGGTCATACAGATTAGGCAAGCATTTGAAGATGTTGCCGGATTTGTGTCCCGAGCTGCTTCAGGTTAATATTGCCGGTTTTAAGGATGCATGGTATAGCTGGAAGAAACATCACGAACACTCGCTGCGGAAAACGTCAACTCCAGAGCGAGTTTCAGGAACTTGTAACTCGTAACACTTCGCACTCGTGTATGGTCACCTAATGGGCCCTGTGAAGTCCCAAGCTCCCCCTCGGTACTTGGAACAGTCAGGGTCCTGCTAACCCGCTTTGAGGTTCAACGGGTTCAGGCAATCACCAGGATCATTGGGTTTGTATCTGAAGCCATCCTAGAATTCATCTGGATGAGCAAGCAGGTTGGCTCGTCAACTACTCGTCGAGGAACATAGAAGCTGACTCACCACCCAAGTCACGTGCAACCAAGTCATCCATTTCGAGGAACAAATTCACAAAAGGGAATGTTCGGACATCGTCAATAACATAGTTTCCGCACCACCACTACCCCCCTCGATGTGCATGCGGCGCCCAAGGTCCATCCGGGAGAGATGAAAGTGTGGGGACCCCGGGAACGGCTGAATCGGCTCTGGTTGAAGGGAACGATTGCAGTTCGTATACTATGATAAGAATGCAGCCTATCACTTGAGTCCTCAGAATGAGAAGGGGAAGCGCGAGCTAGGCCCGAGCGAGGCCTAAATGTGCCGTGCAGAGATCCCCGAATTGTCCGGTGGGTAAGCGTCTGACAGGTAGATAACTCTATCCCCACAAAGATGCCGTGAAACATTATCTGGAGGAATCTTGAATTGGCCGGATATGTTTGAACTTCAGTGTTTAGGATGAAGTAACATCATTGCCCAACAGAGATGGGAAAAAAGCGGTGGAAAAATTGATAGACTCTGAAAGGCAATGCGCATACCATGGGTAGGAATATGAATGACTTGTGAAGGGATGTATAATACAAACCCGACCTAATGCCGAACACATTTTTGAATCGGGGGGGGGAAAGCTAAGGACTCCCTGTTCGGGGTTCACATTGCCAAGACCACGACATAAGAAGGTGTGGTGAATGACTAGCGCCGTTTCGGTTGGCCTCGTGATAACTCGGTCAGTGGGTAAAGAGTTTGGACAACGCGAGTCGTAGTGGAATTCAATTGACGTTCTCTAGAAGAATGTCGGCGCTTCCACTGTGCAATAGGGGTATGACGGCATCGGGCGTAATTGTGAGGGACGTGGATTGCCAAACCAGGAATTGTAGGATCCCAAGTAGCGGATGCTGTGTCAAGGCTTGAACTGTTTCTCAACACGAGGGTCCATGTTCCAGGCCAGCAGTCAAGCCCGGGACTGTCTTTGCGCCCGCATCCCTCCAGTGTTCTTCTTCTCCAAGGTGGTTAACTGGTGTCGTTGTCCTGCAGACGCCAAGTGACAGCCACGCGGCCGCAGATGTCATATATAGTTGTTTCTTCTGTGGTTCGGACCAGGTGTGCAGGATTGTTTACACCGCCTCCACGGGTCAAAACAAGCAAGCAACGTTGTGGATGTACCCGGCAGAACCTTCGGCTCTCTTGGGATGTTGAAACCAAAATGGACAATAGTGTGTGGAAATACCCTGCAGCTGGTGTTGAGGATCTTGGAGATCTAGATCGGAGCATCCCAGGAGGCTCTGCGTCTCGGCTGGGAATCAGCGAGCGGGGTCGCGCAGCAGTTCAGTTGAAGGCAAACTAACAATAAGGCCAGACCCGGCGAGCGTCACGACAGCGGCTGCAGTGAGACAGCCGGCCACAGTGATGGGATGATCAGGTGTCCTGCTGTTTGGCAACACATGACGGCTCTAGAGCGTGGACAGGAGAGTAAGTCGGCAGGGTGAGAGACCGTGACGCCGATGGTGAAGCCATTCACCAGGACTATTCAACCAGGACAAAAGGGGCTACAAGCATAGCCCAGCCGTCACCGCCAAGCCCGTTGGGTTGATCCTGCTCGCAGGGACGCTGACGACTGCAACCACTCACGGCATCAAAATCCACCTTCTCGTCGCCCGCCAGCGTCCCTGAGTATTTACATACATAGCACCTCGTCGCCGCCGCCCGCTGCCCACGAGAAGGCACTACTTGATCATCTGCATTACCAGATATCCCTTTATTTGTTTGCCCATATCACTCCGCAAGGTCGCTGATCATCACCAACCACCAACCTGCAACCCGCAAGACACGGGACTGCTACCGAGCCAATCGCCCAGCTGGACAGACACTCCACCTCACGGCACAGCTACTGGACTATTCAAACCTCACCCTCCTGGCCCCCACACACGCTGTTACACACTCCCCGGACACTCACCGTGCTGCTTGGCCCAGCTTGTTGTCAGTAAGCTGCGTCGCTTAGACGACCCAACCGCGGATCCTCGCGCGCAATCACGACCGACGCCCTGCAACCGACGACGACCTACGTTTTCACCCGCCCACCAGCCCGCCTCCTAACAAACAACACACATACAACAACATTTGCCTCTGCACATCCCTACAATCATCATCTCATCATGACGCGCTCCCGTCGAGTCCAGAGAGACCTCAGTACCTCCCGCTCCGACACCTCCGCATCCACCTCCCCCGAGCGGGGCATCGACGACGACAATGACTCCTTCATGCTCCAGCCGAATGATTCGCAGTCATCCCTAGCGCTGTCGGTATCCCCCGATTTCGACGAAGAGACGCTCCGCCGTGAGCTCGAGGAGCGATGTCGCGTCTCCCCCATCTCCCGCCTGCCCGCTGAGCTCATGATTGCCATATTCGCTAAGCTGTCCTCGCCTGGCGACCTGAAGCACTGCATGCTAGTGTCTCGGGAGTGGTCGAGGAACAGCGTGGGGCTGCTTTGGCACCGCCCGCAAACGAACAAGTGGGGCAGCGTGAAAAACGTCATTACGACGGTCCGGAAGGCCGACAGCTTCTTCGACTATGGCAGCCTGATCAAGCGACTCAACTTGTCTGCGCTCGGAAACGAAGTCAGCGACGGAACTTTACAGCCGTTGTCTGGATGCAAGCGTGTTGAGCGGTTGACGCTGACCAACTGTACAAAGCTCACGGATCTGAGTTTGACGGCGATGCTCAAGCATAACCGGAGTCTTTTGGCTCTGGATGTTACCGGACTGGACTCTATTACAGATAAGACGATGCTCGCTTTGGCGCAGAACACTGTCCGACTCCAGGGGCTGAATATCACCAACTGCAAGAAAATCACGGACGAGTCCCTTGAAGCAGTGGCACGTGCTTGCAGACATCTCAAGAGGGTAAATAGCTCGTCCATTATCGGTATCAATCTAAAGCTAACATTAGCAGCTCAAACTCAATGGTTGCTCTCAATTAACCGACAAGTCTATCATCGCATTTGCTATGAACTGCCGCTACATCCTCGAAATCGACCTGCATGACTGCAAGAACCTTGAAGATGAATCAATCACTACCCTCATCACCGAAGGACCCCATCTACGCGAACTACGCTTGGCACACTGTGGGCGAATCACAGATAATGCATTCCTTCGTCTTCCTTCCGAGGCTTCCTACGAGAGTCTCAGGATCCTGGATCTTACCGACTGTGGCGAGCTTCAAGATATGGGTGTCCAGAAAATCGTTCAGGCCGCTCCCCGCCTGCGCAACCTGGTCCTTGCTAAATGCCGGCTGATCACAGACCGTGCAGTTTTGGCCATTACGCGACTAGGGAAGAACTTACACTATATTCACCTCGGTCATTGTTCGAGGATAACGGATGCTGGTGTATCTCAGCTCGTCAAGTTGTGCAATCGAATTCGGTACATTGACCTAGCCTGCTGCGTGCTCCTCACCGACGCTTCGGTCACCCAACTTGCGACTCTGCCGAAATTGAAGCGAATCGGCCTGGTAAAGTGCGCTGCCATCACAGACCGGAGCATCTTGGCGCTAGCAAAACCGAAGCAACAGGGACATGGGGGCCCTGTAGTTCCGAGCGTGTTAGAGAGGGTCCATCTCAGCTACTGCACAAACCTGACGCTCTCAGTAAGTTCTCGAATACCTACAGCTATTCACGACTTTCCATAGTGCTAACGCTTTTCAAGGGCATTCACGCTTTGCTGAACAACTGTCCACGCCTTACTCATCTAAGTTTGACAGGCGTCCAGGCCTTCCTGCGCGAAGATTTGATTGTTTTCTGCCGTGACGCTCCAGCAGGTATGTCACCCAATCCTCCTATTCCATCTCGCAATACTGACTCCCCTCTAGAATTCAACGACCATCAACGCGACGTATTCTGCGTTTTCAGCGGCATCGGCGTGACGCGCCTGCGCAACCACTTGAACGTCGATTCTCGGATACTTATCGACCCCGACCGCACAATGTACGACGAGAGTGAAGAGCCCGAAATGATCCTCAACGTCACTGCGCAAGCCAACGGTATGGCGATCGAGGAAATGGATGATGATTTCGGAGAGGGCAGTGAAATGATGGGTCAGGATTAGGTTCCTCCCTCTTTCTACTTCGTTAACGCTTTTGCTCTCATAGGAATTCTTGGAAATTAGTGCGACTAACACTTCCAATCTCCTATTGAATCATCCAATATCGGAACATTGAAGCGGATCATTTTTTTCTATAGGTGCTGGCACGGTATGTGGTCGTCGATCGACATGACATCACTCACCTAATTCCTGTTCTTGGTCTTGCCTTCGGTCGAGTGTATGCTTTTATATGGTTTACTAGTCGGCGTTTCCTTCCTTCCTTTGCATCAAAATGGAGTAACAGAAGCATTTGTGGGTTTCCTTCTGCTGGATTCGATACTTCCTTGCATTTTCCTTACCTCTGGCTCGTTCTGGCTCATTCACCATCTCCTTCCTCATACTCCTCGCTTACGCTCACGACGAAAACGGCCAAGATGAAATTAAGTCAGTTTCTGGACGGAGTGCGATGGGAGATTGAAAAAGACAAGTGTGTATGCCTCTGTCTAGATGGATAGTGTTTATTGTAGTGTTTTGATGGATGTGGGTATGAATGTGCTTATGTCTGCGATACCCTTTTCTGTGGAGCGTGTTGGTGGAATTGGAGTTGGGGTTGGGAGGCGTAGAGGCGTATGTATACATGCCTGTATGCGTACATGTGGGACGCGAAATATGAGCGAAGCGTGACGGAATGCGAACAGAATAGAACAAGTCAGGACAGAACTTGAATCTCACAGTTCTTACAGCTCTCACTTAGTGCTATGCTGTTGAAGTTTTTCCCATTATCTGAGGCATTCAATTGTCCTTTGAGTTCATTCACTTCCCCATTCCGTCCAGATAACCCTAACTCATCTATCCCCCTGCCAAGCCCTACCAATATTCTATCTTAACGAGAAGAAACTCAAGTCTATATCACTAACAGGTACATTAAACTCAGCATCTGGCTCAGCATCCACTCTCCTCCAAGTAAGATTAACCCTGCGAGGTGCATTCCCAACTCCAACCTACATTCTCTTGCGCCCTCAACCTTAACTCAGAGCTTACGCCCAAACATACATACACGTATATATCCCTCATCCACAGTAAAGATCTAACCCATTAGATCAAGGCCAAGCCACCCTCGCCAACATACACGTACACAGTCTTAATCCTAGGGGCAGAAAAGAGAGACCCTAGTCAGTCAGATACACTGGCCACAAAGTATCGCATCAGCATGCGATGCAATACTTGTTCTGCATGCGCAGCAGTCTACTTCCATTCGAATTCCTGGCCTAGCCCCAACCTAGCCCGTGCCAGTCCAAAAAGACTGTGTGAGGTTACACAACTCGTGGTAGAGATTCTTTGTGACCATGAAACCCTGGTCTTAGAGGCCGATCTCGCTGTTTCCGCTCCCTTGCTCCCAGGTATATGAAAGAGCTTCATAATCAGGCTGGTCTCCAAATGAAGCTTTAAGGAGCTCGTATTTTGGGATATCGCTTCCGCTTCCGCTTCTGGGTAGGAGTTTGACGAGCCGGGTTTCTTGTTGTGTCCATACATACAATAGGAGAGATTCTCTCCATCCAATGATCCAAGCTAGCCTCAACTCGCCCAAGCCTAATCGGGTATCAAAAGTGTTTCGTGTATTGTGTGTCGTTTGTCGTGCCATGTCTCTCACTCCTTCGTCATAATCGCATCCCCAGAAAGTCGATAATATAATCTAATCCAGTCCGGTCCAGAACCATATGATAGTGTCTCTCCCCCGTCGTGAGAATACTCAGCACCAGCACCAGTACGGCGCTGCCCAGCTCAAATCAAGTCGTAACTATCAATCACTGCATCTCAACCTCCATCTCCTCTCTTGGCCTCCTCCCAGGACTCCTTTCCATACTCCTCCTAGGACTCTTCCCCCTCTCCATCGTTCCAAGTCCCAAGCTCGCCATCCCAGCCGCCAAGTTCTGCCCTAAATTCTGGCTGAAAGCCGCTGCACCTGGAAGAGAAACCCCAGCACCAGCATCAGAACCAACACCGGCCATCGGTTTCGGATGGATCGTCGAGCCCGCACCTGTCGCAACTTCCGCAAACTCCGTGCCCGTCACCACGGGTTCCTTCCCCAGCGGCTCTTGCAGCACCGGCGTGTTCGCACCCGACCGAACAGGCGTGCTTCTACCATTCGACGGACTCCCTAACCCACTACCCTGGGGCGTGAACAATGGAACCTTCGCGTTCATTTCGTCATCCTGCCTACCAAAGACTTCAGCCCACCATCTAGCCGGTCTACCTTTTTCGGGGAAAATGATACGTTCCTGCCCTCTAACGTTATCGTCGACAACAGCATCGTATTTCGGGTTAAGGAATTCCTCTTTTCGGCACAGAAAATAGTTCCATACGCTCCGTGTTCGTTCCGCGGCGCGGGCTTCTGTGCGTTCTTTTTCGTTGTCGAAGAGGAAGGTGCCATATTGGCAGGAATATAGATGGTACAGAAGACGGCGGAGAAAGCGCTCGTTGAATTCAAAGCGGGTTGGGTGTTGGTGCATAAGCTGGTAAGTAGCGTCTAGGAATTGGTGGAATACGGGTGAGAGTTCGTTGACTTTGGTTATACGATGTTCTTCGGCTGCGCCAATGGTGGTGGGTGTAGGTATCACGGCACTGGCACCAGTACCATCTACGGGAGGAATTGCGTCGGAGACTAATTGCATTTCGCCTCCGTTCGCTTCAGGCAATTGGGTGAGCGATTCGCTGGATTCGTTTTGACGATTAAAAAGACCTTTGGCACCGCGAAGCGCGTTTTCAAATGGATTACCACCTCCAGGGGAATCAGACCGCCGATCTATCCTCTCATTCTCAATCTGGAACCACTTGTCGCTGCTGAGATAACCGGAGCGATGACGGAACATGTGACCGAACGATAACCAGTCCTTCTCTACTAGCACAATGAATCCTTCCAACGTGCGGTAGTACGGATCTAGACATATCTGACTCAGGGCGCTGAGTTGGCTGGTCCGATCCCACCCGTCCGAACAATGAATTAAGACGTGCGAATGCATTATCCCCACAGTCTCCGCAATCAACCGAGCTCCGTCCAGTATGTTAGTCATATGCTTTGTCCAACCGCTCTTGATTAGCAAATTCCGATTTGGCGGCAAGTTGGTGATATCGGAATCCTTGATGGCTTCGATAACAGTGTCCAAAGACTTGCGCATGACGTGGATGTTGTCAATACCCAGAAATGCCTTCTGCGCTCCGGGATAATATTCCATCTTCTCTGACCCCAGTCCTACAGCTTGCATAGCATACGCGTTGACCGTTGGTCTCGCATCGACAATCATATTCCGCTGCTGTGCCCCGTAGACTTTCGGAGCGTCAGTCTCGGCTTCGGAGGAATCCGTGAGGTCGTCGACGATAGTTCGCCCCGAATTGACGGCTTCGGCATCAACTACTCCCACAAACGAACTATTAGCACTGGATTCCGTAAGATTGATTACGCTCGACTCGGGGCTTCCGCCAGCCGGGTTCGAAGGCGTAGAGGCTTGTGATGCTTTCCACCCACTATTGGTTGCCCAAATAGCTGCTACGAGCTTTTCATCCTGCGGGCTCCGGTTTCCGCGGATTCCCGGCGATGGCTGTGAGCTTCGTGTTATGGAGCAATTGTTTATGGGGTGGCGGTAGACGAGGGCAGGTATTCGGGCACGCGAGCGGTAGTTGCCTGCGTAGTTGAGGACATTATCTGAGATCTTTGTGGGGACAACGAGAAGGGAGGGATAGGTCGGGGAGTACTGCACTTTAGCATTAGAATATTGAAGCCCTAAATTCTGCCATAAAAATACGAACTTTATAGTCTTTGTTGATCTCTGATATCCTCCACCCCTTCTCCGTGTCCTTGGGACTGATGCCTAGTCGCTTCCATTCCCGCCGCGCATCATATATCTGCCAGCCATCTAGCTTGTCTTCTGGGGGTTTTGGCTGGTAGGAGAAGGCCAATAATTTGTCTAGTCGACCGACTTTACACGAAAGCCCTCGAATTGTGTCGTACACGTCGCGGGCTTTCTTCTCGTCGTCGAAGTTGAAGGCGAAGAAGGTGAAGTCTCGGCCACGGATCCGGATCGAGGGCAGCTGGTGTGAGGCGGGCGGAGATGGGCGTAGTACGCAGTAGGATATCATAGGATATGTTATCCATACTTCCTTCTGTCGAGGTGGCTTCGCGGGAGGAGGGGAGCCTGCAGGGAGCGGCGGTATGTAACTGAAGACCATATGGTGGGGCATGAGGTGCAGAGTGCCATCGAAACGTACGCCCCTTCGCCAGAGAGCAACATCTTCAACCTACAGAGAGGGTAAGTTATGCAATGCGCCAATCCACCTGGCAACTTGCCTTGCTGACTCGTATCCTCTCCATGGGAAGTGAATGTGTATTTAGTGGAGAGGTGGGGCAGACTGGTAGATTCGGATGGGTTCGGAGGGGCCAAAACAGAATAATCTGGCTCAACGAAAGAACGCTCTACGGTTAGGGGCAGAAAAGGGTTACTGAATACAAGGCGGGGCGCGTCTTTTGTTGTGCATGTTGGTGTTGCTGTGAATAGTTCACATGTCCGCAGCATGCACGAGCCAAGCCCAAAATATCTTGGCAAGACACTTGTCGGGTTGGTGGGAGAAAGGACACAACAGTGGAGCCTCTTGATGTCAATGTAGAAGTTGTTTACTGCCATTTCATCATGCGCTTCCAATTAAGGTATGCTAACCTTTCAAATTTCTTCAAAATACTTTGTGTCACGTATTTGAAAGAATCACCGAGCAGGCGCCTGACTAGGGATGATTCTGAAAGAAAGACCATTGAATACAATTGACAAATTAAACAAATTTTCCAAATGATAACTGTACAGATGAAAACACACGAATCACTGTCCTGTTGCGGAGCATGTATACACCCGAAGGCAGTTTTTCCTAGCAACCACTTATGATTTAGAAAGAGGCCTTTGAATCTCTTACCCGACAAAATGAGGCAGTCTGGTCACCAATGATATGCATCTGGCTTGATCTCAAAAGATCTGTTTTCTAAGCCGGAGGGGGAGGGGGAGGCAAATCAGTCGGGGGAGGCGGTGGGATATCGCTAGGAGGTGGTGGAGGCGGCGGAACACCCCCAGCTGGTGGTGGTGGGGGCGGGCTACCACCATAGTGCTGGAACAGAGGGCCAAGACCCGGCGGAGGAGGGGCGGCGTTGCCATATCCAGGGGCACCGAAAGCGCTGAGACCGGGTGGAGCTCCCGCGGCTATACCAGGAGCGGCTCCATGACCAACCGCCGCGTAATCACCATAAGGATATGCTGCTCCGCCTGGTGCAGCAGCGGCGGCAGCGGGAGCAGCCCATGGTGGGGGTGCTGCATTGTAGCCACCAGCGTTGTACGAGGAAGCATTGTTGGCCCATGGGGGTGGTGCGCCAGCGCCGCCATCACGTTCGTCGCGGTTGTTCCGAGTCCATGGAGCAGGTGCACCAGTCGGACCACGTTCCCAAGGCTTCATGTTGCGCTGCTCATCGCCGCCAAAGCCATCTTTGCCCCCATTGTATTCAATGCTCTGCTGAGGTCGGCCACCACCGCCGCCACCAGCCATCGACTCCAGGAAAGCACCCATCTCGTCCTGCGGTGGTCCTCCTTCGATCCTACTCCCGTTGCGACCTCCAAATCCGCGGTCATCGTTGCGCCAATCCTGTCCCTTCCGACGTTGAGGGCAATCACGGGCCATATGTCCGGCTTCACCGCAGACGCGACAGATGATGGTCGCAGTGAAATTCTGTTTCTGGGGGCAGTCATATTTCCTGTGGCCAATCTCGCCGCCTGTATTTTGATTAGCCAGTGCCGATGCGAAGGGACAATGAGTTAGACTTACAATTCTGGCAAGCTTGGTTCTCGTCGTCACGAAGGGTACCGTTCAGAGCAGCAAGCTCACGGAGCTGGTTACGCTTTAGTTCATTCTGGCCTTCGGGGATGGAGGCAGCCTAGTCAGGTCAGTCAAGAGTTAAAAAAAATTGACTGGTAGGGTATACAATACTTACAGTCTCGATGATGTTGTGAATCAAAGCTTTGGCCTTGTTGACCTTGTCTTCAGTGTCAGCCATGATAAGGCAGTGAAGATCTTCTTCCTGGTTGCTGGTGTGAGCGGCGTCAGAACGGCCTTTGCCTTCCTTGACAGAGCCTTTGCCACGGATAGCGATCTTGGCGCCGGACTCTCCTTCCATTTTCTTGAGCGTGTTACCACGGGGGCCAATGAGAAGCCCAACTGTTAGTGAAAAAGCTGTTGTTAGCTGGTGATCAAAGAGTTTGAGCAATATGGCGATACAGCGCGACGGGTTAGTGACAGTGCTGTGCAGCAGACCTCTGCAGTCTGAGCATGCAGAGCCAAGACGAAGGAAAGGGCAGAGAAAAAAGGGTTAGGAGTTAGAAATTGGGGGGTTAGTATCATACTGAAGTTAATCTCCGGGTAGTCATTCACTGGAACGTAGACTTTCTCTTGGGTCTTAGCTGGGCGCCTATAGTCAGAGGGCGGATGGTACTGAGGGATCGTCCGCATCGCTTCCGTGACGAGACGATGGCGCTCATCCTCTAATTTCTTGCGGTAGCGGAACTCGCGAGTATTGACACGACGACCGAAATTATCATACTGTGGAGGGGGAGACGGGGATCTGCGGGTTTGTTAAGTTAGAAGCTGTGCTTGGACAAGCACGTAGTGAGAGCTCACCTATCACCATCAGCCGGGACGACATCATTGATCCTCAGCTTCTGGCTAATCTCCTCGATACGCAAGTGCAGGATGTAAGCATCGATTTGTTCCGAAGTCATGTGGCGACCATCAATCAGGACGGGTAAGCCCATGAGGCCAGCTGCCTTGTTGTCGTTGGGGGCACCCCAACGGTTGCGCTTCTTGCGCCTCTTAGGGCCATCGACAGAAGGCTCATCTGTGACTTCGTTAGCAACATACTTATCAAATATAGGAGGTATACAGAGAGATGGGAACACGTACCGCGTGTCGGGCTTCGACCACGCTTCAGTTCTGGCAAGCCAGTCGCAGGCTCTGCAGGATTGTATCCTCCATCATCGGAGTCGCCTCCGAATCGGCGACGACCAAGAGGGACGTTGTTGGAGCCTGTGATACCCTGATTACGCCACGCCATAGTTAGTAGCAACTGTTGAAAAGCTTTGAGAAGCTGTGGGAATGGACGAGTTAGTGGTGTTGAGGACAAGGAGGAAGAGGCGCAGAGGCGAGAACTTCCAGCGCGTTTGGCCAAGACTTCTTAGCGGGAAAATTAGCGCCTTGATCACGTGCCATGGCCTGCTCGGTCGACCGTTGACCAGCAGCGTCGGTAGACATCCTCCACCGATGCGCCCCAACAGCCGCCATAATCACTATTTTCTCAAGGACTGGGCGACTTGTGTGAAGCATCGCGGATGTGGAATAATAACCTTGGAAGCATCAGTCCGCGGCTTTAGAAGCTCTCTTCCCATCCCGCCCACAATAGAGAAAGGTTCAGACTCGGCAACTCAGCGCAGATGTAAAGCCATATAGCACATTAAAAAAGTGAACGAAGGGATGCAGGTACCTGAGTACTGTATCCACCATCCCCTAGGAACCACAGCTAAATTCTCGCCATCATACTATGAGCTAATAGTCATCCTCTCATCTTCCTCTACTATCCTCATCTCTTCTAAACTTATACCCTCCAAGGTCCAGGTCTCGCCGTGGATTAACCATTCGCTCCGCGTGCGGAAGGGGAATTCAATCGCAATTGTAATTTCTAAGCAATCGATCTTCGTCATACTGCCCCTCACCCCACCTCACCTCTCCCAAAGCTATAAAGGTCTCCAAACTTCAAAACTCTCAACCTCATAACAACTCGCTACCAGCCTTCGGCTCTCCACTAATCTCAACTGGTGATATTTCAATATGTCTTCTAAAGAACCCTCCATTACCCTCTACACCACACAGACCCCCAATGGAATCAAGATCTCCATCACTCTCGAAGAGCTAGGGTGAGCTGTTCCCTCGACTCTACATTCCATATTACCTCTCCAAGTATCAACCCCTCATACTCACCCTCCCAGAATCCCCTACACCGTCCACAAAATAGATATCTCAAAAAATACGCAAAAAGAGCCATGGTTCTTAGCTATCAACCCAAACGGCCGCATCCCCGCGCTCACCGACACCTTCACTGATGGCCAACAAATTAATCTCTTCGAATCCGGCTCCATCATGCAGTATCTCGTTGCTCGATACGACAAGGATTATAAGATTTCATATCCGCCGGGGACGAGGGAGTTCTATGAGATGAACAACTGGTTGTTCTTTCAGAATGCGGGATTGGGTCCGATGCAAGGACAGGCTAGTAAGTGGATATCTTGTTTCTACTTCAGATATTTGCGTATCTTTCGAAAGGTACGGAAGGATTTGGTGGAGAAATGCGACGTGGTGCTGCGTTGGGAGAGGTTGCGCACCCACATCAAGGAAGTCTATCCCTCATCTCATGGAGGCCCACCTGCACTACACTACATCTCAAATTCGCCAAGTTCTACATCATATCCAACAAATACTAACATTCCCGCAAAGACCACTTCACCCGCTACGCCCCCGACATCTTCGAATACGGCATATCGCGCTACCAGAACGAAACCCGACGTCTCTACTCGGTGCTCAACACTCACCTCTCCTCCAAGAATATCCCCTACCTAACTGGTACCAAATGCACCATCGCCGACATTGCTCACTGGGGCTGGATCGCATCAGCTGGCTGGGCCGGCGTCGACATTGACGAGTTCCCGGCACTAAAAGCTTGGGAAGACCGCATGGCGGCTCGGCCTGGTGTCGAGAAAGGCCGACATGTGCCCGACCCGCACAAAATCAAAGAACTTCTGAAGGACAAGGCGAAGATGGAGAGACATGCGGCTGAAGCTCGGAAGTGGGTGCAAGCGGGCATGAAAGAGGACGCTGAGAAAGCTGCGTCTGCGAAAGAGCAAAAGTGAGTGTGGTTCAATTTCACTCCTGTGTAGTTGAATCCACAAGGTATACCTTGGGTTTCAGCTGCTTGGCTGTTAGTGGAAAATGTCTATATCCCCATGTCTATCGTCGTGTTCGTGAGGGGAACCCCATGGGGTAAATTTTAGTATCCACTCTGTGACTGGATTATCCATGATCCGATTCAAACTCTCCTCCACATGCGCTACCCTCGCTTTCTAACTTGTTAACCCCTCTTGCGGACAAGCAGATTGTAGACTTCCACATCCGACCAAGCCGTTCATGCAACCCCGTTCTGCAATGCCCCACATCCGCTGCCACGGGGAGAATTGATTGCCCACAATTCACCTAAAGAGGGGCTGGCACGCTCACCGTTATTGTTTCCCCGGTCGAGCGTTATTACAAGGAAAGGTAAGAACCATGAAGCGAGAAACATTGCAGCAATCAAGCGAAGAATTTGGCGAAGTTCCTGCTTTCGGCTGGCTGGCGTATCTGCATATCCGCTTTGAGAGAGGCTCAATTCGTCAACTGCGTCCCCACAATTGCCTCTGGAGCTGTGATACGTATGATATAACAATCGTGTTTGTTGTGGAGGAGGGTTAAGGCCGTCCACAGCTATGACAGCCGCTCTTGATACTCGTATTCCGTCGCACTGCATCTCTCCCCCTGGTGGCTTGCGTAAAATGCTTGTACACCCGCACGCGGCAGCTAGGAGCGGGAGCAAAGTAAAATCGCGAGACGTCGTGATACGCTTTCGCCGCCGCATGATGACCCTAGTCGAGAGTCACACAGGGCTGAGTATCCAGCCGAGATGTCCAGGCACACTTTGAACGGGCTGCACTAAACATGGCAACTCCTGCAGCTTATCAGACCTTAAAAGAGACTGCTTTCATCTACAGCGATCGGATGTCGTGCAAGCCAATAAGCCACGGACGCCACTCCACAGCCAAAAAGCTGCATCTGGTAAAATACTGGGGTAGTGATATAGGAATGCCTGGCCATAGGATTCCAAAGACACCAAATAACGCGGAGGATGTATGTTCGTATCACCTCGGGTAGGAGAGAGCTCGAGAATTCAAGACGCACAAACGTACCAACATGAGGCCCCAGAATTTTTCCATTGCGATGTCCAAAAACCGACCGCTTGTAGCCTAATTAGAGATCAGCTGTCCTACTTCATATATTAACGAAATGCGAGGGTACCGGGATGTGCTTCCCAGTGTTCGAATAAGGCAGTACCCCCTTCCTATCCAATAGGGTTGTGGACGCGGGTGCAGGGCCTCAAAACAGGTCAGTTGCATTCCAGAAGGCCTCAAAAAGATTCGACAGTGGCCAGAGCTATTAAAGAAGAGAACACGTTTAATAGAGCCGAGAAGGAGATCCTAGCGGTTTGCGGGGGATGTGCCATGATCGGCGCTGGGGAAGTACATTCAGGCAAAAGGAGAAGACGAAGAACAAGCAAAGAAAGAGGCTGCTCACCGATTGGTCTCCCTTACTTCTTATTTTCTCGAAATAGCTACATTGCCTTTCGACATGTGGTGGTTGCAGACGTTCCGCAATAGTCCTTGAGGAAATGTTGAGGCTACACAACCAATGCAGTCCATCTGGGTCCTGCGCTGTGGGACGCCTGCAGATGGGAATGTGGAGATTTCTGCCGGTATGCATGCACCCTGCATTTTTGCAATTTTCTCCTCTGGAGGTTGCAGTAGACTACAGCGATTTTGAGCGCCTACCAGTAGGATGACCGGATCAGGGTTGGACCTGCTCCAGCTCTGCCTGAACTCATTTACGGCCCGCCGGGGCAATGAGAAGAACGCGCATGTGTGCAATCAATTATCGTAAGACGAAGCTTGAGGAGGAAAGGAAGTGTGACGATGAATCACTGATCTTCTTCGTCGCATTGAAAGGAAGGGACCGCCGCCTTGACCTGAGTTCCATGTGCCTGGAAGCGACATTTGGTGGTGGGATTTGTGAAACGACTGAAAATTGAGGCGAGTTGATCAAGATGAGGTGACTATGCATACTGCAAGGTGAAAGCAACCTCAAAAAGATGTAGTCAGAGGTAGGTACGTGCTGAATAGTATTCTGACATTAGCGAAAATCTATAGGTTAGGCCTGGTATACTGAATCTTAGCAGACCGAAGCTATGTTTCCAATTAGTCATTCAGCATGCCGTGAACATTGTAGAGTACCCAATGACTAGACGTGCAGGGCTTGGTCGTCTGGAAAATAGGAGTTTCGCTGCACCAACTCCCTTCTGCCCCTTTGCGCATATTCGCTAACCGAGACGTCAAACTCTCCTCATGGTCATGCTTCCAGCGTGCCAGAGACAAAGATAGTGCGGGTTTCCCATGCGTTTGGTACTTGTGGAGAAGAGGTAAAGTGATGCATGGGTAATTACTTACTAGCCTCCAGAACAGATGTGCTTCTGGAACATGATGCGCTGTGCCTTAATCGAGTCATTCACCGTAGATTCAGAACTTCGAAGCGATGCATGGGCGGATCAACCTTCCACTGGCCTGTTTCACCGCCAGCATGATGAAATGCACACCGGCCCCTTTTGTTTACTCGATCTCCATGGCCATATCAACGATGTCTGCCTTGAGTATGGAGCAGTTTCAGCGCGGATTGCATTACCTGTGGTAGCAAAGCGCACACTTAACAATACACATCTAATCTCCCGGAGAAAGGGAAATAAGTCTATAAGAAACTGCTTTTATGAATTCTCCGACCCTGTCGACCCGCCGAGCCTGGAGAAGGGTCCTGCGGAGGGCTCGCCGTTGACGATTGCATGCATCTGGCAGGTCCGATGGGCGTTGCAGGTGGTCAGGCGATGCAAGCCACGATCAAGGGAATGGCCGTCAGGCACAGGATCGTAAATGGGGGGGCCAAGGTGTTGCAAGAGCGAGGGGGGGGGGGTGATGTTGGAAGGAAGTGAAGAGACTAACCTGCAAACCGTAGGGTTCAAAGGTCGCTTGACAGGGCACCTGCGGGGCCGATGTATGGGCATTTAACCGGAGGTTGACTGATCCACTCAGAGATCACTGGTTAAATGGGTAAATATGCCACATCTCCGCAGCATGCATCGAGTGCCTCCCAACGACCAGGTGCCATGAGCAATTGCCCCCAGATCGTCAGGCCAATCACTCATGGAAGAATTAATGATTGCGTCTTTTGATATTGGCCTGGTGTTGATCTCGCTTCTCGAAGCCCTCGTGGACGCATGGAAGCTTCAAGCCACAGATCCTGATCCTGGTAACGGCCCATCACGACCAGGGATTCCAAGAGTCGGACGTTGTTCCTCGGCAGTGTAAGGATCGTTGGAGGCCCACATCTGTTCCCTGAAGTATCTCATGAGCGTCCCCAGTCTCCCCCAAATGATTGCAACACCCACCCTTCCACCAAAAGAAATCTTCCGCTCTACGTCGCCATGATGGAAGCCGCTTCGGTTGAGTTGAATAAGCTGGAGCGCAAAGGCTCCGCTCCTGTCAAGCGAAGAGTAAGCCGAGCTTGTGACCACTGCCACCGTATGCGAACACGCTGCAACGGACAGGCGCCGTGCTCGCGATGTATAGGTACGTAGAAAACTCGAGCTGCCAATATCTGTCGGTCACGACACTAATGAAGCGCAAGAACTCGAGTATGTCTGCCAGTATAACAGAGAGAAGAAGCGCCGAGGAAAGGTCAGCAGTCTTCCATTGCCTTCAAATAGCGGTGTGCTTAATCTTTCTCCAGGTCCCTCGACACATCCAAAAGCAGAGAGAGGAGGCAGCGCATACAGATCCGCGCAGCCCTCAAAACGGAAATGGACTTTCCATACAGACCTCCAGTCACTACGAAGGAGCCGACGTAATTCCTGAGATGGAAGACGGGATATGGTCGCCTGCACAGCCAACACCAATAAGTCAGCATTTTCCAACCACCAAAGACGACATGCACCACGTAACATCGCCTCGGTGGCAGGCTATGCCCCCAAGTAAGATTTTAGACCGTTTAATGCTTTACATGGCCATTAATACTTACAAAATCTCCAGACCAAACTTTCGACGGCCATGTCAACCATATCATGATAGATCCTTTGTTACTAAGCCCTGGAGAAATGAATCCGTATCCGCACCCGCTGCAGGTCCCAATGCCACGAAATGAGGACTTAATGTTTGCCATGAACGAGATGCACCTCGTACCGAATTCGGGTACGCCCGTGTCCATGCCTCCGGAGTATGCGACCATGAGTTATCCAATGCATTTCACAGCAGTCCGGCAATCCTCTCCGCATAGTTATGGATCTGGAGACACTGGATCGCCCCAGTCTGCAGCCAGCGCTACCTCGTCTCACCCTGGGATTACGCCATGCAGGTACCCCGTTCTAAAACCTTTGATTCCTCACCTAGGCTCAATCATGTCCATGTCAATGGCTTGTGATCTCTTGGAGTTCTATTTTCAAAGTTCCTCATCCGTCTTTATGGAACCCGTGTCGCCGTACATACTTGGAACTGTGTTTAGGAAGCGTTCATTCTTGCGACAGCACAAACCAAGGAAGTGCACCCCGGCCCTCTTGGCAAGTCTTCTGTGGATAGCTGCTCAAACCAGTGAAGCAAGCTACTTGACATCGTCACCTTCAGCGAGAGGCGTTATCTGTCAAAAGCTGTGGAAGCTCACGATCGATTTGTTGAAACCACTAGTCCACTCACCAACAGGGGCTCATGGCTTTGCCCAAGGTGCAGGCTCAATGGTTAGTCCGGCCCCACATGACGCTTTTGGAGTTGAACGTGTCGTGGGCCGCTATGATGCAAGAATGGAAGTTGGAATATCCCCTACAGGTACCCTAGATGATGTTGCCACTTACCTGAACCTTGGCACCGTCACTTCGGCCAGTGAGTACAAAGCTGCTAGGTATGGATAGAAGCTTGATTCTTGTGCCACACTACTAACCCAATTTCAGTCTTCGCTGGTTGAATGCCGCCTGGGGTCTGGCGAGAGAGCTGAAACTAGGAAGGGAGCTACCTCAGGATTTCACGGCCGATCGCGACTCTAATGGAACAGAAAATGGGGAAATGGACATGGGAATGTCGGATGGCTCTAACTCAGGGGTGCAAATGCCGGCCGGATCCCCAGCTCTCGCGCTCATCGAAGAGATGAAGGAGGAACGAAGGAGGCTTTGGTGGCTTCTTTACATGATTGACAGGCACCTCGGACTGTGCTATAACAGGCCATTAGCGATGCTGGATAGTGAATGCGAGGAGCTATATCAGCCTGTACAGGATACCGTGTGGCAGGCCGGGGAATTCTATACCGGAAGTTCAACCCCAAAACGAAAGGGACTCACATTCCAGTGTATTTCCCACGACATATTCGGATTCTTCCTACCGCTGATGACGATCCTTGGCGACATAGTGGACCTCAATGCGCAGAAAAACCATCCAAGGTTTGGGCAACGCAGGACATCTGGATGGGAGCTCCATGAGAACGAAATCACCCTCCAACTCGAAAGGTACGCGTACAGCCTGCAAGAATTCAAGATCCAACAAGGGTGCAGACCTTCAAGGGAAGATGCCGCAAACAACCCGAACGGTACTCCAGATCCCGTCCGAAGCGAATGGATACACCAGACGAAGAAGGTTGTCGCATACGGAACCCACATCATGTATGTTCTCCACATACTTCTCCATGGCAAATGGGACCCGGTATCTCTTTTGGAGGATGACAATATGTGGATTTGCTCTCAATCATTCCTTGCGGCGACATCCAACGCCGTTTCTGCTGCTCATGCTGTGGATGAGATTCTTGAGCTTGACCCAGACCTTTCGTTCATGCCGTATTTCTTTGGAATGGTAAGTTCTCCCCGCTGAAACTAGCCGTGGCAGCCAACTTACCAATAAATTTAGTATCTCTTGCAAGGAAGTTTAATTCTTCTGTTGCTAGCCGATAAATTACAGGTGGACACAAATGATGGCGTGATCAAAGCTTGTGAAACAATCGTGCGCGCCCACGAAGCGGCTGTCGTTACTTTGAACACAGAATATCAGGTAAGGCGATAATTCGGGGATCGTCTAAGCGGAGAAATGCTAATTCTTGACGCAGAGAAATTTCCGAAAAGTCATGATCTCGACGTTAGCGCAGATCAAAAAGGGAGTGAACCAACACCGGGAGATGAATCCAGCAAAGCGAAGGGAGGTTCTTTCATTATATCGGTGGACAAATTTAGGAAATGGTCTCGCGATTTGAAAAGTTATTAAGTATTGAGCATTGAGCGACGGTATTATTATCATGTTCGCTGGAAATTTACGGGGGCTTGGGGAAAGAGTCTGGACCTTCGTTTACTCCAAAAGGAAGGCTTTCTGCAATTCGTCAATGTATGACTAGTAGTCCTAGTCAAGGACGATTAAGAGAAGTCTTATAAATTTGCGAATCGCTACTGGGAGACTTACATTGAGTGACAAAGGATGAGTGGATACGGCGTGAGCCCTCACAAGTAGATTTGAAAGAGAAAGATTACCACGCCGCGAAGAATCGACCATACTAGCTCGATCTTTTATGTGCCACTTCTCCAGCCCTTACCAGGCGAAAAGCGAACCCGAGCCGTAATGCTCATTTACGCAATGATATTGCAGCTTTGAGTCGAGGTCGATTGCGTGCCAAGCGGTATCAGAATAGCCCAGGGTTAGAAAGTTACCGGCGGAGATCCGACGCGGGACGAGAATCGGGAGCATCGGCATAAGTTAAGGAATTAGTGATGATGTTTAAACAAACATTTCTATAATTATCACTCAGGCTCATCCTTTCCTTAGGTATTTGGGAGCCAGTAAACCAACGAGGGGGCGCCAAGTACGGGTTAACGTCGGAGAGGCTACCCCAGCCGAAATCGACAGGAACAAAGACACCTCAAGCTCGTATCGAAAGTTAGCGAATGACTCGTGTGCACTGAAAGGTGCTTGAGCAGCAAGTCGTCTGCTCCACCCTTGGTAGTTTACTAGCGAAGATCACCGAGTAGGTCAATGACACTTACCCTGCAAGTTATCATACACAATCGCTGTAGGGAGTCCAATGGCGGAGAACCGCGATTGTGGCGCGTGGCAATATACCAGATGCATAGAGAACCTGTCCTCTATTACCTATCCCAAGATGTGTGTATTTACAAAACAAAGACCCTCATGAATGCAGATGACATGCGTGATAAATGAAAACAACATAATCTTCTCAGGTATTTTCATAACAAAGACTTGCTCGGTAAGGAGTGTTGGAGCAATACGCAGAGTTAAGACAATGCTCGAGTGTTATCATAAGTTTTTCTCCACATCCATGACCTCTTTAATTCCTTTCGCGACGGCTTCAACCCTCTCTTGGCTCAGTCGCTTAAGTGGCCGACGAGGGTAGCCGCCATAGCCGTAATATGACTGGATGGCCGACTTCGTTCCCGGGATCGCGGCTTTGGTAAGGACCCAGTCGCCCTTGCTGAGGGTCCTCTGTAGTTCTAGGGCTGCATCGTACCTTCCCTCCGCCCACAGATTCCACACCTTGACACAGGTCTTCGGGACGACATTGGCACCCCCGGCAATGATCCCAGAACCACCACTGGCTGCTGTTTGGGCAGTGAAGTCAGCCATACCACCGAAGGCCATATACCCACTGCCTTGGGTCTTGGTAGTGACAGCATTCGTAGCGAGAGCAACTCGGGTAAGCTTTCCGGTATTACCGCAAGTGAATTTGGTCCCGACGATGTTGGGGTGCTTGGCAAGCTTTATGATGAGGTCGCTGTCCATATCTATGCCCGCAACAGCCCCGGGGTAATTGTACAGGATGATAGGAAGCGGTGACCCATCCGCAACACTTGTGAAATACTCGTAGAGGGCTTCCTCATCCATAGCGTAGCGGTAGTAGCTTGGGGGTACGATAAGCACGTACTCTCCGCCAGCAGCGGCGGACTCCTTGCAGAGTTCGATAGTGAGCTTAATGCCTTGCTCGGATGCCCCTACAATGACAGGCACGTCATGGTATCCAGCCTCATCCAAAGCCTCACGCGTTGCTCGCGTGATGGCGGCCTTCTCAGCCCGAGACAGATGCACTGCCTCTCCGTTGGATCCCATGGTAACGAGCCCAACAAGGCCCGCTTCAGCAAGCCTCACCGCATGTTTCCGGACTGTCGGGAGGTCAACTTCTTCGGTCTCTGGGTTAAAAAAGGTCATCGTGGGCGAGTAGATGCCGGGCCGAAGAGGTGTACGTGGTTTGGCATGGCCGTTAGCAACACCATTTGTGTAGCCGTTCGTTACGCTGCCTGAAGTCATAGTGAAAGAGGCGTGAAAAGAGAAACAAAGATTTGAAGAAGACACAGAAAACCAAGAGATTTGGAGAACCGGAGGAGGGGAGACGGGGTGCTATGGTCTGCAGTCCACATGCGAACTTCGGGCGTCGTTTAATATAACAGCGAGATGGAGAACAATCGGTGTAAAGTAGGCAGTGGACTAGCCGGCAGCCCAATTCCATCCCACCTTTGGTGCTTTTCTCCATCCCTTTGAAAGTCAAGAGAGTCAATACATGATCGCTATTCGCCGGACGCAACAGAGTTTGACACAGCGAAAGCTCGGAACGGGGGCCGGACACTGTCACTTGCAGGGCTGTGGGCTGAAGCTCGCAGCATCTTCAGCGGATGCCTGCGGGAGATGCGGGACACAATTGCGGCCTTTTTCAAAGGAAGGTGACTAAAATTATCGGTTGTGTTAAGGGGAGAGGTGCAATGTCTGGTAGGGTGAATGAGGTTTATGGTGGCACTGCATCACAGACGGTTGGAGGTGGTCGCTGCTCACGCACCAGTGATGGTTTTTCCACGAATGAAGTTGTGGAAGAGGGCGTGGGGTGCATGGGTCGTCGACGGGTGGTTGTCTTGGCCTGGGGAAAGATTGCCATTGAAGAACGATCTGGGCGAGGGGAGCTCCGGCAAAATGCTGGCGTACACTGGAGCTCGGTCTATCTGCCCCCTCATCACTCATTGAGAATATATTTTCCGTTCGTATCGATAGCTCAGCCCTATGTCAAAGACCGAACCAAAGGCCGATGCAGGGCCGCATTTTCGAGTTCTCGACGACCGATCTTCTACCACTCTCCAGAAGCAGTTGCCATCCATACTGAGAATCGAGATAAACATACCACTGACACAGGGAAATAGTAATTATAATAGCAATTATGGCACCCCTTGAGGTTTTGATGGTGAGTTTGCCCATCTTGGTCAGGTGAGGGGCAGCTGTCCGAGCTGCATACTGTTTTCCTTTTTCCCACCTTACCTACTCTCGCACCATGCGCAATCAGAATTGCTTTTCTTCGTTCCTGGATGTTCCCATCACACCGCCTCTTGCGATTATCGCCACTAAATGCCATGGCTAATGAAATGCTCAGGTCGGGACCGGAGAGTACACAACAGGCTTTGTGGGCGGGGGAGCTTCGAAATCCGACAAGAAGGTGGGTGTTGTTGGCTTGACACTGTTCGACCTGAGGCGGCGGGGGAAGGTTGGGAAGCTCTCAATGGTAGGAGTGTCTGGTGACAAATATCCCGCGATCCGTACGGCACAACACCCATTGGAGGTCAATCCGGTCCGCTGACCTGGCGTAGGCGAGCATCTTCAAAAAAATATCTCCGAGGCATACAATGGCCTCGACGTCTCATTCGAAGAGTACCCCAAAGAGGGCAAACGTAATCCAGACGCGTACAAAACCGCAATTGATGCCTTACCAAAAGGCAGCGCAAGTAAGGATCTCCACTCATGCAAAATCTCGAACGAGCGTTGGTAAGGATAAACTGACCTCTCGTAGTCACCATCTTCACCCCTGATACGACCCACTACCCAATTGCCTTATACGCCATTGAACGAGGAATCCACGTCCTCATTACTAAACCCGCAGTCAAACTTCTAGAACACCACCAACAGCTGCTCGACGCCGCCCGGAGGCACAACGTCTTCGTATACGTGGAACACCACAAGCGATATGATCCTGCATACGCAGATGCTCGCTTCAGGGCACAGAAGTTGGGCGACTTCAACTACTTCTACTCATACATGAGCCAGCCTAAGTAATACTTTCACTCTCCAATAGCTGCCAGTAACCTAATCTATGGCCATCCAGGAGCCAATTGGAGACGTTCAAGGCGTGGGCGGGGAAGGACAGCGACATCTCGTACTACCTTAATTCACACCACATTGATATCAACGAGTCGATGATCCCGGATTATCGGCCTGTGCGAGTGATGGGCAGTGCTGCGCGGGGAATTGCAACCGACCTCGGGTGTGCGCCAGGTACGGAAGACACCATCACGTTGCTCGTGGATTGGGTCAAGAAGAGTGATCCTGGTAAACGAGCGACAGGTGTTTACACAGCTGGCTGGGCCGCACCGCAGAAGGCAGGTGTTCATTCAAATCAATATTTCCATTACATGGCTAGCAATGGAGAGATCAGAGTAAATCAAGCGAAGCGGGGCTACGATGTCACGGATGATGACACGGGTTTGCTATGGTATAATCCGTAAGTCTACCCACAACCATTCGCTCTTGTTTTACGGTTGACTCTACTAGATTTTACATGAAATACGCTCCAGATGAGGAGGGGAATTTCGCTGGACAGATTGGCTACGGGTACATCTCCTTCGAGAAATTCGTAGATGCCGTGAACGCCGTGAATGAAGGCAAAGTTACGCTCGAAGAACTCGACCGGCGTCCACTACCGACATTAAAGAACACGATTGCGACCACTGCCATCCTAGAAGCTGGTCGCAGGTCGCTAGACGAAAACAGGCCTATTGAAATTGCCGAGGAGAACGGCGTGTGGTCCTTGAAGTAATTAGGGACAATTCCGGTAGAGGTATTCTATAGCGAAAAAGGAGAAAAAGGCCCAATTTTTTTGGTCTCCCATTACCGCTTTTCGTAGCCTGCAGTGTTGTTGTCTGTATTCATAACTTGTTATTTTCTGTTATTGACATCACTCCCCGTTATCACTTCGCATGCTTACGGTCAGACAGTACTATTTTGACAATTTTGGGGCGTTGTCGCTAATGCAAAATGACGTTTTCCGTTGTCGTCCAGATTATTTTCCCCCGCTCAGCCCCTCCAAAAAAGCCGAAAAAGGACAAAAGAGATGCTTTTTTCGCCGGCCTATAGATTTCACAGAGGCCACGGAGAAGACCTCATTCGCGAGAACTTTTTATTCTAATCAGCAGAAACCCCATATTCAAACCCCGAGGGTAGTACACATTTAGAGAGTATGCCCCCTCCCCTAAAAAGAGTCATATGAAGTGTAGATTGGCCTAGAATATGGCTAAACTACTATAGTGAGCTATTGCTGATGGATTTAAGATATTAGGGTCTTTTACAGCTTTTTTGAGAAGCGCATTTGCAGTATATTCTAGGGGAGAGATGATTGGCGGTGGAGATATTGGAGGCCCGTGCGAAATGGGTGTGTTGAGGTGAAAGAATGACTGACTGCCTCACCATGTCAGGTGTTTGCTATGGCAACTGTAACAGTCACACGCTCACCTTTGCTTTTCCCGAGCGCTATACTAATATTACTGCCGCTACGGATCGATTGCATCGCCTGGCTCTCCAGAAGAAATCCTCATTTTGTTCCAGCAGAGTCACACTTTCTTCGATCATCCCACGTCCTCCCTCACAGATCTTCTCGCCGCTGTGACTTAAGAAACACACTCATACCCAAAGCCCAGGCCTAGACCTCGACCACGAAACGTATACTCGCCGCTCGCCGCCATAGAAACTCTAAATTACAGACCTACCCATTGTGCCATTTAAATTGCGCCAAAGTCTGGAAGCTTTGGAATACAAAGCCTAGAAACGTTTGGTGGGCAAAAGGCGTATTGGGGGTGGGGGAGGAATTATTCACTATCAATTCTGGTAAGTACTTTGGACCTGTGGACAGTAGTCCTGCCATAAACGAACAGCAGGCCAATCAAGTCATGGGGATGGAAGTGAATGACGGTAGTAGATGGAACTACGTAACTCAAGACTTTACCAACAGTCCTCTCCACCCTGAACCCTAGGAAACAATAAATAACAAAATTGAGTAATAAAACGACCATGCGAAAATATATCATTGCTTTCACTTTACCCTCCTAGCGTTCCCCTTTTCCATAACATATTCATTCTTAAATCATGACGTACAACTATCATCTGCAGCAGACATTCTGGTCAAGTAGCGTTGCTATACATGAGCTTGAAAGACAGCGTTAGCATGGATATATAGAGAGCCCTGAAGAGAGCCTGCTGCCAACAGCCTCCCTCATCGCCTAAGGGCTGAGGAGTTAGAGTTTGTGGGTGTTGTCGCCTTCGTAAAAGTATCGGTGACAGCTTGTACGAACGTCCATTATTTTGGGAATATCGTGTTAGTCGTAGGTGTTCAATAATTGACTTGAGCAATCTAGAGAAGAAAGACTGAGAGGCGTATGCATATATATGAGTAGCAAGCTCAAGAGAGCGTGCTCTAAGCTGAAAATGGTCCTTCTGCACAACAACCCACCTGTCTTACTAGCACGAATAAATCGAGAAAAGAGAGTAGCGAGAAGCCATGTTCTGAATTTGTTGGGTGATTGAAAGAGTACACAGCACTAGACTCCATATAAACCCTCCTTTGTCAAAGGAACCATCCGAATGCAAAGAAGATTGATCATGCATCATCGCTGCCTTTTCACCCAAGGATTCGTTTACCCTGTCCGTATTCGCCCTCTTAGGTCACAGCCATATCCTCACATGCTACTCTACTCTATTCCTCAGTATAGCCCTCTGCTGGCGCCTCACCACCCTCCTGCTGCTCTGCCAGTCTCTGCTGTTCTGCGGCCTGTTGGGCAGCGAGGGCCTTTGCACCGTAGTCTTGAGACATGGGTTGTACGACGGGTTGCTCTTCCTTTGGCTCGATGATGGTGACGGAGTCGGGGAGAGACTTAGATGGGCCAGCCTTTCCTTCTGGATCTGAGCCGCGCATAATCTTGACCTTAATACCCAAGACACCCTGGCGGAGGAGGACGTGACGGGTGGCCTCATCGATGAAATCCTTGGCTGGCTGACCAGAGTGGATCATGAAACCATCCTATTTCCATATTAGTATTCTCTTCCAGATCACAAAAATTATAGGGAAAGGTTCGCGCAACATACGGTGAACTTCATGCTTTTAGCACGCGCAGCCCTCAGCTTTCCGCTGACAACGACCTCACAACCCTTCGCGCCGCTCTCCATGATGAACCTAAGGACACCATAGCATGCCCTTCGGACGGCCAGACCGTTCAGTAACTTGTATCGGAGGGACTCGCACTGGGCAACGGCGGAGAGACCACGGTTCTGCACCTTAGCGGCATAGAGGGAGACGGAGTTCTCGGGGAACTTGAAGCGCTTCTGGATCAACGACGTGAGTTCGCGGATGCGACGGCCCTGCTCGCCGAGGACTTCTTGTGTGTGGGTTGCCCGGATGATGATGTCGGTGACGGTGGGAGTGACGCGGACTTCAACGCCGGAGTAACCTTCCTCGGCCAGCTCGCGCTGGAAGAATTCGTTCAGTTCGGCGTAGAAGACGCCGTCTGTGAGATAGCTTGTTAGCCATTTCCATCCATTTGTGCCGTCTTCCTAGAGCCAATTTTCGATTCTCGATGTCCCTAGAACCGCAGCCAATCCTGCGACCTGCGTGAAGTTGTCGGAAAAGGTGAGGCTCCAGAGCTCCAATACTCCAACCAGCTCGTAATACAGTAGAGAAAGGCTTATGCGTACCAGCAACGAACTTCCTCCTCTTCGAGCTGCATCACAGTTAGTTATTTCTGCTTGATTGTGCGGTTTCTCTCAAATCGACTTACATAGCTCCTCCATGAGTGGCAGCCATGTCTTCGGGTATAGAATTGGCGAATCTGAACTCCCGGGCGTGGAATTCAGGATATCGTGGCCGTCGTTGTGGGTTGTCGCTGGTTGAGATGATCGGTAGTGGGGATATTTCGAATTTGGGTGTGTGGGCTTACTAACAAGGTGCACGGACCAGTCAAGGAACTTCGCGAACCCAGGGCTTCTCTATCCGTACGAAATCAACCTGTCTTCCGAATTAGGTTTGCCATCACCTGCAAACTAGAAGTTACGAATGGAATTTAGCAGTTAGTCAGTAACATGTCGAAAATATCTAGGTAGGTTAATAGACTAGGGTCAGTCCTCAACTCCCATGCCGCTCGTAATTTGAAATCGTGAACAATGAGCGGGAAGGAGTGTTTCGCTATCACATTTTGGTGATACCTGATATTGCGATCCTCCAGGTGCGCTGCTAAGGCCTATATACAGATCTAGAGATGCAGAACAAGATAGTAAAGACACCAGACACCTTCTCCAGTCACTAGATGCTACATACCATTACTGTTGAAGCGACGGATAGATACTACATGATAATCTTACATGTGCTCAATAGGGTCTTCAGGAAGGAGCTCCTGAGGTCTGCGCTCGACGCACCTCTTGAGAGGCGGCCGAACTAAGTCATTGAAGAGGAACGTACCGTACACAAGCAGAGCAAACCCGAGGACTTGCAACCACTTAAACGTCTCCCAGCCAAGACCAAGAGAGACAATCCAGATGAAGAGCGTTCGGCACGTGTCAATGGTGGATCGAGAGGTCGCACTAACGGTCCGAGTGACAGAGAGGCCGAAGAAGTTGAAGCCACTGGTGTCGATTAACATGCTATACTAGTCTTGGAGGAGCTTGAAGTTGACTTACCCAATGCTGATCATAATTAGAAGACTACTGACGGCAATCGAACGATTGTGGAACACCTCCCAGAGGCCTTCCTTCGCATCGAAATATCCTGTTCCGATCGCGAAGTGGAGGGTGACCATGGCAATGACGGTGACCAAGAAGCCAAAGGTTCCTTCCCAGCCTACGACCTTGATCGGCTCCATATCATACTTCTCCATGATGCGCTCCTCCAGCACGAACTGCGTAGCCGTGAAGATCTGCGCTCCGGCGATCAGGAGAACGCCGATGATGGTCTGCACAGCCGCTGACGGTGCAACACTCGCATGTGGTTCTAGGCTTGACGGTCTCGCCTTGTGATCCTTCGCAATAGCCCCAGCCAAGCCCACAATGGCAACTCCGAAAACCACCACGAAGAGAGAGAACCATTTGTACAGGCCTAGCCTCCTCCTCAAGAACCAAACGCTAAATAATCCAACGAAGAGTACTAGCGCCCCTCTCGTCATCTGGTAAATACTTGCTGCCACGAACAGAAGCCCCACATTCATGAGCGTTGTTCCAGCAATATCACAGCACGCAGGTAACGCAAGGAGGGTTATAGTCCATCCCGTCAATGGAATTCGGCTGTCATCGTATGCATGGGCAGGCTTCAGGGGGTTTGCGACTTCTCCAGTCTCGGATTCCTCTGACTCTGCGGGCGTACTAATGCCAGCATCTTCGCCATTGCTTGTGGGAAGCGCCTCATATCCGGCCTTTCGAGAGACATATCGTTGATAGAGGTTAAAGCCGCCGATAACGAGCCAGCAGCCCATTTCGCCGATAAACATTTGAAGCGTCTGGACAACGGGTTGTTCGAAGTGTTTGCGATACCCAGGGGCGGGGGAGTCACAGTCGCGAACGCACTGCATGTCCTAGAAAGCTACGTCAGCAAGAGTTCTACAGACAATTCAAAGACGGTCTTACTTGGAATTTGGTGAGCAACGTATTACATACTCCCGTCACCAACATCATGGCGACGAGGAACGGTACGACTGCTTTGACTGCCATGATAGAGGATGAAGAACGAATGGTCTTATTCGGCTCCGATCGGGTAAGTCGGAATGCGATAAGAGGAACAAAGCAGGGTACCACTTCAAGACACCGAAATACTTGAGATGGGAGATTGAAGGAGGATGAGAGGCGAAGTGGTGATATATGGACAACAGGCAGCTCCGGGGCTGCTGACGATGTTGTGTCAACCTTGGTGCTGCGCGCGTGGCTGGGGTTATCCAAGACCGGATAAGAGCATCACGTGGCGATAAGGCTGCATCCCTAACGCACCAACGAAGTATAGGTCTGGGCTTTGCCTTCTGAATTTCCGCTCACGACTACGGATTAGATGGCCGGCTCACTCCGCAACCTTTAATAGCTGTTTCAGTGGCTTTCTCTTCGCTCCACTCCGAAACGGGCTTGGGCTTTGTGCAGAAAGGAAGCCTGCATACGTACTGAGGAAGCCTAGGCCTACTTGGCATCAACATGACTAGTACACATGATCTAGGTCATTATCCCTTCACCACGTGTCATCGCAAATGACACTTGTTTACATCCGATCAAACAAGGCAATAAATTGTAGTCATGAGAGTATGGCGATAATCCCTTGCTTCCACAATGAATCAGTGTCAACTTTTATTTGTGTTGCTACTTTCTTAGCAAGAGACGCCCGTTCGTTCCTTTCGCTATTCATCTCGATCCCAAAGCGCCCTACAAGAACCACCGGAAATCTGGGTTCTTCGGTCCATCCCTTAACTTCTCCGTACTCACATCCCTCGCAGTTAGATTCGCCCCTTGCTTCCTGTTCCTTCTCGCATTATCAAACACCATATAGGTGCCCAATAGTAACGCAAACAAACACCCTGTCGCCCCAAACGCCGCTGTCGTCGCCAACGCCGGAATATACTTTGGTGCATCCTGCGGCCTGAAAATATTACTGCTGACTACGCCCATGAGGTTGGCAAGAGGTACGCCAATAGAGGTTAGGGTGACACGTCGTCCTTCGTGCGCGACGTTGTTATTGTACCAAGTGGAGAGAAGCACCGATGGTGCAGAAGTACCCCAGGTCATCATGAAGCAGGCGTAGTATGCTACGTGGATGGAGTGCTCGACATCAATGGTAGCGTAGATTAAGAAGCCAATGAATGTCAGGATGAATCCCAAGGCAATGAATGGAAATCGTAGTCTTGTGTAGTCGCTTGTGAAAGCCAGGATCAAGAGTACGCAAGCACCAACGATATTCGGGGCAACTGTGTACAGATTAGTCTTGATAGGGTTATACCCAAGACGTTGGACAATCTGCGGGAGAAAGAGTGAGACAGATTGAAGGGGGACACCGAGGCACACTTCGATTGCAAGGAAACCGTAAGCAACGGGCATCTTGAAAATCTTAAGTGCGTCTTTCAAATTGAATTTCTCCCCCACGGTCGAGGAACTATCAATCTGGATACGCCTGTAGGCGAGCTGCTTTTCGTCTTCGCTCAGGAATTTAGCCTCGTACGCTGATTTGGGCAGATACAGATAGGCGATGAAAGAGACTATGATGTGTCAGTATGAGGGGTGTCAAATGATTGGGTGGAACTGCTTACAGAGGATGGTGGCAGAACCTTCGATGATGAAGAGATATCGCCATGGCTTGAGATTCGATTTGATATGGAAGACGCCAAAGGCCAGCAATCCAGAGAAGGCGTTGGCAATATTCGAAGCGGCGTAAAAGAGAGCAAGACGTCTGGCAAGTTCGCCCCTTCGGTAGAAGGTAGTCAGGTAGTAGATGACAAGTGGAAAGAAGGCAGATTCCGCCATTCCTATTTAGAATCAGTATCAATAGTCTTCGGAAGGTGCGCATAGACAGGTGAGCATGCATCCCAGAGTCCCAAGCTTCATTGGAATTTGCCTCAAGGTTGGATCTCCAACCAGCCTCTGGGGAACAAACTTACCAAGGAACCACCTTAACGTCATCATCCCTGCAAAGTTCTTCACGCACGCACTCAATAGCGTAGCACTCCCAAATGAAAACATCATAATAGGTAACACCCTGTGCGGTCCATACTTCTTTCCCAACATGCCCACCGGCGGTGCAAAGATGACATATGGCACGTAAAATATCGACAGGATCAGGTTGTACTGGTTACTCTTGAAATGTAGGTCTTTGTCCATCCCATTGGTTTTTGCATTTCCCAAGTTTCCCTTATCGAGTGCATTGCACAGATACATCAGGGCAAGCATAGGTAGGATGCGAAAGTCGAACTTCAGAACTAGTGCTCTTTCGTGCTCATAGGTAGGGAGGTGCTCGACATGGCCCTCGAGTACAGCGGGTGGCACATCTTTGGAGGATGAGTTAGACGCTGAGACGTGGAGATCGTTCTTGGTGAACTCGGGGTCCGTGGTTACTGCCATCTTGTTGTCGCTTATGGCCAGCCTATCCTGGTTGCAGGGATAGTTAATTTTGGGGTTGAATGAGGGAGGTGAGAAGCTCGAGAGAAGAGGGGGAAAGACGTCCTAATCAAGGCATTTGTAGAGACATTGTAGAGTTACAGCAGAGGTGAGCTTTTCCTCGCCCTAGTCCGTGCGAATAAGCATGGGTGGATTGTGGAGGTTGCATGGCAGTTGCAGGCCTAAAGCCAGCCCCCGGGATCATCATCCAAAGGAAGACCGTTGTACTCTTTCTGGAGTGATCCCCCGACCGCCTTTGTGTAACCTTGTTCGCCGCTCATGATAGTTCATATCGCCCAATACTCCGCGTGACAGTTATATTAGTCGCGCTAGAAGATATCCAGGGTTTTTCCCGGTTCTGGATGGGAAAGTCGAACTGGTTGGAGGGAGATGTAAGATGTTGATCGCGGTATCTGGGCAGTCGTCAGGTGGGTGTAAAGGTGGAGGCGGGAAATGTGCCCGCTGGGGTCGTTGATAAGGCCCATTCCGAAATCGGATGCCTTCATTAGGTATCCCTCAACTCCATTGGAACTTAACTACCAACCCCAACGCTATCCGCTTTCGAAATGCCATCTTCTGCGGTCTCAGCCGTTGAGAGACTCTAACGGTTTTGGTCAGGCCTTGGAGGAGAAATAAGAGCCTGAAGGTTTCCCCGCAACCTGAATACGAACTGAACATCTTCAACTTCCTAAACATGCATTCCCGGAGTTAGAGTCAGCCGTATCCGAGCTCGGTGCAACTACTCAGCTTTCATTTCCTCGCGCGAGTCTTCCAGAGAAGACGCCTTTCTCCGCGCGCCATGATATCAAGTGCACAAGACCAAGACCTCTCCATAGACGCGGCTTTTTTGGATGTAACCTCAGTTCGCACCTCTTATCTCTTCCCTCAACCTCAATTTTTCGTCAAAACTTTTGCGAGATCATTGTTTCCTCTAAGCATTTCTTCAGTATCGTGAAAATGCATGTAAGTTAAAGAAATTATTTTTTTAATTTCACCCTGAATGAACCTGCAGTAGCAAGCTCCTCTGCTAACCTTTGCTATCCTTTGCAGACGCCCACTATTCGAGGAAGGAATATTTACGTGGAGGGAGGGAAAAATTGAACATAGGCGTTCAGCCTCCTAAACTCCTTCGCTATCCTGTGCTATCCAGTGCTATCGTCCACGATACGCATATTCTATACTCTCTGTGAACAAAAACTTTTTACGGCAGAAGAAGATTGTTGAAGGTGCAAGTGGCGAAAGAAGGCAATTGACTCAAAAATGCAACACCTTTAAAACCCCTCTCTAGTCTAGGAACGTCACTTTGAAAAGAAAATCGTGGCGGAAGGACTGGTCAAAAATCCTCAAAAGTTACAGGAGGTAGGTAAGCATTAACATGGAGATCTAATTAAATTCAAAAGAGGGAAACGGTTATCAAATTTTCTATTGCAACTTCAAATCTTACAGAAGGCTAGCAGCCGACTTCAGGATTGCTACATCCTTACCTGGCAGTCGCTCAAAGCTCTCTAGATTCAGCACAAAAAGACATTCTACTAACGCAAATTCATATAACTTGCGAACCCTCTCTTGTGATCTCTACTAGGAACACAATCCTCCATACACTACTAAAAGGTCCCAGCCAAGTACCCCATAAGCCTACTAACTCTTACATATTCTTCGTTTCAAGAGCCAAGTCAGGGTCCGTTCTTCATACTACACCCACCTAGATTTAGAAAAGTGCACATCGACAACCCTAGCTCCGGTTCCCATTCCCATCTTACTGCAATTTCCACTCACGAGACCATCTATCAGAATTAGTGGTAATAGCCCGCTTCCACTCAGCGCATTCACAAATACCATATCTACAAAAGCATTTATTCTACTTCAATTCCAGATTCCGGGTTGCATTCCCCATATCCACAAACCTAAAACCGTTAGCCCCGCGCCTCGCGCACTCCCTAATCTAGCCACTATGATAGATAATCCAGTAGTCTATAATTACTTTTTTGCCCAGATAAATATCACTCCATCTCGTCCCCTCCCCCAACAAGCCTACCGAGCCTTCCAAAGCCCTAGTCAGCGTGACAAGACTAACCTCATTCTCGATCCTAACAGATAACGGCCCTGTGATCCGGGGAATTCCCTTCGTCCTAGTCTTCAGCCATCCTCTAGGCGAGCACACGCAGATAGATTAGCAGAGCACTCTCGAATCCGTGGACTGTGGCAGGTTAGCTAGCCCTAAACGTTCGTCACCCTCCCTGAACTATGTCAACGGCTTATTGAGGGCAGGCACATTGTAATATTCTCCTGGTCGGGTCGTTTTCGCACATGTGACTAGATACTCCACACCGCCACTAGAAGGAAAGGTAAGGTGAGACTGCAAGGATGCATGCAGGGCTTTCTCTAGCATGGGGGTGTTATTCATAGATAACTATTACATACAGAACAGAGATATGTTCGACATGCTGAGCGCGATAGCTTGCTGCATCGTGCGCGTTAGTTCCGAGAGGGACTTCCCTATTTTAATTCGGCGTCGGGTCTCTCCTCCCTAAAACAGCACACAGTATCGGTTATCAGTTATCCTGAGGCTGAAGTATGGGATGAGTGACAGATACCTAGATATACAATGGCACGACCCACGGGAGAGTGGGGTAAGTCCCGACCCTAAGTGAGGTATCGGATTGACGCAGCGCACTATGATCCGTAATATGATAGAGGTACCAATATGATGTGATATTGTATCCAGAACTATTCATACACAGGCCTAGAACCAACCATGCTCATCCAACTCTATCCACTTTCCCGTCCAACTCCATACCTGCCCTAAGCGGACACTGAGTCGAGCCGACCGACCGTTGCCAAACGACAAAAGAAAGTATAGTGTTGCTTTTGCAAGCGGGGAGGGGGGGAGGAGGGGGTTGCAGAATCGAGCTCTGTCCCGCCATATATATCGGCAATCTACCACCACACTCATGATAAAACAATCCCCGATCCATCCCCCATGACAAATAAAAGATATTTGTGAAACCCCGTATTCTCTCTCTGAGATCAAGAAACATGATCGTACATATAAACGCCGATTGGGGTATCCGAGGTCCCTTGCCACCGGACCTGAGGCTTTTCGCAAAACGCCTCTAAAAGGAAAACATCAATTGGGAAACATGACAAAGGAAATAAAGGGTGGTAATCATACACGTCAAACACCTCAGTGGGACTCTGCTGCTTCCTTACCCTTGGATGAATGGGGGTGAAGCAAATTAGGTCTCCACTTCGCCACGTTTGTGACATTGAAGTGTAATGGCTCCTTAACTCCTTTCTCGCGCACCGGCATCTTCCTCTTGGATCGACCTGAGACATACATAGGCGTCACGGCAGTGCCCGAGCCGTTAATATTGGGCATGGACTGCTTGGGGCGGAGCTTGGGCTTCTTGTCGCGGTGCTCGTCATCGGTTTCTTCAGTCTCGAAGCTGCGGAGACTGCTCCGTTCGGAGGAGTAATTCGTCTGTACCCTTGACAGCATCGAGGCGGAATCTGCAAGGACATCCAGTTTAGAAAGCGCCCTATCCATAGTCGAGTGAGTCCGAGAGGAATAAGGCGGAGGATCCTGATAATCGTACATAATCTCAGAGTCCAGGCTCTTGTACTTGGCTATGCCATCCAGCTCTTCGTCGTGCGACCAACATGATTCGTCGGCTCCAAGAACTGACGGCAGGAATCGGATCTCCTGCCACGTTACGTCTTCGTATTGGAGGGTGATGTAGAGGACGTCGCCTTGCATCTTGTCGTGCGCTATGCAGTGGTCCTCGAGAAAGGGATAATCCCATACGTCCCTTACAGTAAGGTCTTGAGGCAGCCAGGTAAGCGCCATTCGACCAAACGGCTCATCTGCTGGGCGATGGGCTGTCATTGGCATCCAACGTCGTCCACGGATGATGCCTTTGAAAGACGTCTCGATCGCATTTGCGAAGCATGAGCTGTCCTGACTGGGGAATTCGAGAGTCTGGTGCAAGTTTCGTGAAGCACATCGCCTGTAGGCGTTGCTGTCGGGATCATACGCGAACTTGAGTGCCTTCCGTGGCACGAAGATGACGCGCACGTTCCATGACAATGGATACTTCTTGTCTGTCCGAATCGGTAACTGGCCGAATGTGTGATGTGGCTGCAAGAGTAGTGGCAACTGTGGGACTGGTGGAGCCTTGGGCGTTGAGGCTTGTGGTGTGACTTCTCTTGACGAGGCTCCAGTGCTGTGCTCGACCCGATCGATCCTATTCTCTAATTCCATTGTAACCTCGTCCACCAATGTCAGCTTCTCCTGTACCGACTTGATCTGATCGTTGAATTCTTGCGTCTTGTCGACCACTGCCTCCACCTTGTCGTCCATGTGCACCTTCAACCACTTCATATTCTCATACAATCCCGCCTCTATTCCCCTGTATATTTTGAAATGCTCTTCTCGGGACATCCTCTCCTTGAATAATTCCTGCTTCAGCTCCTGCTCTAGGTTCTCGAACCTCTTAATCTCCTGCCTCAATCTCTTCATTTCCTCTATCACCGCGGCATGCTCCTCTATAGATACGGCTGCGACTGATTGATGCTCATGATGCCAGGCCTGGTGTCCGCAGCCACAGCGAGAGCGGACCACGGAGTCTGGGTAGAAGCTTCGGCACGAGCATCTCTGTCGAGAGCCGTTCCCGGCGCCGGCTTCAGGCAGTAGGAACCCGCATTCTCCCCGAGGTAGCTGAGGGTCGTTGTCTTGAGCAGGTTTCCCAGAGAGGTGAACTAAGGATTGTTGAACGTTGTTACCGAACATCAGGAAGAGACCTTGTTGCTCGGTCGCCGCGTGTCTCCTGGATATCAAACAGGCGGCTCATGAAGGCCGATAAGGGAGGGACGATGAATTAAAATCAGAAGAGAGGACTGTGGAAGGGGCTAATTGTGGGCTGCCCAGGAGTCTGTCAGCGGGGGGGGGTGGGCTCTCGTAATATAGGGAAAGAGGGAAGTGGAGCGGAAAGGGTGATGAGGCTGGCGCACCGGATGATAAGACAGGTCAGTGGTCACAACGACGGGGCGGGCGCAGGCGGGAGCATCCGACGGGAGAGCTGGGTGGGTACAAAAGGACTGTTGGGGCGCTGCCGTGGGTGGTCAGGAGGTTTTGGGCTGAAGGGATGCGGTTCAGGTTCAGCAGTATGGGAGGAGAGAATGGGAGTATGTGGAAGAAAGCGCGCTCAGCAACAGGGCGGATGGGATGTGCAGGTACTCGTTACTTTTTAGCAGCGGGCTAGCTCCCGTGCGAATTGGCCCTGTCATGTTTGCGCGGAGGCTGCAGATGTTGCAGTGGGCGCGGAGTGCTGGACGGGGTGGCCCCAGGTGGGACAGGAGGGTACCGTAGGGGAGAGGTGAGATAAGGACCCAAAGAGGCCTGCGCCAGCGCTGTCTTCTCGAACGTCGACGCCGCCACCTCCCGCGCGCGTTAATCTGTCCAGGGTGCGCGTGGGATTGCGGGATTGCCTCAGCCCTCGCAGGATCCCAGGTTGGCCAAGTCTTTGCAGCGCCATTGCAGAGCCACTCGTGCTCTCCTCTGCGACGCACTGCCGCGATCACCACGCTGCAGCAGCGTCCGGGTGCAGCGACATCGCGGTAAGGAAATCAGTTAGCGATACATTTGCGCGAGTTCCCAACAGCGTCCTGCGACACGGAGGGCTGGCTGCGGGCTGCTGGTTGCCGGACGGCCACAAGAGGGTGCTCCAGTAGAACTTTGAACAAGACCCCACACTCGCGCCCCGAGGCTAACTCGACAGTGCTGTGTTATTCACGGCGTGCCGTCATGCCGTGCTATCCCATGCCATCCCATTCATCTCGGGGCGGCTTCCCCAGACGAAACCGCATCTCGTCGGCTGCTGGGCGGCCCTGGGCGGCCCTGGTCGAGCCTCGAGTTCCCCAAATCTTTTTCATCAGACCGCTGGACAGTCGTTCGATGGGCTTTATCGGCATCCGGACTGGCGGGCCTTCTGCTGGACTGGGGCTTTGGTGGTGGGAGGTTGGCATCCTTCTATCCTTATCGCGAAACTGATACCGACCCTGGCTGACCCCCACCGTTACCAAATCCCAGCCGGTCGCCCTGGTTGGCTGCCCATACGACGGTGAGCAGCCACACCAGGCGACCATGCGAGCCATCACGGCCGCGTCTCAGCGCTTTTGTCAATCTGGCCCAAACCCAACGGAGCACAGTTCGCACTCAATGTCGCCAACGCGTGAGCGCAGGGAGCATCCATGGACGCCATCTCACACGCAAAACTCAAATGCGTGACAAGCTGAAGACTACCAATTCCCACACTCTTACCCTCTCTCAGAAGGGCGAGGCGGTGACTATGACTGACGTAGCATGAGGTGTTTTGGAGAGCACATGGCATCATCAACGTCCGCCGTGCCTATTCCTAGGATATAATGCTCGTTATATCATCTTTTCCGTGCCACCGAATCTTGTCCGAGTGCGTTCTTCTGCAAGATGTTATGGAAACGGAAAGGCGTGGAGTGCCAGCATTGCACTGGATAGGTAACTGGCCGATTCGAAGCCTCACCCGCAAGCCTTTTATCTGCCCTCGAGCCTGGGCCCTGCGCTTGCTGCAGATGGCGGGGGCATGGAACATGAAACTTACAAGCACTCATGACCTGCAGGAACCTGCTCACCGAGTCAGGCATTGCTCTGTATCAGGGACTCCATTGATTCACGTTGCTAAGGGCCTCAGAATCTCAGATGCTGCGGCAAGCCACGGCCATCGTGCTCCGTCTTTGAACCCTCAGCTGGCCCACAAGCCCTCAAATTGGCTGGACTGAGGAATGCAACGTGCCAGCACTGCAACATAGTCGACAGCCAAGCGAGGTGGTTTTATCCCACGTTTTGTAAGAAGCATTACTCTCCGATCCACGGCGGCGAGATGAAGCCACGGCTGGGCGCACACTATGGCCCGATTTGAGCCAGACACATGAATTTCTAGAGTGGATGAGGTCCACGCCTCAACAGAAGGTGACAACGAATTCTACTTGGCGTGGCATGCGAAACTCCAAACGGCGCTGTGACATAAATGTCCGTGAGTTGCGATGGGGTAAAGGCCGACAAATATTTTCTTTCTCCGACGGTTAAAAGGCATTCTGCTCGTACTTCTACTCCCTCCAACACATGTTCACGATGTTTTGTGGCAAGGGGCTAAAGAAAATCTTTCTTCATATCTAAATTCGACAATGCAAGCGAAGAGCCAACCCCACGCCCAGGTTCCTCCTCCTCAAGGACAATCTCAATGAGTCAGTTCCTGGGCAACGAGCACCTCGACTGTCCTTTAGGCGGTATCAAAACGGTTATTTGTCTCCTCATGTCTTGGAATTTCCTCAAACCCGTCCCATCTTATTCTCATCCTCTGAGCGGAACTGGATGCCAATTGAAACATGATGGAAGAGGTTAGCGCTCCGATCGACCGGGAGCTTCCGTGGGGAAACCCATGATCTCTTCCTGTTTTGGTTTACATGTTCTCATCTGCTTTCTTCTTCCGTGTTACTTCACTTTGCTTTGCTCCGGTACGCTCTCCGAACCTCCAATCAAGCGTGTCAACTGTTCATTCTATTCATTTGTCTGTTAGGATGATGCATCTATCGATTTATCGGCTTTTTCCCACAGATCCGATGTCCTTCGCATGCTGCTCCGCACCCACGATACCTTCTCTAGTGATGGGCACATGGCCGATAATGCATTCTGTCAGGGGAAGCTGAATTCTACCTTGATGAGCCTGACTGCACCAATGGTATGGATGAATGCCGCTTGGAATCACCTTGCATACAATGCAATACGAGCTACAATCTGTACGCTACAACAAGCCACATGTGGCAGGCGCATACTATTTGCTACAGCCTGCACCTAACGTGGAACATGAGAAGGCAATTTAAGATAGATATCTGCATCCTGTTGGCAATCTGCTAGATTCTACCAAGAGGATTACCAAATGGGGTTTAACCTAGTTAAGTCCCACGTTGTATGATAACACGCTGCATAGCCGGAACTTCCACATCCACGCCGAGTTCGAACATATTTGCATTGAACAATTCCAAGGAAGTTATCCAACGTACTTTCTAGCCCCGCCGAATTCAACGTGTTCATTCGCCAGGGCTCTGACAGTGGGCTGCCCAAATTCTCTGTAGGTGATAGGGCTACCAGCCTTGTGCTGCTGGCTATCTAGCTGCGGTTGCTGCGGTTGCTGCTTCTATGGAAGGCCTGCATACCGAAGGGCGTGACGGAAAGACGATAAGACCTACAAACCTATTTATTTACAGTGGTAGTAAATGAGATGTTTTAAGTGCACCCCGGACTAAATGCCAGTCTTGGACACCAGATGTCCACACTACATTGCAAAATACAACAAAGAAAGGGCAATAGAAGATACGAAAGCATTCTCCCGTGTTTTATCAGTGAACCATTGTGCCTTTGGGTAAATCTCGTCTAAAGCCTCACCATGAAAGATAGAGATGATCTGCTTCGATAAAATGAGGGCGCTTCGAATTACCATCTTAGATATATATTTCACGCACATTATCACCTCCCTAGCGCAATGTAGACACTCCCCTCGGCTTGGAGGGTTGCTCGTTACTATGAGGTTCATTTAGTGCGCTAAAGTGAGTGTCGACCAGCCCTTGGGTTCCACACTTCTCCAATACATATCTGCATCTGTGTGTATTCCTGGGTCAAGAGGAGGCCGTGCCTTTATAGGTCAGTTGGGATGTTTATCAACAGGATTCAACAAGTCCAATCTTCTCTATTCTATCGTATATGGCCCCCATCTTCCTTAAACTGAGCGGATTTCTTCCTTTACTGGTAAACTAGAGTTCGGCCCATTTCTCGACCCAAGCTCCATTACCTGCTCGGATATTCTCCTCCGGGCTGGCGCCATTTCCAACACTGGCAGGACGAAAGCTGTCATTGGGTTTGCTGGTTCAACCATGATCAGAGAAGCAGCTACGACGTGCAGTTTGGGCAGTGATGGAGACCAAAGTCACACTACACAACAGATGCACGAATCGCTTCGTCTTTGTCTAATCGTGTAGTCGTGTCACGATTATTATGGTACCCGAGGGCTACGAAAGCACGGTAAGCGGCCGTTGTTAGGAGGCAACTTCTAGGATCGATTGCCAACTACTTCCATAAGCATGGTCTATGAAGCTGTTTGGCCATCTCATCAAACTTATAGCTAGGTTAGGATTGCAGACTTACTTCCAAGCATAACATGAATGATCACGCCAGGCGCGAGGGCTGTTTTTCATGACCACCTTTATGTCGAGTTCACTTATTCCTGACAGTGAGGAAAGAGGGGCTGCGACAGCTGACTCAACAATGGATATGGCCGTCTCGAGTACCGTATGTTAGCTTCTCGAGAGTATCCCGTTGTGAGAGCTCTCTTTCTGAACCAGTACCCAGGCTTCATTTGCTTAAGTTCGAGAGGTTTCTATCCTTGAGTCGGGACGACTCCTGTCTCGTTAGAACCCTCTATACTTCGCTTCCTCTTAGGCGAATTGGTGCAGAAACCTAAGAAGTACCCCGAATACTAGTGGAAGGCGGAACTCCAGAAGACCATTAACGCATCTTCAAGACTTGAGAGGTATTAGACAAGCGTTTCGATTCTCTCTCCGCTGTGGAACTAACACCGCCACATGAGCATCGAATGCTATCAAGCCCAACACTCGGTCTTTAGGACTCATGTTTGGATCTTTGGGTTAGCTATGCATTTGTACCGAGTCTCAAGACATTGGACTGGGGATGCCCCGTAATTGGAGCATGGGTCTTGGCGATCGCATTTCACCTCCACATCTTCAGTGAGCTTTCTCTTACGACAGCCCTCATTTGAGAAGTCATTTTTCTCGAATGGCATAGATCATCCTATCGGTGAATCAGGTTTTGTCATTTCCATTCCATGGCATCCGAATCTCCATGCGACTGCCAATATTATTCATGCATGCTGAACAGTTCTGGAAGGCCCTCGCGTATTTTGGAGTTCTCAAGAATACGAGCAAGGAGGCTGATGTGTAAAATGGATTTTCGACAGGGCTCAGCCCTCCGAGTGTAAAACACGAAGGAGAGCCACGGAACGCCGAGGCTTCCGAGGCTTCCGAGGTGCCAGTGCTTCGTTTGGTCCCATGTCTATCATACCTGGAGGTTAGGTAGATAACATCATGGTTCCTTTCTTTGAAAATCATCTCTTAATTCACTCTAATAGTCTTGGAGGGATCAACAAGCCTCCGTGTATTACATCAGCATTGCATGATATGATCATTGCTGTATCGTAATTTACGAAGTCCTTTCTTGGTCCCCTCAAAACCAACCAATTACCATCCACCGCAAGCACCTCCGTTGCAAAAGCAATCTCCTGAACCACAAACCCCAACTTCGCAAATCAGTGCTGTCCGTGTCCCTCCAAAAAAAAGCATGCATGCCGCTAGGAACAACGACAAGCCTTCCCCGCTGGTCTTCACATTGTCCGTGTCCGTGCTCCATCCCTGATCCCGGAGTCACCGATCCAACCATATCCTCAATTTAAGTGTTCAGTGCCTCATGCCCACCGGCGCCTAAAAGACACCTGTCGAGAAGACTTGTGGTGGGAAGTGTACCTGAATTTAGATTCAGAGGGGGAAAGCGCGGCAAAGATAGCCATTGATTGCATGATAGAATCGCTAACAGACGTGGGACGCTAGCTCGCTCGACGAGATTGTTTGAAACTACGCGTGCGCGGGCAGTGCGCCTCTAACTGCGATACTTCTTTCTGCCTGAAACTATTGCTTTTGAAGCGTCTGATTTTGTGTAACGAGGCCCAGGACTTTGGGACGGAATACGATTCAGGGATGGTGGATGATATCAGTGATGGATGGAGAGACCAACGTGGAGGTCACAAACTGAACCCCCATTGATGAGCTTACTTCCTCGGCTACAGAGTTTCCTTTATCGTATCAGGGAGCTTGGAGTCGGTTGCTTTCAGACAATGGGATGATCTGATCTGATCCCGATTCTACGCGAGCGCGACGGATTCAGACTCCGTCATCGTATCGATTGGACATACGTTGTCTGTACGTTCAATCTTCCCAATCAGGAAGGTCCTTACGCATGTGGAGATATCAGGCTTGATGTTGGAAGGCTGAACTGAGTGCTTTTATGTCGAATCTGCCAACTATCTGATTATCTGTCAGAACTTAGCGTATCAGTGCTTTAGCTCCGGGCACCTTAAAGGGTCTCCTTGCGCCTTTAGCAGCCAATGTTGTCATTTATTAGGCTTGGTGGGGGGAGCTACGAATAACCACCTACAAAATTGACATCCCACGGCTACACAAGACTTATTGAGATGGATAGTATGCTCTCCGTCGGGTTTGGGCGGGATTGGATTGCATGACTCTGGAGCTAAGGATTAACGAGTGAGACGAGCATGTCGCGTCGTATCTGCTGCGATACTGGATGAAAAACAAAATTAGAGGTGATATTACGGTCTTCAAACCCCCAAGTTCTTCCATCAAGAAGAGAAGGTGTGAGATATCTCGATGTTTCCATACCAGGAAGGCTGAGAATCTGGTTTAGAAACGGGATGGAAGCTATGGAGTGAATGGAAGGTGACATGCAGTTTCAACTCGATTTAGGGACTGATTCGTTGAATTTGGATTTGGAATTTGTGGGTTGTTTCCTGTGTTACGATTTAATACGCCGAATCTAGCTATTCGTTTTCCAGGCTTGCTTCTCTCTTACCTTCAGTTGTCCCGTGTGCATCACGATCTTGTCCTGTCCAGCCTGCAGTCACCTTCAATCGTCTCTCTCAATCTTGTGTTTCAACAGTATCATCCCACCTGCTCATATCATTTCATTCCATCATTCGCCTCTGCTATGTCGTTTATCTCACTTATCCCCCGCTCTTCTCACTATTCGATTGCTCAATCGACAGACCAGCAGCACTTACTCTATGTAAGTTGGCCACACGGCCAGCCGATATCAGATTCATATCAAGCGCCATACGATAACCTAGGAAAAAATGTTCTTAATTCCTAACACAGGAAACCCTCAAAGTTCGAGCAACAAATCCATAGCTTTTCCGTAGATTCAAGCACTAGCAATAGTAGATATCTTGCCTCGGTGGGTATTTGCCTTAGGCGGACGGAGAGGATGAAACGGGAAGGCACTCGTTCAAAGCTTCCTTAGGGGCAAATAGTAGTGCCTTGCCGTGCAAGGGGAGAGGAGTTTAAGTTCATGCCGATGGCCCTCAGTGCTTCAACGCCCATGGCGGGTAAACAAGTGCCTCGGAGACAAACAAGGATAACAACGGAATGCGCGAGTCCTTATTGCTAACCATCTGTTAGGGAATTAAAAGATGGCTGACATACTCACGATTCGTTGAGCCATTAACCTGAATATTCAATCAAAGCAGGAACAAATATGTGCCGTCTCCCCTATCCAAGCATTCTGCTCAATTATTTTCCTAGTTTCCTTCCTCAATCTGAATTTTCTAATCTCACATATCCGCAAGCACATACCTCTGTTCCTTGGGTGCAATTAATGCACTAGCGTTTAAATAAGCAGGTCTTAAGAAACTGAAAGCGACTTGAACGAAATTGGTAACGCAAGACCATTTGCAAATAGCAAATCCATCCCTCGACTCAATATATTCAGTTCATTGGTACCAGCCAACTTCGCAACTAAGGATGGCTCTTTAATTCTGCTCACTTGTTAAGGATTTTCCTATCGGAAATCCTGGGTTGCGATACTCGTCGCAGGACCCCCGTTGATCCATTTCACAGTACGCGAGTTCTATGTTTTCGGCCCCACGCTACGATTGCGGTATTGTGAGCCGAGAGGATCAAAGTCTAGTTACAGCATATGGAAATTAAGCAGTCTTTGAGGATATACGCGTAACGTAGAGACGGCAAAGAGTGTAGGGGCTAAAGAGTCGAAAGTAGGTTGAGCAAGGAGAGAAGATTGGAACCGCATGATTGATTAATTCACCATGTTTGATCCCCTGGATCGTAACCCTGAGATTCAATCTCCATGTTGTATTCGGATATACTTCACAAGTTTATCCTTCCTGGAAGAGGATGCCCCTCTTTCGGTGGAGAACTTGTATCCTTTGTGTGGACAATATATAAGTGCGAGTGCTGTGACTGTCTCCGAGTTTTTGGCATTGCAGTGTGGTTAAGGTTTTTCTTGCCACAGAAAGCTCGGCAGTATGTGCCCACTTTGTATTTGAATGGTAGGGAAAGCTTTTTGAGATACTTGCTGAGCTGCCATGTCAGTGAAATTAACAATCTCGACTAGCGACAGAAAGTGCATACTTTAAGAAATGGCACCGGGGAAATATCCGTGGACATCCTTCGTACTAGAAGGCATTATCTGTTGTTTACGAGAGAGCAAAAGAGCCAGGATCATCTGGAAATAAATTCACTTCCTGAGGGGAATAGTAATCGTGTTCTAGCAGTTGTAAAGAGTGGTTGAAGGGAACGCTGTCTTCGTCAAGCTGAGTTTCCTCTGGCTATATATCTCCCTGCAATCCAACATCCTGTCCAGCAGGCACAAAATTTTTTGACAGCGGGACCCAGCTATATTCTGGTAGAGGGTCTGTATTCCCGGACTGACCCCGCAGGATCAATGAATTGGAAAGGTCAGTGTTTTCTATGTCCCTGCGTCCAGCTGATCTACTGATTGATGTAAGAAAATAAGGGGAAATGATTGGCTGGTTTAGGTGGTAAGCCACAAGACCCCCTGGGTTTTCTGGATTTGGAGTCGTGCACGTTCCTGAATATCAGGCTTCATGGTAGACGTCAAATTGTTGATACGAGCCAATCGCAAGCCAGGTCTGATTTCAACTGCTACCCTTGAACGGTGGTGGATTCCGCAATTTTGTAATGCTCTCAAAAACATATATTCAGAGATAGTAATCACCCATGTAAGACTGGTGGTGCAGCGGAAGAGGGTTGAACTGATGTGCGGCTTCTAGGGCAACTATGATACATAGAGAAGTACAGGTACTTGTAGATAGTAGAGAGTGGCTTGGCCTGATTACAACGTATAAGTCTCCTTTCTAAGAATTCCTTCCATCAGAACTCATCCACCATCTGACCATACTGTCCTCTCTCTTCTGCTGTACAACCATCAAACCATATCGCCCCTGCCGTCTCAATCATGAAGCCAACTTCACCCCTTTGATAGCCTGGGCAGCATTCCCCAAAATCAGTTCTCCGAACGCAGGCAATGCCGAAGAGGTCCATCTTGCTTACCTGAAGCCACCATACGCTGTGAAGCCAGTCTGCCAGATCAACTACGACCCTCTGGAGAATAAATCGTACTTCGTCCTATAGAAGGGGACGAAACATGCACTGAAATGGTCGAGAACGACTTGATCCATGCAAATTTCCAGAAGTTGAACGCGTACGTCATAATATCATGCATTTTATCAGACAGGTAGACCAAGGTCGAATGTTGAACTAGTTACAAGAACTTTAAGTGCAATGGACACAACAAGTTCCTCGAGCCGAACTTGCACCAGAAAGGCCCTGTCAAAAAAACACCATTGGTATGCAAATAATGCCCGTCTGGCAATCTTGATCGGCTTGTAAAGGAGGTATCATAGAAGAGGCGAGTGTTATAAGAGATTGATTGAATAGTTGTCCATAGCATATGCATGTGATTCATGCAATAAAAATAGATATCTCTAATCTCTTATGATATTTGTGCTTCGTTAATCTTTGCAGATAATTATGTCTAGTGGCTAACGAGCATGTATTCAAGAAAGCAAGGTGTGAAGCTATGTGAGGCACCAGAGACATGAGGAACTGCATTGAAATGTATTGCTAGAGGAGTCCTTTGCAGGAGTCTATATATATGCGAAATAAGTGGATGAGTCGTGGCAACAGACTGTGCTGAGATGCATACGACTATGGTGCCGACGCATGATCATCGTGTGATGACACATCCGACTATCGTGCGACTATGGTGACGACGCATCCGAGTGTCACCACTGCAAACACAAGGTAATAAAGTAAAGGTGGAATTTAGAGGGAAGGTGATAGGTAGGATAATGAGAAAAGAAGGAAAGTGAAGGTGAAAGAAAGAAACAGAAGAAGCAAATTAGACAATACAGAAGAGAATCCTCGGGTCCAATTATTCTCCTCACTCTTTCCTTTCAAAGGCCTAATGGCAGCGAGGAAGTGCATTCCCACTGTCGCCTCCCATTTTGGGTGGCGAGATTACCATAGCCAGGAGTTAGAAGAGATAACTTCGCAAGACTAACCTGCTTCCCTGTGTGGCGAGACGCACGGTGTGGCGAGACAAAATAGAGGTACTTTGACTTTAGGCAATGGAGATTCTCTCATAAGGAACTGCTCTTGCCATAGCTATACCGGAATAATTTCTTTACCCTCTTAAGATACTCTACGCTCAGTTTGACCTGAAAATCTCTATTATTCACTGTACATCTTGCCAAGCCTTTTCTCTTATTAGTTTAAAAAAGGGCTAGATTAATGTCTAATTAGCTTATAAAACTTTCTA